TTCTTGCGCCCCCCCCCCCCCCCACCCCCCAGGAACCGGCCAGGTCTGAATGCATTGTTGTTCAATCAGCCATCCACCAGCCATCAGCCACTTACAGTACCTATCCACTCTTTCCACCTTTTCCAACCGCCCTACCACCTCCCCCGGGGTATCCATGGTGTCAAGGTGTCTTGTAGCCAAATCTGGCCAAGGTTCTCGTGTCGCCGCCGTAGGTAACTCGTAGATAACGCGTACCTAGGTAGGTAGGTAGGTAGGTAGGTTCGGGGAGGGTGATCGGTTGAAATGCCCTACTCGTACCGGGGTCCTCCTCGTCACTTTACCAATGACCCCCCCATCAAAGCGTCCGTCAAGGGCCTGCAGGCCGCCTGTCTGGCCGTCGGGCTGTCTTCTAGAACGACGAGAAAAAGATTCTCACACCCCTGCACCCAATTTCGCTAGGAGTCCGCTCGCGCTCGTGCTCGTGCTCGTGCTCGTAGAAGAATTTCAACTTTTTCCAGAAGACCCCTTCTTACCCCCCTGCTCCTTGCTTGACCTTGTCCTTGTCCTTGTGTGACTTTGCTAACCGCCTTCTTTCAGCCCGCAGCCCGCAGTCCGCAGCCCGCAGCCTTCAGCCCGTGTTTCCCAGAAACCCTACGACGACGCTACGGTGCGAATACTCAGAGACATTGAGGAAAGTGTCCCCGTATGATTGATTGCACAGTGGTGAGCTTCGACTTGCTCACTTCCTCACTCTCATATCATCTCGGCCCCCGCCTAGTGCCACCCCTTGGAATTGTTGCGTCATGCCCGGGGCTACTTTTGTCTTTGTGCTCGTCCTCGCCCTCTTCCTCGTCCCTCACACAGGGGATCCACATTTCGTCTCTTCCCCCGCCCCACAGCCCCGCCAGGGCCTTCCATGGCTTCCAGAGTCTTTCCTCACCGGGACTAGCTCTCCTCGTGATCGAGTCCCTCGCACCAAATGACCCACTCCATCGAATCTTGAATTATGATTCGCGAACCATCCGGGGCCTTGGACGACTTCGGTAGAAAGTCAGCCTGGGCAAACAACCCGACCTTGTTGCCTTTTTTTTCTCTTGCCTTTCGACACCAAAGAGTCCCCCAGCCTACCTGAGTCTGTTGGTGTTTTGGCTCTAACTTTTGACTTCTTCTTCTCTGAATCACGATGGGTGGTTGAGGAGGCGGTGCTCAGCGGTTCTGCCACCTTCCCACCCTTTCCCACTCCGTCAGCTCTCAAGCGCGTGCGAGACAGGGCTGCTTTTCTACTTTTCTCGCACGCTGTCACAAGTGGGCTGCGCTGTGTTTGACTCACACCGCACACCGTGTATTTTTGTTCCTCATCCATAACTCTGCTTACCCGAGTTTCGTCTGATTCCGACGTTTCTCCCAAACATTTCATTCAGCCTTGCCCAATTCCCTCAGTGCGTCGGATCCAATCAATATCCCTTTATTGTCCTTCGACAATGTTTGGCGTGCGAGTTTCACCCCTGCGAGGCGCAGCCGGACAGAACTGGGGGCATTTAGTTAGTCCCTCCCGTCTTCCGCCTCCGTCCCCATCGCCGTCACCGCGCAGACGACCAGAATCTCGCGTCTGTGTATTGGTAGACAAGGTCAAGTTTGTGGATTCCCTTGCCGGGCTTAGCCTCAAGTCCCGTGGCGGTACTTCCTGACCAACCGACGAATAGTTGACGGCCCGCCCTCCGTCATATCTCCCTGTCTCAATCCGAACCCAAGAATCCCATTGTTCCGCCATCTCGAAACCATGCTGCTTTCCTGCCCGGATGGAGTCTGCCCCGGCTGTCTGGCATCTGCGGCCAGCCGTCAGACTTGATACTGAAATGCCCCCATGTGTCCGCAAAACATTTCACAATTTCCATTTTGCAATCTTTTTCTGGCATTTCCCAAGAGACTTTGTCAATGCTTGCCTCCGATTGCCTATTGCCTCACTCGACCCATATGGACTTCCAGACGCCCCTATTCCACGTGGTCTCGTTGGCTGTTTGAAGTTTTGCCACCTACCTGTGCCCCTTCGGGAAATCTAGTATCGCCTTCGTTTCCGGCTGTCATCTTTCTCTCCACCTCCCTTCCCTTGACAAATGATACGCGGGACGATCCCTCTTGCACTGCTTTTGCGGAAGGGATTGTGGTCTCCAAGCTCGCTCCCCTACACGACCGACCCCTGTCGTTGTGCCTCTGGTTGCTTCACTTTTAGAGGCTCAGCGGGGGGGGAGGGGTGCTGCTTGGTGTTATAAAGAAAGGCGACGTCCTCGCCCGTTTTCCTTTTTCTTTTCACGCACACACAACAAAGCACGAACATATCTCACCACCATATCGTCAGCTCGACCGCGGACAGCCTCGCCAAACTTCCTCGCAGAAACTTAAATCTCAGCGCCTTCCAACCTCAACGATGGCCGGCCAAACTTTGAACACCACCACCACCAAGTACGCCAAGCATAGCACCATTGCCCTGACAAGTTCCCAGGGAACCAGCAAACCCAAGCCACCAAAGCCAATTGCCCGTAAGTCACCCCATGTACACCCTGGTGTGGGAGACGTCTTGGTGCTAACAAGTCGCAGCTTGGGGTGCACAGAAGCCCACAAGGTAATGGCCGCGGCCGGCTAGGTATGACAAGGCACAGGGGGAGAAGGAGGAAGAGGTACTTAGTCCATCTCATCGTCCAAAGCCACTGCTGACCGAGAAGCCAGTCTCTGTGATCCGACCCCTACCGATATACGACGGGGTTCCTCTTCCAACCCCCTGCCCCCCTGTCAGAGACATACCTTCCTAGCACTGCAACAATAAGGGCGGTCGACATGTATGGGTATTGGGCGTACGGACAAGGAGAAAAGGCTTTGGGACAACCCTGGGACAAGATATATGGGGGAGGCTATCATGGATGGGAAACGGAGAAGACGGAGCATTGGGGTTAATTATTGATTGATTATTATTGATGGGCGTCTGGCATGTTTCAAGGCTGCAGGTTGGGCGACCGGCTGTGACGTCATGCCATGTAACAACAATTCACCACATCATCAACACCATCAACATCACTACCACCACCACCACCATGGCTGTATTTTGGCTCGGCAATGTCGATGTTGGCCTACTCAATAGACTTGATAGACTTGCTATTAGATCCCCTTTTTCCAACAGATTTCTTCCACCCCTTCAAGGTTACCATGTTGCCATGTTGCCTGGCCCGTGAACAGCCACTGTCTTGTCTTTCTAAAACTCTAGATCATTTCATTTCAATGCGTTATCCTGATGTTATCCGATATCCTGCCCCTTATTTCATGTTCTCAATCACCTTCCAACATAACCGCCGCACATTCAGATACCGGATCGTATTCATGTCAAACTCGCCCGGCTCCAGCCTCTCGGGTTTCTCGCTCACTGCGACTTGGTCAGATCCGAGCCTCCAACGTGAGGGGCAAGCATCAAGCTTACCGTGCTCCTCAATCTCGTGCCGCAATTTGTTCTCCAACCCAAATGCTCGGGCGTGACGCTCACTAGGAGAATCCGGCTCGCCAGGTGCCGCCAGCGACCTGGAAGACGTTCTGCTCAGGGCGTATTTGTGGAAGGACAAAAGGAAGTCACACACTCTTTGCTCCATTTCTTCGATCTTGGCCTCGGCTTGTTCCTGGGAGTACCCCGTTTCTTCCTTCATCCCCGGCATTTGGGGAATCATAAAGATGCCAAATTGGGCTCGGCCAAGGTATATGACCAAAATGAAAAGCATGCACAAGACCAAATCCCTGCTACTCTGGGATGATTTCTGGCTAACAGCCATCTTGAACATCATATCGTGGAGACTTTTCAGGAGCTTCTCCGCAGCTTTCTCGGCTCCCGGGAGAAGCGTCGACTTCAGAAAGCGGTTGATCGTCTCTGGTATGACGTGCGCATACTGACCAGTACCAAATCGTCCTTTTGAGCTGAGATTGTCTTCGAGAGCCGGTATGGCCCCGGCTGGAACGACGAATCTGATTAGAAGGAGATACTCGAACCACAAAAGCCGCAGGGAATCCTTGAGGATGGAATGTTCCGCTATGTCGTCCCTGTAGTATCCGCCGATGAGGCGGAGAATTTTGCACTGGAAAGCTTCCTCCTCGTCCTCAAAGTATTCCTCTGTCCACGTAACGTATCGTTGGGTATCGTTCAATACTTGGTCAAATATCCCGATTAGTTTGCTTTGAATTTGCGCTACCGTCCTGTCGAATCCGCCGTCCCGAATGCACATGACGATTGGTGGATTCCAATTTTGATATCTGGCAAGCGTCTTTTCTCCGTTACAATCGTAAGATGTTTCGAATGCGTAGCGCGTCTCCCAACCTGGTTCTGGAGGCGAAAACTCCATAACCAAAACGTCTAAAGGGATTCCGATGTGCAGCTCCAACTGGAGCCAGAAAGGCCGATGGGAAAGAGAAATGGTGGTGCTTGCAAGATAGGGGCCTATATAACTTTTTCGTAGGCGGACCGTCAATTCATCTGTCTGGTCAGTGACTGTATACGGAATGGATGGGTGATCCTTACGGGGGAACAAGCTAACTTTGCACACATCCCAGTCGCAACGACTGGGAATACAGTACTTTGGGCACTTTCGTCGGTCTTTGGTGAAGCAGTTGTTACAAGGGCTCTTGCAATCACACTTTCAGGTGTTAGCTTCTCCCGACAGAAGATATGGATATGTCGACAAACCTTTTCCTTCATGATCACACACCGGAGACAAGCGCCCCGTTTCCGCACATCACGAGTCTCTTGTCTCTGGACCGGGTTAAGGGGCCTCGTCCGACCACCGCGGCCTCTTTCACGAATCGCGAGCGAGTGGCGATAATGTAGCACGGGAATCACCGGAGATCTTGGCCCCATATTGAAACATAGATTTTCTTGACGGAGTAGCTGTGTACTCCACGGTTGGTTCTGGCCAGGGAATCGCTGTTGCCCGGCTGGATCTGGATAATGAGATAGCTCGTCAACGGAAGCGCGAGGGTCGACGCCCACAACTGCAGCATCTGGTTGAGCGAGTCAGTAAATCATATGGATAGACATCTTGGAGTTATGAGATCTGACCTGTCATCGCGCGGGCTGCTTCCCACCTGTGGTCGGCAGCTAACGCTGCTGGGTTCAAGGGTTGGTTACCGGCATATTCGGCCGGATGGGATGTCGGCAGGCTGGCGCTTGGGCTGCGGGTGCCATCAGCATCTTGAGAGATCGTCGAAGCATATCCCAGAGCTGCAGTATAGCTTGTGCTTGTCGGGGTCGCCACACTACCGCGAGAAAGCGTAGACCGGGTACTCACGGGGCTGAGAGCATCTGTGGTCGATGGAGTATTGTGAGATTCGGCCACAACAAAGCCGTAGGGGCGAGGTTGTCCAGAATGCCAATGCGGCTGCAGTTCCGGGGTCGAAAACGGAGGTTGCGACAGTTGATTGTACTGGGGCTGCGTCGAGTACATGCCGAACTGACCAGGCCTTTGACTGGGCTGAATCCTTGGAGGTTCAAAGGTGCCTTGGAGGTGACCCGTCTGCCGCCGATACCGCCCCATTTGTTCTCAGCGTCAAGCGTTAATCAACCGTGTTTTCGGCTCCGACGGGGTGACAGCACGGATAGACGTCAGCCGCTGTTCGGGCTGATGAGAGGAACAATGCCTGACAATACAGCAACCGAGGAGTGATGGCTCGCAAATCGCGTGGGGAACCAAAGGAGGGGTGGGAAAGGGAAACAAAGACGACCAGGCGACGAGGCGACCGCAGGCGGAGTATATGAACAAATTCCAACGCAAACCGTGAGACTGACTTCGCGTTAGATGGAGTGAGTGCAGAGAGCACAGTGTAGTTCACTTGAGCCCCATCATCTGCTTTGGCTCGCTTTAGAATGCCAGCACGTTATCTCTGTCTGGGCAGCCAGCAAAACGAGGGGTATAGCGGTGGTATCATTGGAAGGCGGATGTCATTGCAGCAGCTACCCGATCAGAAGTCGGGTGCTGGACGTGGCGAGAAGGTGAATGCGCGAGAACGAAGCATAGAAGCACTTTGTGGTCTGCTGAATCGGGCGTTTGGTAGCAGGGCAGCAGTGCGACGACGGAGCAATCCAATCGGCTGTCTCACGCAGACAAAGCGCCTAACAGACCCAAATGTTCAATATGCAGACCCTTGTCACCGGTTGGAGATATCTTCCAACGAGATGCCAACTCTTCAGCCGCACCAAACCCGGTGTGTGCAAGCGTGGGTGGACAGCATGTCAGGTGCTGCCGAAGATGCCCGGCGGGACATCGCCCGCAGTAGATGCCCGACTAGGTTTGTCAAATGGCATTTTGGTGAGACGCTCATGGAGGTAAGCCAGGTGACCGAGCAGAAGGACCTTTGGCACGACATCAGCTCAAGCATCTGCTGGGAGGGAGAAGAAGACCAGTGGCTCATTTCCCACGCAACTCCAACCAGCTCGCATACACGAAGGGGTCATGGTTGCACGGCATCTTCAGGCGAGACAAGAGGAGATGACTGGGGACAGCATATATGTACATGTCGGTACGGCAGCTCTTGGTACTTTCCCTAGGCATTCGCTTAGTTGAAGGAACGACACATGAGACGAAAGACATTGAGCGGGAAGAAAAGGGAGGAAGAGGCTTTTAAGTAAAAATGTGACATACTGCCTGCGGCTTCATTCTTCCTGATGGCAACATTCTCGCCACTGGCTGGTTGCAGCGCCCATCAGCACTCAATGGGCTGGCCCGTCTACAGAGTACATCCAAATGCATGTTCAGGCAACAGTACAGGAATAGGACCCTTGAGATCAGGGCTAAAGTGCTCATTCCTCCGTCTCCTCCAGATGGAGAGTCTACCACTGCATCGGTCCAGCCACCGCGGCTCTCGACGAGTAGAACCGTTGTTAATGCATCAAATATCAAGCTCGTATCTGGGTGCGCTCCAGTGCCCACCCTGCCGCTATGCTCATATCGTGGATAAACACGCAAAGGTATTCCCTGCCTCGCATTTCAAACCGGTGTTACCGCCCCCTTTGATCAAACGCCATTGAAAGCCCGATGTCCAGGCATACCTGCCCAAAGCGACGTGCCGTAACCAGAATGCTCCTCGCGTTTCGACAGCTCCATCAAACAGTATACTTTGTTTTTGCCCGGGTGCTGCCTGCATGCGCAGCGTCGGTATGACCGCTGAACTCGAGTGAATCGTTGTCGGGGATCTGAAGCACTTGCTTGAACCTACCACCGATCTTCATCAGTGTGTCCTTGCCACCAGCCTTTCCCGTGGTGCGAGTCCATAATCCGATTCGGTAGAAGCTCTTTCGCACGTTGACAACCACGCCCATGATCTCGTTATCTCCGTCGTCTTCCAAAGTCTCACCAATCGCCGCCAGTTGCGTGTGTAGCCATAGTTCATCGATGTTGACGGCCTTCTTATCCTTGAACGTGTATGACCACTTGCCACCGTGCTTGTTCTGGGGATCTTCCCACTCGGGTCGTACCCCTCGCTTGAAGAGGTGATAGTCAGATTTGACGGCAAGGTCGGAGGTGGCTGTGATATTATTCTGTAGTCACGTTAGACGAGTCGTCGAAGTGCTCGGCGTGAACATACGTATACACCCCAGAATTCCTCGACTGTATCAAATGTGATCACCTCTTTCAGCAAATCGTTCCAATTGTCGCCTTTTGAGGAGGGCGGCTTGGTGAACTATTCACGTCGAGTCAGTCTAGAAGTGGATTAAGTGCACTGTTTCGACCTACCCAAAGACTCCAGGTGTTGAGAAGAGGGTGCTTGACGTTGAAGTTGTTGACATCGTGGAAGATGGTCTTGATATCGTCAGATGTCGAGGGCGCACCGTTTTCACTTGACACGGGGCCAGGAACTGGCTGGGGCATTTCGACCTCGGCCATGATGGAGAAAGTCGAGGACTCTGGATTTCAAGTCTGCAACCTAAGCGGCAGAAGAAAGAATCGATGCAAATGCACGACGAAGTGAAAGGCGCACGGAAGGAAGAGGGAAAAAGTCGAATGAACACCCGTTCGTGCCGTCGATAGGCTGTGGCAAAATTTGGTTGAATGCGAACACCCTTGACTGCAAGAGGAAAGGAGAAGTAGAATATGGCTGGGTAGGAGCAAGCGACTGCTCAAGTGACTTGTACAGAGTGCAAGAACACACGTCAAGATTCCGAGGCTGCTGTGGGTGAAGATTGAAACTGCTCTTCGGTGCTGCAGCCAGCGGCGCATGAATAAAATCCGCAGACTACGAATTCGGTTTAGCTTACATCGTGGCACAAATACAAACGTCCCGGTTGTTCTCGGCTCTCGATTGCTCTCTTCTATCAATTCTCTTCCTGAATTCTTCATTGTCCCTAGATGGTTTCCTTCTCTAATGTAGCTGGTGGACTCTGTTCGCAGATGCCATAGCTCGAGTCATGCTGTCAAGCTGTCTCAAAGGATGCCATAATACACAAGACTAACCAGCTCTTCCTCCCTCGCTATGCCAACCCTCATTTCGAGCTGTTGAGATAGCTCAAAAAACAGTTCCAGCCTAGACTCACAACATTCACGACCAGAACCCTATGCTCAAGAGGCACTAGCTTGAAATTCACAGCCTGGACTGCGGGCCATAGTGCCCAATTTGCCTTGAGCCCTGGAAGGTAGTTCTTGGCAAGTTTCTCCTTGGGGTCACTTCCTTCCAATACCGACATGGTCGAGAGGAAGAATGCAAGGTTGCAGGTCGCAAAGACGGTTTGGTCCGCGGCGACTCGCGCCAGTATTGTGACGTTGTGTGATTGGAAGTTGATACGCTTCTGCAGGAAGGCATACCACTTGGTGGCTGCTGGTCCGAATACAACTAAACCTTGTCAGCTCGTCCACAGTACACTGGCAATGTCTAACTCACAGCCGCCATATAAGCCCATTCGAGCTGTCCGAGTGGCGTCATGATTTCTCAATCCTTTTCGTTCCACGGCCTGCTGTGCAAGTGTGTCGCCGGCGGCAAAAAGCACCTTTATTGGTTAGCTGAATGAATCTCGGAGAGATTATTGGAGTCATGGTCATTACAGCAGTGGTAACGGACTGGGTCAACAGCGGCCGCTTTGCCAGCTTTGCTTGATACCTGGTTCAGGGTCAGTCGTTGACATTCAGCAAGGAGTTCTTGATAAGGCGAACCATCGTATCGGCATATTTCCTTCCTCCGCTATGATATACGACTTTGGTAGACAAGTCAGTGAATTAACATAGTATCGTCCCGTTAAGCTCCTCAACTTCGGTCAAGCTATGTGGAAGCAGATTGAAATATCAATCTTCGGGGAGGGCGATCTGGATTCCCAGGGTTTGCAAATGCGTCATTGGCCCTGGCGCCGGTGGCGGAGAGGCTGCCATCTCTGAAAGTCAATCCGCACATCCATATCCGGTTTAGCCCACAACCCCAAAACAAAATCTCTTGGCGTGAATTTGCGAATCTTCCAAAGTGCGGATTGACTGATTCCACCCAAAACTCACCAGAGACTTACCCTACAACTTGCGCCCCCCTTCCCGACAATCCGTACTCTGCGCAATTCTACAACATGGCTGACGCTCCCCGAGGACGCGGCGGTTTCGGTGATCGAGGTCGTGGAGATCGAGGCAGAGGTGACCGTGGGCGAGGACGACGAGGGCCGCGCCGCGGTGGTGCAAAGTCCGACGAGAAGGAATGGCAACCGGTGACCAAGCTGGGTCGTCTCGTCAAGGCAGGGAAGATTCAGAGCATGGAGCAGATCTACCTGCACTCCCTCCCCATCAAGGAGTACCAAATCGTTGACTGGTTCTTGCCCAAACTCAAGGACGAGGTGATGAAGGTGAGAAGTCACAATCCAAGGATGGGTGTTCTGGAGGGCAAGACCAAAAATGCCTCCAGGCAGATCGTTTCCTCTGTGTTTTACTGACGAGTCCGTCTTGATCTACAGATCAAACCCGTCCAGAAGCAGACCCGTGCCGGTCAACGTACCCGATTCAAGGCCATCGTGGTCATTGGCGACAGCGAAGGCCACGTCGGTCTCGGCATCAAAACCTCCAAGGAAGTCGCAACCGCCATTCGCGCCGCCATCATCATCGCCAAACTCTCCGTCCTTCCCATTCGACGAGGCTACTGGGGCACCAACCTCGGTGAGCCTCACTCCCTGCCCACCAAAGAATCCGGCAAGTGCGGTTCCGTTACTGTTCGATTGATCCCCGCTCCCCGAGGCACCGGTCTCGTCGCTTCACCCGCTGTCAAGAGATTGCTACAACTTGCCGGTGTGCAAGACGCCTACACTTCCTCGGCCGGCAGCACAAAGACCCTGGAGAACACTTTGAAGGCGACGTTCGTGGCAGTCAGCAACTCTTACGGATTCTTGACCCCCAATCTGTGGAAGGAGACCAAGCTCATCAGAAGTCCGTTGGAGGAGTATGGTGATGTCCTGAGAGAAGGCAAACGTTACTAGGGGTGCAGGAAACCTGAAGACGAACAGACAGATGATAGGGACCTGCTTCGGAAGTTTCCACTGGCAGACATGTGAGACAGCTTTGCATGGCGTACGGACAACAAGACCCGTCTGTACCTGAACAACAAAATACCATGATTCAAATGTTCTTCAAAGATTTGGCCCCTGGGCAGTGTATGTGCTCTCTATGTCGCTGGCGTCTCTTTCATCAGATGCTTTGTATGTTTGAGCTTCCCAGTGCAGAACCCCGCCCATTAAGTACTGAGGGAAGATGTCTGTAAGCGCAGCTTTTGTAACTTTTCGCCGATGCTACGACGAGCTCGTGGTATTACAGTAGATCCGCACACTCATCAAGCAACCAGTGAGAGTGATAATGTAGCGATCTTTGACCGTACACCTTAATCCTCCATGGCCATCTCTTCCATTGCCTTGACCGCGTTCTCCAGTTCTCGTATCCTCGGTCCGACCCGACTCTGAATCTCCTTGCTGACCTCTGGGCTCGTCTCCTTCAGCGCCTTTTGGAAAGCCTCCTGCAGCATCTTCAGTGCGTCCGCTGCCGCCTCTCTGTCATCGGCCGCATAGACCGTCTTCTTTTCCGTCTCTTCGGCCGCAATTTCGAACTCGTCTTTCGCGGTGGCGTAGAGCTCATTGAGATTTTCCATCACGGCATCGGCCGTGGGTGATTGCGCGTATCGGGAGGACGAGCTGTGGAAGGGCGCTAAAATTTGACGAGGCATTGAAATCCGTGAGGGCGGCATTGAGGGTAAGCCCCTGCCATTCTGGTTTGGTCGGAAAAGACAAGTCAATGTCCTCCATGGTTGAGGAGTTTTGAGTGAATAAAAAGAGTCCGTTGTCCGTCGAAGGGATCTCGAAGTAGCTGTACGAATCATGGTTGTTACTGTTGTTAATATAGACAGGGGCAGACTCGGCAAAGAGGAAGAAGATGGGAGATGTGGCTTGTCCGTAAACACAGGGCGTTCAAGGTTTGAACCAAGTCGGCGTTTGGCAGCCTGGTGGGCAGTATGCTAGCAGCGCATCTTGGTACAAACTACCTAGCGAGCTAGGTAGGGAGACACGAAGTTTGCACCTGGGTTGATGACGTCTGGTTGAAAATTGCAGCCACTCAGCGCCACTAATGGTTGCTCGCAGGTTTGAAAATCCGGGGAACCGAAACCTCGCTATTATCGTCGGGCGCCTCGTTCCTGCATTGGGATGGCAAGTCTGTAACTTTCCCTCCTACTCGCCTCTTCTTTCCAAGATTCCCGTGACAGGTACTTCGCCAGCTGAGAGTGCTAGGGCTAGGTTACTTACAGGCGGGCACCGATTGGAAAGCTTTGAGTTTGCTGCTTGTAACGGCATCCCCGTGACGTGATGTTTTGCTATGGTGGCGCCCCAGCTTGCCCTCCGAAATGACGTCCTGCTCAGATGCGTCTCCCTGGATACTTCACCCTGCCAATGAGGCCTATAAATTGGGTTCACAAGTCAAGTGTTGCCCAGACAAAATGTGGCTGCGTCATTCTTGCGCGACTCGAATTTCGTGAGAGAGCAGCTGCTCATTTGTACCGTGATACCCCTTCATCACCTTTCACATTCTTTCCTCCCATAGTTGTTGGTACCACATTTGCTCTGATTGCTCTCCCACGTTGCTTGCGAACCACCAGTAGCACCCTGATACTACCGCACGATGCTTGGAAGAACACCAGCCGCAGCTCTTCGCTCAGGGCGGGCACTGAGAGTTCGCCGACCGATCCAGGTGCCTTCGCAATCCCGAACCACGCGCTTCCAGTCTACAGCTCCAGCCAAACCTACTACCGATGCCTCATCATCTTCAAGTCAGGCTCTTCTGGGGGGTCTGGCCGGTGGCTCTTTTGCATTTGTCCTGGGATACATGTGGTATCAGTTCTCGGGTGCCAAAACTGCCATGAACACTATACACTCCACGAAGACTTACGTCGACGACACCTTCAAGAAGGCAACTCAGAACGCCCCGGAGCCTAATCAAGCCATCCAGTGGCTGAAGGAGACGGTACAAAGCTACACAAAAATGATTCCAGGGGCTTCAAAATATGTCGACTCCGCTTTCGAGGACGTGGACAAGGTCCGGGAAAAGCATGGAGACGAGGTAGACAAAATCGTCAACGACACCTACCGGAAGCTGAAGGACGTCACCAAGAAGGGATTCAGCATGGAAGCTGGTGTGCAAGCCTGGGAAATCATTGAAGATTGCTTCAAGCGCATTGGTAGTCTGGCAGCCAGCGCTGGGCAAGACATCCTGGATAACCATCCCCAATTAAAGAGTCAATTTGGGGGTAGGTTCGAGCAGCTGCAGCAGATGGGCGAGCAGTACGGTCCAGAAGCTAAGAAGGCAGTTGACGAGACCTGGAAGCAAATGCGTGACATTCTGGCTGGTGGTGTCAGCTTCTCGACAGTGCAGAAGCTTCAGGATCTGTTACAGGAGAAGTCACAACACCTGAAGAAGTACGGCGATCAAGCCTGGCAGAAGGGCATGGAGCAGGCCAAGCCACTTCTGGACAAGCAACCGCAAATAAAGAAGCTTATCGAGGAGAACAAGTCAAAGCTACTTCGTGGTGACCTGGGTCAACTGTGGCAGAAGGTTCAAGATGCGGCCCAGTCAGGAAACACAGACGATCTCCAAAAATTCGTGAAAGACCAAGTGGACAAAGTCTCTGAAAGCGCCGGTGGTGGCATCGAGCAGTTCCTTAACATGATGCCTGGTGGATCGGAGATTGGACCAAAGCTGCAACAGTTGCAGGAACTCAGTCAAAAGCATGGGCAGGAAGCAGAGAAGCTGGTCAGAAGTGCTATTGACGATGTGAAGAAGGTGTTGTCCCAGAAGGTTGAAGAAGGGCAGCAGCTGAAGGAGAAAGTCAAGTCTGAGACGTAAGTACCCAGACCAGTCTGCCAACGTGCAAGGAACGGCCGAATGAATGCAATGCTGCTTTCTCTGCTGCATTAAAGAAGCAAAAGTGAGCTCCAGACCATCATATTACCCTGGGTCTTTTAGGGTCTCCAAAAGCAAACTGCCTGCGCGCGACATTGTCAACTTGTACCTATGTATGTATATAGAAACATGCTAAGAGAGGAGTTGACGTCATAGGAGACGGAATTGAAGCGCCCTCAATATTGTAATCAACCTGGACTCCATGTACCGAGTACCTCATGTTCGCTGCTATTACCGCTGGTCAATGTCTTTTCCGCTCTGCTTCCTACCATAAACACAATTTAAGTCCATGTAAAAGGGAACACAAATTGAATGAGGAGGCTGCAGTCATTGTCGAAACAGATCATCTCACCCCATCGTGAGCCCCTCGCCCCTAATACGATCCACAGTCTCCCGCCTCTAATGGCTTCATCGACGGCAACAAGTACAGGAGCCCCTCCCGGCCGCCCTAACCCTAGCACTGTGGCCGAGCACCTAAAGGGATCTACGCAATCATGGCATGGGCAGATAACCCCAGACGGGCCATTTCCTCCACAGCAGGGCCGCTACCACCTGTACATTGGGCTGTTCTGCCCATTTGCGCACAGAGCAAACCTCGTCCGCCATCTCAAGGGCCTTACCGACCTCATAGATATCTCCGTTGTGAAGCCCTACCCGAAAGGAGACGAGCATGGGTGGCCTGGGTGGCAATTCCCGAAGTCCGATGACGAGTACCCAAATGCCACGGTCGATAAGCTGTTTGGAAGCCAGTATCTGCACGAGGTCTACTTCAAGGCTGACCCGGAGTACAAAGGACGATACTCCGTTCCGGCCCTGTGGGACAAGGAGACCGGAACAATCGTGAACAACGAAAGCCCCGAGTTGATGAGGAACTTGCAGGTGGCCTTTAACTCGCTTCTGCCGGAGGAATATGCGAGCGTCACTCTGTACCCGGAGCATCTGCGCGGTAAGATCGACGAGGTGGGTGACTGGATGCAGAGGGACTTGAACACCGGTGTGTACAAGGCCGGATTCGCACCAGACCAGGAAACGTATGACAAAAACGTGCCCGTTGTGTTTGCGGCCCTTAACAGATTGGAAAAGATGGTCGCGCAGAACGGCGGACCGTACATCCTGGGCAAAGACCTGACCGAGTTAGATATCAGGGCATATGCTACAATCGTCCGCTTCGATACCGTGTACGTGCAGCATTTCAAATGTAACCTAGGCACGATCCGGCACGACTACCCGCAGTTAAACAACTGGTTGAAGAACTTATACTGGAATGTCAAGGGATTCAGGGAGACGACGGACTTCAAGCACATCAAGGAGAACTACACCAAGAGCCATTGGGATATCAACCCCAAGGCCATCACGCCCATGGGCCCGTATCCCGATGTCGAAGAGGGGTTTGAGCCAGATGTCAGCAAGGTCAGGGTTGGTGGTGTCTCTATGCCCAAGGTGGTGGAGTTGGAAAAGCAGCTGCCGGGTTGAGGTGCAGCCAGTTTTGAAGGATGAAACCGACATGGGGAAGTTCTTGCTTGTCTGGACTCTTCCCACCGACGCGAGATGAGCCGTCACCTGTTGTTCTTGTGGAGTTGGCAAGTGATCGGCGGTGAGCCACGACATCTTCTTCCCAGTTGATCCTAACGAGTGTGGATTATCCGCCCGTCCCGTACATGGTAGACCACCATGTATTAACTCGTACGTGTACGAGTAGCAAGTCTATCAGCCTTGTCACTTCGTGGCCTCGTTCATGTTTCTTCGACTGGGTTCCGTGATGGCATCGATCATGCAGCGATTGGCGACAAATGCAGTATTATGTGGCCAATTTGCGCCGAATCATCGATGTTCAGTTGGTGCATGTCTTCTCGACATCAATCTTCCACTGAAGGGAGAGGCATTTTCCTCGAACCTAGCTGCGGGACCGTCGTGACATCTGGGGGGGGGGAACAGTAACAGTGATGGTTGCTCTGATATGCAAGCGAAGTTGAATATGGCACCACTGATTGGCGAGTGAAGAAATCAGGGGAAAGCCGGGCGGGCGCCTGTGAAGCCGCGGCGGTGTGGGATCTGCTGGGCGCTGGTGGGCAGGAGTGGTAGGCTTTTTAGTTAAAAATCACCCAAGTTTACTAGGCGTTTAGTGTCGGGCTTGGGTGTTCTTTTAGGCTAGCCACCCACTGGCTGTTTCTGTCTCCCACAAAGGACAACCTCATCTCCAATTTAATCTCCTGCCAAACCACTCATCACCAGAGTCCCACGACAGTGGTCACCCAGTGGTCAAACTCAACAGACGTTGACTTTCCATGTGTTGTCTGTCTGGCAGCTGTGTGGTCTCCCTGCATCTCCCACTCTGATCCTTGTCACCATGATCTCCGGGCCTGTCCTTTTTTGCCTCCCCCTGGCTTCTCGGAGAATTTCTACAGCTTCCAGTCGACGGTATCTGCAACTTTATCTCAACGGGTTAAACACCAATGTCCGTTGATTGTGGGACCCAGAATCCAATACCCCACTGAGGCCTAGCAGACAGCCACAAGCGCTCCTTTGCCTGCACCGTTGGGAGTGCAGCCATGTCAATGTGGCTGTTCGAGGCTGCGATTTAGTCCTCGTGCGGTAAAGCGACAACGCCACCTCGAGATGACGACGCAAGCTAAGGGTTCAATGTACATATCACTCTCAATTGGGAAATCCACCTCTCTGAGAAAAAAGCTGGGACATCGATGGACGCCGAGCACAGTGGTTCACACATGGTTAATTGATTGCTGTTGGAGCTACTTAAAAAGATGGCAATCATTAAACCACCATGTTAAGGTTCTTCCTGAAGGAGTGTTCCAGTACTGTCCCTTATGTCGGAAACGACTTTGTCGGTGAGCATGTGCCTCTTGATCTTTTCTGGCACAAATCTCACTGGTTACGGGGCCCAGAACAGGGCCCCTGGTCAAACGTCAATGCTAAAGCGGCCTAGAGAAGCCCACCGCAAGCACTTTACTGTTGCTTTTGATCGACGCCGTGGCTTCATCTCCACTGCCTAATCAACTAGGCACGAACTTTCTGAAAGCCTCATCTCCTACCCCAGCCAAAGAGTGCTTCGACATGACAGTCTGCCGCCAAAGTGGCTAGGCGCCTACCAGTTATGTGCTCGTACACTACTCGGTACTCGTACGTGTTCCTGGCCACGATCTTGTTATCGAGGTAGCCGGCGTTAACGAACCCTGTCCCTGCTCGTCCGTGGATTGGTTGTTCTGGCCCATGGTCATTGTCTTAACAAGACCATTTCCCTTGCTGCCGGTGTTACCAAACTCTAGATAACTGGATACGATATCCTCCAGCCACTGACTCAACCTTGCGCCCGGAGGCAGATCATCGCAGAGCTGTTTTCAGGCAATAGCTTGCTGAGGTCGTCGATGCTGCAAAGGTTGGGACAATAGACGATACAGTCGAAGGTCAAGGGATTCGCAGGAAGGGAAACGAAGGATGGAAGTCCCCGCAAGGAATCCAACCTTGTTGCCTGTCATTAAATGTTCAGATTGCGGACAAGATGTTGATATGGCGAGCCTGACCAAGCACCAATGCGCAGCAGCAGCAACACCTCCAGCACCACAACCACTCGCAACACCAGGTATGCTTACATGCCTCGTGCCCACATTCAATACTATAGACTGACAATACCAGCTTCGTTTATGCCTCCGCCTCTTCCACGGACAGACTCATCTACAAGTTTAAGGAGCGCGAGACCGCAACGACCGTTGTTGCCCAAAATCGATCCTTCTATCGGCTGTGAGTTTCGCAGAAGTGTTCGTCTCGGCAAATACTGACCTACCCTCTCAGTTCGACCTCCTGTTCTTCACGGCGAACTCACGCCTGCAAGCAGCGGACACAGCTCGCTGATGTCTCCTGTGAGTGCGACTTCTGGCCCTCAGTCACCAGGGCCAGCCATCCGCAAAGCATCTGTACCGGGACCCCGACGTCCACCATCGCCAGAATTGACGAATCTCGATTGTGCATTCCCTCCCTTCCCTCTACCTTCGAGGGCTGCCACGACACGAAAGCGTGAGAGATCTGCGACTCACCGCAGTGATACAAAACCGTCCAAGTCTCGCGATGCCCAGAAAGCGTTACCTGTGGGGAGCAGACCGTACCCACTTTCAAGAGGAGGATCAGAGAACTCAGTGATGACTCTGGCTCATCAAACATCGGCACAGAAGCAGCCGCGTTCACCGAGCCCTAGAAATGGAGGCAGCCCCTCGCGGAGCACTGAGAGGGACGGTTACCAACAGAAAAGTGAAAAGCCGCCGGAACCAGAGAAGAAACCACCTGAGCCGATTTCATTGAGCCAGGGCGATGGTGCTCTGGAAATGCTGCAAGCAAAGAGTTTCACGCCAGAGGTGTCAAGCTCTAGCGCCCAGCGAGAGCCGACACCCGACGCAAAAGCGATCACGGATTTCAGTGCATTCGACTTTGGTGACGCAGGAACCAACAAATTCAAGCCAGAGGCTACGAACCAGGCCCCAAGACTGATCGAGGAGCGCTCTAGAGCTGACACTGAGCCGTCATACAGAGCCAAAAGACCCCCGCCACTGCTGGACAGCAAGGAGGTTATAACCTTGGTAAAATCACCTACACTCCCACAACCATCGCCGGTTGGTAGCTTGACGCGGGGACTGGGACGCTTGTTTGGTCGACGACAGTCTCAGTCTTCAGGGTCACGGCGGGATGTGGTCCGGCAGGCTCTCAGTGACGAGCCAGATATGCATGACAGTTATTTTACGAGCCGAAGTATTGTTAGTCCAATGAGCGACCGGTCACTCATCGCTGCAGATCCGTTCCCTGTTACCATGTCGCCATCGGTGTCTCCTGGACTATTGCCGGACCACGAGGCATCGCTGAAAGCATTGGAAGGACTGACACCTGAGCGGGCTGTTGTAACTCCGATGGTTGTCGTGGAACCGGCCAGAGAAGAACCGCTGCGCCCACCGACCCCTCCTATTGAGACTGACATCGCTATATCACCGAGGTCGCCAGAGACTACTGCGGTGTCGCCTGGTGCCCCAGGTGCAGAGCTCATCGAGGCTCTTCGACGGGTGTCAGTTGACTCGGCGTCGTCCTACGGTTCGGCTGCATTCTCCGAGAACACTGCCAGCACCAGATCGAGTTCACCACAGGCCGAACTTGTTACACACAAAGCGTCCGGACCATCCAATTCCGGTGTACTCAACTCGGAGCATCCTGATGTGCCTGCACCACTAAGACCAAAGATCCCAGACCTTCCACCCGATTCGCCAACGGATCCGTTCTTTCAGCAAGGTCGTCTATCACCACTCCCAGACCTTCCCACCCGCGAATCTGACTCGACAGACTCACTATTCTCGTTCTCAGTGGGTCTACAAACAAGCCCCAAATCAACCCATGCTCCTCAGGTGTCATTGAGCAGCAGTGCCAAGTCTGCAGTTCCCCATAAAGGAGTCTGTCGCGGCTGTTCTCAGCTGATCCTCACGGGACAAAAGTCAGTGTCGAGCGCAGACGGTCGGCTAACTGGCCGGTACCACAAGGAGTGCTTTGTGTGCTGGGCATGCAAGATTGCGTTTCCGACGGCTGAATTCTACGTTCATGACGATCACCCGTACTGTGCTTACCACTACCACGAGCTAGAGAATTCTCTCTGTGCTACCTGCGGCAAAGGAATCGAAGGCCTGTATATGGAAACCGCCAACGTCGCGGGGCGCGGCAAAGAGAAGCATCATCCGGAATGCCTAAAGTGCACAACTTGCAAGATCCGACTGGACCACGACTATTTTGAATTGTCTGGGAAGGTCTACTGCGAACGAGATGCGTTTCGGCTTGCAACCTTACCAAGATCCCATGACAATGCTCCCAGCCGCCCGAGCCCACTGATTCGAGAGTACATCTCCAGTGGAGACCCTGGACTCGTAAAGGGCAGGAATTTCCCCGAGCGAAGAACGACCAGATTAATGACGATGACCTAATTTCACGACAACGACAGACGCAATGCTTGACGCCGGGTTTCGATCGTTCGGCAAAGCACAGGAGTCTTTTTGGAGAGGGCACTGGATGAAGAGTGGACACTAAACAGTTCCAGTTCGTGGCAGAGCATGGTATGGTCCGCTGCAATCCTTTCTTCCTGCTAACACCAAGTATATACACGAGACTTATGCCGGACATATGGAGCGTCCATTTCAAGCGGAAGCATGGTGTTCCGGTGTGCGATCAGAAGAATATATTAGCTATATATCGATAATGTTTATGCCGCTGCACATCCAAGCCAAACTTTTCCTGCTGTGACGCCTGATCGGAACGCTTTCCTTCGAATGAGCTTTGCTTGTCTTTTCAACCACGATTGTTTGTGCGACGTCGCGTTGCTGGCTCTATGCAGTGAGGACATACCAGCAAGCGAGGCTAAGGTAGGATCGGGAGCTACTTGACTTGTCGTTTAGTGACCAGGGATGGTTGACATGTTCCATTCGACTCATTTCTCGCTGGAGGGCACGAAACTCGAACGAGGCCGTTGGAGCGTCTACTCCGGCACTTCGGTAAGCATGGATACCCCCACGACGCACACGCGCATGCCATCGGGTGTCTTAGCGTATCATGTGCTTTGCTGGGATGTCAATGTCACTCGGCAGGGTATTTAGTGTCAGATCTGGCAAGCAGGCAAACAACCGAGACAGGAAAAAGATTATCCCACGATTCGGAAAGGGAACAGAAATCCCAAAGCTTGCTTTGACGACCACAAAGAAGGACCCCCGGTTTGTGTGACACGGAGACTTCTTCCCCAGGGCAGAAGAAGATAGATGACTGACTTGGGCGGCCCGAAGCAAGACCTAAACCGCATTTTTAGCGGCACGAACAGAAACGCCGCCAGGGAGTGGATTGGAGGCATCAAGGTTTGAAACTGGGCCAAGGAGCACGTCGTGTGACCGCAACAACAATCGACAGCACAGCCGAGGGGAGATTGGAGACCAAAGCTGACGAGCAAGATTGAAGCCTGTGGATGCAGCCGGATATCAAGACTGGATTCGGAGAGATGCGGGAGGTTGAGAATGGTGAGATTCTGGGCTGTGCCGAATTGATTGGAGGTACGAGGGATCTCCAAGAGATGGTTCCGGACCACAGCGGTAACAAGTGGTGCAAGTCTCATGCGGTCCAAATGCACATGCATCTCAGCATTTGGGATTGATACGTCTATGGAGCCAGCAACAAGACACGAAAAGCGAAAAGCGAAAAGCGAAAAGAAAGACGATGGGTCGGCCTGGCGTGGGACTGAGACTGAACAGCACTCGATCAATCCACGCACCTGTACCACAGTTTCCACCTCTTGGAATGATAAGGACAGAATCCACGAACAAACCCTCTTATCGACAGAGTACAGCTCAGCACATCCCCCCTATTATTATGGAGCCCTTGGTGCCCGAACGGCAGTCGGAACGCATTCACGACTTCAGAACAGAGAGTCAGTATCGAAGCGGTCAAAGCAACAAGAGACTAAACGGGGACCCAGACACGCCAGTCTAATTAGCGAGGCCAGGAAGACGCAATTCCCATTAGTCACACTCTCCACCGCACACCGAGTGACAATTGCTTGTGGGATACAAGAAGCCGTCCGTCTTCCCTTTCTTCCATCCCCCTCGACACCACACAATATACAAATCTACGCCCTACAAAGCTGTTTGGAACGCGAGTCTGATCACCACCCGGCTGTGATCTATTCTCATTCCTCTTCTACACACAGGGATCACCACCGAGTGATCCGCCCAACCGCCAAGACGTTTTCGAATTTGTTGCCCTCGTAAGTACCGACCATGCTGCCTCTACCCTGTCCAGTCTTGCAGTGCTGGTACCTGCATCCAACCCCTGTCCATGCATTTCTTCTCGCATCTTCAATCTGGCGGTACCTGGCGTCAATCTCGTGTCAGGTCTATCGTACCTCTGGTCATGCAGTTGACCGCGGGTGGTACCTTGATGTATCCCCTTTACCACCGCAATCGTCCTTGGACGTCGACGTTGGATGCCGCTCGTTCTATTGACAATTTGGTCTTGTCTTCATATTCTTTCCTCTTCGGACCGCTCTTGCAAAATGCGCGCTCACTCACAAACCACTTTTAAGGTGCCATCACCCGTTCAACGGTAGCCGACGCTCTTCCCCTCCTGGAGGAGCATCGGATTTAATACAGACCCGATAAATTCGCCATTTATCAGAGAAACCGCTGCCACTTTTAAACTATTCGTCAAGCTCATTCAGTCACTTCTCTCGAGCTCAATATGGCACCACACGCGGAAATCGGCGTCGGCACCATGAACGGGTATAGCAACAGTCACGCCTCGGACTCGGCTCAATCGCACAAGGATCTTTTCACGGTCGACTCTCCCAACGTTACGTATACTGACGAACACATCAAGAGCAAGTATGTCTACCGCACCACAGCAGTCACCAAGTCTGCCGATGGGAAGTACACGGCAACGCCCAAGGAAACCGTCTATGACTTCAAAGTCGACCGTAAAGTGCCCAAGGTCGGTGTGATGCTGGTGGGATGGGGCGGCAACAATGGCTCCACTGTCACTGCCGGCATCATCGCCAACCGTCGTGGACTTGTCTGGGACACTCGTGAAGGGAGTCGTGCTGCCAACTACTACGGCTCCATCATCATGGGCTCAACCATCAAACTCGGGGCTGACGCCAAAACCAACGAAGAGATCAACATCCCTTTCCATGACGTCTTGCCCATGGTTCACCCGAACGACCTTGTGGTTGGTGGCTGGGATATCAGCAGCCTGAACCTGGCCGCCGCAATGGACCGTGCTCAGGTCCTTGAACCAACCCTCAAGGCCATGGTGTACAAGGAGATGGCTCTCATGAAGCCGCTGCCCAGTATCTACTACCCAGATTTCATTGCTGCCAACCAGGAAGATCGTGCGGACAACATCCTGCCGGGAAGCAAGGCCAGCATGGCCCATGTTGACCGGATCAGGGCGGACATTAGGTGCGACAGCCTGCTCGTCACCCAAGATATTGAGAGATGCTAAACTTTGTACAGGGACTTCAAGGCTCAGAACAACCTTGACAAGGTCATTGTTCTCTGGACTGCCAACACTGAGCGCTACGCCGACATCATTGCCGGCGTCAACGACACCGCCGAGAACTTGCTGAAAGCGATTGAGCAAGGCCATGAGGAAGTGTCGCCCTCGACAGTCTTCTCCGTGGCGTGCATCCTTGAAAAGACGCCTTTCATCAATGGCTCCCCTCAGAACACCTTTGTTCCTGGTGCCATCCAGCTCGCTGAGAAGCACGACTCGTACATTGGAGGTGATGACTTCAAGTCGGGTCAGACCAAGATGAAGTCGGCATTGGTCGATTTCTTGATCAACGCTGGTATCAAACTGACGTCGATTGCAAGCTACAACCACCTGGGCAACAACGACGGCAAGAACTTGAGCTCTCAGAAACAGTTCCGTTCCAAAGAGATTTCCAAGTCCAATGTCGTCGACGACATGGTAGCAGCCAACAGCGTCTTGTACGAGAAGGATGAGCACCCAGACCACACCGTTGTTATCAAGTACATGCCCGCCGTCGGAGACAACAAGCGAGCCTTGGACGAGTACTATGCCGAGATCTTCATGGGTGGCCACCAAACCATCAGCATTTTCAATGTCTGCGAGGATTCCCTGTTGGCCTCGCCCTTGATCATCGACCTTGTCCTCGTCGCCGAGATGATGACCCGCATCCAGTGGAAGACTGAAGTTGCCGCGGAATACAAGGGCTTCCACAGCGTCCTGAGCATTCTCAGCTACATGTTGAAGGTAAGGCCGGAACATCTCTTCATGTTGAAATCTCACTAACGTGACTCTCCCAGGCACCTCTCACGCCCCCTGGAACCCCCGTAGTCAACGCCCTGGCCAAACAGCGCAGCGCCCTGACCAACATCTTCCGGGCCTGTGTCGGTCTGCAACCCGAGTCCGACATGACGCTCGAGCACAAGCTGTTCTGAGGCCCCCCCGGCTCAGGCAGCGCACTCTCTCCGACCCTAATGTGCAGGTAATGGCAAAGAAAATAGCAGGACTTACGAAGCCGCTCGGCCGCTCTCGGCATATGATGCGATGGGGGTGGCTAGACTGCTTTTTTTTCCCTTTGCATTGCGAAATGGCGAGATACCAAAAGGGTCGGGCTCTCTCTGTCTTTCTCTTTTGGGTCACCTGGACTGCACAGATTTGTTTTGTCCGAAGTACACTGTTGTTTGTACTTGTACTGTCGTTCCCGCTTCCCCTACTTCCCCCCTTCGACTCGACTCGACTCGACGCGGAGGTGTCCAACTCACTTGTCGCTCCTTTAGTTGATCCAGCTACATAGTATAGCCTTTGCAACACAAGGACATATTACTCCCCCAACTTCTTCCTCTATTCTCAATCGGCAAGGTTCCGGGCACCGGGCCTCTGTGCGTAGCGTACCACGTAACGTAATCGACTGTATTCGTACATCCCACTCCCGCGCACACACAGACATGGTGGATAGGAGCGGTAATGTATAAAGGGTGCATACATACATAGGTAGGGTATAGCGTATAGGGTATACGTCTCAGGAGAAACCGCCACGCGCGAGACCGTACAAGGTGCCCACGCCAGCTTTGACCCCATCGACGATATAGACCTCCCTGCCCCTTTTGTCGCCTAGGGCTTCGACGCAGGCCGTGCGCACCGCCGAGTCCAGACCCACCATGCCCGCGCAGCCGAGACAGATGGCCTGGACGCGCGAGACGAGGCGGTTCTCGTCGTCGCCATCGCCATCGGTATTGGCTCCGCGCAGGAGAAGGCGCTTGGTGGCGTCCATCATCTTCCTGCGGACTTCCTGGGCAGGGAGGTCGTGGAGCTCGCTCGCGTTGAGACCCGTGGTTTCGCACCCGACAAAGGGCGACGTCCTCGTCGTCGTGGTGGGACAGCCGAGAAACTCCTCGACCGCGGTCTGCAGGGCCTCCTCCCAGACTTTTCCGGTCGAGACGATCCCGAACGCCGGTCTCGAACCGTCGCCTCCAGCCGTACGAGCAGTGCCGGCGGCGCTGCTCCTCGCAGAAGTCCCGTCGTCAGGTACAGATTCGGGGACGGAGTCGCGCAACAAGGCCAGACTCGCCAGCACGCTCGCCTCGAAGATCCCCGTGACGTATTTCCTCGCCCCGGACCCTTCGGGCCCTTGCGTCGCCGCGGCCGCGACGGCCGCACACTCGGCCTTGAGGCGCGCGACCAGCGGGTGCTGGCTGTAGCACGCGACGAGGAAGCAGTCGTGGTGCGGGACGAGGGGGAGCAGATGCGGGAGGCAGATGTCGGCCGACCGCGCCGCGTCGGCGGGCGAGTTGATGCTCGGGATGCCCGGCGTGGGAGACGTGAAGAACGTGTATTGCACGCCTGAAATCCCCAGGCCCTGCACGACGGGTTTCAGCGCGTCGGTCATGGGCTGCGACGTGTTGGGGTTGATGATCAGGATGCGCACGGGCGGCGGCGGTGTTGATGTTGACGATGTTGCTGCTTCGTCTATTTCCGTCATCGTGTTATGGAGTTGGTGTGTGTGTGTGTGTGTGTGTGTGTGTGTGTATTTTATTTCTTCCTTTTTATCCCCCTCTCTCTGCACCCTGTCTCTGTGTGTATGTGTGTGTTGGAGTTAATGAAATCGGGAAAAAGTCGCAGGTGGGCGCAGGTGGCAGTTTTGATTCTTTTTACCGACTTGTTCCAAGATTCAATGCGGGGAGAGGGGGCCCTCCTTATCTTATCGCCCGATAAGAGATAAGGCGAGAAGGCGAGGAGGATATCCGGACCCTCGACCCCTTGACACTCGGACATGAATATGCATACTGAGTAAATAGATACTTGACATGTCCTCATTTGACGCTGTGCAATGGCATCTCTCTGAATCCTACAGACTGAGGAGCTTCCTCTGTCATGCTTCTCTTTCATTGTGGCTGAATTAACGCCAAATGTCCGTGTTCCACCATCTTTTTCATAACTTCTTCGCCGAAGCGTGAATATGCTTCTGGGCCCTGCCTCTTGCTCTTGCTGGTGTCACCCTGTTTATTGAACCATCATCGTCCACTCGAAGGCGTCACGGAGATAACCAGCTGATCCTTCCCTCCTCGACAGATATCTCTGAGATTCTGCTGTCTCCCTTCGTCAGAAACAGTAACCTCCTGGAGACGTCCCAGCCGGGTGACACTTCATCTCAGCTCAGTCATCTCTGAGTTCATTGTCCTGACAGACAGGAGCCTAAGTTGACGAATATCGGACGGCTTTCGAAAGTCCACCTTTCGTCAGGACGGATGCTGTTCCAGAACGGCCGAGTACTGGTCTTTCAAGGAGTCTACCGAAGATTTCTCTGCGCAGCACTGCTTGTATATTCTTGCATTCCGCAACATGAGACTGTCTCTAGTTGAGTCCAGCAGGTGACTTGGCCAGAGCCAGCCAACACTCCAACAGTCTCGAAATATTGAGAGCTGTCTGTATTGTTCAACATCCGAGCCTCGTTCTCGACCTTCACACAAGCTTGGTCTCGGCTGCATCGTCGAATTGGTCGGGCGCTTTATCATCGATATTCGGGGCGGCTCTTGTAGGTGTCTTGAACAGTCGCTGTCCGCCCGTGATGAGATCTCTAAGGGTGGCGTAAACGACGAGTATCCAAAGCAGGAATACGCAGACCGAGGTTATCTGTGGTTGCAACGATCAGCCAGGTGACACGAAAAAGGTACGAGAGCATTACAGATCCAATGACGCGGAAAAACTTGGAGGGTATCTCTTTTGCGAGTGTATTGCTCGAGAGTGCAAAGGTGCCGATCGGAAAGGTGAACCTGTCCACTGTGAGTCGCCAAACTGCTTGACCGGGCGTGTCCTTGGGACGAAACCTACCCCCACCAGCCCATATTGAATGGAAAGTGCTTGCAGTGGTATATTGTTGCAACGGCAAGAAAAAGCCACAGCAAGGTGAACCCCCACAGGACCAATGATAGAAGCACTCCCAAATTGTACGCCAGATCTCCGGCCAGAGGGTGGATAGTCTTGGTCGAAGCGAACACTCTCATCGCGACGCTTCCGAGCTTCATGATTGCAAATGCGCCCATGTTCAAAGGACCCAGGGGAATGAAACAAGAAACAATGACCTCGCGCGGCGGGAGTTTGTGGATGGTCAGACGCTGCCAATAGATGACGAGGATAAATATTGCAGACGGAACGCCTACGCCCCAAAGCACATAGCCGATGATGACGGTGGCCAAAGCCTGCTCGTCGTTGGGTAAGACATCTGCAACCAATGCCGCGGTGGCGGATGCGACCACGGTTCCGATGACGGGGAACATCTGCAGTGCGGTAAATGTCGACAGGGGAGTCTCTTCCTGCCGTTTGATGACAAGCAGGAAGGGTAGGAACAAGGCACACAGCAGTGAGATGGCTGCATCGGCCATCCATAGCCTGAGCTGGTCAGCGAAAGGCTCTGTGCAAAATTGAGAGGCAGCACTCACCCCCATGAAAGGTAAATGACCCATCTGCCCCACGAAGGAGCGCACACAAACACCATCATGTTGACGATAGTCCCGAGACTCTGTATGGCCATGTCAGCGCAGTCTCCAGAAAGGCAGCCGGGGACACCCACCACTGGTATACTACTCAGAAAGAATGCCTGGTTGGGCCGCTCGACTATAGTGATCCAGACCTTGGGAAACAGAACCAGCTGGAGAACGGACACGAAGATGAAGAAGGCGAAGAGACCAATGTTCAGGCAGAGTACAATGACCGAGAGCCAATACAACCATCTTGCGTTGTATGGGAATTGATTGAGGAGGCTCGCCACGACCTTGTGGTGTCCTGGAATCAGCCGTTGTGTCAAAAGCAGATGAGACGAGTTCCTCGCCGGCTTCTGGATAGAAGGACAGGACCAGGAATTCGCATCAACTTGGTGAGTGGAAAGGCACTTACACCAGTGCCCATGGTCACCGTGAACCAGCTGCGTAAGCGCCGTCAACACGCAGCCCTCGACCTTTGAAGAGAGTTGGACGTACGACGGCGTGAAGTACTTGACATATTTCCTCCATCCCAGCTCACCCTTTTTCCGAAGCTCCAGAGCCATCTGTTTGCCATCCTGCGTCGATAAACGAGAAGCTGGTGGAAGAGAGGTAACTTCAGGGCCGTCCCCCAGAGCCGGGTTCCAACATGCGATGTCGCCATCTTCGGCGGTCCCTCCACTCAGGGTCTTTTGTAGGGAAACGGCAGCATTAGTGACAAGTCTGGTCAGCGTCCTGGGGCGAGTCGGTCGAGACGGAGCTTCAGGCATTGCCCTTTTTGTGGAGGAAGGGAGCGGACCTGGGAGTAAATGTGTGTCACGGAATGCTGCGTGTGACGTGGAGGGACAGGGGCGGCGGAGATTTTTGCTAAGATTGATATGCTTTCTCCGCGGTACATGAGAGCTGCACGGCCTCTGGAAGATGGGCACAGATCACCTCGTTCGCCCGAATATCCTTTATTGTACCACTGCTATAGCCTTGTAGACATCGCTCCGTCAACGGAATGTTAGTGAGATTGCGGATGGGTAGATGGAAGTGATGGAGAAGGAGAGAGTCAGAGAAGGCCACACGGAAGACAGCAGCGAGGTTGAAGTTATTATTATTTTTTGAATCTGGACCAAAGCGGGATCATGCGGCATGATGGAGCGAAGCGGGATTGGCGAGCTGAGGCCCAGCAAGGTTCTTCAGGTGTACTAATATTGACTGGTCGAAATCTGGAAGGAGACGAATACCCGATACAGCTTGAGGCTGGAGCGCGGGAGATGAGAAACGCAGGGTTGGATGGCGAATGGTGGATGGTGGACGGGAGGCTGATGCGCAGTTGGTGAAAGTGTGGCTGCGTCCCCATGGCGCATGCAGCTTACGAAATCGATACGAGACACAGATTCTGCATTATCCCTACTCCACTCGACATCCTTGACACACTCATCCTCAAATATGAATCGCAAGGTAGCAAGGGACTAACTAGGAGAAGCCATATTGACATTGAGAGAAAGAAAACCCTCCAAAAGTGGCGGCTCTGTCCGCCAAATTTCCCTCCAACCTGTGTCGGATTGTAAAGACGATAGATATCAGGCTGCTCCTCGATGCACTTCTCTGCTCTGATTCCTCTCCCGCGTTGATCCTCGTGTTCTCAACCGCTGATCCCTCTTCCGCCCACCAAGATGTCTTGACCGAAAAGCGCTGAAAAATGATCCAAGCCCAAACGGAAAAGTACTGACGCCTGCAAACGCTAGACCCAGCGTGGAGATCTCGTCTCTTTGCATGACCATGTCGGAACGCCATCTAACGAACCGCACAGCTCTTCGGCGGTCCGCTGATATCTGGTTCAAGCACCGAGGTATGCGGCTCTGGTTGGTTTTTGGGGTCGGCTCCTGCCAATAGGTGTTTTGGGGGTTGCTCGTGCTGTTGCAGATACCGAAATCTACAACTGCGACAGGAGGGTTCAAGGGACGAACAGTCGACCTCTGCCGCGGGTCGATCCACGTTCGAACGTATTGCTGTAGCCGCGGTTCAAGTTCGACCCTCGACCCCCTCCACGGCCGTAGTTTCGATGGGTCCCCCGACCACTGTTGAACTGATGTGGAACATGGTTGCTCGTATTGACGAGCGGTGTACTGCCTCGCGCGAAGCTGCCGCGGTCAAAGGAATCGGGGTCGATCTCTTCCACAGGAATCTGTGGCTTGTTCTGCACCGCCTGCGCAGGGGTGCTAAAGGAGGTTCGGGGAGACCGTGTATTTCCTCCTCGGCTGCGGACGCTTCCTGCGACAGCGCCTCGCGACGATTGAGCTCCGCGGGTCGAGCCTCGACCTCTTGGTTTAAAGACGACCTCTTCCTCGTCACTCTCAACGTCATCATAGCTGAAAAGGGTCTTCAGCTCGGAGTTGGACACTCGCTTCGCCTTGTCCTTCTTGGAATTGTCTGGCGCGGGTGATTCTTTCTCTCCCAAGCCAAGCGCACTCCTCAATTGGTGGATATTCTTAGTCGGTATACCAAAATCCCGGGCAAGGTGCATAGTATCAGCCGAGTTGGTCAGGAAGATAAGGCCTTCATCGGCAGGGGCCTTCTTCTCGTGTACATACCAGACGACAGGGTTCAGAAGAGATTTGAGCGATGGTGGGACGGGTGTTTGATCGTGGCCAATGATGGTGGCAGACTTGACCTCAGGGCTGGTCTTAGAGCTCTGCGGTCCAGAAGAAGAGGGGGACAACGGTGGTGTAGAGCCGGGCGACATGTTTACAGGTTCTTTGGCAAAATTGAGTTTGTCCAAGAGGACCTGCGACAACGGGCCTGCGACCCCCGCGCTGACTTTGAAGGGGATTTCCGAGTCCTTCTCCTGTTTGTTGTCCATGATTGGGATCGAGTCCTCTCCTTCGTGCATCCCAGCAGTCTTCATGCTTTCATTCGTGTAGTGTGCCTCCACCTCAGCCCATGTAGGGTATTGGTCGTCGGGACCTTGGAGGATGACAGGATCGTGCCGTAAATCGCCGCGAGACGAAGTGCTGCGGTCGAGAAACTTGACTGCTTTGCGCGCACTGATGCCAATCTGTGAAGAATCCTTCTTCAGAACATTCAGGCGAGAAAGCGCTGAAGCCGATTAGCGGGACACGAAGAATTTGCGACACACGGGCAGCCATACTGTACAAGGGCACAACAAGAATGATGAGGCCCTGCGAAACCCAGCTCTCAATCTCCTCGAGACTTCTGGTCAAGGCCGTGTCGTCTACAAGACAACGGATGACATTGTTTTTTGACATTTTCATGGTTTGCCGCTGGTGAATCTGTATTGGATCGGGGTGACGATGTGTGGGTTATAGGGCGAAAAATTGACGATTCATCGGCGCAAACTTTGGAAGGTGCGGTAGCCAGGCGCTACAACTGTATACTTCCAGTCATCGGTCAGCGAGGTGAAATTCCACGAAGAGATTATGGCAGGGAGTTCAGGGCATGGCAGTCAAGGCGCAGGCAATACCGGGTGTGTTTGTGGTGGAGAGCAAGCAGTAAGGATAGGTGCGCATCTTCGCTAGGAATAGTTTGACGCCGTGATGCGGCCACCGGTTGGTTTCATGTGAGGATGCATCGACAGGACAGGCTCGCGAAGTGAAGAAGAGTCCAACTTCGCGTGAAGAGTAAGAAGATGAAGTAGTTGTTGTTGTGCGGTGGGTGGTAGTGGAGTGGGAATCAAGAGGATCGGAGGTTGGACTTGCGCGGGAAGCGGGACGCAGTCAAGCAACAAGCACCCGATCAAAACTGCGGGTGAGCGAATCAGCCCTGGATTCTGACCATCTCCGCCCTCGTGTCGCCCAACGGCGCAGCTTGAACTTGAATTTAGCCCCGAGCACACCACAGGGTCCTCAGATTCTCAGTCTCTGAAAAGAGTCTACTAGGTCCTCGCTCTATGGAAACGCCTCTAAAATACCGTCAGACAGCTCACGGTGTCATTCTTGAGGACCTCAAACAGCATCCCCGGAAATCCAAACAACTCCGTGTTGCTCATCACCCCTCCAACGTCTGCTGTACTATGGCTGTCGGCCTTCTCTCGAGTTGGGCTTTCCTCGAGGTCACCCAGCAGCTCTATTGAGCTCTCTGGACTCTCTCCCCACCCCCGGTTGAGAACCATGCCTCGCTGCATTTGCTTCTCCTCGTCCTCGTCCTTGTAAGTGTCATGCCACACCTCCTTCAATGCTTGAGATATCTCGGAGAATGTCATTTCTGACGTTAGGACGGACTCTCGGCCTTCTCCACGAGTCCGTATTACCCACCGACTTCTTCGATGACGATTGAAGGCGAACGAACCCGGTATATTGCCGTGTAAGAAGATCTTGGTGGCGACCAGTTGCGCGCTGGAAGAGGCAGGACTCTCACTGGGTGCTGAATCGGGAAAAGGTATTGATCTTGTGGCTGGGGATGATATCAGGATGTCAAATCCATGCTTAAAGTAGTTGTAGAAACACTCATCACCCGACGAACCCACCCTATCTTCCTCCACGTCGGGTTCGAAATCTGACTCTTCGGTATAGCTTTGGACTGAAGACTGGTCTGTGTCCAATGCCTGAGGGTCGAGTCCCGGGGACATGCTAGGCCGCCGCCGGTTCGCAGGGTTGCCGGCGGCATGGATGGAGATTCGCCTGTCATTTTTACGATATATGGCTTCAGGCGGCCCCAGCTCTGCCACGAGATCTTGTGGCGTTGTTTCACTCAATGCGATCACCATAGGGGGAGAGCCCCTCCGGAGTAATTCCAGCCTGCCACCCCCGAACACTCTGACCTCTTCAATCTCGTCTGGGACCGTCTCAACGGACTTGCCAACCAGCGTTGGCGAACGAGGATATGTTGGAGGCCTCGTGTACAGGTTTGATCTTGCCTCTGTCCACGAGGATCCTGAGAAGACGGCCATAGACTTTGCCGGTCCAGTTGCATTGGACGACAAAATCGACACAAAATCAACCTTCTCAGACCAGGATTTGTGTTTCACGGGAAATGTGAATGCCAGTCCTGGATACGAGAGTACATAAGTACCATCTGAAACGCCGGGAGCCGGAGCAATATATTCGCCGGCGTATGTTGGTCCAAAGAGACGATTGTAGACATGTCGAAACGTTGGCCCAGTGGAAGAGCCTTCGTCTTGGCCGATCTCGTCCGAACCCTTAATTCGGCGGACCAGATCTGTATTCTTATAAACAAAGGAGCTCAGCGAGAAGTCCAAAACTTCGATTAGCCGCAGACGCTGGTCTGGGCCATCGAACCGAAGCCTCAGCCCGTTATAAGGAAGGCTAAGAACGACTGGTTGCGTGATTGGCTCTGTAGCGGAATAGGACAAATCGAGCTTTGGATAGAGTTGCGGTGACGCTTTCAGCCTTGTAATTATACTGTAGATAGAAGATCCAAGAGCTGATACGATTAGCATCAATAACTCCAAGGAAGGATATACACGTACTTATCCAACTGATGCCCCTTTCTGGCTGGATCTGAAAAGCAGCCTTGGAGGCGGTTTCCGTCATGACGAAGGTAGCATGCCGGGACAGAAGAGGAACGACGGTAAGTTGCCCGCCGAGGGAAGGTCTTTGTGATATTTAACCTGATGACCACATCAAACAAGAATAGAAGACAAGTCACAAGGGAGTCAGAACAAGTGCCACACGAGGTTAGGTCGGGCCAGCGCATGGACCAATCAGGAGCTAGTACCACGAGGGCCTTATCACGTGCTAGCCTTGCCGCTTTAGCGCCTTGGCATTGTTTACATTCCGTCCTGTTTCGTTTTGCTGGCTGAGGGAAGCATCGCTCCGCCAAACTCGTATCCTTGTTCCCTAACCCCGGTACCTTGTTATATGGCGAAGTAGACCCAGATGCAGTTCCCGCACCCTCAATAACACTCCATCTACTATCACCCGCCACTACTGCGCCAACATGTCAGGATCACACCGTCCTGGATATTCTTCCAGCAGAACCTCAATGCGCCCTCCACCGAGACCGCATGGCGCCCACTATCCCTCGATAACTGGCCGAGCGCCATCCCCAGCAGAGTCACTGTCCTCAAGCGGTGCTTCTAACGCAGGCACTAAAAGAAAAGAGAGGGATTTTGATCAGGACCATGGCGAGGAGACAAACATCCACGTCGTGGTGCGATGTCGGGGTCGAAGCGCGAGAGAAGTTCGAGAAAACAGCGGGGTGGTGGTATCAACAAGCGGAGTAAGAGGAAAGACTGTTGAATTGTCAATGGGACCCAATGCAATCAGCAACAAGACCTTCTACTTCGACAAGGTGTTCTCTCCTGCGGCAGACCAGACGATCATTTTCGACGACGTCGTAGCGCCCATATTGAACGAAATGCTGACGGGATTCAACTGCACAATATTTGCCTATGGCCAAACGGGAACGGGCAAGACATACACCATGTCAGGTGACATGACAGATACGCTTGGACTGTTGTCTGATGCGGCCGGCATCATTCCTCGAGTACTGTACTCATTGTTTCAGAAACTGGAAGCAGATGAGGTCGAATGTTCAGTGAAATGCTCATTCATCGAGCTCTACAACGAGGAATTGAGAGATTTGCTATCGCCGGACGATTCTGCCAAGCTAAAAATCTTCGACGACGCAAGCAGGAAGAGCCACTCCGCCACAGTGGTCCAAGGCATGGAAGAATCGCATATCCAAAATGCCGCAGCTGGCATCAAGCTACTGCGGGAGGGCAGCCACAGGCGTCAAGTGGCAGCCACCAAATGCAACGACCTCAGCTCTCGTAGCCACACAGTCTTCACCATTACCACCTATGTGAAGAAACCCAACAACACAGGCGAAGACTATATCTGCTCCGGGAAACTTAACCTTGTTGATTTGGCTGGGAGTGAAAACATCCAAAGAAGTGGCGCGGAGAACAAAAGAGCCGCCGAAGCCGGACTCATCAACAAGAGCTTATTGACACTTGGAAGAGTGATCAATGCCCTAGTGGACAAAAGCTCGCATATCCCTTACCGAGAATCGAAGTTGACAAGACTGCTGCAAGACTCGCTAGGTGGAAGAACAAAGACATGTATCATAGCCACAGTTTCGCCAGCAAAGAGCAATCTCGAGGAGACGATTTCGACCCTGGATTATGCGTTCCGTGCGAAGAATATTCGCAACAAACCGCAGGTCAATTCGATGATATCCAAGAAAACTTTGCTGAAAGAGTTCACCACCGAGATTGAAAAGCTCAAGAGCGAATTGATTGCCACAAGACAGCGTAACGGCGTCTATCTCACCAATGAGCAGTATGAGGAGATCACGGTCGAGAGTGAATCCAGGAGGATACTGAGCGAGGAACAAAAGGCTCGGATCGAAACGATGGAAGTCAGTTTGCGCAACAAAGTCCAAGAGCTCTTCAGCCTGACCAACAACTTCACAATGCTGAAACGAGACAACGAAGGGACTCGGGCGACCCTGGAGAGCACAAAAGACGTGCTTGAAAAGACCGAAGCTGTTCTTACAGACACAGCAAGGCTGCTCGAGGATGAAACTGCTCTTCGCGAAGCACATGAACTGACGGAGGAGAAACTGCTCGGAATTGGGACAGAGCTGGTCTCGACTGTGGGTAACTCTCTGAAGGATATCGATGGTCTACAAGCTAAACTCAGACGGCGCTCTCTCCTTCACAACCAGAACCGCGAGGCGTGGGACTCTTCTCTAACTCGGGTCATTGACGTCTGTGGCCTGGTTGACGAACGCATCGGAAGCTTTCAAGCAGCACATGCAGAAGCCGCCGCCGTAAGCTCTCGTCGCATCAAGTCCTTTATAGCAGCCGAGATGGCGCACATGGAGACTTCTGCACAACTATCTAGGGAGAAGTCGTCCCAGCTGGCCGAAGACTGCGCTGGTGTCGAAAACCAGTCATCGCAGGCCAGAGATTCGATGAATAACGTTCTCGAGGAGATCAAAGATCTACGTGAGAATGTCAGGGACAACCTAAGCGAGGGTCTCCAAGGTCTTTCCCAAGCAGCTGCGAAGATATCCGCGGAAGTGATTTCGGAGCTTGAGCAATTCCATACTCAGTTGCATTCGTCTTACAGCGGGCTGGGGAAAGACTTTAAAGCGATGTTCGATGACCTTACCAGACAACTGGCGGGCCAGCGAGAGGAAATCGAAACCTTGTCATCGGCGCTCCAAGCGGCCAGTCGCACAAGCATCGAGGCATCGCTGTCGGCCTCGACCCAGCTCGAAGCCATCAGGGACGAAGAGAGAAGGGCTGCTGCGGAGGAGAAAGAAAAGCTCAAGGAGCAGATCATGAAGCTGGTTGACTCGTCACATCAACAGCAAGAACAGAGACTGTCTAGCAGACTGAATAATGTTCAGTCACACCTCGTTGAGGCGACAGAACAGTTCGAAAGTGCTGACAAGTCGTATCGTGAGGGAATAGACAAGTGGACCGCTCAAGGCGACGAACTCATGGCGCAGGTCGTCACGTCAAAGGACGAACTGAAGACTAAGATTAAGGGCGATTGGACGGTATGTACAACACGACTTGGTCATGGGTACAGACTAACATCTCGCAGGCAGTTAGTACGCGCAACTTGGCCATCCAGAAATCCACCAAGGCCGTCCACGAAGAAACGGTCAAGATCGTCGACGCTCAACTTACGCAAATGTCGACCCAAATGGGGGCTCTGGACGAATTTGTGACGCGGGCTCGACTGCAGAACGACAGTCATCATACTGAACGCTTACAATGCTTGAACAAGGCTGTATCGCGTGCTCAGGATGGTCTCAGCAGTCTTGAGAAGGAGTCGGAGCAGCGCCGTGAGATATTTAATCACTTTGCACAGGAACAGGAGACACATCGAGGAGAGCTCGAAAAACTCGTGGGATCATTGGAGGCAGAGACCAGGCGTCCTCTCCAGAACATAAAGGCAGAACTCTCAGAAGCAACTTTGATCGAGTACATTCCAACTGGAGAGACGCCACAAAAGAGGGAGTGGAATTACCCGACATCCCTGCCACGAACCGAAAATCACGAAGCTATCATTGCTAGGCTGAGGGGCTTGCCTGACCCTCCTCTGATTGTCAAGACGCCTACATCAACAAAGACGCCTGGCCCTTCGCCGAGGAAGCAAGCATCCCCGCGCAAGGGGCCAGCATCGCCTTCGAAGCTGCCGAGTCCGAGCAAAACCAAGGTCTTTACGGATGTTCAGAATCCCACAATCCAGGCATCTTCTATTACATCGCTACCTCAAACACAAGGCGCCGCCAGTGGGGTTCCCCCCACTGAGCCGAAATGTGGGCTGAAGGAAGTCGACATCAACGTGATTAACAGTAATCGAGCGACAGTGTCGTCGTCGACATCTATGACATTGTCCAACATTGACGAAAAGCCAGTGCTGCTTGACTTTAGCAAGAGCGTTGGTAGCGGAAGTCAACAGCCACCACTCAAAAGGCATGCGACGACGAATGCCGTTGTCGAGAGCAGATTGCCTACTGTGAAGCCGGGCAGAGTGACGAGGAGTACAATGGCTGGGTTAACAGGGATAGGGATGGGTGGCGTGGAGAATTTAAGTCAGAGCATCGGGCCGATGGGCGGAGGCAGGAGGCTGAGAAGCAGTCCCTCCAGCTAGACACCCATGGCTGTGGCAGAGGGTGTTGTCTTTTGGTTAATACGACGGATGGAAGTTTTTTGCACTGCGGCGGTGGTCACTTGGGGAGTTTTGGAGACATGTTGGCGGATCCTGATGAATCGAATCACATTGCGTTTTGTTAGAGATACCCCCGTCAGTTGGCCGTTGTTTTGTCGCTGTTTTTGGGCGGGTTGATATCAGGGATGGATTGAGGATACGTGGAATGGGTCTCGTGGGGACTTGGGAGGTCCTGGATGAGCGAGAAGGAAATCAGTACCGGGAACGTTATGGCTGGGCTCAACTACAAGCACGTCGTACGTACCTCGTTCTTGTTGTATCTGATCCCAAAGTCGATAGACCTGTCGACACCAAGCCACGCTTTCCACGTCGCGACCATCGAGTCTGTATGTAGCAGCCGAGATTGGCCAGGCCCGGCATAGGCTTGTTGTCGAGTCGGTAGAGGTACGAGGGAGGGGGAGACCCTCTCACCTGTCGGATCCTGTGTGATGAGCCAGGAGTAGGAGTATGGGGAACGTGGACGTCAGCGGTTCTACCAAGATACAAAAGGTTGTGTGGGAGCATTGGCATTGGGTTTACGCAGACCACAGACTCCACTATGGGGACGGGGGAGGTTCTTAGTCTGGAGAGATACCTACTTTGTAGCTAAGAGAGACAGTTTCGATGAAATGCCTCAGACCTGTTGAAAAGCGAGGTCAGGAGGACAACTCATCTCTGTGTTGGTGTGCCGGTATTTCTTGCAGGGTGGAACGCAGAAAGAAACCTTCCCCCCCCCCCCCCCCTTTCCCGGCCTCCTTTCCCCGCCTCTCTCTTCATTAACTAGAGATAAACCAGGATGATACAGACGCTACCAAGACAACCAAGTCAATACGATGCTCTACGCCGCTTTGGTTTCGCTTTCTCCTTCTTTCCGGGCTCCCATTCCGGCTTTTTGAGCGCCTCCAAAAGTATTCTTCCTCTCCTGGTTCGATCGAGTAGATAGTGCACAGTCTGGGGGAATGCCTTGCGATCGCGATGTCCCCCGCCTGCTTCCAAAAACTTGTCGCCCAGAATGGTGTTCATGTCGCGAACGACCGTAGGCATCGACACAGCGTGGAGCTTATCACGCAGCTGGTATTCCAGGGACTGTAGCAGAGCCCGGGTCATCCAATTTGCAGTTGCGACGTCCCAGCCGCAAGCCCCAATCAGCTCCTTGCGGTAAGGATTGAGTTTCTCATCGCTTTCCTGGATTTTCGCTGTATAGTCGCCCATCTCGACACCTTGCCACGCCCTACCCACGGTAGCAAGTCCCGCATTGCAGCAGTCAAGAATGACCAGCGTGTCGTTCTGTGCGTCCAAAATCTTGGTCCTGAGGCTTGGTTTTTGCTGGTCTTTATAATGCCACTTCACCCGGGCAACGGGCTGATATCTTTTCCTGGAAGTTTATCAGTCACACGGGAAGAGACTGTTTCCAATTCACCCACCACTCGTTGGTTATGTTCTTCCTAGTTCGATCATTGCCGATGGTGCAATTGGTGCAGCCGTTAGATCCAGCGCACTTGATGCACTGGGTAGCCTCAGCACTCTTGCTGTTGTTGGCGTTGGCAAGGTGCTCCAGGATCGATCTCATCGTGCGGCCCAGCTCATATGTATCGTCCGGAATGTTATGGCTGGGAGTTTAGTTAGAATCAAGGATTGATAGGGCATACTCTGGGCTCTGACCTGACGAATTCCAGTCCATCGGATGACACTCCGCCATGTCCGTGATAGTAAATGATGAGAAGTATATTTTTGTTCTTCTCTCTTGGCTTGCTCAAGAAGTTGTCCACCTCCTTGTGCAAGGCGCTCTCAGAGTTCTTCATAGGGGTATCAAACGTCTTGGCTTTATAGCCCAACTTTTTGAACGCATCTAGAAGCTGAATGGTCTCAGTGTTCAAGTCCTTCAGGTCGTGGTTTTCGAAGGTAAGCAGCAAGGCCTCGACACCGTCATATTTGCTCCGTTGAGGTTTCTTAATCTTCTTTCCCATCCTGTCGTTATATGAGGCATGTTTCTTCGCCTTCTTCTCCATCTTCTTCCCCGTCTTCTTCTCCGTCTTCTTCTCCTTCCCCTCCTCACTCTCCTCCTCACCTCCCACACACCGCTCTGGAGCGGGGTCTTGCGAACTTTGATCGCTCATGTTTCTGCACTTGTCAGCCTCCCCGACGTATTTTTGAAAGCAAAAAGCGAGGAAAGAGCTCGAGAGATGACGTGTGGGGTATACGTACGCTGAGGTAATGTATGTCGATTTGGAAATGAGCCGTGTATTCGAAGGGTTTTCGTGGGGGGGAAAGGACTGGGTGGGCCGAGCACAGCGGGTCAAGAAATATAGACGACATACATATTCCGAGGGTCCGCGCGCAGAGCCTCAATATTCCAGCATTTTGAGACCATTGGGCAGCAAGATCAAATGTCATTGGGGAGGGGGGGCGGGGAAATGCATGCGTCGTGAGTCAGCGAAGTGAAGCTGCAGTTACAGCAATCACATTTATGTGATAAGAGGCATCGACCAGGGGCCATCGGGAGCGAGCGCATGAGCGTATATGCGACAAGCGAAGTGTGATTCGTGAGTGGGATCGGTGCAGCGGGGTAGGGCAGCTTCTTTGACGGCTTCTCTTCATTGAGAGTGCAGCCAAGGGTGGTCCGGGGGGGTGGAAGGGGTTGACAAACCTGCTCAAAATGCGCCTATGCCTTGTAAAATGAGGCTCCTCGGCGAGGAAGGATGCAACCCAGAAAAAACGAGGCGGAAGTCATGGTGTCTTCTCCCCACCTTGGAGGAAGGAGCACATGGTATGTCAACACTGCTAACCCTCACGCCACTGAGATACAACGTACCCTGGACGAACCGAAGCCGCACCACCAGCACCAATGCAGGGCATCCATTTCAGACCGGAGAACACTTCGCGAAGTGTCCTTTCTGCCTCGTAGAGTTATCGACACATATTGCTTCAGGTGGGTGCGGAGGGAATGGACACTTTTTTCGTTGGAGATTGCTAGGAATGGAGATACAGATAGATTTTGACACAACAGATGAAGGAATAATCACTCTATCGACCTGCCAACAACAGCGGTTTTAGTAGCCGTTTGGACCAAGACCCCAGACCCCCCACACGAGACCGGTCCTGCCATAGACCGTATCCGACTGATCACCCCGTACAGAACGCACCAGACAGAGATGTTCACATTGGACCGAGCCAATGCACGGCACCAGCACGCACTGTAGCTTCTAGCCACCGGTTGCGAGGGGGGATTCATGTACAAGCGTGAGGGCAGGGGATCTGCCAGGTTTTGACGCCTTGTCCGAGACAGATTCCTGGCCAGAAGGCAGGTATGGACTGGACCACCGGTGTTTACTCGGGAGGTGCTCGGGCGTTCTCCTCGTGCTCGGGCCAGACCTCCTCGATACTCCATTACGCGTTAGACGAGCGCGGCCGTGCCCTCTTTTCCTGGACGAAGATGTAAAGGTATAAAGCGCAATTCGGGGCCAAATATAATGTATATACCTCCACACCTCGTAGAGACATGAACATGAATATGACTACGAACGAACGTCGAGATCGCGCGGCGAATGACGAGTATACATGTGGGGCACTAGCGATGTACTTCCCGTGTGTGATATTGCCTATTTGGGTATGACCCCCTTGAGCCTGACCCGCCTCGCCGCACAATCTATATCTGAGGAATCCCTCGCCCCTTCAGAGGTGCCGAGGACCCATGAACTGTCGTGGATCAGACTCGTACGTACGTATGTACGTAGGAATGAGCCAGTCGAGAAACGAGGATCAAAAGACTCGAGGACTGAGGACTGAAGAATTGAAAGAGTCGAGAGTCACGAGGAGCCTCGAGGGAGTATCAGCACGGACACCACGGATTTAAAGTACAAAAGTACAACATGGTGCAAGTGTACAAAGTAGTACAAATGTAAAGAGCGACGAAGCGCGAAATGAAGCATGAAGTACGAAACTCCATGGTCTAGAGAAGGAGGGGGGGGGGCCACAAAAACGGAGAGCATTTCAAGGACCAATAATAGACCGACAGCCCGACTGACAAATAGGACTCGAGGTCCAAAGAGAACAGGGCGAGGAGGGAGGAGAGAACGCCTTGGCTGGAGTCTGGCAGTCAAGCTCACAAGTGTACGAGTGTACGAGTTCTCAGACTTGGAACGATATACCTCGTGGTCTGGAGTGAATGAATCACGGGGTTTTTCTTTCTCAAGGGAAGAAAAAGAGGATGATCTGCCCACAGTGTGTACGAGAAGACCGCTGCTTTTCTCCTGGGGACCATTGTAACCAAACTAAATAAGTCGCCTTCGCTATCACGGTTGTCACATCCTATTCCTCTCCGCCGGCCACGGCAGCACCCACAGGTCCTGCGATGCCGCCCGCCTCGATTACCATCCTGATATCATCGAGACGTCGCTGGAACCGCTCAATCATGTCCTCCATGCTTTCTCTTTCCCTCTCCATCTCGGCGTCTCTGTCTCTGTCCCCGATGGCCTTGTCCTTATCCTTACCTCCCCCCAGATCGCCGGGTGTGTTTCCCCTCCCTTCAATCCTCAGCATCAGCCCTTCCCCATCTTCACTGGGCCCGTCCCCAATGGTCGGGGCGGCCGAGATGCTAGTCCGCAAAACCTGCCATTCCGCGCTGAGACTGTGTGCGGACGTCACCTCGTAGTTGAAGAAAGGACCAACACCTACACCGCCACCCGAAGAACCAGTACCTGCCGGGGTGGCGTCGTCTTGGTTCAGGGTGCGGAGCTGCGGATGCACGTCGAGAATTATATAGTGTTCACGCATATCCGCCGCGGGCGGGGGCAGGCGAGGCACGTTAATGCTGTCATCCTGACGATGAAGGCTGTGGTCTCCCGGGGGCCCGTGAAGCGCGTGTGTCTGATGGGCGTGTAAAAGTGGCCGTGTCTGTCGTCCCGATGTAGCAGCGCCTGATTCCCCCCGCTGCGTGGGATCCAAGATCTCCAGGCTCCTCAGCGCGGCCTCGGTGATGATGTCCGCGTCGTCGTCTGCAAAGATGTAATGCACCGTGGGGTGGTAGTGTTCGTTGGTGACGCTGTCCTCGATCAGGGTGAAGAAGGGCTGGAAGGACGGAATCGGCAACTCCCCCGGGTGGGCAGACGCGGATGCCAGGCCATGGCTGTAGTAGTGTTCCGACTCGGCCACGGCGTGCTCAGAGTACTCGGGGTTGTGGAGGGTGAGGCTCGGTCGGTGTCTGAGTTTGGCCGGTTGATGAGACGCGACGATCGGGTCGTCTTCGAAAGGCGGCGAGGGTAGGAGGCTACGAGTACTTGGAGTTGTCGTCGTTGTAGTAGAGGACGGCTGCTGTTGCGGTTGAGATGGAGGAGGAAGAGGACCGCTACCACCACTACCGCCGCCGCCACTTGGAGTCCGCCGTGACGTGGATTTCGACGGCGAGGATGAGTGTGCGGAAACTTGAGCTTGACGGGCCTGCTGGGACATGTCACAAGAAAAATGCCAGAAAGGTCAAGCAAGTGGCAGAGGCGGCTACATCGTGACAGATGGTGCCGCGGCGTGGATGGGTGGGATGGATGGGCGAAGCGCAGGCGGGTAAGGGAAAGATGCTTTTGCTGGGCAGGCAGGGTAGGCAATCGACGCGAGGCGGTTTGTTCGATCCATGCAAGGCAAACAATTAATGTGGAGACTCGTGTGGGGTGAAAGAGGAGGAGCATGAGACCAGACAAGGCTACGAGGCTGTGGGCTGCCAGGCTGCCCAATTCATCTACTGAATACTCCGTACCAAGGACAAGTATGTATCTCGTCTTACAAACACACAATATGTGGCAAGAGGTTCACCCTGTGCACATTTCAGCGGCTGATTCCGAGTATCCGAATATGTTGTACAGCCCGACAGCGACGAATCCCACAGGCTTCATGTTTCGAATGTCAATCGTTCTGATTCCAATTTCAATTGTCTCTGACCCACAGCCTCCTGGGAGAAAGCCCTTAGATATGGCTGACCGATATTGACACACAAATGTGATAAATAATGCAATGATCGCACCATGGCAGCTTTGAAAACAAACTAGTCCTTTCCGACCAAAACCTAACTGTCCCCCGACTTGAGTCGGACGTCAACCATCGGCTACTCTGATTCTAGCAACAAAATCCTCAAGGCCACCCAGTGCACTCGTCGATCCATGCGGTTGTCGAACAGGGGATAAATGGGATATCTGCCCTCTTGGCCTTCTCCGATCTCTTCTCCATTGCTGGCTCCGGAGCAGACTCGACACTGCGCTTCTTGACAACGGGAGCAGCAACAGCAGCGGCGGCGGCGACATCGTCTTCAGATCTCTTGACAACGGGTTCCGGGGCAGGCCATCCAGTGCAGTCGTCAAGCCACTCAGTGGTGGAGCAGAAGATCCTCGGAGCTCGCTTCTCCATGTCCTTGTTGTCTCTCTTCTTGAGGTCTTCCTTGACAGCATTTGGCACGGGAGCCCCGCCGTCAGGGTTGGTCAGGGCACCGCCAAAGCCCATAAGGGTGTTCCAAGTCTCAGCGGTGGATCGATCGCGAGTTCCCAAAGCTCGAATCTTGGCCTGAGAATCGCGACAGAGAACCTTTGCGGCCTCATTCGCGCCACAGACGGTGGCGAGTTGGTCGCAGATTCGGTTGGTAATGATGTCTTGTGACCATGTTAGTGATGGCTTGGAACTCAAAGCCGCCGGCGGAACTTACTTGGGTTGGTTGCTTCTTGTTGACCACGGGCACACAGTGGGTCGCTGGGTAGGAAAGTAAAGTCCACCAACGACCGCGCGCCGAGTCCACCCTCATATTTCATGGTCGGCAGGCAAAGGCCAAAGTCGGCATCCTCCTTCATGATAGATTCTTTGCCATAAGACATGACGGCAGCCGAGGCTGAACCAACAGCCAGCAGCAGGGTCACGGCGGTAGATTTGACAAGCATTTTGATCTCCCGAGATGATGCTGGAAACAGAGTAAAGAGCGTGGGAATCAGTTGTGGTTGAGAAAGGAAGGACTGTTAGAAAAGAGCCGACCAGCGGTAATGAGCGAGAAAATGGAAACAGAACGACGACGACGAAAAGAAGGTTGGAATGATGAAAAGGAAATCGACTTGGCAATGGCAGGTCTTGGAAGTTTCTTATAACCAATTGACCAGGACGCGCGGATGGCAGAGCTGCCGACGGGACGTTTCGAATATGAGGCGGAGTGTGTCGTGGGTTGCGTTTCACATGCGGCCAGGGGGTTTCGCCCAACCACTTTTGGCCGAGGCCTCAAACAACGCCATCTCTGAACTGAAATCATGCTTGCTTTGGAGGGAAGGACCGTGGTCAACGGCGGTCAGAGCTCAATTAGTGACGGGGAATAATAATAAGACGATCTGTTGCTCTGAGTGTGCAAACTAAGGATGTACTGTGCTCTGGGTAACCTGCAACCCATTCGACAACGAGAAAAGAACACAGGTGCACAGGAATTTGACAAACCATACACGGCGCATACATGACCAGGAGATATTTCGTCAATCCCACACCTACATCTCTCTTTCTTCATGCGATATTTTAGTTGTAGCAGGGCACATCGCAAATGGTTGGAGGGTTCAGAGGCGGACGGGTGTGGAGGGACCCTCAATTTGACCAGGACCATGTGGGCATGCCAGAGATGGACAACGGAGACAATTTCGAGCGTAGAGTGACGCAGCAGAGTGAGACTGGAATGCCCAATTCCCAGAGTATCCTTGATGGTAATTGCCCTCAGGTCGAGGCGATCAAGCATCTGAGGCACAGTGGTGAAGCGGACAGTGTCGCAAGAGGGAAAAGGGGGGGCGCAGGCCAGAAAGGGCTTAGTGTTTACGTCTCACGTGCGTTACTAGGCCAACCAACGTCATTGCTCTATCAGTCACGTGCCAGCCTTGCACCTTACACGTGGCTGAACACTCACCATATGTTCTTCTACTGAACCTCATCACCAATAGACGAGGCTGAGCCGCCCATGTAGAAAGCGAGTGATGCACCAATACATTGGGTCCGGACAGTGCCGTGTCTTCCCATTGTTTTGATTGCTTTGTTTCCAATCGCGCGTCTAGTACACCATCTGTACAGTTTGGCCTTCAATGCTTGTGTACGTGAACGCCGCCATGGGCCTTGATCGAGCCCTTTTCGTTGTCCCAACACCTCGAAAAGCTAGCCAATTGCTGCTCGTGGAAGCCGGCATCTGAGACCTCAGACAGCATTGTCATCTCCCGCGTGTTTCACCCCGCCTAAACAAACAGAAAGTTCAGGGCTTGGGATAAGTCCGACTTCATACAGTCATGCTTCACCCCATCCGCAGCAATAACAAGTCAAGGACTCGATTCACTTGACTTCATGCTCGTGGACCTCGTTTTGCTCCTTCTTCCCTTGTCCCTCACGGATCGACTCCGGGGCCACTGCAGCGTATGGATCCTCCTCTGCCTCGCCATCCTTCGCATGATCTCCCACATCTTCAGCAGACCCAGCGTCAACGGCATCACCCCGGTCAAGTTCCATGCCAGTCTTGGGCTTGTCCATGATCTCTGTCTCCGCTTCTGATTCACTGAACTCAGCACTGTCCGCTGGAACCGTATCCTCATTCCCGTTGCCCTTGGCCGCGCCCACCCGACCGTCGCGAAACATTCCGCCGAAAGGAGAACTCCTCCTTGCCACTTTGGGACTCGGTTCTTGCACCTCGATTACGACGGGTCCAGTCTCCGTTTCCGCGTATTTGTCAATGAACGCCTCCTTCAGGACTTCGTAGAGGAAACTATACTGCAATTCGTTCATGACCATCATCATGCGCTGTTCGCGGAGCGTATTCACAGTTTCCCATATCAGATCGTCTTCGTCTTTTGGATCGGGTGTGCTGGCTTTAACAGGCCCACTCCGACCCCATGTGCCTGCGCCGTTAGAATTCGTCGTCGGTGTATGCGTACCTGTCTGTGGAGGGGAAGACTCGACCAGTCGGCCTGCTTCGAGCTCTTGTAGAAGGAAGTCGAGTGCTATCCAAGTGCCTGTTCGGCCGACTCCGGCAGAGCAATGCACAATTCGTGGAGAGTCACCCGCAACTGCCCTCGACACTTTAGTCAGTTCCACCAGAGCTCTCCGGTCTTCGGCTTCGGGTTTGCCAAAATCTGGCCAGCCGTGGAACAGGTAATGATAGATTGTTTTGGTGTTGCCGTCGATCGTCAATCGAAGTTTGCGGACTTCGCAGCCAATCCTGGCATCGTAGTCCAGGGAAAGGAGGGTGACAGAACCACATGAACCTTGCTCCTGGGCCGCATCATCCTGTCCGTTATCTCGAGCAGCACCTCGCTGCTCACTACGAGTGTCTTCGGCATCTGTTCCAACACTATCAGTCTCAGCGCTTCTCGTACGGGAGTCCAGAAAAGGATCACCATCATCCGCGGCCTCTGTGTCCCCATCATCATCTCCCCCATCCTCGTGGGCAGGTAGGATTATCGTGGGGTTGTCCATGTCGTGAGGGAAATACTGGGCGCATTTCTCCTTGTTTCCTTCATAGAGCTGTGTGAGCATGATAATAGCGCCCACATCGCCAGGAGTCTCCTGCATGACCATGTGCCAGAAGTGTGAATACTGTCCCTCCTTTGGACCTTGTGTAGCGATGTAGTTGCTTTCGACTGGAGCTGTTGAGGAAACTGAGGGTGGCCCAGTCGATGCTGGAGTGGAAGTACCACTGCGAGACTTTTTGGCGAGGCGACTCCTGAGGGTGATGGGGGACGCGTTGACGTAGTCTGATCCTCCAATCGGTTTTTTCAATTTGACTCTCGACGATTCCCAGGGCTGGACATTACCGTAGCGATTGCGACTGAGGACAGTCCACGAGCGGTCGACCCGGAATGGAGACGTGTGGGGATTCTGCGAAGCATGCTGGAGACGGTATCTCTGCTTCCACTCCAAATCCTGGAACGCCAACGAGATCTCTATTGCACCGCCAATTAGATGCTCGACCGAGTCGCAGTGAGAGTGTCAACGTCTACTGGTACTTACTGGCACGGGGTTTGTTCAGGTAGGCAGGTATCTTGACATTGACTTGCTTTGCTGAGTCATCAGGTTTGCCAACCGCACCGTTAGATTGTCCCTGACCACGAGAAGTCGGTCGAGATACGGTCATTGCCGTTTCCTGGGACCGTTGCCTCTTGATAGACCCCTGTGGCGGAGTGCTTAGAGACAAGGATTGCGGCATGATGTCGGTGATCTCGGCGATGGTTGCTGCATCGGAGGAGTGAGCTGAGCCGGCCCGACTCACGGAGGTGGAGGGGACCGGAAGCGAAGAGGAGGTGGTAGGCCGGATGGTAAGGGTTGGGATAGGTTTGTTCTTCCTCCCAGAGGAGTGGATATGAAGTCTCTGCAAAATTGACGGGCGTTTGGGAGGGGTTTGGTTGGAAGATTCTCCAGAGGAAGGATCCTGAGGAGCGGCACCGGCTTTGTCGGCGAACAGCCTTGAGACGGTCGTCGTGATCGTGTGCCGCGATCTATGAAAGGAACACCAAGAATTTGAGGGTCGCTGGACACAAAGGAAGGCCAGCGCTCAATGGCTGGGTGGACAAAGAACGGTTGGAAGATGCTTGGCGAGCGGGTGGTTGATGGCGGAATTGAGGTCGTGCAAGGCCGCGGTTGCCAGACCCTACAGTCGACAATGTGATCGTTCGATAGATCCCTGTGAATCTCTAGTCCTTGAATGCCCAGAGGTATCAAAAGGGGCCGTGTTCGAGATGGATCTTCACTCTTTCGGAGATGGGGTGCGTCGTCGTCGGTTTCAGGAAGCGCTGGAGGGGTCTCGACGTTGAGGAGTTGCCGAACTGCTGCGCTGGATGGCCAGATAATGGGCAGGCTGTTCTTTCAACGAGGGAGATGGTCGGTACCCTTGTTCCAATGGAGATCTTTTATGGATACTTTGATATGGATTTTATGCTTAAGCGACTATGGCATTGTTCCAATCAAGAGGAAATCCAGAGAGAGCAAACGACACCAGAGAGGCGGAATGGCTGACCTCATATTGCAGAAGGCAGAACGCCGGGGCGTCTAGCAGCAGCCCAAGCTTTCGGTAAATCTGCGTCAATTACCACCACTTTCTCCATCTTCCCCAGCCGTGAGCGTCCTTTCTGACTGTCAAGTCGTGGTATTGTCTCGTCATATTCCAGCACGAGGAATTTGTCTGGTGCCGGATGCGGAGCGATATCGACCACTTGCTTCTCATTTTTGCAGACTGCGCCGCAGGCAGCATCCGTCGAATAATCGCCCGACCCATCAATCAACCCAACACCAGCCGTATATACTGAGATTCCCTTGACGCCTCATCGTCGACGGACACTCCTCTATCGACACTGCGCCGAAGTTGCGCCCGGGGCTGTGCCGACTCCTGCCTGCGTTTTCCACAATGGCTTGGTGGTGGCTTCTCGAGGTCTGATTGTTTCGCGACTCACTTTCGTCAGAAGTCAGACCTACTGACCTCTACACAGAAGCGATTAGTAGAAATGGTAGACGATTCCGTCACAGACCCAGGCCCATGCCTCTCTCATCCTCCCAACTTGAAACTCTCTAACCTAGACAACACGATCCTCTAGCTCCTTCGAAGTCCCTCCTTTCACCGCGGTGTCCAGCGCGTCCACAAGAAAGTCCACGAGCTACAGCATGGCAAACCGCCGGAACACTATGGCGGCACGCACCTCGACAGTATGTGTTCGGCAATCATTCCTTATTCCCATTAACAGACCGTCGTGGTGTCCCCCAAGAAGAAAAGAACCAAGCTCATATGCGTGGTATGTGAAACAGGCGACCAAGCCACCGAGCGAGGCGTCGGTCACTTTCTCAAGCTATTCTGGGAGGAGTTGAAGACGGGTCACAAGCCTGGACCGCCAACGAAGAAATGAAGAGCGGGAGATGGCACTGCACAGTCATCGGGTTGTTATACACATGGACGCCCAATGAGTTAGGTGGATTTGGGAACGATCTGAATTCGAGCGAAGGCGTTGAAGGCGCAGGTAGGCTTTACTATCGGAATTCATTTGCCATAATGTGCTTGAAGCACGGCTGGATAGGTTTGTGTGTTCCCTCCTCTGTAAATATGCGAGTCCGACACAAGATGTGTTCCAACAGGCACTTGACTGCACTTGCACTTTCATGAGGATTGCCTTAATATGGACACAAGTCATTTTGACCAAGTCAGGTCTCAAAATGAGATGCAAGCCGCGATACCCATAGATGCTCTCGCGCTATGGACTCACCAAGAAAGCTCTGCACCAAAGCTATAAGATCGGATAAAGATTGGGTTGGCTCAATTCCTCTCTACATGGGGGCTCGACCCTCATTCCATCCGAAGAGCAACTCTCATGCCAGCCAAGATCGTCTGTGTTGCTTCTCTCTCCGGGCTTCACGGACCAAACAGTGAGGAATGGCGGACATGCAAACACCTAGAAAGTTGTTCACATGAAATGAAACTGAGGAGCTGCAGGGTTTGGAGAGTGCCTCGACGTGCCACAATAATGTATTCTGTTTTGTGTGTCGGCGTCAACTCTCTGATCTAGTATTGTCTGAACAACGGAAGCGGCGTGAGCATGTCAATGGTCGATCAACCGGTCCCCAAGGGCATGCCTGGAAATTGGCATGTTTCTGTCCTAGGTAGGGATGAGAGGAGATAGGAAGTCCAATGCTATTTCCAGGTTGCTGCCCAAGACTGTTTACTTGTGGTAGAGATCTGCGGTCTTCGAAAATGAGGCTCGGATGGCCATGGGCCTCTCAAATCTGGTTTGTCGCCTCTTATTCGCCAGCCACTGGCTTGACAGAGATCCCGGGGCACAAGTCAGCAGCAGGGAAACCCGATACAGCGGTGTGAGATTGTCGTCTGATTTCGAGAGTGTCGGACCACGATGCCATGTTACTGCTGTCATGCACGTCAAAGAATCCCCGGGAGGGCAGTCGGGAGACCCAAATGCCTGCAGCGGGATAGAGAGGCGGGACGGATTTGAAAGCAGTTGGACCACAAAGGGTTCAGAGCCCGCAGCTGGCCACACAACAGCGGAAAACGGAGTGCGATCGAGAGCCGCACAGCATACGTCCTCGTCTCCAAACCGCTGTCAGCCCTGTTGGCAACCTGCCGGGTCTGTCAATGCTCAGGCTCCAGCTGCTGGCTCCAGCTCTTGTCAACAGCCCCAGGGAACAAGGGGTGCTGAACAGAGGAAAGAGTTGGAAGATCTGCGAGGTTTTCCTGGGTCACTGTCTCGTATGCTGGGTGTCGATTTACACACGCGTACGCGCGGGTTGCGCTGCGCCGCGCCATTCCTGCCCATCAGCAGACTTGGAGCACCCTGACACCGACAGCCACAGCCACAAACAATGTGTTTGTCAACCTGTGGTTGGTGAACCATTCATTTATTAGCGTTGTGAAACCATGCCATGTCCAATCACCGCCAGACCGTCGAACTGTCAACGGACGATCCATCCCGCCGATCTTGGTGGTGGATGTGACTGACAAGCAACCGCTCAGGTCGCTTGCATTATCCCAGTGTGATGTTGGGAATGCTTTGTTGTTTCGCAGACATGCTCAATCGCACGGCTGCCGACAACACAGATGATCCAATCAAATATGGAATTCGGTGTGGGTTAGAGCCCGAAATCAACCTGAACACCGACCTGAAAAGGATCTGGTGCTTCTGAGCTGGAGTAATTGGACAACTTTGGAGAATCTCCGTGAATGGGTCCGTCTTACTTGGGGCCAGATGCACTTGTTTAACCAGAGCCATATCGAACCGACCTTCTCCCAGGGCTGACTGAGCCACCCTTGCGCGTAGAGGGACACATGTCAACTTGATTGCACGAGTATTGTAACAAACCCAACAGCGCCAATGAAAATGGGCCTTTCCAAGCTCGTCACCTAATACTCCACTCTTTGATGGTCATGATGCTCTCCGAGTACGAGGCAGAGTTGAACGGGCGCATCAGACACCCGGCCACTCTGAGTCCGCAGAGTGTGCGTCATGTTCGTTGCACTGAAAGAGTCCAGAACACGCTGCCCCTTGTGTGTGTTTTGGCGTATGAAAATCACCACGTCTTGGGCGAGGAGCGGCAGATTCCGGAATATTTTAGCCATTGGCCATATTGTGATCTGGTTCTGCTGATGGGCGGTGGCCGACCCCTCGCTTGGACGAGGCGAGTCTCTGGGGGGCCAATTACTGAACAATGCCCGTGGTTGATATGCAGAGCTCCTGCGCAACCGTTGAGAATAGCTGCACATCACTGTGACTAACAAGTCATCACAGCCACTAGCCGCCCAATCAAAACTTGATCGCTGGAGCAAAGGAGTCGGTGTTCACATGCCCAATGTTGCTCCTTTCCCCTGGTTGAGAAGCAGTGCATCAGCAAGATCAGCTGTACAACCATCGGTTGCATGTCGCGACTGCGAAAAGGAGGAATGAAGGCGATTCTACTTGGTACACCCAATAGTGCAGGGTCTGGACAGGACGAGTAGTGGCTGGCGCTAAGACATGCAGGAGATCGTTGATCTGCGCAAAAAGGTGCTTCAGGTCGACCAGCTGCGAGGTGTCTGACAATCCTTCAACTTGAAGCCCGAGTGCTCACATTCTCACCGGTGAATTGGCAATGATTGTGTAAAATGCCGAACTGGTTATTCGTATTCCTGACGGCGGAGCTCAAAATGGATAATCCCAAGCAGAGCCTGGGAAGCGGTGGAGGAGTGAATACCTTTGTCAGAATCCCTTGCAATCGGATCGCGATTACTCGATTACTCGTGGGACGGCTGGTGACGGGTTGGACTTTGTCTGCCACGTGTTAGTGGCGTCCTGCCAGTGGTAACAATGCAAGCGATATCCACCTTCATCATTGACATCTGTTTAGGACATCGTACAGCAGGGGCGTGCATGAAAGTGGACAGAATCAGTGAGAATGGGAGAAGGAGTCCCGAGAACACCACCAGATTGAGTTCTTGGTAGACTTTGAATCGTGTCATGTGGATATCTGGAGGCGTCCGACCGACCTGGCAACCTGGATGGGTTTGCTGGATATGCAATAGTGAGGGAGCAATACGAGGACGCAATTGCGGCCGTCGTAGCATCCAGTTAGCTACACCTCCGAGTGGCCCCTGGAGAACGATGCACATCCACCAGGGCCCATGGTTTTCGATGAGACTCTGGGTGACAGGCGGGCATCGTGGATAACGTACCAAACGAGCAGGAGTCCTTCCCCATAGCCGACCTCTGATTGGGCTTGATCCCAGAGTTCTATCCAAGAAAGCAGGGTCGCTGAGGGATATTCGGGAGACGTCAAAGCAGGCTACAGAGTCGAGGGAAAGCCATGATTTCGGAGCGTGGTACTCGCTCCACTCCACATCGACGCCATGTCATTTACCCAGCTGGTTTCTGAACTCAAAATATCCTGTTCCGGGAATGGTCGCACTGCATCTGGGAGAAAAAAACCACGGGCAGCATCACATGCTCGATCCGGGAGAGTGGAATCTTGAAAGTAGATTCGTGACATCTTGCGAAAAAGATGCGCCTTTCCAGCTCCGCCGCAAACTTGGATATTGGAGCCGTGATAGGTCGATGCCCGAAACTCTGGCAGGTCAAGCTTGATGTAAGCCAGCCACATGGTTTCGAAAGCGCCGCCCTGATTTGGCCCCCGCAGGTCGGAGAAGGCATCGGTTCCCATTATTGTTCGAAGCTCACCGCATTCTATCAGGAAACTCACGGCGGGAAGGGTGTTCCGAAAGGCTTCTGGTCCAAAGCAGCAGTTGGCGCTGCAGATCGGTCTCTATGTACGTACTCGAACGACGAATAACAAAGTCAGTAAGGAGGCAGACTCGCGAATGCCTAATAATAGGCAGCATTATTTTGGCGGAAAGAACTATGTAGATAACCGAGAGTGCGACGGGGGGACTGTGGTATCTTCCATGGGCCGAATTGGCATCGGTTGTAGTATGGTGAAAACTTAACTGCTTGTACGGAGACGCTTGTCTGTTCGCTTCTTGCTCGGTGGCGGACAGCATGGCAAGAAAGGAAAAAGAAAGTTCCATCGAAGGTCGACTCTGGCGCTGCCACGAATCAATAGTGGCAAGCCGATACGATGATGATATACATTAATGACGCCCGGGGGGTAAGGGATCAGAAGGTTCTGATACGTCGACTTGGATCGATCTGAAAGGGATGACCGCAAAGTCTAACGCCCAAGGACCACCGGGGCCGTCCGATTTGATTCGATAAGCTCCCAGATTCCACGTGTACATGTACATCCAAGATGGTGAACGTTGGCTCTGACTTGGCTTCGAATTGGCTCGGAGTCCATTTCCAACCGCTTGGCCAAACAAGTTCTTGGCCTCACTGCTCTGTTTGTCAGGTGTCATCGTAGCCTAGCTTTTGATTCAAAGTCTTAATCGCATAAAGCTCAAAATTCATTGGTGAAAGGAGGGTCGTAGAGAACACGTCAGTGCTGGAACTTTCGGCGGGTGTATTGGATGCAACTGCATCTCACGGCCAAATCGAGAACGGGGCTTCGCGAGCGGTATCGCTTCTGCTTGTGTACCTCGTATCTCGCGGTGAGACCAAATACTGGAGGCGCCGTTGGTCGGCGTTAAAGCAGAGCTCAAAAGAAATTGAATGGCTATGCTGACACTGAGCGTGAGAGTTGCTCACAAAACCATTTCGCTCTGGCGTCTCTGGCGCCTTCGCTTAGCTGGAGATCAGGGTGGGTGGAGTTGGTGTTGCTGCGAGTTTGAGGGAGCGCGAGGTTAGGAGGGGGAATCGAGCATCGAAGCGATGAACAAGGGCCTGGCGAGTAGTAGGCGAGACAATTTGGGAATGGTAGAAAGCGGCAAATTGGCCTCAGATCCAAATCCAAAGTTCAGTTGTGTGCGGGTGGGTGGATGAGTGGGTGAGTGGGTGAGTGGGCGAGGGAGTGGGTGAACCACGACAATACAAGACTTCTCCAAATTGAATTTCTGACTGTTGTTACACAGCATGACAAGTAATGAGTGAACAACTGAACAGTCCCTAACGAACCGGGCGGAAACTGACCCGGAGACTTGGAAGCACGGCCATTTGTGAGTGAGCGGTAATGCATCTCCACCACTCCGCCGAGAACCCAAGTGCTCGAGCAGTGCAAGTTGCGGCGGTGGCAGTCGGCAAGTCTCAAAAAACCCTCAATACGAGGCACCAAGTCTCGAGATTCCAGGCCGGGGGATGCGACGGGAAAAGTGAGGGAAAGTATGTTAGGTACGGAGCAGGTAGGGGAAATACAGCCCTGCCCATAGGGTGTGGTCAGACCTGCGGAAGCGAGTAAAGCAGATCTCTGGGGGGCTGACCAAAAAACCTACCTACCTACATCGGTACCCAAGTTTACTGCAGGGTACACAGGAACCGATCTACTACCTGAAGATCATCAATACTCGTACATGGTAGGAAGCCGGGTATGGCTTCTGGGTAAAGTAACTGACGCCTGATGACGCCCCCTCGTTGGTAATTCCTCAGGTAGGTAGGTACGAGTAGGTGGTGGCCAAGCAAGCAAGCAAAGCAAACAATCGCTGGGGGCTTTGAAAGGATGATGAGAGTCACTTTGGGCGGCTGGTGGGTGGTTGCTGCTCCTCCAATGCCCTAAAACAGTTGCACCATCATTCTCCCAGGGCCCCTGCTTCTCTCCCAGCGTCTTCCCCCCCCCCCCCCCCCCTTCTGGTGGTGATGGGTGAGCCCTTTGGCCCTAAAAACTCATTCCTTAGCCAGCCTTCAACTCTCCTCCCCCCCGCTTTTTCTTTGGCTCTTGGTGCAATTCAACCAACTCCATCCACTTCCCAGCTCCGACCCTTCCCCCCTTCATCCCAGTCACAAGCATCGTAGGCCGAGACCATCGCGCGGTGCATCGTTCCATGATCATCGTCCAGACAAGGCTCGCCCCTGTAAGCAGTCTATCGGTCTATCGCAGAGACGAAAAAGCCACCGTCCTCCCATCCTTTTCCCCCTGGTCTGCGTAGCTCGCTCAGGTCCAAAGAAGGTCAGACTTTACCTAAAACGCCATCTGCCTGGAAGGGCGTCACCAAGCGTCCATCCACTTACGACGTATTTTTGATTCCCTGGTGCACCTCGCAAGCCCACAACCCCCCCGGGTGCTAACTGGCTGACTTTGGCTGTGCTGGGTCAGACTTTCAGAGAGAACAACTGACAGGGGTCCCAAACCTCTCCTTGACTCGGCCTGTGACTCGCCAAGGGCACAAAAGCCCACTTTTTGCTTTTGCACACTGCACCTGGACATCCGGATTCAAGGTTCCCACCTGTCCTCCGGCCCATGCTTAGCGCGATCTCTCGATCTTTCTCCGCCCATCTCGCTCTCTAAGACTTGCTCATCTTCATTCTCTCATCCATCGAGCCAACCTTCGACCCCGAAACCCGTCAAAATCCCCTCCACTGCCACCAACGACCCTAACACCCATCTACACATGCGCCCTCTCCTCTAAAGTCCTTTTGTTGCATGTCCTGTTCTTGCACATCTTCCATTCCGACATCCTCTTCGACGCTTCGTTTCGACAAGCAAAGTAACTCGAATACGTCCTCATCACTCGACAGCGATCACAGGGAGACTGCGCACTCCCGACCACCTTTCATCCCACCACATCAAGGAGCGGGTTCCTTCCTTTGGGTCGCCTCAGGTACTGGTCTGTGTTCTCAACAAGGCAAATATCAGGAGTGCAGGCCACGACGGCTTCTTGCACTGTCTATACCCATCTTGTTGGTGCAACAACAACAGCGCTGGGCCCAGGCTTTGCGTCACCTTGGGGCGGGCAGACTTGCAACGTCGGGCGGAAAGATACATTGGCAGCAAAACAGCGGTCCGGCCTCATGATCCATCGTGCTGCCTTCAAACAATAGAACAATAATCGCCGCTGGAAGGAGATTGTATATTGAACATCGCTACGATGGCAACAATAGAAACCGCTCCTCGACCGAGGTAATGTCTTACCCTTGTACTGACTTAACTGAGTGCTGATGGGTGTGTCAGAGACACGTTGCCATCTATAAGTCATCTCGAACTCGACACCGTCAGAACCGACAGGAATGACCTCTCGAGGTATTCCATTGGCAATGGTCTGAGCATCAGCACGGCACCCTTGGCCAGTCCCACGGCCTCCATGTACTCGGCCCCGCCTCAACCATACTCATGTGCACCGTCGACATCAGGCTCGACTGCGGGCGTGTCGGGATACATCTCTCCTCCCGAGTCGACTACTCGACGCTCCACAAGAGACGAGAAGGAGTCGCCTGATCTTCGCAAGTCCCTCCCTTCTATCCACGAAGCTCTGGGAGACAAGTCGTTGCCCTTTTCAAGCTCGTCCCAGCATCAATCTTTGCCCACGCCTTCTACCACTGTTGGTCCGTCGTTCTCAGAAGGCCCCAAGGGCCCCATCAACCCCTTCTCCCAACCAGCACCTTCTGTGCCCGTCCTACGAGACGTGTTTTCAACGTCTCAAATGACCTCATCGACCCCGACGGAATCGCAAGCCCCGAAGCCTCCTTTTCCACCGCCATCTGTCCCTGCCCCCGATCCTCGTCAATCAGTCTCTCAGACTTTTGGGTATCCCGGTTCTCCAAGTTCTCAGCAACAGTCAAACTTTCGTTCAACGGCTCTGGCTAATACCACATTCACGAACCATAATGAGACTGCCCCCTCTAGATCTCCTCAAACCTATGAGCCAACTAGGCAGCCACAGCCGTTTGCCCCGTTCAATAATCCTGCTTCCGCGAATGCATCTACTTCTATAAATGATGTCTACCAGTTCACCGCGGGCTCGAAACCCGCAAACGAGGTTCCATTCAACGAGGCCGTCAAACGGCACTTGGAGGTGTTTGACGTCGAGTTAGGGCTCAATGAGGTTTGTTTCCCCCGTTTTCTATGAGCGATGTGGCACTGACGGTGTCTTTAGATTAGCGAATCCTGCCTGCGTATCCTCGAATTTTGCCGCACTTGGGGGTCACGTATTCACCAGGGAAGCCGATCGTCCTACGTGCAGGAACCTATGCCCTCGATAGGGGAAGCAGACGAGGTCCTCCGTTTCTCCCATCGTTCTTTCGAGCTTCTCAGTTACGTGCGAGAAGTGGCAGTTGCTCAAGAGAATGCCAAAGCGGAACAGCAAGCCCGACTTGTTCGAGGCATCCAGCCTGAAGAAGAGTATCAACCAACGGCAGACGAATACAAAGGTGGGGGTTATACAGGAGGCGATGCAAAGAAACGACGCGGAGTTCGTATCCCTGTGGTCAATTATGTTGCTCTAGCTAACGCAGTCACAGAAAGCCGCGCCGCCAGGCCGATGTCACAGTTGCAACCGTGCCGAAACCCCCGAATGGCGAAGAGGTCCGGATGGGGCACGCACGTTGTGTAATGCTTGTGGCCTTCACTACGCCAAGTTGACACGAAAGTTGGGTGTCAACAAAGCGGCAGCTATGACCGGGGCGAATCTCCGGCCCAAAAACGCCGATTCCACGAGGCCGTAACCCAAGACCTACTTCTAACATGGAGGTTGGGGTTCTGGGGGCAGAAGAATGGATGAAGGCGACGAATTTACTTGTTGACACATGTGCAAAATCTCTTTTAGGAGACACGTTTACGACTATGTGGTCGATTGCTCGGGCACTTTTACGACGAAACCTTTAATGGAGTTTAAGCGGCGTCTTTTGGTTTGATTTCAACGACGCTGACCGGTACACAACATTGGAGTCACCAATGGAAATGATGTGTTTTTTGCTCAACGGACTGTACAGATGAAGCTTGGAGTCGTGGAACGACCAAAAAATCACTCTTGGAGGGAAAAAGACGGCGTCACTGTGTACAGTCTTTGTGCCTTATTAGAGGCATCATGGGGAGCATGGGCGAAAGCGTCGTCCGGGGGGTGGGGGGAGGCCATTGTGGGCTTGTTCTCTGATACCCCGATCAAAGCCTTATTAGAGGCATGCGGAGCATTTTGGCTCCTGAAAATATGTTTTACGATATTGTTATTGCTTAGTTACAGGGTGGCATACCGATGGAACAGGTTGCTGGGCGGGTGGATGGGTGAATGGATGGGCGATGGATCAGCATCGTTGTATGGGGGATGGGCCGAGGGGTTTCGCCTTGTGTGTTTGTCTTTGAGGTTTGACTTGACCCTCCCGGCGAATGAACAACATACAGACGGGTGAGAGAACGAGCTGATCCTCAAGCAGGTGCATGGTTCCCCTCGGTCAGCCTCTATTCAACTATGTTTCTTCCTGGCGGCAACGGCTGTCGGGGAGTTTTCTCAGGGAACCATCATCATCACATTATGGAGTACTCATGCAAGGTTGCAACTACAAGAAAAGCAAACAGAGACTATTCACAATACTATTGCAGCAGCCACAAGCCCCAGCTTGGACGCTCGCTGGTTTTATCGCATTTTGTTTTCCCTCGCATTGTTTTCCCGTTGCTAGGGCTGCGCTTCCTAGATGGAAATCTCTACTAAGAACGGCTGGCATATGCTCGTTGGGTCAGCAGACAGCAGGCCATTCTGGAGCCTGCGAGACAGTGGACATAGGCTATCTGAGTGGACTTGGATCGAGGCAGCCGCGCAGCCCCCGAATCCTACCGGACCAGAGGTCTCTGAGACGGTTCTGATGCTGTCAACCATTCACGTGCTTGATACTGGGTGTGTGTACGAGGATTTGTTGCCTGCCGGAATTTTCCAAGCGACCAGGAGACCAGACGCCACTAGGACAACTGCCAGATCACTGGATCGAGATCTACCACTAAGTCGGCCAGACGTTTCTGGCTGGTACCGAACCCATCTCCCTCTCAGACCTGAGTTTGGGAGAACGACCACAGAGACTCCTCGTTCGTTTCAGAGCCAAGGAGCGGTTCTCTCACATGGAAAGGGGAGAGAAACGCGCAAATGTTTGAGCCAGAGAAACTCGAGTCAGCACCGCCCTGCCCAAAGGTCACACCACCTGATGGGGCTGTCAAACCAATAACAGGTGCAATACAGTCAAAAGTTCACAGACCAGCGCAAGCCAACAAGCCACCCGGGACACAGACTCCGGAGAAATCTGGTCTGGTCACTGAGCTAGCCTCCCAAGCTGGCTGGCGAGGGAGACAAGGAATGCCGACTAAGATACTCGAAAATGCAGCCCGGACAGTTTTCAAGCTGCGAGTCACCGTTTTGGGCGATTCCTCCTCTCACGCCGCTCAACATCGATTTTCCACTTACCCTGTCCGGGGGCCTTGTTTCTCGGGGGCCCTGGCTTGTCTGAGCACCTTACTAGTATCCAGGTTTTTGGGGAAGTCATGACAGAAATTCCCGGTCATGATCGGCATATGCTTTGGGCTGGTCGCATGGTGCTTGTCTACAAGTATAGCGACCCAAAGACCACCCCAGGCCCCTAGGCCCAAGGGTAATGGACCTCACATGCCTAACAAATACATCGCCAACCCAGGATCGGCGCTTGCTTTTGCCCCGCCTATCCTGTTTCTGATCTGCAAGCCCATCTTTCCCCCTGGGCATGATCCATGCTATCGGCCAGCGTTTCAGTTGGTTGGCCCGAACGCCCAACACACCAAATGGGTTACCAAGGAAGCTTTGGACGACGGAACACCTCGGGACTGAGTAACTGACAATGCCATGCGCCATGGTCGCTGATAGAGTGGGTGCGCTGGCGTTTCCATCCTGTGCACACATACCTTGCAGTTGGTTTTAGTACCAGGGATAGCATCGAAAGAAAGCGTTTCAGAAAGAAACCGACCCCCAGCCAAGGGAAACACAACAGATGTTGCGCCACTTCGACATAGACCACGACTTATCACTATGTACTTTGGTGTACAAGTAGTTGAGCGCAACAGCCACCAGACGCCGTAATTTGACGAGAGCTGCTTCCAAATGGACAGTACCGGACAACTCGAATATCTTAACCATTGCTCTCTTCTATCGACACACCATCTCTCTACTTAGTACTCCATTCGCCAGGTGGTGATCTTCTTGAGCGATGACCACAGACAGGAAGGCGAGATCTCCCGGAGTAGTCCGCTTCATCTGTATCTGCCCCGGCAAGATCCCAGATCCGTCCCATCCAGGGATACACTACCTGGAGAAGAAAAGTCCCAAATGTCACAAATAGGTGTGACCCAGTAGTCGATCACGATGCCCAACGTCTAACTAAGTCCGAGGATGCCGAGTCGAGGCCGAAGCTCCCGAGTTTGTAAAGTATTTTGAACCATGACTGCAGTATTCCCTCTCTTGCTCCTGTGCTTTGTCGCCGATCCTTGGCATCATTGAGGTGCCATGTCCATCGTTTCGTGCTCCATATCTACTCCGCTAGAGGAGTGGGAGTCGAAAGGCAAAGGGTGAAGGGCGTCTAAGGGCGTCGATGGAAGCACGAGTACCTCGTACGAGTTGTGTGGTGGTTGGTTGGATGGGCGGTGGCTCCCAGCCTCCTTCGTCCGTTTTGCCGCAGTTGCAGGCCCCCACCATCCACCATTCCCCTCTTACGTCAGAGGCTCATTGCGGGTGCCAGGATGGTAGCAGGCCCAGCAACCAGGGTAGGAGCCCTGTGGAAATAATGTCTCTCAACCCGCCTTCTCCCCCCGACAAAGAAAAAAAAAGTGCCAGGCTTCATCTCAACACGGCCATCTCTGTCACATATTGCACAAATCATTCCAGTACCATTCCCATCAACTTGAATGAATGCAAATGCCGACAAAGAATCTCTGAAGCAACCCTTCTGCATCAACCCTCCTCCGCCCAGGACACGCACGATCAAGATCACACTTCCATCATCAAAGCTTCATGGGGTGTGGCGTGGCCTGGACCAGTCGATGGATCCTTCCAGACGCCGCCAACACCAACCTTGATCTGGCTGCAAACGGTCAACGCCAACCCCCCAAGGAGCCCCAACAAGGAGGGGCGAAATCACAACGGTTGATCATCCTTTTAAGCGGCCCCTGTCGCGCCTACAATTACGGAGCACCTGAGCCTTTCCCGTGCCCACACCCCCTGGTTCATTCCTCTCTCGCAGTTGGCCAGCCACCGACTACTGGATGCGGGTGACCCGCAATGATGACTCGTACAAAATGACCATGCCCACGATCGAGTACAGGGACTATGGTCTTTTCCATGTCGCATCACAAGTTTCAACAGGGCCATATTTGTAAAGATGAATCAACAATGCAACTTTGCCAGAGTGCCATGCGAACAAACGATCTTGGGACAAAAAGGAGCAGATAACTGAAGAAACCCCGATGCGATCGCGTTCCGCTTCAGCCGGTTAGGTCTGTATACAGAACCCAGTACAAATATAATACCGAGTACTCGTGCCTAAATCAAGTTTGGTCACAAACCAGGGAAGGGTGTCAGGCCACTGGCTCCACACAGAGAAATGCATTAGGAGACAATGCAGGTTTCCCCGAAACCGGGGTTTTCATCTCCTATCCAGAGCTAGCCCCGTACGAGTACTCGTTGGGTGCATCGCCACCAGTCGTTGAATGAGAACATCCTTGGCCGTTAGCCGGAGCGGACGGACCATTTGACAAAGCAGACGAGCAGTCTTCATCCTCAGCCGTTCCACTTACCGCGGCCCTAACAACAAAAGGGAAAAGGCCACTCTCCTCTATTCGCATGTTCGCCCCCTGGCCACTCTGAACCTTATCCATCGTTCCTCTTGCCTGATACCCGCAACATATCGATTTTGGTCAAGCGTGATCGAAGATCTCTCTCTTCGACTTGCCTCTCGATTCAACCTGTCCTCAAGACGCTGCTCGGTGGCGTTCGTAACCGAGATGAGATATGGAGCAGCCTCTGAAGCGACATATCCAATGTCTCAAAAGACCACGAACTACTTATCAAAAATCGAGATTGCCGGAACTTGCCAGTAGGCTCATCCGTCCGGTTTTGATCTTCTGGCTACGCGACAAGTGAACGCGTATACGTCGGACTTGGAAAGCCTGAAACCCCAGCCGTACGACTTGTTTCAATGTGGTCCCTCGACTAGGATGGCATTCCCCCCTGGACTTGCGACCAGCTCCAACTAAACGGATTTAGCCTCGAGTGGATTCCCAAAATAATCGACTGACCATCAGTTTACGGAGTGCTCGTATTCACACCCACGCTGGAAAGACTTGGGATGCTATGGTCGATACCAAACCTGGATTTGCACAACGATCCAAGGATGGTGCGACATCCGACCAACTCGCAACACGTCCTGCATTGGCGATGCGAGTCTGGGTAAACCTAGCTTCAGAACATCGCTAATCGTCCCCTCGACTATTGCGAATCCTGCAGAGTTTCCCAAATGGGAGCAGTTCTCAAACAACAGCGACATTGTCCCCATCTTCCTTCGATTCGGCATCCTTGGATATTAGTGCTTCGCTATGTGTGCATGCATGTGATCAGCGATGGCGAAGATTGTGTTTGACGCTGAATATATCCACTGTCAGGTTCGGAGGCGTCAACATCCTCATCAACAATTCGGGCATTGGGTACACGGATCGAGATTGACTGCCTAATACATTCCTGCCCTGCATCTGATGGTGATGCCAGTCCCTAGTCGATCGTCCCGAGTCTGGGCATTGAGTCGGTCCTGCACAACAGCAAGTTGAGCAGCGCCGTATTTCGCCTTGCAATATTTATTGCCTGAAACAGGGTCTAACAAAGTACTGAGCTTCTGCGACGATCATTGTCCACCCACTGATAGTTTCGGGCGGCGCTGGATCCTATTCAGAGTCAAAAGAGATCCTCCAGGATCCCGGTGATCACATCAGGGGTCGAACACTGGGTATGGATGGTCGTAACGTTTGGGACCATCTCTACGTCGATCACTAAAGCATTATGAAAACTGAGTTCTACTAAGACTGACTTCGATACAAGAACTTGGTTTTCCTGGCAGCCGAGGCCGGAATATAGGCCGTCTTTTCGCTGTGGCAGCACAAGGGTTTCAATGGTCTAGATGCGACGGTGTTGTCCATTCTTATACAAGGCGCAGGAACGCGTTATCCACAGCGCAACAGAGGAGCGAATAGATACGCAGACGTCTTCACTCGCTGTTGCCCAGGCGTTCTTGGAGAATGGTTGGTGTCACGCCTTTCCCTGCATTCGGTCCCTGTTGGAGTCACCTGGCTCTCCGTGAGCGGAGGCTTTGTGGCCCATTCGATGTGACATTTGCGCGAGAAGATGCCAAACTGCAGGCCAGCGCGCAGGCACCTTCTGCAACGGATAGGTTGTTGGATGGCCGACCTGACCTGGTCCTGGATGCTGATTGATCCTTACTTTGGTCGTTTTCTGCATGGGCACAGGAGTAGCAATCACTCGCCATGGTATGATGGTAGACGTTCTTGACCAGGCAGCGACGCTGAAGCTACCAACTTCGGGTATGGAGGTGATCCGAGTCGTTTACAGTGCTGTGCAGCCAGAATTGACCGTGGCAAGGTATGTGTCTGCTGATGACCATCAGATGATCCCCTTTTGGCCGGGATCTCCCTCGGTGCCAATGGTGGGACGAGTTCGCAAACGCCCAGCAACTGAGGGCTGTCTGCCATCTTCTCACATGTCCTTCGGCACCTTGCGGACGTGTGCCATCTTGCCCTCGTCGGTTTAGGGTCGATGAACTAATCAAGGCGGCTCTTCTTAATCACCACGGGATACTTGAAGAACAGGAGCCACTGTCCATGTCGATTGAAGATGCTCTCCACTTTCGGACTATGTAGTCACGTTCTTTCTGACCGGAGAAGCGATTCTTTGCCCTTTGTTTTTATCGAGAGGGGCATCTTTCCTCATCCGGGAACGAAACGATGCGTGGCCCTCCCGCGAGTTCTTGCTGCGCGGTTCGAAAAGGTACTAATGGATGATCAATGCATCGACGTACTACGGCCTTAGAGCGGGTCTGCTGAATCAGATTGAGAAGATCCAAAGGTTGGTAGTGGAGGGAGTTCATGGTCAATCGGGAAAGCCACTCTGTCTTTCAATTTCGTCTCCTGTCCCTCATCAGCACCATTGCACTGAGGGAAGGAGACTGCTGATGAAGCCCAAGGATAACGCTCTTTTTGGGGGGCAAGCATTCAGCGCTGAGCTACAAAAAACAAGGCGCAAAGTCATCAACGATCCCAGCAACTGGTCTGCGCCATGGCCGATGCTCGACTTGTCCTTTTTTCCCTCGTCTGCCGTCTTCGTCGTACCCTGAACCAGGAAGCTGTGTCGCTGGGAAATTTTTTTACCCACGAGCCTGACTGGGGAACAGGAAATGTCGCCTTCGTGCTGCTCGACCCCGACTAATCTGCTAGGCAGCTGAAAATGTGCGGTTTGTTGCAACATAAGGCGACCAGGTTGCATCTGGCTCTCTTTCCCACTCACGTGGTGTTTTTGCGAAGACGCTGTGCATTCAATCCATTTCTTCAATTTTGAAAGGTAATGGTGATCCAGTTGGTCCATCACCGACTTGAGAATAGTGAGGAGTGCAATACAGCCGTCTTTGAATGGTGTATCCACTAGGGGCAGATCGAGTCTTGACTTTGGTGGTTGTTTTCATTGAAGCATCCATTCACTTTTCATCAGAAAACAGGACCTCGACCTTTCATCGAAAAAGGGGTTGTTGAGGACGCAAGGCTGAATAGTAATATCCTCTATCATGATATGGAGACTGACCCGCTGCTTGGCACGGTGGGCACAATTGGGGAAAAGGGTCGCTGCAATCAAGTCTCATCGAGTGAGTCACCCACATCAATCCCCCTTCTGTTCTTCCTTTTTCTCGCCTAGACATAATGCAGCAAGAGCCATAGTATTGTTAAAGTAATGGAAGCTTACTCATCTGCGCGGATAAAAAGAAGCGCAAGTCGACACGAAATCATCAAACCTGTACCATGACTTTTCAATCGTCGAAAAGAAACCCCGACAAGATGGCCAGCACAAGCGAGCAGATGGAAGCATCGGCAGCCACGGTGGACAATACCTCGGTTACGTCGCTCATAGACGTCAATGGCAGGTCTTCGGCGCCGACGCAATCGCTTCCTCAAACCACCACGTCGCAGTCGGCCGAGTACCGCCATCGTCTTGCCGAGATCGTATCGCGGGCCAATCTCGAGGATCCGCTCAATATTGTCTTCCAACAGGAAAAGACTGGCCGGGCCACGGTCGTGACGCCAGACCTTCTTTACACTGGCGCAGCAAGGCGGATCGAAACCAAATTGGCCGCCGGCGCGTCAGTTGTCGAAGCAGCCAACTTTGCGGCAGTGGCATGCTGGGAGCCGCCATCGTCCAACCCGCCACCCTTTACGGAAGCACAGTTTGAGGAGATGGCCCGAGAGAGGCCCGTTTTTGCACAGTTTGTCCGAGACATTCAAGACACGAGGCTGGCTTGTCTAGGGCCTGGCCAGCCATATTGGACGCTTTCGCTGATGGCACGGGATCCCAACCGCAAGGACAAGGGCGCCGTCAGAGCTGTCATTGAACCATACATCAATCGAGCCAAGGAGGACAAGGTGCCGCTCTGGCTTGTGGCGGGCAACCCGAGGGCAAGGGATGTCTATGGATACTTTGGCTTCAGGGTTGTAAAGGTTATCTGGTCGTATCCCAGGGACAGGAAGGAGGGCGACGAAGGCGTCCCGACTTGGTGCATGGTCTGCAACTGGCCGGTAGAGTAGAGGTTGCCGGGGCTGTAGTTAGAAGATAGTTGGCTATGATGAGAGTATTCCGCAGTGTCTGTGTATGGGATATTTTCATTGGGTGGTGGGGTGATGGGGGAGATCGAATTGGGCCGCAGGCTGGAATTCTTACAAGATTGATTACTAAGGAAACTGTTGACTTGCGCAGCCACCCAGTGGCAGCTACGGGCATCCATCTGGTGCTGCAGGTGCGCAGGTGCGCAGGCATTCACTGCACAAAATTTGATTGTGCGGGGGGATTTTCGTCCCCGTATGATCCACCCAACCACGCCCCCGACCATAGCCATCCACACCATCCCATCTCATCAGTCCATCCATTCATCCATTGTCCTATGGCACCTAATTCCCTATCCAGAACTTCAACCGGGTGCCTGAGTCGCTTCCCGCTTTGAACGACCTGACCTAGTTCTCAAGAGACGTCAACCTGGCCCTCGCCATCTCTGTCATTCCCTCTACAAGTTACAAGTAGGACCTCTCAGTGTTCTTGCGCGACATTCACCGTCATCGCAACGGCAGCAGCTACACGCACCCCCCGCTCGTTCTGGACTTCTCATACCTCGTCCCACCACCTCGCCCTTCGCTCAGCTCGTGGTGCTTGTGCTTGGAATTCGTATCGTTGCTGTTCGACGCAGCGTAACTTCCAGCGCCGGCTGCCCTTGTTTCTGGCCTATAATGTGGCCTCTCTCATAGCCTGGACGTCTCAGCGAAGGGTTGCCATGAGTGAGGAAGCCAGAGAGGCCTCGACTGCAAGCGGTTCCAATGCCGCTGAGCGCGTGGTGAAGAAGAGGGCTTCGCAAGCCTGTCACCATTGCAGAACCCGCAAGGTAAAATGCGACCTTGTTAAATCTGGCGTGCCTTGCCACAACTGCTCCTCGGACGGCATCGAATGTATCATCCTCGAATCGAGACGGAGCAGAAAGTATCGTCTGCAGAAGCGTCAGTCAACTCGCCCCACGGCGCTTCCCCCGATTTCCCAGGCGCAGCCAAAAACCGCCTCAGAGCCTTCAGCTACCGGGCTGCAACTCGCCGATGGTGTGAACGATGCAGCTCCAGCACTCGAGGCCAGTACTCCTACTCAATCAAATCATGGTAAGACCTCCGAGATGGTTGCACTATCAGCCAGCGCCTTAGTGACCTGAGATCCCTCTGTAGTGCGTTCCTTCGTGCCAATCGAATTTCAGACTCCTCACATTCTTCCTCGAAACAACAGTCTGGCCGCTCCGACCCATGCAAGCACTGCTTCTAATGCATCCGTCGTGGGAGCCGCCACTGATTTGCCGTCCTTCATTCGCCCTTGTCGGCCAGACATTCGGCAGGATGACTTGGACTTCCTGCGTCGCCGTGGCGCTTTGAGCTTACCCCTGGGCGAGCTCCATGATCAGCTGATTCGAGCTTTTGTGCTCTACGTGCACCCGTTCATGCCTATCGTCGATCTGGAAGACTTCCTGGGTGCCCTCGACGGCAAAGATGGCTCTCCAAAGATCAGCTTAGTCGTGTTTCAAGCCATTCTGTTCTCGGGCGCTGCCTTTATCGAGCTGCCGCTTCTCCAGGAAGCAGGCTACGAAAGTCGAAGAATTGCAAGAGCCGATTTCTATCAGAAAGTCAAGGTAAGTTTGTCGACAATTGTGACAGGGACAATATCATGGCTCACCACTCGTCTAGCTACTCTACGACTTCGACTGGGAAGTAGACCGAGTCGCCCTTATCCAAGCACTACTCCTACTAAATTACTGGTATGTGTCGGAGAACGACCAAAAAGATCCCTGGCATTGGCTCGGTGTCTGCGTTTCTCTGGCCACCAGTATCGGGTTGAATCAACCCTTTACACATGCTCAGAAGGACCCCAAGGTTAGAGCTCTGTGGAGACGAATATGGTGGAGTTGCGTCCACCGCGACAGGATCATCTCTATCAGCATGCGAAGACCAGTGCGAATCAAAGACGAGGATATCAGGCTCTCACCTCTGAGAATGGACGACTTCGAGACTGGGCCTTTCCCTTCGGCGATCTTGTGCCTCCAAGGCAATTCTTTTCTCACGGATAGATATGTGAGATCCATGTTGGCTGAGATGTATATCGCAAAGCTCAAACTGCTGCTCTTCATTGGACAGATCCTCAAACACTTCTACCACTTGCGCGGCTTTGGTGGCTCCACATCCGAGTCGACCTTACTCTATACTCCCAAAAAGTCCGAAGTCAAAGGGAAGCAATATCTGCAGTTGCAACATGACCTTGATCAGTGGTACAGGGAGCTTCCACCCAGTTGCTGGCTGGTAACGAGCAGCAGCAGTGATGACCTCGATCCGTCTACTGCAGACTCTGTTTTGATGCATCGGTCAGTATTGAGGATGCTCTACTTGATGGCATCTGAAGCTCTCAATCGCCCTCAATCACTGTCCAAGCCCCCCAGTGGCCGGGAGAACAGCCCAACATCAAAGGTCAAGGAAGCAGCTGAGAAGATTGCGGAAATGACAGAATCTCTACAAAAGCGAGACTTGGTCAGGTTTCTCCCGCCACTGTCGGTGAGTTTTATGCTGCTCGCACTCGCCTCCTTCTTGGTGGATATGAAAGCGAAGGGCCAAAGCATCGGAGCGCTGCCAGAGCACCAATTTCATATTTGTATGCGAGCATTACTGCAACTGCGAGAAATCTGGCCCATTGCCGATGCTGCTTGCTTTCTGATCGGACAGATGATCAACAAGCATCAAGTCGGCAAGATTTCGACGCCGGCTGTACAACCAGCACCGTTGAATATAAGTCTGTCATCGTCGAACGATTGGCGACCTCCTGAGATTCCCCCCAGACATACACCTCCTGTCCCCCGGTTTGACCAAGTATCGGCAGAAGTGCCTTTCACTTCTACCGCTTTAAGCGAGCCACCGACGTTCACAACACATCAACCAGAAGTGGCTCCCACAACGACACAGGGGTTCGTTATGCCTTACAATTGGACAGAGGAGGACTTTGAAGGCGACTATGGGGTCATGATGGAGGCTCACGCACTGAACATGGACCTCGCCATGCCCGATGCAGAGGTGTTGGGCTTCTTTGGCAACGGTATGTTTGACCTTGAACCATCACCACACCATGACCAAGCTGGACAAGATGGTCTCCCATATGCTCCGCAGCAATCTTCCGTCGTCTGTGATCCATGGAATTCCACGGTTGTCAATCAATATATGGATCCTTATCGCACGCCGAGATCGATCTAGTGGTATGCGACCGTCGTCATGTGTAACTGTTACACTTTCCGAACAAAGGCCCCCGAGTATAGTTGCCCTCGATCTGCAACACAGCCTTTGTTCAGTCGACCGAAGCTCTAGCTGGAGTCCAAAACAGACGGACATCCATCTGCACCTTATCGGGAATCCGGCCGGCTCGTCGTCTCACATGGTGCTTTTACAATAAGGTAACAAATGCTGATCGTGGGACTCTCACTACACCTGCGTGTGGGTCTTCATTGTGAACCCAAGCCTTTGCAATTGGCTTGGTAGGTTAACAATACCGAGAAATCAATCAAGAGTATCGCACTCAAGAGTATCAATACCGTGCCGAGAGGAATGTGCTCGCCAATTTGAGCGTTGTCGCGCAGGACAGGTTTGCGATTCGTCAACACTACACATGGATGCCAGCTGCGAGAACATCCGAGACAGGTATTTTCAGTGCAGTGGCTTCATTCTAAGCACAGTAATGTCTTTCTGGAGCATTTGCATAACACTTTGTGGAGGTCACTGCACCTCAGGCATGAAGTCGCGGTCAGCAGGAGGACGGACGTGGGAGCGGCAAGAAGCACATTCCTGACCAAATCGTGCGAGACGATTGGGAATTGTCTCTGTATCGATGAGCATCTGATCGCAGATTGAACGGACCAAACAGTCAGTTCCAGCGTCTTTGGATGTCTATATATAATAGCTGTACAGTGTACAGATATCTACTCGAGGCCCAGCCCAGCCTTGTTCATGCATGTATGCCATGGAAACGAATGCTCCCCAACCACTTGTCCTTCTCTTCTTCTTTCTTTTAGTACATTCACGTTCATATAATATCATATCATATGACGTATATGCCTAGGATAATATCCCATCACGGGAGTACAGAGGGAGGGGGGGGGGGGGGTTACGTACACAGGTATCAGGAATAAGAGGCCACGTAAGTCTAAGTGATTCAGTGATTGATATGGCGGGGAAGGACATGACTGGACTTCCATGTACATGTGTATAAATACGTGTAAAGACATAGAGACCGGTTGGAGACAGTTAGAGACACGTGGATAGGGAGAGAGAAAGAGATCAAGTTTTCAATCCACGTTTTTCTTTCCATAATGTCCGTGTGTCACGTACTGACTTGAGTCTTTGGCATAGTATATATGATATGATATGATGTGATATGGTATGGTATGGTATGACGGACAATGTAAAGTCTCATTCGATTGATTGATTGATTGACTGTTTATTTTATTCACTCGTTCGTCCTCGTTCTCGGTCTCGTTGGTTTGTCGTTTCTTCATCGCCAATGTATGTAGGTGGGTAGCCCCTGGGTCGAGAAAGATGTCTGTAGTTTCCCCCTCTACTTCAATATCCAGTAGGGTAAAAGACCACAAAGAGGAGACGGGCGAGTGTTGTTTTCCTTCACTCGTTCCCAGCCCCCCCTCCGCCGCTCTCCTCTCTGACCGACCAGGGTGTTTTCGACTCGGTACACAACACAAACAATACCCACTTCTCCCATACTCTTCTACCTCACTATCATCTCGGACCCAACTTCTCAAGAATCCGCGGTCCTTGCTCCTCCCACTCCTGCTTGCTGATCCACATGTTCTCCTTGTCCGCCATGATGTTGGCCAAGACGGCGCCGCCCAAGAACACCATGTGTCTCCGCCGGGGGGGATCCTCGATGCGGACCTTGAATTTGTTCAGTCGTTCGGGATTTCCGCCCAGCACGCGCGTGAGCCAGAGTTGCTTGAGTTCCTTCTCCAGGCGCGAGGGGAGACCGGGATACATGCTACTGCCGCCCGAGAGGACGATGGCCTTGTACAGTGAAGAGCGGACGTCCACGTCGGCAGACTGAATGGTGTTGAACAGAAATTCGGCGATACCGGGTTGTTCGACGTCGACCAGATGCGGTTGGAACAGACACTCGGGGGCTTCGAACCGCTCGCTACCTACGCGGATCACGCGGCCGTCCGGTAGTGTGTACGATTCCACAAGCACGGTAGTTTCTTCCGACAGACGTTGGTCGAGAGTCAGGTCGTACGAGACGTAGCATAGTTTCTCCTTGATCTGGCGTACAGTTTCAAAGTCGGCTGTGCGATTGAGCGCGTAGCCTCGCCGCAGGAGGAGGGCAATCAAATTCCGGGTCACGTCTCGACCAGCGACGTCCAGACGGCGGGTAAGATGGTTGAGGACCGTGGATTCGTAGACGGGCACAATGTGCGTAACGCCGTCTCCGGAATCGACGACGACACCCGAGGAGAGACCCTGTGCGTAGAGCGCCAGCACTGCCTGGATGGCGACATACACCCCGCCAAAGCCGTACCGTTCGAACATGACCTCGCACATCTGCTCTCTGTTCTTGAGCGGGTTCATCGGAGGTTCGGTCAACAGGATCTTGCGACCCCGGGGGTCGACCTTTAATTTCTCAAAAAAGGTAAAGTCCCAGAGATGTTGCATGTCGTCCCATTTCTTGACGATGCCGTTTTCCATCTGTAGCTCAGGGCGTTCTGGGTCAGTCATTTCTGCTCTCGACCGTTACCGGCGTGGGGAACTGCTTCTGCTGCTGGGGAGTCCTCACGGGATAGCTGATTTGTAACATTGATCTTGCAGCGGCAGCCTCATCTCCACACATGATGTCCTTGACCACGATATCTCCTGCCCGCTCTTCCGACCGCAGAATCGGCCGCCCGACTATGGAGGGGAACTGGTGTTCGGGGAAATTCTGTCGAGGTTGCACGGGTTAGGCCTCGAAACTTCTCACAAAAGCAACGGACAAGGGCCACGGGCAGGACGTACTTGAGCTGCATAGCCGACCTTAAGGAAACCGGTACCCCCATCGAGGACTGTGGTGCCTGGGTAAGCAGGAGATTCAATGCAATGTGGGCAGGCGAGGGGTCTTACCGATGGGTGGTTCAGCCATTGTGGAAGAGAGCGAAGGTCCAGAAGAGGTCGGACCCTCGCAGCTTGTCGGATAATAAGGAGGAGGGAGGGGAGAGGCGGGTGAAGCAGAAGTATGAAGACCTGGATGTCACACTTTCTATTGACACAAGACGACAAGCGACCGGATGTACATATATCTAGGCGCAGTCCAACTGAAGCAGCGGCATTGTGCTCGCAGTCTACCGTAATGCCAAGAATATCCTTCGTCAGCGTACTACCCCTCGCCCTCCACCAACCTCTGTGCCTCTTCTCCCAGCGCAAGGCTTGGCAAGGCTTAAGGACAGCCTTGTCACTTGGCCGTCGCATTGATAAAATCCTTCCCTTGTGTAGCCTCAAGCTCAGGTGAAAATCGAGTAGCTCTATCTAACACAGGAAGACATGCTCATCCAGCAGAGCTAGACGTCTCGGTCCTATCGAGGCAGCAGCTCTGTCGACATGGGCTCCGCACGATGTGGACAGTACTGTTCTTTTCACAGATTTCATTTTTACATTCCATGCTCGATCAACGATACTCGATGTCAGTTACCTGCACAGTCAATCACACACAATATTTCTTCATGTAACGGACAACATCTGTCAAGCTTAGCCTCACCCGTATGTGAGTGACGTAGACAGACATCCCTCGACAATCTCCGCAATGGCTGCTTCGAGTTCCCCAAAGCCGACTGTGGGGTTAGCCGACAGGGACAAAGTAGAGTTTCGGGCAATTGAGCCCGACTGTCTATATATGTGCCTGGTATCTTCTCGAAGACGGGACGGAATGTCCGCCGTTGTTTTTCGACCTGCATCTCATTGTTTGACAAGCATACATTCGGGCTGCTCTCGGTGAGCTGGTGCGTCTAATATAGTCTTGAACAGCCAGCACATCTCTTCGTTGTCTCCCTCTCCTCTCGCTCTCTGTAAAGGATAATATTGGTACAAAGATGGTCTCCCCACCTCAAGCCAACGGTGGTGGCGGTGGAAAGCTCCACTTCCTCTTCATCCGCCACGGCGAAACACAAGACAACATCGACCGGATCCTCCAAGGGCTGCGGGACACGAGCCTGACGGAGAAAGGGCACCGGGAGGCGCAGGTCCTGGCGGACAAGCTGCGCGGGCAACATATCGACGCCGTCTACCACTCGCCCCTCCTCCGCATCGTGCAGACGATCAAGCCCCTCCTCGCCGAGCGCGCGGACGTCCAGGTCCACGCGGACCGGGACCTGACGGGCCAGGCGCTCGGCGAGCTCGAGGGCGGGTCGTACGACTCGATCGACATGGGGAACCCGCGGAGCGCCGACGGCGGGCCCGGCGTCGAGCTGTTTGACGATTTCGTGCGGCGGCTGAAGCGCGTCTTTGCGCGCATCGTCGGCGCCGAGGCACCGTTGGTCGGCGAGCAGGATCGCACCGTGGTGATCGCGACGCACGGCGTGGGCATCACGTCCCTCTTCAAGACGCTCGAGTCCAGCCCCTCGTGCGACGGGTTCAACCCCAAGGTTGCGACGCGAGGGCCCGACGCATTCGAGGTCCGCTGGACCGACAGCGACGATGTCGCCAGACTCGTCGTCCCGCAGCCGGCGCAGCTCCCGATCAAGGACGGAGTGTTGGACTGGTCGTCCCTTTCTGGCCAGCCGTTCCTGATAGAGGTCTGGGGCAAGAAAGAAAAGGCATTGTGAGCACGCACCTCATACAGAGATTGCCCGGCTCGGGTCACGAAGACGGCACCAGACGGTGGTCAGAGGAGCGCGCGTGAGGACGATATTCTGGGTTGCATACACGCCGAAATGGCTGGGAGACTTTCGGCAAGTAACAATCAGATCCATTGCACGTTATCATCATTCATCTCTCGTAGTCTCATTCAAATCGTAACCTAACATTTCATGTCCCTCGTGACAAGTACTCGAAAATGCCAATTGCGTGAGTCCAACCCATTGTATCGCTAGAAGAACTGCGAATCACGAGTCCTGTCGAGTTTTCCTCCACTCACATCTTCTTGAAAATCCTCCCAGATTCTTGATATGCCATTTCGAAGCAGAAAAACACTGCAATATATGCTGCGCCAATGCCACGCTAAACCCACAAACACATGCATCATCATCATTCCACGAGACACTACTCTCCGGTTCAGGCCAATTCTTCTCAAAGACCCATAAGATCCTCAGCCAGGTCTGCACCAAAGTTCCCAACCGTCGTGCGAGTTCTCTCTGGCTTCTTCTTATACTTCTTCATGGGATCTGGCGATGGGCTTCTAGACTTCTTCCATGCTCAAAGTGATGCGTCAGCATGTCGTGAATGCAACAAGAACCTCTTGCACTTCCAAGCACGGGACGAAAAAAGACGCCGGAATGACGGAATCATTCGTCGCCGGCACGACTGCGACTCACCGCATGCCGAGACTTGGATCTCCTGCTATCGTAATCATCAAAATCTCCATCTTCCTCGTACATTTTTCTGGCGCGATTCGAGTCTCTGATTGCGCGGTCATCGTCGTAATGGCCTCCTGCTCCAGCACCAGAACGGCTTCCACGGTAACTTTCACTGCTCTGTGGCTCAGGCCCGTCGTAGTACCAGTTGCCGTCTCTTCCCTTGTAGTAACCTCCCCGTTCCCTTGCCCGCCGGCGTCGCTCGCGCTCCATACGCTTTTTGTGGTGTTCTTCTTTCTGTGAGAGCAGCTCCTTGTGTTGGTTGTGCTCCTCGGACAGTTCATTCCACTCGCTCACCGCACCTTTGAGACCCAATGCCGCAATCCCAATGGCCGCAGCATCCTGCCACCGGGAAGCACGTTGTTGTTTGTGGGCTTCTTCTGGAGACATTTTGCCTTCGCGAACTTTCTCCATTCGTTTATCGTGCGACTCGATGGAGGAATAGACCTTGGAGGCGGCGTGTATCGTGGCCACACTTGCGAGGGCGGCGGTGAGCCATTTTTTGCGTTGCATCTTGCGAATGTTCTTCTCTTCTTCGGTGGAAGAGAGCAGCGACGAGGAAGAGGAAGAGGAGCTCCGATGGCGACGGGAGCGACCAGAGGAGGACTTTGCCCGTACACGGGATCGTGGAGGCACAGAGCCTTCCGATTCATAGTAATCGTCTCGATGGCGATCTCGGTCGCGGTGGGCAATCAGCGCACCTGCACCAGCACCTGCGGCGGCGCCTGCACCAATGTCCCGACCGGTGTGCATAGAGGTGGCTCTTTGTCGCTGCTCAGACCGACCAGGCCGTCGGGGCAGAATGTCCCCTTTGTGCCTCACCACTTCCACAATCTCTTCGTCCGAGGCAACATCGCGCCGACGGCGCAGGACGAGGCCCTTCTCTTCCATGGTTCTTCTGTCGTAGAGATCAGGATCAGGTTGAGGGACGTCGCCACGCATCTTCTTGTATCTGCGGTGAAGGGGATCGATGACCTTATCATGGTGTGTGAGGGCGAGGTTCACGCCGTTCAGGCCTAATCCTAGAGCCTGATCCATTTTGAAAGGGGTCGGGCGTTACACGCGGCTGTCGTCGTGAGCCGGTAATGCAGCTGGCGGGAGCGTCTCGAGATCGGAATTGGTTCGCTGGGTGTCAGTCAGGACGCCTTGCAGCACCCACCGCCCGACTTGTATAGCGCTGCAGAGGGGAAGTTCGCCTGCACAAAGGACGCCGGCTGGCCTATTGGCTGAGCGACACACAATTTCTGTGTTTAATTGGGTGCAGGTCCGGGACGGTTTAATTAAGAGCAAACATATTGAAGAGCCACGGGGAAAGGGCTGGTCTATCGTAGGATGTGAGGCTCGCACAGAGAATCTGCGGTTGCGCTTAAAAGTCCGAACGCACAAAGGGGCAGGCACCATAAGCAAATAAGTAGAAACCGAGAAGTGAGTCTATAGAGAAGACGTCATTGTGTGGCAGCTACACCGACTTTAACAAAGTCCATTGGGCTGTTTAAAGGGTTTGCTCGAAGTCAACTGGATACAAGAACGAAAAGAAGACAGAATAGGGAACAGACATTGGTCATGGGGTTTCGTATTTAACGGCGGACTGGACGGGTCGGTGGATGGGGCCGCTTCGACGGACACCGCAGAATAATGCTTATCTGACCAGGAGCGCCATGTTGGGGGATGCCATTTCTACGAAGGTCGTGGAAGTCCCACTGTGGGAGAGGTTGGTGATCGAGGATGGGCGATCCCGGATCAACCCAGACACACCAAAGACCCGGAGGGAGAAGGAAAATGTGCAAGCTTTGGTTTTAAGATCGCTTCACATCTCACGATCGACACATTCAACGTGGACCAAGAGGCGAAGACTGATGATACCTGAATGGGGCAGGAACGAGAAAATGCCGAGAGGAAGGCGAGCCACTCAGCATGACAGCTGCGACACGACGAAGTGAAGAGAGAACAGGGAAGAAGGTGAGCGAGGCGACCGAGGGTACAAGGGGCGCTGTAGGAGGAGAGAGGAAGAGGCTGGCATTGAGTCTTGCACAAAATTGTACGAGGTACTTGGTAGAGCGGGGAGACTTCTCCTAGGTGCATGACGTCGGTCGGGCTCTTTACCTTCCTGGGTGATGCCCAATGGCCTAGACCGCCTACCAGATCCTCCCCTGTGGATGGATGGGTATTAGGTGCCACCACTGCCTAGCAGGTGCCTGTTGATCGCCCAGGCATAAACAGCCAACAGCCTTTCTTCTGTTGTGCTTGGTAGGTGGAAGGAACGCACTGTTGGTCACTTCCTGCCACTTCCAGTTAGTCCCTCAACCACATCAACGACGTCATCATCAACTTTCCAGCCTCCACAGCCTCTTGCACCGACTACAATACGGCCAAGGCACATGATGGTTGAACGGCGCCACGAATGTTGAATTGATATTTCACAAGGTCAGAGATAATGTACGCTCAAATGTAACAAGACCCCTCAGAGAATCTCTTCTCGGGCCTGTCAATTGTCAGTTTTGAGCAATCAATTTTAGCACATCTTCGGCACAACAACAGTCAATGAGAGCGGCTGAGTTGCAATTTGACATCCGTGCTGTAAAAAGGTCATTTCCTCCCACAAAAAGAAAAGCCTGTATCGGATCCCGTGAGCTCAGCATGCTTTTGGACGTGACCTTTTTCTCAAACTATACTTCAGAATGCCACCAATACCTGGGCAAATACTCGGTACATATGTGCCAATCCGCATCCTCTACCGAGCACCACAGAATACGACACAACGAAAACAATCATAGTTCGCCATGACTAGTGGTGTCGCTCGAAGTGCCATTTTGTGTTCCATTGAGGACTGAACCGCTCCACATCTGTCCCCAGAACTTCTTCAGGTCCTCAAAGACCACGTCGAATCGGGCACCCACAAGCCATGCGGCCCCAAGCTAGAATCACGTTAGCGCTCATTGGTGCTTTCAGAACGAGGGCTTTCTCACTATAGTAACAGTAATGATGAGGAGCATCACACCCACCGCGCCAAACAGCGCAAGTGACTCGGATGAATCCTTCGATGCTCCTTTCTTGGAAAGGGCCGCTCGAGCCTCGTCTGCCTTGTTCTTGGCCAAGACGTCCTCAACCTTTTGGGAGGGGAATATCGACTCGATAAACTGCTCCACCTTGCCACAGGCAATACTGATCTTCAAAAAGTTGGGGTCCTGCGGCCGATTCTTTTTGCGGATAGAGTGAATATGTCGGCGGAACACCTCACACGCCACCTGCAGGTTTTGGGTCGATTCGAGCATGATCTGACAGGCCTCGCCCTTTGTGATTTTAATGTTGCGGAGGAACATGGAGTAATTCCTGAAGCAGAGATCCAGCGTCGCAATCGCCATAGTCTGGGGAATTGCGCAAAAGTTGAACACACTCTGCTCCCGAAGCCCAGCCATATAGAAAATACATTCGTCGGCATGCTCGAGTGCGTTCAATACCATTTCCGCGCTGCAATTTAGTGCCTGCTCCTTGTACTCTGGTTTGAAGAGATCTTCAAATTGGTCAACGTGCTTGGACCAGATCTCCTTTGGCCAGAATATTCGCTGGTCGTCGAAATCCTCTCGCACGTCTCGTATGATGTTGACCTTTTGCAGGAAAAGCCCCATCGATCTGTGAAGGTTGGATCTCTGGAGCAGAGCCGGGTTTCCGAATTTGCTCTCAACAAACATTCTCGTGCATCCCTCACCGACCAATCCCGCCACATAGTAACAATACTGGTCGTACTCTTCGCAGGTCATGACGGCAAAATTGTTGTTCTCAGATTTCAGGCAATAGTCGGCCATGCCATTGCCCATTCTCTTCGCGATATCCTTGACGATAACTTGGTAGGCAGGTTTCATCTTCTTGAACTCTTCGATGACGCAACCGTAATTGAGCAACAGTTCTCGATCCTTCTCCTCTGGCCTGTTCTCAGTGTAAGTCCATCCGTCAATCTCAAGAACCTCGTCGAAGCTGCGCAGAATTGGTTCCTTCTTCTTAGCGGGGATCGAGGTGTCATCTTCAATGGTATCCAGACCGCGTAGAACCAGGTAGAACACAGTAACTGGCAGAAGAAGCTCTGGGTGCAACTCTTTGATGACGGCGCTGAAGGAGCGACTGGTCATGTCCAGGTACTTGAAGCAGTTTTTGACGGATTCGGTTTCTTTGGATTCATCTCGTTCGTGGACCGGGTTGTGCCAGACTTTCCTGAGCAAGTGTCAGCCACCACACGCGACGTGAGCTCGCTCATCAAACTCACCATTGAATGATAGAGCGCAATTGCTGGGGGTGTAGGAGGTAAAACAAAACCTCGCTGGATTTGACCATTGTGACGAAGATTCGAGGTTGGATGCAATTTTCAGGTCAACTTGTGGAGAGGTCCCCTTGTTCCTAGCTGACCGTTGAACACTCCCGACGTATGGAGAACACTAGGTGATAACGAGCGACCATGGTCCAGAGGAGAAAAAGGGGCGGCGAGTTTTCATCAACTACCCGTGGCTCGACGTGAACTAGACCGTCGTGTTTTTGTGTGTGGAGGTTCGCATCTCCGAATGGCACGATCCCTATTAACCGAGGGTTCAACTATTAGGGAGGAAGGCGATGCCAAATCGGCTCTAGGGACCTTTGCTTGACCTTCTGGTGACCCCAAAATCTATCCGGGCAGGTTGACCGGGGCGCGTCATAGCCACAGTGGCACCCAAGTGGCTGAGCTGCAGGCATCACTCATCTACCTATGACTTCACCCCCTGTGCTGGGTTTCGTGCTTGCGGCCACCAACGGGACCGGCGGCCTTCACGAGCCCAGAGGCTGCGATATAAATCGTACACGTCTCCATCTCATGCCAGTTGGCGCATCGGCCGGATCTTACATCCATCCCAGATAGAATTTGCACCCGCTACAATGGTCGTCGACACTTCCTACTATGACGCTTTAGGCGTCAAACCAGATGCCTCCGAATTGGAGATCAAAAAAGCCTACAGGAAGCTCGCCATCACCACCCATCCTGATAAGAACCCCGGCGACGAAACCGCGCACGTCCGCTTTCAAGCCGTCGGTGAAGCCTATCAAGTCCTATCGAACAAGGACACCCGCGCCGCGTACGACAAATATGGCAAGGAAAAAGCCATGCCTAGCCAAGGGTTCGAGGATCCCGCCGAATTTTTCAGCATGATCTTTGGCGGTGATGCCTTTGTCGACCTAATCGGCGAATTGAGCCTCCTGAAAGATCTTACACATACCATGGACATCACAATGCAGGCCATGGAGGAAGAAGAACTTGCCAAAACTGCGGAGGAAAAGCTGAACATCCACGAAGCAAAAGAAAAAGAGGCGACCACGCCGACCACGGCGACCATGGACGCGAAGGAAACCGAAGCAAAAGCACATTCCGCATCGGAGGGGACCACCGTACCGCCTCCACCATATGTTTCCGGTGAAGAGCCATCGACGTCCACCGGCAGATCTTCTGGGACTAGCACCCCGCAGAGAAGATACGCTGGGCAGCAAGCCATCATGGATCGATCAGAAGAAGATGCGCGTATGGATGCGGCGGGTTTGACGCAAGAAGAAAAGGACTTGCAGAAGAAGAAAAAGAAAGGCGGCTTGACCAAAGAACAGCGGGAGAAGTTGGAAGCCTACGAACGGGAGAGACGACGCCTCCGAGAAGAACGAGTCGAGACTCTGGCAAAGAAACTGGTCGATCGTATCAGCGTATGGACAGAAACGGATAAGAGCCCCGAAGTCACCCACGCATTCCAAGAAAAGATCAGACTGGAAGTTGAAAATCTCAAGATGGAGTCCTTCGGTATTGAAATCCTCCACGCCGTCGGACAGACATACATCCAAAAAGCCACCTCGTTTCTCAAATCCCAGAAGTTCCTCGGCATCTCAGGCTTCTTCTCCCGTCTAAAAGACAAAGGCACCCTTGCCAAAGACACATGGAACACAATCTCCTCAGCCATCGACGCTCAACTAACAATGGAAGAAATGGCCAAGCTGGAAGAAAAGGGTGGTGCCGATTGGACTGATGAGAAGAAAGCAGAGTACGAAAGAAAAGTCACTGGCAAGATCCTGGCAGCTGCGTGGAGGGGTTCCAGGTTCGAGATTCAGGGCGTGTTAAGAGATGTGTGTGACCGGATTCTGAACGATAAGAACGTTCGACTGGAGAAGCGAATAGAACGAGCACATGCCCTGGTCCTCTGTGGGACTATCTACCAAAAGGTAAGTCTCGTCTGTTTAAGAGGCGCATCTCCCAACTTTGGAATGTACCTCGTCAATGCTAACGTTGTGTCATTTGCAGGCTGAACGCGATCCAGACGAGGAAGGCGACTTTATGGCCTTTGAACAACTAATGGCCGAGTCGATGAAAAAACAAGAGAAGAAAAAGGAAAAGGAGAAACAAAAAGAGAGTGTCCACGGTGACCAATCACACAGACACTTCTTTGGAGGCAACCGAGAGTCCAGCGCCAGTGGCTCACCCAGACAGTCGACATCGGCGTGAATTTGAGACCGGCCAGGGCTGTGACACCAGCATTCTCCAGGCGGATCATGATTGAAACGAAGCCTGAGGCCGGATATCAGAGAGTCGAGTCGTGACTCTTATGGGACATTCGATCCGGGCCATCTATCAACCATCTGTGGCGTGCGTGTGGAATGTGTCGACTTTCTTCCTCGCGGATTGGCTAGACCTTCTTCACAGGCACGAATGCATGACGATAAAGTTCTCCCTCCCTTCCTCCCCCCCCTTCTCTCTCTCTACTTGCACAACCTACTACGTACTATTGGGGTAATCAGGCACAGGCTTGGTTGGATCGGGCCTGTATCGTCGAGGAAATCGCATATGGTGGGGTCGGGACTGGATCAGGGACGGGATCAGGATCAGGATAAAGGCAGGCAGGCCAGAAAGCGTTGCTGTTCGATGTCGTTTGTTTTGAACATTACTCGCGCTCGCCGACACACATAGATATCAAATTCCCCCTATTTTCCTCTTTCCCTTTCCCTTCTTTATCTGTTTTTTTCTCTTGTTCCCTTCTTCTTGCTCCTCCTCTGTCTCCCCTCGCTAGAAAGAAACCCTTCGCCCTGAAAAAGTGCCCATGTCCGTGTAAACGGACGACACGAGTTGTCTCAGCACTCGACAACTCGCACCAGAAGAAAGTGTGTGTCTCTCCTTCTAGTTCTTGGATGAGGTACATACAAAGTACACAGCGAGAGCGTGAGAGTGAGTAAATATGAGTGAATATGAGTGTGAGTTGGAGTGATGATACTTTTTGTTTCTTCTTCTTCTCCTTCTCCTCCTTCTCTCTGTACATACTGTATGTTTTTTCTCGGTCAAGTCTCGTCTCGTCCTGCTCAGCTTTCTGCAACCATTATCTTCTCCTTCACGACGCCCGGGAGGATTGATATATATACCCAACCTCCAACCCGACAGGCGAGGCTTTTCGACTGCCTCTCCTTCTGCGCACCAGGGTTGACAAACTAGACACAAAAAAAAAAAGACTCGGCAATGATTTGGGGGGTATCATTTTATACACAATCGCAACGATCGCAGATTCCACGTCTTATCCACACCCAACAAGCTCAACTCCCGCCACAACAACAAAAGGAAATAGCAATCTCTTCACGTAATCCGGCTTCCAATGCAGTCTGGGTCATCATGTCGTAAAGGAAGACAAACTTTGTCTTCCGTGGATCCAATACAAGAGTTTCAAGGCGCGCCAATCTAGGTGTCGGCCAGCTGCGCGCTGACAGAATCCAATATATCAGACAATTCGTCCAACGAGGGCATCGCTGTCATATCGCTGGCAATGATTGTTGGAGGCGGCCCGGCTCCCCACAGCGCCGCCTCGTCTATGTTCGCCTTGGTGATGCTGGGACTCAGTAGACCTTGTCTGGCCTCCTGCTCCTCCACACCGTTCACGAACCCCCTTTCATCCAACTCATCGTCGTTTAAAACTTTCCCCCCAAGCTTCACGTCCCCAATGCCTACTCGGTAATCAAGAGCTTTGTTCCCTTCTCGAATTAGCTCCTCCGAACAGGTGAGACATCGTTTTATACTTTGGCTGAGTTTTTGGACGTCAACAAGGAGTTGTTGATGGCGCGACAGGTCTTGCATCAGTCGTTTCTCGTCCCTCGCGCGCTGGCGCGATCGGACCGATGGACTCAGCATGGAACCAGACTCGTTGGACAGCATAGAACCATCTTCGTCTTCGAGATCGTCTAGATCGCTGTCGTCGTCGTCTGAAAATTGACGATCTTCTTCGTCAAACTCGGTGACCGTTCCCAGTGTGAGATCAGACTGCCCGGAGATTGTCCTTGTTGTCGGCGCAAGCGATAATCGCCCTGAACGAGACAGTCGCCGATACCTTCTTAGCTCTCCAGTCTGCTTGCGGAGTTCACGTTCCAAGGTCTTGTTGATGGCAAGTAATGACGAGTTCGAGATTTCTAGATCCAGGACTTTACGTTCCCGCCGGGCGTTAGCAGCTTGATCCAAGTGAGAATGGATGATGGTAGTTGCTAGGTCTGTTCTTGAGTCTGAACTCGGTGCAGGTGCACCGGGAGTCTTGCTGACTTCTGAGAGTTCCGTGTCACTCGGGACAGAAGTGGGGACAGTGTTCGTAGATGCAAGGCTGGTAGACCTGGGACTCAACGTTTCCGGGGAAAGGAGGCTTTGCCCATGGATCCGGGGTGAGACTAGAGGAGCAGGTTGGAGATCCAGTGGCTGGGGCGGTTGTGCTCTAATGTTGCTTAGTTGCCTGAGAGCCGGGGAACCAATAGAACTTGCGCTGATCGACTTTCGATGACTGTTCGGGGTAGGCTGAGACGCTGTAGTACTGCCTGAGCTGCTCTTAGGACGTTCGGCAGACGCTCGGGGCCCCGGAGGTGAAGGCGCCTGGGTAGGTTGTAGTTTTCGGGGCGATGAGGGTTCTGGAGGGAACACGTTGTGAGCTCTGTTTGGGGATTGGGGAGGAGTATTTCGAAAGCCGTGTGTGGCTGTTGTGATGGTAGGACTGTTCAACCTCTCTGTTGCGATGTGAGGAAGGATGTTACGTCGAGCCGGTGCGTGTGGTGTTAAATCGTTTGCCCTGAAGAATTTATCGTCCAGGTTCTCCTTTCCACTTGCATTATCCCTGCCCAACGGGGGAGAACCAACGAAGAAATGTCCTGGCCTTGGAAGAAATCGGTGGCCCTCGTCAGCCTCTGGGGATCCGACAATGGGCTTGACCTCGTTCGCGTGGAAGAACTTGGACGTGATATCTTTATCCCCCTCCACCATGCTCTTTGTCGCGGACAACCTTCGATGGATGGTCACGGCAGGCGTAGATGTTGACGTGTTTGCTCTCGGTAGAGCACCTGTACTGGCAGCCAGCCGTGGGCTGGTGAGCCCGAGGCCTCGCATCGCACCAACAGCGGGTTTCGAGGACTCATTGCCCGACGACGCTCTCGACCTCTGACCGTTGCCCGTTCCCCTTGGCTGTGCTGGAGTCAAGGGTGACTCTGTTCCAACCCGTGACTTCCTCGCACCAGACCGAGGAGTGATATTTCCATTTAGGGGTGTTGTGGTCTGATCGGGTTTGGGGGGCGATTTTGACCTGACGAAAGGGTCCCTGCGAGAGGACAGGTTTGGCGAAGACGAAGCAGAGCCGACCACTCTCGGGGTCAGGGGGCTTTTGGCCGTGCGGAAGTTTGCACTGAGAGCCGGAGTCAGTGGTTTCGAGGTGTTGGACCGGGTTTGTTTATCGGCGTGCATCGTTGTCGGGAGGGGCGAACGTCGAGAACGAGGGACGGGCTGTGGCAGCGGGCGCTCTCGCTCTCGCATGACAGCGACAGAAGGAAGTCCAAGGCTGGATAGAGACCATTATTGTCGGCTCAAGAGGGCGGGCAGGCTCTGAGTCTCTGTAGACAGCGAGCGCAGGTGGTGTCTCTCCACATTCAATGTCAACAAGCTGTTTGAGATTCCGGGTGCACGCTCCAGAAGATTACCGCGAACGGTTTAGCTTGCGCGGTTTGGTTTCGTCACTGGGAGGCAGGCCACGGGCACCCACGGCAGGTGACTTTTCCAAGGTTCTCGCTAAAACACGTCCACCATCACGCCCCTGCCCTCTGTCGCGTCCTAGACACCACCAGACTGCCAACTGCTCAAAGCGGCATCGCACTATGCTGCCCGATGTCATCCCTCCGGTGTTGCAATGACATTGCATGACGAGAATGATGGCCTCACTACCACCATCGCCCCGGACACAGACAATTCCCCAGACCATGTCGATCAGATACCGCAGCCCCAAGAAGCCTCCCTCCAGGCAGCCCAACACCATTCCCTGAAGCACCATCTACTCGGCCCTTCCCTGACTAAGGCAGGACAGGATACGGTTGATCAAAAGAAGGTCTCTGAGATCATATACGAGGCGTCGAAAGGCTCCAAGTTCTTCAACAATGAAGAAGTCAGGGACAGGAATTTGACTCTAAAGATCGAGCGGATTCTCAAACACAAGGCACAACTGGAGAAGCTCGACCTCAAGACGGATTTGCGCCGGGCAGATGACTACATTACCTCCCTCGAAGTGGCGAGAGACCTGTCACAATATGTCGTCCACATTGATTGTGATGCCTTTTACGCCGCCGTTGAAGAGATTGACCGACCTGAGCTCAAGAATGTCCCCATGGCCGTAGGGATGGGGGTCCTTACCACCTGTAATTATGAGGCCCGCAAGTATGGTTGTCGCAGTGCCATGGCAGGCTTTGTGGCCAAGAAACTGTGCCCCCAGCTGATCTGTTTACCCTTGAACTTTGACAAATATACAGCCAAGGCAAGAGAAGTGAGAGCTATCCTCGCAGAATACGACCCGCGTTTTGAGAGCTCCAGCATCGACGAAGCCTACCTGAACATCACCGAGTATTGCCACACTCATCAAATGGACCCGGAGGCAGCGATTGAACAACTTCGAAAGGAAGTGCACGAGAAGTGTAAGATTACAGTCTCCGCGGGGATTGCACCCAATGCCAAATTGGCCAAGATCTGTTCCAATAAGAACAAACCCAATGGGCAGTTCCGAATCCCCAATGAGCGAGCTGCCGTCATGTCGTTCATATCTGCACTCCCCGTCCGCAAAGTCAACGGCGTCGGTCGTGTCTTTGAGCGAGAGCTCGATGCGATTGGTATCAAAACATGCGGTGACATCTACGTCCACCGGGCGTATCTGTACAAATTGTTCGGTGAGAAGGCATTCCATTTTCTGATGCAGACATATCTTGGACTGGGACGCACCGTAGTACAGCCTGCTGAGGAGTATGAGCGAAAGAGCGTGGGGACTGAAAGCACATTCCGCGACATGAGCAACAAGCAGGAACTTCGAGAAAAGCTTCGGCACACAGCCGAGGAGCTTGCAAAAGATATGGTTCGCGTCGAGGTCAAAGGCCGGACCCTAGTCCTCAAGGTCAAACTGCACACCTACGAAGTCTTCACCCGACAAGTCGTTACCCCGAAAGCAGTTCACCTTGCGGACGATCTCTACAACTACAGTCTACCAATGCTGGCCAAACTCGAGAAGGAGATCCCGGATTTCCGGCTTCGCTTGATGGGACTACGATGCACTCACCTAGTCAGCACCAAGAAGGCAGGCACCGATTTCTTCCGTCGTAAAGTCAACAGTGACAACTTCTCCAATGGGAAGCCTGCCGATCATGCAGAGTGGGAAGTTTGGCCAGATTCAGAGTTTGAAGAAGCCGCGCGTCAGGAGAGGCAGGAGGAGATCGAAGAGCTTGAGCGCCTGAGTCAAGAGCAGCAGCATGAACCTGCTCAAGAGCAGGACCAGACCGTCCTTGCACCAGGCGTCTATGTTTCCACCGCGGACTGGCACGAGCCGTTTGGCAAGTACAAGTACGGCAGCGAGTCGAACTCGCCGGCAGCATCACCACAAAGCAAGCATGGACGGGTGCTGAACAAAGCTGTAGCAACTGCCTCGAAAGAAGAACACAAAGAGGAAGCACTATGGGATTGTCCAGTCTGCCAACTCCCGCAGCCAGCCAACGACAGGGAGTTCAACGGCCACATCGATCTGTGTCTCTCGCGGCAGACCATCAAAGAGGTTGTGGCCGAGACGAACGGATCTGTCTCCAGGGCCTCTAGCAGAGCACCGCCTGACACGTCTGGGCTAGAAAGGCCGAAATCCGCCAGTGGATCGAAACCGAAGAGGAAGTTCGCTTCTAGCAGTCTAGACGAGCCGGAAGCCGTGGGCGGGAGAAGGCAAAAGAGACTCTTCTTCACCTGAAATTTCACGACTTTGTAGGACACGGTCCCAGGAGAAATGACTTTGATATACCAATAGCGATATTTCATTTTTGGACCTCGAGGGTTTCTATTCTCATGACACCGTCCTACTTGGGGTATAATGATCTCCAGTTGGATTGGATCTGGTCCAAGTCCATGACGGATATGTAAGTTTGACGTATATAGTGTAAGTCCCAACGCCTGTAGATGCCAAATTCTTGCACAAAAACCCCCATGTCCAGCCTGACTGGAGCCCGAATTTTCGCTTCCTCCCGCGCCCCGAATGCGTGCTGCTGCTGGGGCATGCCTCCATCCAGGAGTCCAATTTCAATACATTTGCCCCCCGAGAATCGTGGCATCGCATTGAGCCACACATCCCAACCAAAAAAAGTCCCGTCCTGCGCCGTGGACGGTATACGACCACCAAAACATCAGCAAACGTCACTAGACCTCGCAAATACAAGAGTTGGACCTGTCCGACTCGTCAAAAAAGCAGATCAACTGGCCCTTCTTCTATTGCTCGACACTGGCTCTTCATCCTCTTCCTCGTCGTCGTCATCATCAAAGACTTTGTTCTCTTCCTCTTCTTCCCGTTTCAACTGTTCTTCTCTCATCTCTCGATACGTGGCCCAGCTCAACATGACGAACGCCACAACGATCAAGCCGCAACCGGCGAGTGCCGCCGTACTGAGTGGTTTTCCGGTGATGATCCAGTCTGTAATACCCACCAGAAAGATTGTGAGGAGTGCGGCAACAGAACTTAGGACTGGCGAGGTGAGGGACATGAGGACGAGGAAAGAGCCGGAGAAAACAGCATTGGAGAGGGTGGAGATGGCGAGTAATCTGGCTGCTTGGCCACTTGGAATCTCAAATATCTCCAGGCCAGTCCAATGAAGGATGGGGATAGGGATCCAAAGAACGGTCAGTGTGAAAAACCCGACCATGCTGCCAAACGTGTTTGCGAAAATCATTCCCCTGCCTGGGGAAGTACCCTCAGGGGGACAAGCGAAGCGTTTGTAAAGAACTTCGTAAAAACCATACGCCACCGAGCCAATGCCAATGATGATGTTCCCCACGAGTTTTGTTCCGAATCCCTTTTCAGCACCGGGGTTTGATGTCCCCGGACCAGGGGTGGTGTCGTCTTTATCGCCATATGCGACGACGAGGACGCCAATGATGGCCAGAGCAACCGAGATTGCCTTGTCAAAGCGTAATTTGTCGTTCAGGAGCATTATGGAGAATACATAGGCGAAGAAGGCGGAACAGTTGTAGATCGCGGTGAGGTCGGACGGTGAGGTCAAATTGACAGCAACGTACCACGATCCTCCGGCCATCGTGAGAAACGTGGTGATGAAGGCGGTGGCTCTGATCATGTAGGGCCAAGGGGAGACCAGAGTGGTGGACTTTGAGAGATGGAGTTCTTGAGAGCGGACCATTTGCGCCGTAGAGCGGAGGAGGTAAACGTGTCTTCGCCAGAACGCGGGCCAGGACAGTTGTCGTTTCTGTATCCGGAGGAAGATGAGTTGGACTGGCCAGAGGAATATCCACGAGCCGTGCGTCAAGTACATCATGCAATACGCCTTGTCCCATTTCAGTTCGTGTTGAATATATACCGCCGTTTCCGTCTGTACGACAAAGGAGATGAGGGAAAGGATGAGGAAGAAGGAAGCGTAGATGTATTTCCGCCGCACCATGTCTTCGGGTTGGACGTATGAAGGAGACCGCGAGCGAAATGTACTCCTCCGAGACGAGAGTGCTGGTCTGGCTGAGCCATGGAGACTTGGTGACTCTGGTCGGCCTCTTGTGTTTGTATGTTTGTCTTCCCCTAATAGCGGTTCGTGCGATTCTGGCCCAAGAGGCTGGTGCATTGACGTTCTCCCAGCCATATCGTCGTCGTCTTCCTCTTCGTCTTGTCTATGTTCGTCATTCACATCGAAATGCACCCCTCGAATGTGCTGTCGATCCGCCCGGAATTCGTCTTTTATAGCTGGGGGAAGGGAGTTGAGACGCAAGGGGCTCGAAGGACGTAAAGTGGATTTGGCGGATGCGGCAGAGGCCGAAGCGAGAGGTAGGGGCGACTCAGTGCCAGGAGGCGTATAGATGAGATCTCCCCCAGACGAGTCGCTACTGTCGGACGGTGTCATCCATGCGGTTGGGAACAGGCAGGATTATAAAAAGGTCACCAGATTTGGTCAGTGGCCTGCGGTGTGGGGAGGACAGAATCATGCGCAGTCGGTCTGCAGTCGATACGTGGCGCTGCTGGTACCAGTGGGACGGCTTGTACGACTCTGATAGGAAGGGCTGTGACGGCGTCGAGGTTCACCCGTGAGATTCACCAATGTAGTTGTCGATAAGGACGGCGAGAGAATTGCACCATTCTCTTAATGCCCTGCGGAGATCAAAGGCTTCCATCATCTGCATTAAGTGTTGGCTGCCGATTGGGGGCGTAGACGAGGAGGCTCTCAACTACTGGGGTGGCGTGGGTGGCTAGGCTGTTGGGGCTGGTCAACTGGACCCTGAATCCCACACTACTCAGAGGCCATGCCGTGCGAATGGAGCCTATTGCGGGCGCACGATCGCAGTTTTCCTCTGGCGATTATGATGAGATTATGCCTTGGTGTAAACAACACGACAGGCATTTCATGGGCTAAGCACAGAGGGTACTTTTTTACTTGTACTCTTACTGATGCTTTTATTGACAGTCCCTTTGTTGGGTACAGTTCTACATGCACACCGAGACTTATTGTGCGTACTTTGACCTCCTGGAGAGGCTCGCCAGGCATCATGGATGTACAACACCATCCGGAAAGAGTGTATCTCAGTACCTGATCAACCACAGACCAACTGCCACATATGTCCTTGGTGTCCCCAAAACAGGCAGAGGCACCTTTGGTTTCCTTGTTTCTTTCCCACCACCAGATGTTAGCTCCCATTCGAGCTGGAATCCTGTCTTGATGCCCAAGCCCGTGGCGAGAAGCTGCATATTGGCTCTTGTGTCGCTTCCCAACAACCTCATGAGTCGTGCCGAAGGTGAGAGGATGGAGAGAGGTTCGCGTTCGCTGTATTCGGTGATTCTCGACCTTTCGACTTTCGAGACTGTGCTATTACATCAAGGCTGCGGTGCCTGCAAAGACCGCGATCGAAACGCAGGACATCTGATAGACACACTACTAGCAGAATGACTACCATGGCGTGTTGAAAAGAGGAGCAACGGAGAGTCATTTCACCTTTGTTATCACGACACCAACGCCATAGTCAAGATCGCAGGCGCAGGTGGCACGTGATGCCGTGCTTCGGTTGTCTTGCGATGTGACCTTCTTTCAACCTCAACTCATTTCTACTTCTTTCCACTTTCTGGGCCAGATTGCTCAATGCAGACCTAACAAGACGTCGACCTCTTTCCGAGCACGAGTGAGCAGACGAGTGTTCATGTTTTAATTCAGAAACAGGAACGGACTAAATCGTGCTCAGAAGGGGCGCACTAGGCCGAGTCTCAACTCGATTGGTTCCGGAGCAACGAGTCACACTACGCACTCACAACCTTCAATACATACGGCACTGCTCGCGATGCCTGTGAGAGTCTCATGAATGTTCCCCCAAGAGCACCGAGGGAGAGCCAGATGACAAATAAGAGCAAACCTCGGCGAACGTCCATTGTCGAAGGGCTACGAGGGATCCGACTTGACTAGTTCCTGGCGGTTGTTCACTGCCACGATATAAACCTTCCCCCCATCCTTGTTCCAAGACATACCGCGCTGCCTTGTCTACTTTAAAGAATCCCCACGGGGACAAGACCAGGAGATGCTTCAACAGGGTGGGCTCAAGTCTTTCCAGACCGCCAATAGCAGTGATTCTACCATGTACAAGCTAAAGGTGAGAGGTTGACTTCACCAGAATCCAGGATCTACCGAAAGCTCTCCAGACATATTCGGCGTCCTAAAGATCCCCAGCTTACGGGTGGAGGCTTTGAAGCTAATCCATCGACGAATTGACCTCAATTGGGTTTTTTTCCATCAACTCTGGCTCTGCAAGAGCGGTTCACCTCTCGCTCGGTTGCTGATAGCTCCGAAGGTATAGATTCGGACACGGGCGGCCTGAGCCGCTTGGATTCCGGAATCGGAATTCATATGAGGCCGGTGGGATTAGTACAAGTACTAGCTGAACGTCAAGCTTGGTCCACTTTAGCCGCTTTGCCGACTTCAAGACGACTCACCAGGACCGCGCACTTGCAAGGCATCGGCCAGCCTCCAATCCGAGATCCTATATCCGCAGTCGGAGGAGACACGCTCGTCTTGTGCATTCGTGCCCTTGTTTAGGCCTACAGAGCAGCAGTCCAGGATTTGATACTGGACTGCGAGAGTAATCATCGATGTCATTGGCATGACCGACTGGGGGAGTAACCGGAAGAGGCGGATATACGGTATCTACAAAGTCGGTATTACCGAGCAAATCATAAGGTCTGTTTGATGTCTACAGTTTCAGGCGCACAGCCGGTCATGGCCTTGGAGCGCCTTATCAAACGAGGCTTCGTTTACGCTTTTTCGAACTCTGCCCGAGGCTGCAGTCGAGCAGCAACCAGCAGGCAGTCGAGAAGACACGGTTCTAATGACTTGATCTATGCTACAGGAAACTGCCTTTTGGGAGCACAACTGGTAAGCTGGGCATATCTGTATGCCCAAAGCCGAAGCTAAGTGATCCTTCCGACAAGCCCGTGAGAGATTCCTGCGCCATAACGAGACTTTCTTGTGCATAATATGACATGGTGGACATGTTTCGTACAGGCACAGACCTGTTGTGCGCTGACTCCAGGATGATCGACAGAATCCCTCAGCTGTCTATTCGAAGAAGCAGACGCAACCAATCGTACGGTAATCCGAAATGGCGATCTTCAGGGCGCTGACGAGGCACGAGGCCTGAAGCTCTGTGGATGTGAAACCACTTTATAAACTAGAAGGACCTCAGTGCTGAAGTGGTGAGTGCCGGTCACTGAGTGCCTTGGGATATATATGCGACGGGAATTTGCTACCTAGCATATGCCTCTACTGCTTCTCTCTCCATCTTATTATCCCTGGAAGAAAGTGCCATGTATTTCTCGGCAATCATTACTGCTGCTCTGGCAGGTGTTGCCTGCGCAAAGCCCATCAAACAGATCAAGAGGCAGACCATACAAGATACATACGACTTCATCATTGCTGGAGGCAAGCTATACACAGCGTGGCACAACGGCTGGACTAACCTCAAGCAGGTGGCACAGCGGGCCTCGTTATCGCAAACCGTTTGACGGAGTGTCCCAACATCCGTGTGCTTGTGCTAGAAGCAGGTCCAGAACCAGGGATTGTTGCGAACTACATGTACCCTGGCGGAAATCAATATCTTGCTGGTGAGATTCTAGGTCTGAACACTTCCCAAGCTGCTCACTCACTGCCCTAGGTACGGCGGTCGACTACAATTACTATACTGTGCCGCAAACGATCCTTAACAATCGAATTCTTCCCTACCACCGTGAGTCCCTCCACACCAACTGGACTTCATGTTTGACTGACTGGTGCTACTAGGAGGACGTGGTCTTGGAGGGAGTTCGATCATTAATGGCTTATATTATGGAAGAGGCAGCGCCAGCGTCTACGATCACTGGGTCGAGCTAGGCAACCCAGGCTGGGGCTGGGATGATTTATATCCTTTGAGCGTCAAGGTCGGTGTGGTCGGCGTGTTACTGCACGGATCAAACTGGCTGACTGTTGTTATAGCAAACCCATTTCAACCCGCCCAACTTCAAGGATAGCTTCGACCACAGCTTCCAGACCTGGGATCCTACTGCTTATTCCAATGGCGAGCTACAGATTGCGTTCCAGGGATTCGTGCCAGATTCAAATGTGGGATTTATTCGCGCCAGTGAAGCCATAGGCATCCCCATTGTCAATGAACTCAACAGCGGCAACAACACGGGGGTCAAGCAAGGCACTGGATGTTTTGACCACCAGCTCAGGCGCAGCTCGAGCTATGACGCCTTCTACAAGCCGATCCAAAACCGCACGAATCTCGACGTCCTCCACTATGCGCCGGTGACCTCGATTCAGTTTACAAAAGGCCGCAATGGGACATCACGCGCAACAGGCGTCTCCTTTACAGATCAGCCAACCGGGCAGTTTATCAGTGTCAATGCGACCAAGGAGGTCATTGTGACCATGGGTGCCTTCAACAGCCCTCAACTTCTGATGATTTCGGTCAGTCAATGTGGATGAAACGCTGGCTATTTCTGACGTTTCCGCAGGGAATCGGGCCAAGCGGACAGTTGAGCCAAAACGGGATCAACCCTGTGTACATCAACGAGAATGTAGGGCAGAAGTAAGTGTCCCCAAATACTTGTGGTGAGAGGCTGCTCTAATTCTACGCAGCTTGAATGATCACTGCGTCTTCAGCATCATGGCCTTGGTCCAGCAAACTGCCTCGACCAGTTCCATGGCCATCAACGATTCCACACTTGCAGCGGCGCAACAGCAGTTCCTCGATTCTCTGACTGGGCCATACACTGCTCCTTCTGGAATCACCAATGGGTTTCAGCAGTTGTCGAATGCCACCCTGCGAGCCATAGGTGCGCAGGCTGTGCTCGATGCGGGACTTGTCAACCAAGCGCACGTCGAGTTCTTGTATGAATCCCAATTCTACCCCAGCGGACTGGCTTTCCTCCCGTCCTCTGGCGGCACTTCGTCGACCGGGGGTGCCTCTTCGTCTGCATACTATGTCCCCCAAGCCAACTTGTCGTACATCTCACTCACGGCGTCGCCGCTTGTGGCGCTGAGTCGCGGGAACGTGACGCTCAAGTCGGCGTCGATTTTTGATGCACCAAACATCGACCCCAACTACTATGCCAACGAAACCGATCGCGCCGTGGCCATTAATGCGTTTAAGGACCTGAGAAAATTGCTTGCACATCCGGCGATTGCACAGTTTACCATCGGCCCTGATAACGGTGAGGTCCAACCTGGAATCGCGAATATCCCCGCAAACGCCTCGGACGATACCATCTTCGACTATATCAAGACCAACACCATTCCGAACTGGCATGCGAGTGGGACTTGCCAGATGCTCCCTGAGGCTGATGGCGGTGTCGTGGATTCACGGTTGCGGGTTTATGGAGTGCAGAACCTCCGAGTATGCGACGTCAGTATCATCCCACGGCTGCCCGATGTTAACCTGCAGGGGCCGGTATTTATGATTGGTGAAAAAAGTGCCCAGATCATCAAGGAGGATTACAACCTGCAATGTTAGAGGAGGTACTTTCCAGGCTGGAATACGTGTACTCTGGGAGACACTGCTCGTGCCGGTGCGAAAGAATTTGGAGATAAAGTACTCTTAGGAAGGCATATAGCTGCACAAGCGCCGTGTTAAGCCGGTAACAACAGCAATTAATTTTCGTGGTTAACCAGAATTGGAGAAATTCCCATGGCGTCATGTACATAATGCTGGGAGGGCGTCGGGGTAGGTCGGTCATCTTCCATTGTCGCCGATAGCAAGTCGCCCAAGCAAAAGTCACCACAAGGGAAAGCTTCGACTTTATCTCCCGAGCGCAAGTGCCCTACAGAAGAACAAGTCCTCGTCGTCACTTCATGTTGCGCACCGCCGTCACCCGTTCTCAAGCCTCCCTGTCACCCCAGACGGCCGCTGCCCGCTTAACGTCCGTCACCCGTCACATATCCCCAGCTCCCTCGCCCTCGCCCTCGTCCACGACCGCAAAGATGCCCCTCGTCACATCCACCATGACAAACAGCGACAAGCCGCGCATCATCCTCGGCCTCATGACGTTTGGCCCGCCGGGGACCGAGTCCAAAGGTGGCCGGGTCACGAGTCTGGAAGAATACAACAAGAACCTCGACTATCTCCAATCCCAGGGCTACAACGAGGTGGACACGGCGCGATCATACATTGGTGGGCGACAAGAAGCCTTTACGAAGGAGGCGAGATGGAAAGACCGCGGTTTGACATTGGCGACCAAGTGTTTCCCCGTGAAGCCGGGCGACCACTCCCCCGAGAAGTTGAGGGCCAGTCTCGAGAAGAGTTTGGCCGAGCTGGGGACCGATAGCGTCGACATCTTCTACCTGCACGCCCCCGACCGATCTGTGCCGTTCAAAGACACCCTGCAGTGCTGCAACGACATGTTCAAGGAGGGCAAGTTCGTCCAATTGGGACTCAGCAACTTTGCGTCGTGGGAAGTCGCCGAGGTGTGGAACATTGCCAACGAGCGAGGTTGGGTCAAACCCACCATCTACCAGGCCATGTACAATGCGATCACCAGGGACATGGAGACAGAACTGGTGCCGTGTTGTCGAAAGTGAGGATCCAGTTGATTCTTCGAGGTGTCGCAACACAAAACAAAGCTGACGTGGGATTTCTTGCAGGTTTGGCTTGGACTTGGTCGTTTACAATCCGGTAAGTTATCCTGCTCGGCTCTGCAAAGGGGACCAAAAGACTCACACAGCTATGTAGCTCGCCGGCGGCGTGTTCAGTGGCAAATACAAATCCAAGAACGACATACCCAGCGAAGGACGGTTTGCGACCGTGGCCAACTCGGGAAAGGTACGTATCCTCAAGTCTGTCCTGTATCTCGCCCATCACCAAAATTTGACCCTGACGCGCTCTCTCTGTGTGTGTGTGTGTGAATAGATGTACCGCGAGCGGTATTTCCACGACTCGACCTTCCAGGCCCTGCAGATGATCGAGCCCGTCGTCCAGAAACACAACCTGACCCTCCTCGAGACCGCCCTGCGCTGGTGCATCCACCACTCGATCCTGAAATTCGCCAAGGACGGCGGCAACGACGGCGTCATCATCGGCGTGAGCTCCCTGTCGCAGCTGGAGAGTAACCTCAGAGACCTGGAAAAGGGGCCCCTCCCCCAGGAAGTCGTCGACGTGCTCGACAGCGCCTGGGAGACGTATCTCAAGGGCCGGGGCCCGACTTATTGGCGGTGAAACCCGGGAGGGTCCAAAAAAAAAGGGGACGGATTCGCGGGTCAGTAGTGGAACAGAGCGGCGATTTGGTTTCTCTTTCCAGAAAATGAATTGATTGTTTCCCCCCCTTCTTTCTAAGATGCATCAAGATATGGCGTACAGGTGCCTGTGAGAACTTTGTCTCCCATCAATTTAATTGAGAGGATGAATCCACGTAGCTCGTAAAACTGCGCATGTCTCGATCTTGACCAGTGAGGTGAGGCGAGGGAGACAAACTCAGGAGTATCCAGCCTTGCGACACGACACCCTTACTCATCGCCCTGGTCAGTACGAGGCACAACAGTATCGCGAACAGAGTTATACTACGACTACCTGGCTAGGTAGATGGCCAAAAGCTCTGTTGGCGGTCAATGGCTTTGACGGCACTCTGGGCGTAGATGTCGTTATTTACCGGATCGAATCGAATCCCAAGGGACACGGACATGTTACATGTTACAAGATACAGAAAAAGGGATCCCCATCCCGTCATTCTCTCCTCTCGTCTAGCCGACCGGCTAGGTGGCTTCAGCGTCGCCATTAACTAGCGAGTCTGCCTCCCCTGCCTCTCCCTCTCCCTCTCCCTCTCCCACCCCCTCTGCCCCTGCGCGCTCTCGTCCCAAACCGGAATTTCATGTCGTCACTGTCGTCGTCGTCGTCGTCGTCGTCCTCGCTTCCGTCGTCCCCGCGCACATTCGTGACGGTGACAGGTAACGTCTTTTGACGTTTCGGGTTGCTCGTTTGCGCCTTGGAGGTTGCCGGTCTCTTCCCCTTGGGCGATTGGGTCGCCCTCGGCGGCGTGTCGTCGTCTCGCGCTGCTTCCGACGCGTTCTCGCTCGCCTGTCGAGTGCGATCTGCATCACGCGTGCGCCGCGGCGTGCCGGGGTCGATTTCATGCTCGGCAATGTCCTCTGATTCCCTCTGCAGCCGAGAAATCCCTGTGGTCATCGTAGCTATCGAGGCGCCCTCCGCGTCCTCCTCCGCCTGACCGATCAGATCGTCCATGTCTTCGTCGTCATCGTCCAAGACAATCCGTGTTCTCGATCTCCCGTTGACCTGGCCGGAGATGGTCCTGCTCGACGGTTGGGTCTGGCTCTGCGTCGTCCGTTGGGTTCTCGCGTCCTCTCTACGCTTCCTCTCCCTCTCGCGCTCCTGCTCTTCTTCTGTCTTTGACCAATATTGATCACCTAAGCCACCCGTTTTGTTCGGGACTTCGACCAGTGGCACGATGACTTTGCTGGCGTGAGATCTTCGTTGAGCTGGTTCGCCGTTGCGACGGAAGCCCTTGAAGTTCTTACGACCATTCCACTTGGGATCCCAGTCTGGTCCGTGCCGATCGTTGACCCTGTTGTTCGCCTTCGACCTACTATCACGTACTGGAAGATCAATTGTGACTACGTCAACCAAATTGGCAGGTGCCTTGTCCTCAATCCCAGGCAGGCCAGCTTCAAGTTCTTCTTCCTCTCTCCGAGCGGCTTCTTCCTTCTCTTGCCGTTGTTTTCTGGCGGCTTCGCGGACGTCAATTTCCCGTTCCACCTTGATCTTTTTCACGGGTGATGGACCTGGTTGAATGTCCTCCTCAATAGTGCGCCCGTTCGCCCTAGCTTCCGCTAGCTTTCGTCTCTTCACCGCGGTCGCTGCAGGGAGGAGATCGTCCATTTCCTTTGCAAATGTATCGTGTTGATCCTCTGTTGGTGATCGAGGTCGCTTCCTCGTCGTTGACTGTGGCTCTCCTTTGATAACGATTGGTGACCTGGCTTGACTTTCTGGTTCGGAGATGTATGCAGCTTCCTCAATGACCTCGTCTTCCTCATAAGCAGCGACGGCGTCGGGGTCGAATCCATCATCAAAGTTCTTGAACTTGGTCAGTTGCGAGACTTTCGGGACAGGGAGAGGTCTCGTATCCTCTCCTCTAGCGCCGTTGACTTGTGAGACATCCTGTTCTGATGTTTGTGAAGGTTGAGACGTCGCTGCTGCGTTGCCTATCGCTTTTGTCGCATGGGCGATTTGCCGACTTTCGTTCTCTGTTCCACTGCTGCCATTTGTGTAGGACCCGCGGGCCTCGCCACTGACAAGGGAACTCGCTGCAGAAGGTGGAGGTGCAATTCTCCCTTCGTTGGTGCTTTCGAACGGGATAGGCTGTTTGAGAAGTCCGGCGTCATTTGCTAAAATAGCGTCCAAGAACTCGGATTGATCGATTGCCCGCTGGTCTGTCTTCAAAGCCGTCTCGTTGACAAGTGCAGTCGTCCATTCTTGAACGTCTTCCTTTCCAGTCCATCGAACCAGAATGACTCCGCCTTTCGACTCAGCTGTAGTGTCGCCAGCTTTATTCCCGGCAGTATTGTGCAAGAATTGAATCAACCCCTCACTAGTTGTTTCAAAATTGACCACTTTGAATAGTACAGCTTTCCCATGCCCACTTGTTATGACTGGTAACAGAGTGTCATATTGAGTTTGATCGCCAAAGACAAAGGTATAATGTTCAAATACATTGACGCGCGTAGGATCCGGTTGATATGATTCCGCAGGCCTGATCGTGGGTTCCTTTCCTGGGGGAGGAAGGTGGTCCTTCGGATGAGGCCAGGCACTGTCAAAGTCGGTTTCCAGCGGAGAGAGATTTATCTCCTGGCTCAGAGTGGTGGGACTCGCAACGTAGTCTAGAGCGTCGAGGTATGATTCTGTCACAAGGTATTTGGCGTTTACCAGCGCCAACAGACCTTTGGCAGTATTTCTCTTGCTGGCCACGACGTGGGTGGTGTTTTCAGACGAAAAATCGCTGATCGCCTTGATGTCCAGATCCCTCACCCTTTCCTGCTTTGTCTTGAGAACTCCCGACTTGATCTCTTTCTTGAGTAGATTGAAGGTGAACACGCAGGGTTGCCATGTGACGGTGAATTCATAGGGGCAGCTCCCTGGTCGGATCGAATTCTCGGCGTCCTTCAGTTCTCGCACAGGGTTTGGTTCCTGCTCGTTCTTTGGGTCTTTCTTCTTGATCAACTCGCCATTGACATACGTCCCCGTCTTTGAGTGGTCTTCAATCCGTATCTTCGTTCGGGTGTGGATCTGACCGACGTCGGCATCCTTGACAGGGTCAACGGAGACATTGAAGTGTTGTCTGGAGACTGTTTTGTGATCGATAGCGATCATAACGCCATCTTTCTTGACTCGACCAAACAAGTATCTCCGCCCTGGCCTGAGCCACATTCGCCGGCCCTGAAAGAAATCGGCATTGGTGTCAAGGATCCACATGGTGGAAGCATCGTAGGAGAGGACTCCAGGTGGAGTATGAGGTTCAGGAGAGAGAGGTGAACCAGGTAGAAGAAGCGATGCAGTGGTGAGGGCTATGTACGAGGTACTGCGCAGGAAGTGCTCCAGCGTGAATAATTTTATGACGCGACACGACTTTGTCCCAGGCGCCTATGAGCGTTAGCGGCATCGGTGCCTATTAGGTTCATCCCGCACAGGTTGGGGGCTGAAAGTTCGGCGGCTTGGCCTTTCCCTAAAGCCCATAGTGGAGGGGCCCTGATGGTCTGGTGGCCAGCGCGGGGCAGTTGACCAGTGGCTACCACTTGCACATGGAAGTTGGCGGGATCAGCAGGGCATTCCAAGACCCAACTTGGCCATTGTCATTGCGCAGGTGAGAACAGGACCCAATCGCGGGGAACAAAGGGTCTGCGACGTCAGTCAGACTGGAACAAAACTCAGCCCTCTTGCTCCCGCTATCCTTTCTTTGCCTTTCCCTTGAACCTCTTCGCAATTGAGAAAGCTCACTTCTACTAACAATGTCTAACGCACTGAACGAAGATAACACGCCTGACCTCAAGGTCGACGAAAGCCCCATCTCCCCGATTGAGCGCCGGAACTCTCTCGAGAAGCACTTGCAGCTGCGCCCCGATGTTCAAGACCTGAAAAACCGCAACATCCTCCTTAACAGCAATGCCGCCCCGTGAGTCTCCAGGCAGACTTTCGAGAGGCACGTGCAGTTCCTTACGGTGTATGCAGGGCCCTACAAGCGAAACAGCACGAACTCGAGCGTCAGCAACAATCCGACAATCTAAGAAAGCATCTCGAGAAGCGACCAGAACGTGACGAACTGGTTGAACGTATGAGTTGAATCCATCCTGAGCGTTGCCGCCATTCTCACATGCTGTAGGAAATATCCTTCCCGACTCAACCGCCGCGCCAGCCCTGCAAGCCAGCCAGAAAGCCTTGGATCGTCATATGCGAGCAGACAGTCTTGAGCATAAGATTCAACAGCGGCCCAAGCCCGAACAGCTGGTCAAAGAGGGTATTCTGGAGGCGGATGAAGACCCGACCAAGCCATGAAGCAAGAGGGTATAGGGGTCTGGGATAGCTGGATTTCTTGCTTGATTCTGATATACAAGGTGATGGGTATCATGGAAATCAGTCAGTGGATGACCGACGGCCAAATGCTTCAGTAGCTCTCGAGATAGCCCAGCATTTGAGTGGACATGAGAGTACAGTATCCTGCGATCTGAGGATGGACGCCTTTTCAATGACTCTCCACGGCTTCTCCGCCGTCCCGTCCTACATCCGCGGACGAAAAATCTGGTTTCCAGCCTTTGGGTCTCTCCTTTCCTCTCACAATCATGTGGTATACGCCGTTCTCTACCTTCTCCACGGACTGTCTCGTGGTCTTGAGCTTGTTGTCAAAATCTCTGGATAGGCTGTAGGCTTTAGTCGCGTCCAGCGCTTCGAAAGCGGTGCGCAGATCTTGCATATCCGCCAGGATGGAGGACTTGTGAGATGGCTCTGCTCCTCTTGCTATCCCAGGCAACTGCCCGTTTGTGGCCATGTAGGTGATGGCGAAACGCATCAATTCACCCGTCATATCGAACAGCCCGAGTGCATAGTCGTCGTAAGTGAGTGAGATGCCGTTGGGGAGCTGGGTCTGAGCATCCTCAAAACTCATGACCTGTTGAGTCTCCAGGTAGTGCTGAAAAATGACGGCTTCCATGAACTCTTGGAGTCCAGCACTGATATTGGCGCGGTAGCGATACGCATTGCTGCCTTGAAGGTCTGGGACGATGCTCTGTAACAGGGTTCTGATGGTGGCATACATGGGCGTCGTTTGCTTCGACGTCGAAGCATGTATCGGTTTGCCTAGCTCGCGAATTCTGCGGGTTGTAGCTGTGAGCTGCTGTCCATCGGTAGTGCGGGTCATTGTTGTCTCACCTTTGCAATGCAAATATACTGCCGACGCTTTGATTAGAGACAGAACGACGAAAAACAAGTGCATCAAACTCACATCTTTTTACTCTGCGCCGTCACGTCCCTCGACACTTTGATGATCCTTTCTCTGCGGTCATGGTGCTCGTCGAGTTGGGCCCGGAAAGCTTCGAACACGGGGAGATATGGTGACTTCGTCTCGGACTGAGACGACTCATTCTCTACCATTCCGTCGTGCCTTCTTTTCACCCCTGCCATGATGAACCTTTGAGATTGCGAGGGCGAACAGGGACACCCACCTGGTTCAGAAGCGGGTGACGAAAATACTACTGAAGCACTGGTTTCTCTTGCTGCTTTAAGGAATGTCCGGGGTTATGTTGTGTCGAGTTCAAGTTGACGGTCTCTGTGAAGATATCTGAACAGTGTCTTTTCTGGTGCTGGTCTCCTAACTGGTGCAGATGAACTGTGTCTGAAGTCCAGCTATCCAAGGCTCTGACAAAACGCCAGTTCGTCTGGCAAAGGGCAGGGCAGGCACTAACTAATGCGGCAACCCTGCGGAGACTTGCACAAAATTCCCCAATGCACATCAAACTGCGATCCAGAATTCCTCTTGACTGAACCAACACCTGTTCAAGTCGTTGACGCCCTCAGCCTGACGAGGGACACCTGACTTTGAGCCTGCCTCGTCCTCGAGGAGCAACACGAGGCATGCTGCCAGCCTCATGGCTTCACTCTTCCACTCCCTCCTCTCATCGCGGACTGCCGTCTTCACCTCAGCCTTCCTCCTTCGGGCCGCCCTGCTCATCTACGGCATATACCAGGACTCGGTTTCTGCCCTGAAATATACGGACATTGACTATTACGTCTTCACGGACGCCGCCCGCGCTGTGTCGAGGCATGCGTCTCCATACGATCGCGCCACATACCGATACACACCCCTTCTAGCATGGATTCTGCTACCCACCAGCTGGGGAGGATTGTGGTTCCACTTCGGCAAGGCGCTGTTTGCCTCGTCTGATCTCATCGCAGGATGGCTCATTCTCCGCCTTTTGAAGAGGCAAGGCCTGGAAGAGCAACGGGCTCTGAAATATGCGGCGGTGTGGCTCCTGAACCCGATGGTCGCGAACATCAGTACACGCGGAAGCAGTGAAGGCCTCCTCTGCGTTCTGGTCATGGCTCTGCTCTGGGCCTTTGAGACCAACAAAACCATTCTGTCAGGACTACTGCTGGGAACGTGTGTTCACTTCAAAATATACCCTTTCATTTACGGAGCGAGCATGCTGTGGGCGCTGGAAACCCCTTCCAGTCCGTCCGCAACCAATATATTGCAGGTCGTTTTGCAATTCGTCAACAGGAGCCGCATTGTGCTGCTTTTGACGTCGATATCAACCTTTTCTGCGCTCAACCTCCTCATGTACAATATTTACGGCTTTCCATTCCTCCAACACACGTTTCTCCATCACTTGACCAGGATCGATCACCGCCACAATTTCTCCCCGTACAATACCCTTCTTTACCTCTCCTCGGCGCAGTCAGCGCACCCAACGTTTGCCAACCTGCGCTCCTCGATCTCCTTCGAGTCCTTCGCCTTCATTCCCCAACTCCTCCTGTCCACGATACTCATCCCTCTCGGCCTAGCAAAGCGCGATCTCCCAACAACGATGTTGGCCCAGACCCTCGCTTTTGTGACATTCAACAAAGTCTGCACGTCACAGTATTTCCTCTGGTACCTCATCTTTCTGCCCCTGTACCTCCCCAACTCGTCGTTACTTGCGCGGCCTATGCTGGGGACGACGGCATTAGTCCTGTGGGTCCTCGGACAAGCACTCTGGCTACAACAGGGCTATCAACTCGAGTTCTTGGGGAAGAGCACGTTTGTCCCCGGCCTTTTCGCAGCGAGCCTCGCCTTCTTCGGGATCAATTGCTGGATATTAGGGGTTGTGGTGGGCGACGTTGTCGACGGCTCGAGAACCTCGAAGGCGAGCGCCACCGTGCAACGAGGGGTGAAGGCCTCATCCCTAGAAATAACGGTCCCTGGAACGGGGTCTTCTGCGAGCGTCTCTGACCTCAAGGTGAGGCCAACCGGCCACAGGCCGCGCGGGAATGCCAGTATCGACACGAGTGCTATGACCAGTGTGCATTTGGGGCCGAGGGATCGAGTGTTGAAGAGCAACTGAGCCCAGCCGGCATCTGGGTCTTATAGACTCAACATACCGACACAATAGAGGTTTTTTCCCCAAGGACAGAGGGATTGTACAAGTATTGTCACCACCAGCGAATTATAAAGAAAGCGGCACGAGACCGTGATACGAGGATCTGAAGAAAATATATCTGAACTTTTGGGTGGTTACCTTGCCTCTGAAGAAATATTATGACCCTCAAGTGCGCCTGCCTTCCTGCCTGCCTTCCCACAAGTATTTCCCGCCCACTGGTGCTCGCTCAATTCTGGGATTTGATCTGCCATCCAAAAGAGACCCGCCCATTTCCAATTCCCATTTCCCAATTCCGTTTCCATTCGCTTGCCCAAAATCCCACAACACGCAGCGAAAACAGTATCGAATCACATCCTTGTAGTCGGGCCAGACCGGATCAGACCAGACAAGACAAGGCACGTTCAGCAAACTCCACGGACCAAAATGTCGACACTCGTTGAACCCAGAAGCGCGACCCCCCTCCCTCCCTGCCGCCTCGCTCTTTTCTCCTGACGAGACAAGACAAGACAAGCTGAGCCGCGCCGTGATGATAACCATAAGGCAAAGAGGAAAGCGTCAGGCAACCACAAACAACACGGTAGAGGAACAAACAATCGCCCGTGCTAGTGCTCCTACTCGGCACAATAGACAAGAGATGATGAACAAAAGACACCTCGATTGCAGATTCGACGACAGCTGGACGCAGACAAGCAAGAAATAGCTCCAGACCTAAGCAAGAAAACTTTTCTTTGACGTTTGGCCCGCCCGAACCCAATATGCTAATTGTCGCACTTTGCCGTCGAATTTCCTCATCATGTCAATACATAAATAAACACAGCTCGTGACAGGCTCGCATGCATGTGATCAATCATTTGCTGACCATTCCGTCCATCCGTCCAGAATATGCAAAAATTAGACTTCGTGGTCGACAATAGTGGAGGATGCACAAGGCCCCGTCTTCCTCAAACACCCCATATAATGTTCTCGAGGCTGTTGGAAAGGCCGTCACGCTCCTCTGGTGCTATATGGAAAGACAGCGGTAAAAACAAAGCATCAATCAACCCCCCCTCGCGTCGGCAACGATTTTATAGCTGCTTGTCTTGATACTCCGTGGCTTCCACTTTGGATAAAGACTGCTAGGTAGTATAACCCCTGGGGGTGTTGCCGGTCCGAGTCCACCATCAGGAGGCGGACCTCCCACCCCGGTTGAGGGAGGATTGGAAGAACTTGATCGCTTGTGGTAGGTTGGTGCACACTCTATCCCCTCACCCAACTCCACGTACTCGATGTCAGGCATCAACTCACTCAGCCTCTCGACGATCTCCTCGTTCCAAACGCCATACACCTGGCCCTTTTCCAGAAGCCAGTACGGGTTCAGCAACGTGCAAGGGGAATCCAAGTCGATGTATCGGATTCTCACATACTCCAAATTCGGAAAGAAGGGTAGGGCTTCGATGGTGTTGAGGACAAGGCGTTCAAAAGCCTTGATGAAGACTAGATTTGTGATGCCAGCACCGTCGGCGATGACACCACCCAGTTCATGAACAAGTGGTTCTCCCGTAATAGGGTCGGTGCCCATGGTTCGTTGACGACAACATGCCTTTACCACTATTTCGAGATGTTTGAGCCTTGGAGGCGCTGCGGTGGCCGGTTGAGAAGAGAGTGCAGACAAAGCACTGGTCCACAGACACTCGCAAATCTTTCCCGTGAATGAGAGCGACTCGAGTTGGGGCAGGACAGGGCCTAGGTGGTCGCAGAGATGTGTTTTCAGGTTACTCGACCCGGTGCCAAAGCTTGAGCCTAATGTTGTGTCTTTGCTGTACATGCCATCAAGAGAGATGTTGACATGGCGGAGTCTAGAGGGGAGGTATGTCAGGATTTCGTTGATCGTGAGGTCCGCTTCGACCCGAGGTCTCGCATAACCGCAATGCCACTCCTCAACATTCGGCAGAGCGTCTTCGATTGTCTTCCAATGTTGATAGTTCCGCATGATATTCCAAGCACCTCGCATGGCGAAGGTGCGTATATTTGGTAGTTTGTCCAGTCGCTGGTTGGGGTCGGGGAACAGGGTTTTTGGAAAGTGCCGAATCATGTTGGACTTCTTGCAGTGGCCGCCTTCGAGTGTAAAGACACGAGCGTGGGGGAAGAAGCCGTTGATGTGGGCGAAAATCTCCGACAGCGTTGCCGAGTAGGCGCATAGTTTGAAGCTGAAGCTGAGTAGGTCGGTGGCTGGAATCAGATCTCTCTCGTTTGCTTGATGCGCAAGTTGATAGGAGCCATTGTTGCGTTCTGCCGGCCTGGGTAGCAGAGGGTTGACGGCAAGGTCGTGGAAGGGCGCCTTGTCTCCCCAGACAGGCACCCAAAATTCAATGTGCCGAACAAGCTTTCTCAGATGCGAGTGAGAGCTGAAGAAGAACTCGGAGTCTTTCACGCCTGCTCGAGTGCCCTTGATCTTGATGTGACGATAGATGCGCTCTTGAACCATTTCGCGCCAGGTAGGTGACACAAGTGCAAGATCGGAGACGGCTTTCCTCCGGGGATGTCGCATCAGGGACGAAACGCTCTTGCCCCGCAGCGATGTTGATCCAGCATAGACGGAATGCATATCCCCGAAAATGAAGTCGAGGACTTTCCCTTGAACTTCGAGCGGCAGGTCAGTCAGCGACGACGAGTGAGGTTTAGCACTGCATTCTTGGCCGGCGCCAGACATTTCCTTGTCCTTTTCTCGACACGAATCTCCACCGTTTACCGATGGCGACGTCGCCCCCCGAATGGTCACCACACCAATCGTCTGTCCGTCCGGCTGTGACGACTCGACGCCCAGGTCGACAACCGAAGCAACAGAGGGAGCCCGCTTCCGGGGCGTTACCAGAGGGAAAGCCACATCTGATCTGGAGAATTTTGTGGGAGGGACCGAGTGCCTTTCGTGTATTTCTTGCGGCTGGTTCGAGTCGCTGTCCATGACCACCTCTTGTAACAGCATCTTGACCGGACGACTGTACCGGCCCTCAAGGTGCCGGGGCTTCTAGAAGCGTGCGCTCTCCAATGGGGCTTCAATGCGTCGACCGGTGAAGGGCTTGTTGTGATACACTCTGACTTTGTCACTGTGGAGGAGCAGCAGACTTCGACGCAGCCTTGGGCGGCTGAAAGGACTCGGCGGAGGTGTTGCTTTACGGGCGGTTCTCAGACGCCGGTGCTGGGGAGTGATGCTGGCAAGGGCGGGACCGTGTCGTGTCGTCTGGCTAGTTTAGATTGATTTGCACGTCCTGGACCTGGAATGAGCGAAGACGCAAACCAAGCAAAGGGGGGGCTGGGTCGAATAATGTTGTCAGTTCGATCGTCGGGCGGCTGAATTTAATTGCGCAGGACACAGCCACAGGCGACCCTGAGAATCAACGGCACTGCACTGCCACCGACCACCCGCGTCTCAGCCTTGCCAACAGCTTGTGGAGACACAGTCGCGGGGGACTCCGCGAGTCCGCTACAATTACCGTTGGAAAAAAAAAGAGAGGATTGATCTCCAGGGAACTTGGAGAAATTTCTTCGACACGGTATTTGTAGTTTGAAGTGCCCAAGTTAGAGCGGAAAATATAGTAGTTCGTACTTGGAGAAGCGAGTGCCACGTCAAGCGTCAAAGATCGGGCAGCCGTGGCAGCAGCATCATAAATTCACGCTATGCCGCATAAAGCATGCAAATATCATGAGAGCCTGGTGCCACGGACGGACGATATACTTGTCCAAGTATGAAGACCACCTCCCACCAATACAAGACACCAGATTCGACTGTGAGCGGAGAGAAGGCCGCCATCATCGACGAGTCTCGTCTTACCATATGGGCCGTTGGGTTACTTATTTGTATGCAAAGCCGTGCAGTCACTTAGGCACCTATTATGTCCCTGAGAAAGGCAATGTCTTGGTATCGGAATCATGTTGCCTCGCATGCCTGGCTGAGTGACGGCTCGTGAGTGCGAGCACTGGCCTTGGTAACCCTGTGCTCGTCGACGGCCTTTTCATTGTCAACGCACCATGACCGGAGAAGAATCAGGGACATTCATATATGCATGCATAAGCAAGACGAACGAGCCTTGCACCCGATGAATACATAGGTACTCGGTACTTAGGTAGGTCAGGTCCCCACTTGTACTTGTCCTCGTGCTTATACCTCGTACACGGCACATGATGCGGCCTGTCATGGTTCTGTGTCTAACACAATCTTTCCCCTTTCCCCTATGCTCCTTCTCCTCGACCACAATGGTGCTGGTTCACATGTCATATCCAGCCACAGCGTATCCGAGGGTCCTCAGTACACAGGGCAGGAAATATGCGATGGCATGTGTTGGAGCCTTGCCCAACCAAATGAACCCAGCTATCAGAATTCAGAGAGGGAGCGTCTCACAGTCTTACACTCTTTTTGCCCTTGTGGCTTGAAAGGAAAAAAATGAGACATTTTGAAACGGGTCGGCCGGTTCTCTTGATAATATCTTCTTCCCCCCGTAAGCGAAATGAAATACACACACGGAACCGACGCCACGCGAAGCGACACAAGACAAGGAAAACACGCCAAAGGTATACGAGTAGAACAAACAGAGAAGTTTCGATAAAGGGGTTCAGGAGGGATCGGACCATGGGCTTTGAGACCGCAAAGTGCCAAACGTGCCAAGGTCGCAATAATCGTGTCAAACTTGGCTGCCCAAGGGTGGTGCTTTGTACCAGGTATTCCATTGATCAATTCTGACGTCTGGCTATCTTCATTGCTCCAGAATTAGAGACTCACAGCGAGGATGGCCGGTGGACAGGAGCATTGAACCATGAACGGACAACCCAACGTCCGCATGCGTCTTCCCAGACTAGCAAGCACATGGGTGCGGGTGGTTCCTCACTTCAACTCCGCGTCCTCACGAATCTCGACCGCCTGAGGCTTCCCGTCTCCTACCACACTCTGCTGCCTCTCGAGCTCGAGCTCCTTCTCACTGGGCACGACGATGCCGACCTCGGTGGCACGATGCGTGTCCATCCTCTCGCGCTGGTACAGGTTGACGTAGATGGGAAAGACCATGCCGACGATGTAGCCCGTCATGGGGATGAACATGGCGACGTGGGCGTTGTAGCGGGTGACGACCGCCCCGGTCATGCTGGGCCACACGGTACCCCCAGAGATGGCGGCGACGAGCCACGAGCCGCCGCGCTTGGTGTGCCGCCCCAATCCGCGGAGGGACATGGTGAAGATGGTGGCGAAGCAGCAGCTCTCAAACACAAAGACCAGCATGAGGAACGCCACCGAGGTCGTGCCGCGCGTGAGCCCCGCGATGAGCGAGATGACGCAGCACATGCCCAGGTAGATGGTGAGCATGTACCGCGGCTTCACGGCCGGGATCATCATCAAAAACCCGGCAATGAACCGGTTGGCGGCATAGATTCCTTGCGCAGCGGCGAGGAGGTCCGAGGCGTTGGCGGCCGATCGACCTGTTTCTTTGACAAAGTTGCTGACCACTGTGTCAGTGTTTGCCTGCTTTCCTTCCAGGACAATCAGATGCCGACGGGAAAAGGGCCTGGGCTCACATAAAGTATCCAGCAACAGCGACCTGAGCGCCCACGTAGCAGAACTGTGACCACACGCCCAAGAACAGAGTGTACTGCTTGCGCAGCGGGCCAGGGTTATATTCGGCAATGACATGCTCTTGATGGTGCATATCGGCGTCCTAGGTTCAACGAGTCAGCCACAACTGCGAGCCAACAGCATGATCGAGACTCACCGTGATTTCAGGCATCGGAGCCAAGAAGAAGAGAACGATCAAGACGCCCACGAACCCGGCAACGCCTAGGTATGTCCACTGCACGTTCCTGAGACCCTGGTTGGTGTCAACTGAAGATCGTCAGTGAGTCACTCGCACAGTGCACCAATTGTGAGGAAGGTCGTCATACCAGTGTGAGCGAAAAACACCCTGCTTGCCAGCAACGGAGCCACAAAACTCCCAACACCTTGCACCGCCTGAGCCAGGTTCAGTCGGATCTCACTGTATCTGGGCGGTCCACAGATGGACAGGAACGGGTCGGCCGCCGTCTCGAGCGTGCTGAGCCCGGCACCGACCACGAACATGGAGCCGCAGAATCCGCCAAAGGATTTCTTCACCCCGCTCGGCCAGAAGAGAAGACATCCAACAGCGAGAACTGCCAGACCTGTCATGAAGGTGATCCTGATCACGGTATATCAGCTCTATAAACAACTCCGTCAGGGGTGTGCTCCTCTCACCGGAAACCAAATCTTCGCAGAATCCATCCCGAGATCGTGAGCGGGCAGAGGAAATATGCTCCGAAATAAGCAGCTTGGAGGCCGGAAGATCTCGAAGCGGTGATGTTGAGCGTGGTCTGGAAATGGCTGTTCAACACGTCGAGAAGTCCATACGCAAAGCCCCATAGAAAGAAGAGAATGGTGACTGGGTCACAGTTAGCAACGGTTGGAGGATGGCCGAGATGTCGAATTTGATCTGGGCCAAGCGTGACAGGTATGTGCCATCACCATCGTAGTCATCGCAGGGCGTTAGACACTGTGTAGGGAATGGAATCGACATACCCAAGCAGTTTGGCAAGAACGACTGCCTCAGGGTGAGATGGGCAGCGTTTGTGATTTCTCCATCGGAGACGGTGATCTTGCGCTTGTAGAACGTCATCTTTGCTGGCCTCGACTATTCGACAGCACGGGCACAGAGACTGGGAGTATTTCAGAACAGACAACGTGCGGTCGTGGTGGGAAGGTCAATGCTTCAATATATGCCGAGATGAGAAAGCATTTTGTGGCGAGAAAAAACCCCCATCCATCCACAACTCTCAGCCCTGCTCAAACATCACGAGAGACCAGAGAAATGGATCGACCCATGCAAGGATTAGAGCACTCCGCAAACCTGGGGCAGGTTTGTGGGATGTTGGGAAAAGAGGCATAGTGGAAAGAAAGGGAGGGCATGTGGATGTCGGGAGGTAGCATTCGGTTTAATCGGGTCCGAGATACAGCGAAGTCATTACTTGCATGGTCCTTCTTTCGAGCGTTTGATGAAATTGGCTGAGAAGCTAATGTCCAGTTGGCTCACAACAAAGCAAAAAGACCAAGCTGACCTTGCATCTGCCAGATGTTGGCCCGATGAGACGGTAGCGTGCAGCCCACGATCGCAGCGTTCCTTGGGCAACATGCTAGCCAATTGCTCGAGGCTCGGGAGAGTGTCCTCCGGCAGAGACTGAGTTGACTGACAGGCTGATCAACCTCGATCTTTGATACACCGAACATTGCATTTCCCGCTGTCGCGGTGTCAATCTCATAGCGAAGACATCCTAGACCATGTGTGTGAGCGTTTGGACACTGTGTGTTCGATCAGGCTAGCTCGGGCTTTTGGGTGACCGGATCGAGGGATTGCTGCGCTCCATGAGCATGTGCTGCTGGGGGCGAAGTAGTACGTCTTGAGCCTATGCGTCGAGGCGTGCGAGGGAAATAGTCAAAGTCAAGAATCATTAGTGCGGATGTTTTGTGTGATAGACAATATGTCTAGCTCTTCTCTTTCATGTTGCCCGTCGCACTATGCTGTAGCAAATGTTCCGAATAGTTCTGCCCTGGGTGACCGACGCTCAAACCACGTTTCCGACTCCCAGCGCATGACACATCAGATCTTAACCTTGCGATGCTAAAAACCATTCTAGCCGAACGGCACAGGTTCTCCTCCAGCAGATGAACACTGTCAATCCCAGTCCGTTCCAGCCACCCTCCTTTTGCCAGTGTCGAGAGACTTCGACCCCACAACTGAGAGCCCGCGACTTCAACTGTGAGTAGTCATGCTGACTGGACCTGGTGTGGATTTACATCTTGGAAGAGTAACAGTGGTTGCATTGGTCGCAGTCACAGTGGTGGTAAATGTCTCCTGCTACACCAAAGCATCAGCAAAACGACTAGGACTTGGGAGACGGTCTGGCTGGAACGACATGTCAAGGGGAGGTCCACCAATATGAGCACTCACCACAAAGACGTGACCATAAGGCATGACCACGACGGTACCACAACCATGGCAATCGTAAACACGGGATGTGTAGGTGGTGAGTGAGTAGTAAGTGCTGGTCGGACCACCTTGAATGACTGGTGCGCTGTACGCAGTGGTGGTACAGTACGCAGCTTTTGGCAGGGTGGCTGCGTGCGTGCTGACAATGTTAACTCGAGAACTGTACGAGAAGAGACACTGGGTTCGCATACCCGAGGAGTGAAGTCGCCACTGCGTGGGCCCGGATGATTAAGACTGCCATCCAGGCAAGGACAACCGAGAACGTGAAGTGCATTGTATCCCACTCTGGACAAATCAGTCGGAAGAAATGACAATGTCGACCGATGCGGTCGTCAGTAGGACGAGAATGACTCCCGGCAGATAAAAAGTAGCGGCAGAAGAAGATATGTGAGAATGGAAAGGATGAGAGCGAACCCAGTGAGAAACATCGGACTGCGCCAAAAAAAAAAGGGTTACAGAATTCTCGAGGGGTGATCAGCCTCGATTATTACATGCCACAACACCTTCAGCCAATGACCTCTGATATGAAGTTTCGAGGAAGCCATGGTGCTGAGTGTTGTGAGACCGCAGGTAATACCGTTGAAAACCTGCTCGTCAAAAAGACAGTGAATCTGCTGATTCGAGGGTTGCATCTGTTTTCACATCAATCTGTCATTTGTATCATGCAGCCTTTGACCCAGCTTTTCAGTCATACCAGCAATGAGGGGTGCTACTGTACAATGCCTTCATCGAGCATCGTGAGCTCGGAAATGCTGCGCCTAGTGATATTATAAGCCAGCCCAGAGAAAGGAAGTTATTGCGTCTTTTTCGTCAAAATCATCCATCACTCAATACCCCCGTATTCAACCATCACAGTCCTCCTCCATTACCACTAGCCCCTTCTCCACCAGTTCACGTTCATCTTCAGTTGTGTTAAGTCGTTGCGACTCGCGTTCCGAGTTCAGGACACAGGTTGATCTCAGCGAAGACCGCTGTCGACGGTGTGGTTAATCCTCATCACCAACCTGACCAAGTCAGCAAGCGCATTTAAGCTTCACTGTCATCACCAACTCGGAGAGTTCCTTGGGTGCCAAATCCCTGGGACCAGAATCCTTCAAGTGACGGAGAGCTACATGTTGTCAGTAATATTCCACAATCAGTTGATCGGCTTCACATACGTGCTTGACATGCTGTCGTGGGTGAACAGAAGCCAGAAGCCGAAGACCTGTTCTTCATTAGCTGATGCCATGAGACATCAATCAAAGGGAACAAAGGAACCCACCGGCTTGGCAAGAATATCGAGGACGGCATAAGCAATGATTTCGGAGTCAAGGCCAATGACGTGACCGCCCTCAGCAAGGCCCCAGATGCTGTCGTTTGTCAGTAAGTGGTAGAAATGGGACATCTGCAGGTACTCACATTGGGTAGAGCAACCACACAATGAGGGTATATCCAGCAATCGAAGCATAGAACGCTTTGGTCTTGCTGTCCTTGCTGGCCACAGCCTCGCGACCATTGGCGGCAAGTTGGTAGACAATCACGAGGAACGCAATGCAGGCCCAAGCGTACCAGCCCCATTTCTGGCTGTCATGGGCCTGGCCAAAAGCTGCAAATAGTCCAGCAAGAACCATAACAACGTCGGCAAAGATAGCAACCAGAATATTGGCGCCACTCAGACCTGCAAGGAGAGCGAGATCCAAGAGTAGGAGAGGAGTTGTTATGCTCCAGTCAATATATCTCGCCCAATACACAGCACGAAGATATTCCTGATGAGTATTTGGGACTTTCTTGTGGTGCTCTGTAACAGTGTATGAGACGAACGTGAGGCCATCTCCGGTAGCCATGGCGAAGTAAGACAGGAAGGCGATGGTCGTGATGAAAGAGGTCAGAATGTGGAAGAGCCTTTTTTGCTGTGATCATTCTTGTCAGAACAGGCCTGGAGATGCTGACGAACAAGGAGGACTTACAACTGGAACACGGAAAGCCATGCCGTAGAATGCAAGGGAAGACAGGGCCATGAGGACTACCACCACCCTAGAATTTGTGAACAACCAGTTTCTATCAAAGACACGATATAGCATACCACAGAGTTCTATGGCCGACATCTCCGGCCTTGAGGTAGATGGGAGGAGTTGGGATGACGGTTGGGATAGGAGCCACCGAGGTGGAAGCTGTGGGTGCGGTCTTCAACATGTCTGGATGGACAATCATATTGGCTTGTAGCAGATGAGAGCGTTACAAAAAAATGATGTCTGATGCTCGAGTACCAAACAATGAGGCTGGCAGTTGAACGAGACTGGAGAGACAGAAGAGAGGTGAGGAACGATGGAGAGATGGAGAAATTCAAGTAGGAGTTTTCAAGGCAGCAGTCATAAAGACGTCAAAAGGGCAACTGGGGGGAAGGAAGCTTGTTCGTTGGTCGAAACAAAAGAGAAGTGATGGAATGGCCAGAAGGAAGCAGCGATGACGAAAAGAATTCAATACCTGTTGCCCGCCTCAGACTCGGATGCCACTCATTGGATCCTCAGGCGGTCGTCATACCACCACGGGCTTGACTCTTTGGGAAGGCTAGCTGCCGTGTGATCAGATGGGTCGAGACCCTTTGATTGACCTGTGGAGAGAGTAAGAGAGTTGACTGGTCCTCACTTTTGTTACTCGGATGCTTCTTGTGACAGAGAAACAACAATTGTGTGCAGGTAGATGCGGGGGAGGTAGACGGACCAGTAGGACAAAGGCACCATGGGCGTGCATCGACAAGGGTGTGGCTGGTGGAGGTTTAGGTTCTAGTTAAAGAAGCCAATCACTCCAGGCAACACCCACACCCAGCCAACTTCCTTCATCAAGTACCAAGTACCTTCGAGACAGGGGGTGTCTGCCAGCTGCTGCTTAGGTGCGGCTCTATCCGCCGCCAGTGACCAGCTTCTTTTGCTCCTTCATCCAACAGTGAGGAGAAGATGAAGCACGAGAAGGTGTCGACAGCATGTTATTGCACCATTTTGTGACGCTGGAACCAAGTGACCTAGCTGGAGGTGGCATCTATTTGGTACCACGAGTTCGACAGGTGTCGGAAAAGGGCGGTTCACCTTCTCGTTGGACGAGTACTTGGGGAAGGTGCTTGTACCCGTCTGGGCCAGTCAGCAGGAGCCACCAGCAGCCAAGCGGCACTTCATGACGTCGATCAATTGTGGATTTGGCAACTGCGGTGACGGAATGAGGAAAATTGCTACCACCTCTTCACCTTGTTGAGATCGTTAGAAGGTCAGGCATGTCATCGGTCATCGTCTCTCCTCAGGCGTGTCTCTTGTACCACTCTCATTTCCCTCCGTCTCACAAATCTCAAAATCACCTCTCTTCAAAAACATCTGTGCTGGAAGATACAATTTCTCTTAGTCATTCACCCAAGTGCGCCATGGCCTTTACCCCGCAACGGACGAGGATGGAATGTCCACCAATGGCTGCAAGCTGCACGTCAAGCTCTAGTCAATTCTACAAGATCCCATGACACGCCTAGCAAATGGAATCTCCAAAAGTGGTGCTGCGATCGGGCCACCAACATCAGCTGCAAGACGATCTCGTGCTTTCACGCAGTACGCTCCTAGGCTTTAAGCCCCCAGCCATTACTATCAGGAAATTGATTATCCTCCGGGTAGCATGAAAGGATCGGAAAGTATATCCTGCAAAACATGGCAACATGGCTCGGCGATCAGATACTTTTGTATTATTGGTACAATTCTGAGTGAGTCTACATCTAGGTAATTGGTACAACTAACCTTCACATCTTCCAACGCTTCATTTCTGGAAATCCGTAACTGCATCTGTACATCGGTGACAGAGTAAGGGTACCTCTTTTGCTTCGGGCCTCTCCTGTTCCTGTGGTTCCACCACATACCTCCAGCACCGATCGCACTTGAGACCATGAGGACTCTGGACAACCACCCTCCCCATCTTTTCGCCCTCTGTTGAGACAACATCACTTGTGAATGACCAATCCGAGCGAGAGTCTACACTTGACTCTGGAGAATCCAACTCATTGATCTCTGTTGTGATTATTTCGGCAGAGGACACGACCAAGAGTTCTTTCCATGTATCTTTCGGAATGCTCGAAATGTCCGCACTCTTCTGCAGATAGATGGTGACATCGGATGCCAGTGACTGTCCCATAAGTTTCTGTGTTCGCGCTGTCTCTTGAGCGGCTTTGACGCTTGAGTTGATAGCAGCGATATGGGGTAGCAAAGCCTCGAGTGACTGATCGTACCACTCCTCTGACAGATGTGACCATATTCGTCTCAAGGGGTGCTCTAATGTCTTCTTGTACTTCTCCGGGCTATGCTCCCAACTTTCTTCCACCAGCAACGGCGTTATGGGTCCAAGCATGTTCTGGAAATGGCAAAGAATGTGATGAAGTGCGGTCTGGGCACTTAGGCGCCGTGCACTCACAGGCATATCGCAGTAGATCACATCCTTGATGCCCTCAAAGTAGAAGCTCGAAAGATCAGTTGTCACCCATCGATATATCGAGCCAGAGGCTTTGTGGAACTCAAAGTCAGCGTATGCTTTGCGGACGGAGCTGAACGTCAGAAAAAGATGATGCAGTGCGATTTGATCCAGTCGAGACATCCGCTCATACGGAACGAGAAGCTCAGGATTGAAATCTGCCAGCATTCCTAACAGCATCTTGAAGGTCAAGCGGAACTTGTCAAGCATGCCGTGGACAGACGACACGACAGTTTCGCTAATCACCACGTCCTTGGTCCACTCACTGGACGCTGCCCACAGTCGTAACGCGTCTGGACCGAGCGGATGGACTTCGCGCTTCTGCTTTGATTGTTTCGTAGGGGCGGCGAATCCCGAAATCATCTGACTAGGGCTGATAACGTTGCCGAGCGATTTGCTCATCTTCTTGCCTTGGCCGTCTAGAGTGAAACCATGGGTCGCGAGAACGCGAAACGGAGCATGTGGTTGATATTCCACAGGGGAATTGGGGTTCGAGGCTGACTGGAGAGACTTCTGGAATGCAATATTCGTGAGAAGGCTCGACTGAAACCACCCTCTGTGTTGATCAGTGCCTTCGAGATAGACATCGGCGATGGGCGTCGGTTGTGATGTAGAGCCCAAAGAGAGTAGGTCGTCCTTGAGCATAAAAGTCCAGCTGGTTCCACTGTCAAACCAGACATCCATTGTGTCAGTGCCCCGAATGTAGTCTGAAGCGACTCCTGGCAACCCTGGGACTATCCATTGGCTGCTGTCTTGAGGATCGGACCACCAGGCATCGATACCGCGTTCGTTGATGGTTTTGATGATGTGATCAATACTCTGGGATGTCAGGACTGCTTCACCCGTGCTCTTGTGGTATATGGCCGGAATCGGAACGCCCCAAGAGCGTTGTCGGGAGATGCACCACTCGCTCCGATTCGCGACAAAACTGCGCAACCGCGCTTTGCCTGTGTCTGGGAGAAACTTTACGGCATCGAGAGAGTTGAGTGCGTCGGTCCTGATCTTGGAGACGTCCGCAAACCATTGAGCTGTTGCACGAATGATGACTGGCTCTTTGGTCCGCCAGTCGATAGGATACTTGTGGACGTAGCGATGCTGGTGGACTAGTCGGTTGTTGGCTCGCAAAAGCTGGAGGATGCTGTCGTTACCCTGTTTGAACACGTCTTGTCCAGCAAGGAGGCTGGGATCCTCGGGTGATGCGGTGTCATCAAAGCACCCAGAATTGTCCACCGGGGCTTTCACAGAAACAGTGGAAGCTTTGATCAGGGGCTGCAGGGCTTCATAGTCTTCCAGACCATGACCTGGAGCGCAGTGCACGAGTCCGGTGCCACTGTCAGCGGACACGAAGTCTGCATGAACGATGGGACGATTTGCTGCTTCTCTCCCAAAATGGTGAAGACCAGAATAAGTGCTCTGCAACAGCACTTCAGAAGGAACATCTTCCATGACGACTTCCACGGACTCTCCAATGCACTCCTCAAGGTACTCTAGCCTCGACCGGGCCACAAGAAGTGTACCATGAGTAGCTGATCTGACAAGACAATATGGGAGAGATGTGTTGACGGCGATGGCCTGATTTGCCGGGAGAGTCCAGGGCGTGGTTGTCCAAATCAAGGCATGTACAGGTCCATCCGAGAAAGGTCCGAACAGGTCTAGAGGGAACTTGACCAAGGCCGCAGAAGAGACATGGTCGTCCTGATACTCCAGCTCGGCTTCCGCAAGAGCTGTCCCAGAGGAAGGGGACCAGTAGACGGGCTTGTGCTTGCGATATATCAACCCGTACTGGACCATTGCTCGAAACACTGCCAATTGCCGCAGCTCGAAATCCTTCTGCATGGTCTTCCAGTGATTGTCCCAGTCGCCCATGACAGCCCACGACCTGAAATCAGCCATCTGCTTTTCCACCGTCTTGTATGCAAACTTTCTTGCGGCACTCCGTATCGAGACGGCGTCGACGCCCTGTCCCCGCTCCCAGCCGTGCTTCTCCAGAGCCTTGAGCTCGATCGGCAACCCATGACAGTCCCAGCCAGGGACATAGTCCACTCTTCGGCCCTCAGCCAGCCTGGAGCGAGAAATGATATCCTTGACGATCTTGTTGAGGGCGTGCCCGACGTGCAGATCCCCGTTCGCGTACGGCGGCCCATCGTGGAGAACAAAGGTGTCTGAAGCAGGCCTCTCCCGGCGCTGCCAGGCGTAGAGGTCATCTGTGCATCTTGGGAGGTATCTGGCGAGGTCCGCGGGCCTGGGTCGCGGTGGGAACGTCGACGAGGGGAGACGGAGGGTGCTCTTCAGAAATTTGGCCGCATCTTTCAGAGGTGCTGGCATAGCACTTGTAATACCATGCCAACAAGCCAATCGACCGGCACAGCAACCAAACACTAGTCAGTCAGTCAGCCACCCATGTATCTGTAGAAGAAACAGCCTAGGGCGTGGAAACTGGGAGAGGAATTTTCCTTGAGCAGACAGCTTTGGATCAAACCGACGAATGACTCGCGCCGAAACGCGGTTTTCGCTGTAGGTGGGGTATGGCGGAGCATATTTTCGCGAAGCGCCTTTCATAACGCATCAAAAACTAACAGAATAGGAGGTTCGGAAGCAGCACAGAATTTTGTGCAACATCACTTAACCACATTACGTCCTTCTAGACCAGGTTGCCCACTGCAAAGTGCTCGAGAAGCAGCCACAGGCGGAAAGGCTTTGAAGGCATATTGCATTATCCATTGGAACAAGGCAGACTGGGAGAGCTCAGGTACAGCACACACTGTGATAATGCACGGAGGATGCGTAAAGTCAGACTGCGCAAGGTTGAACTGAATGCGGGAACCAACGCCAAAACGCCCTCGCTAAAAGGAATGCCATCAACCAGCCCAAACAGAGCACCTTCGCAGTCGTCCCAAGACATCCATCCTCCTCAAGGCTTCTCTGATGTAGATTTTTTGGTTTGAATCAGACCACTGGTCGGGGTTATCCTGGAGGCCCATTCCCTGAACGAGTTTAGCACGCATACTTGGATTCAATGGTTGGGGTTGAGACTTACGTCCAGCTGCCGTCGTACAATCTTCGGTCTTGCTCTGAACCAAAGTCGGCTTGCTTGAGCGCCGCCTCGATGATGGCTGCGGTCACACCAGTCCCACAAGTGGTGATGAACGGCGTTTTAGGGTCAAGGTGTTTGCTTTCAAACAACTTTCTCAGCTCCTCTGGAGGAAGCAGCGCCTTGGTCTCGGGGTCCAGCAGTTCCTGAAAGGGTAGACTTGTCGACCCAGGCATGTGTCCGCTCTTGATTCCCGGTCTCGGTTCTGGTTCAGTCCCTTCCCATCGACCTTTGGACCGAGCATCGAGTATCTGAATCTCTTCTGAGCCCTCCTTTCCGTAGTCGTAGCCGATTGTTTTCATTTCTGCAAATTTCACCACCATATCGGTATTGTACGCCGGCACGGGATATTTGGTGATGTTGGGAACTTCCGGAGGACCGGTCTCGACCGGGTAGCCTTCCTTTACCCAAAGACGGAAGTTGTTGAGAATGTGGACTTTGGGGTGGCCAAAGACCCGCATGGTCCAGGCCACCCGGGGAGCAGAGAACAAACCGAGCTCTTCAGTATCGTAGACGACCACTTCATCCTCGCGTCTGACGCCCATCTTGGACATTGCGTCTGCAAAAGCATCGCAGGTTGGCAACATATGCGGCCATTCCGACTCGTGGTCTTTTATCTCGTCGATGTCGAAGAAACGCGCAGTGGGTATTCTTTTCTGGAGGAAAACCTGGAGACCTGTTCGCTTTTCAGGGTCGTTGGGCATGAACCAGGCGGCACAGACGGGGATGACTTTGGGCGCGGTCGAAATGGCAGTCGGAGCATTCTTCTTTAGCGCTTCGTCGAGCTCTTGGGGCGTCACAAGGTAGGAGGAGAAACCTCGGTAGCGCATGCTGGATACGCGATGGAGATGGCCATACAAAGGGCGACGAACTCCGTATCGCCAGAGCGGTATGGAGCCGAGGGACGCGGTCATGTTGTATTGGATCTAGTGATCATATCATCGTTATGTGAGACCCGATCTAGAACCAGACTGTGTCACGAATGTGCTGTGAGGATACACCAAACCTTCGGGAGCGAGATAATGGGTTATGAGTAACTAACCCGAGCTTTGGTATGGTATCATATCTGTAAGCTCCGAGCTTTCCCTTTGCTGCTCCGCATCTGACGTATTAGTCCAGACATCTGGACCCGAAACCAAAAAAATACCAGGACCCGCATCGGCGCATTTATACCGATTACTCGGTACAGTGTACCTCGTACCTCATACCTTGTTCGACATTTTGACGCGACAACTCCTGCACGCGACAGCCATGTGACAACTCCTAAATTGACGGTTCCAACTGCTACACAAACATCGTGCGCCTCAGCCTTGACGTGACCCCGCAGAATCCTGCCTACATTCTCTCTTCGACCAGCGTCTTTCCTAAGATTCGCAGCGAAGTGTTCCCCACTATGAAGGTCAAAATCAAAACATGGCACGCCGTGGCCACATGGCGATGGGACATGCCCGAGGACGAAGTTTGTGGCATCTGCAGAGTCCAGTTTGATGGCACTTGTCCTACATGCAAATTCCCCGGGGACGAATGCACGCTTTTGATGGGGAAGTGCGGCCACTCTTTTCACATGGTATGGTTGACTGTTTACCACTGTGCCATCTAAGCTCACATGCCTAGCACTGTTTGTTGACCTGGATACAACAAGAGTCTGCGAGGGGTCTCTGTCCAATGTGCCGTCAGAGTAAGCCTCGTTCAACCTATCGTTGGCAACTGACAACTGATCTTCCTAGAATTTGAATGGAAAGACGGCAACCGGCGATCACAAGCACAAGTGGCAGAAACGGGTTGAGCATTGCAATCTTCTTGTGTGATATGCACCTCGAACACCGCCTCAGGTTGTGTTTGCCGAACGCAATATGAGTTTTTCATCGGTTGACCATCCCTTCTGGACAACGAAAGACTTAGAACATATCGTGTTACATCAAAGTATCTTTAGCTTTGGGTTGGGAATACTACTGCTCCTGGTGGTAGAGCACGTGTCTCTGCAGACTGCATTCGCTACCCACCGACCTTCGAGTGAGCATGAAGACGAACTCGCTCAAGGTTCTCAGCACAAACGGCGTCGATTTGCGTCCGCACAACGGAACTACTCGCTTCGGGTGCCAGAGTCTACCTCCACAACAGATGGCACCCGACCTCGACATGGTATCGCTATATGATATTGTCAGTTTGTGGGGTTGGAGGGGGGCTCTTATTACCTATAATAGGCGTCGAGTCCGCCTCTACATCACCTCTAGGGCGATTCATGAATTCAAGATTCTTCGCCCTAATACGTGTTTCAAAAGCAATTGGCAGGCGCGATTTCATCGTTCGGACTTGCTATACGCATTTCTGAACTCACGCCAGGTTGGAAGCGCTACATGTATCTTCACGTCAGACCACCAAATGACTTGATGGCCCTCGTAAAAGCAGCGGGATCGCCCGCCCACGATTTTTCCTCCCAAAGTGGCCGGCCCAAGCCGTCCTAGTTAGCCTGCGAGTGGGCAAGTGACAGTTTATTGCGAAACCTCGATCACTTGAAATCTTCTCTCCAACACATTGATCGTTTTGTCCTCTTAATTGAATAAAGTATTTCTTTGAGCCCGCGCCTTTGCCACATCGCAGGAGAAGTTGCTCTGAACATTCACCTGTCTCTTCCTTTGCCGCACTTGTGCCGAGTTCTTCCCAAACTCCGCCTCGAAATCGAGCGTCCTACATTCCGAGAGGAACACAAGGAATAAGCACTGAGTTCGCGGCGTCAAGATGGACCAAGCCGCTGCGCAACCTCGGAAATGTCCCGGGCTAAACTGCGATAATGATGCCTCATCACTCCAGTGCCCAAAGTGTAAAGAGATGGGCGTGGACAGTTTCTTCTGCTCACAAGACTGCTTCAAGCGGAGTTGGGTAGGCTGACCTCTAGTCTTTTGTAAGAAAGACTATGATCTATGGAGGGCCTATCGATTGCTGACCTTACTGCCAGGCTGAACACAAAACCCTGCACAAAAGTACGAATCCCTTCCGCAATTTCATTCCCCCAAAGGTTGTGTCTAAAGTCGATCCAGAAAGCGGTCACTTCAACCCATTTCCCACCTACCCTTTCACCGGCTCTTTAAGGCCTGTATATCCTCTGTCTCCGAAACGGGAGATCCCCAAGTCGATACCACATCCAGAATGGTCGCAGGACGGGATACCCAGATACCCATACGTCCGCAAAAACAATGTCCAGACTCTCGACGAAAAAGGCATCGCGGGTATGCGCAAGGTGTGCAGGCTGGCCAGAGAAGTCCTTGATATTGCTGCTGCCGCCGCAAAGCCCGGGGTGACCACCGACTACATTGACGAGATCGTCCACAATGCTTGTATAGAGCGCAAGGTGTGTTGGGCACTTGCCGATTTGGCGATCAAGGCTAACATCCGCTTATAGTCATATCCATCCCCTTTGAACTACAACCACTTCCCAAAGTCCGTCTGCACATCTCCGAACGAAGTCATTTGTCACGGCATTCCCGACCAACGGGTTCTCCAGGACGGCGACATCCTCAACATCGACGTCACACTATATCACGAAGGCTACCACGGCGACCTGAACGAGACATACTACATCGGGGACAAGGCCAAGGCCGACCCAGACAATGTCCGCCTCGTCGAAACAACGCGCCAATGCTTGCAAAAGGCCATTGAGCACGTTAAGCCTGGGGCGAAAATCGGTGACTTTGGGGACATCATCGAGAAGCACGCCAAATCCCAGAATCTTAGTGTTGTCAAGACTTATTGTGGCCACGGCATCAATTCCTTGTTCCACTGCGCCCCGAATGTGCCGCATTACGCAAAGAACAAGGCCGTGGGAAAATGCAAGGCGGGGATGACCTTTACGATTGAGCCGATGATCTGCTTGGGTAGTTACAAGGACAAGACGTGGCCTGATGATTGGACAGCCGTTACCAGCGACGGAAGTCGCTCTGCCCAGTTTGAGCATACATTGCTGGTAACTGACGACGGGGTCGAGGTCTTGACTGCACGCCTACCAACTTCGCCTGGGGGTCCAATTACGATGCCAAGTTCTGAAACGACGAACGGAGAAGCAAATGGTGATGCAAAAGCCTAAGCTGCCAATGTGAGTTCAACGGAAATGTGACGGGGCTCAACCGATTGCACACAAGATTCTCGCCATTCTGAACCGGACATTGGGATCGAGTGGTTATCCTCTCGTGCTGGGAAGGGCAAAAAAGACAGATCCGCTGCCCGTGGCCTCACGTCTGACCTGGTGAACGAACCCAGTGAAAGACACGTCTGTGCTGATTCATTTTTCTTCGTCTGCTCCTGAATGCCGCGGCAATGCTGGTCCTGGCCAGGTTGCCTTTCTCAGTCTCGCTGCTGAAGACAAGGTGCGGATTGTCCCTATAGTTGATGAGGCGGTGCGAAAAGGGTTCGAAGGCCTCGGAACGAAACTTGGGGGGAGGAAGGGGTAATGGATCAATTTTGGCGGCACTTCGTGAAGGTACAGAGAAGCAGGCGCTTGTTCCATGTGCCCTCCTTCACTGCCTCTTTGAGAACTCCCCAATGTTCCTACTGAATATCTTTCGGTGCCCATGGTTTTGATGGCATGGAGGGTTAGTGACGGGGCTGAAGGCGTGACCAACTTTGTGACAAAGGTCGAGCAACAATGTTGGTTAATCGGCTTTTCTCGAACGCACGTAGGCATGGCAGGCGAATCAACACATCACCAGTTGAGCTCAAAGGCATCCAAGTCTCGTTCCCAAGTATTCTTGACTGTGCCAACCTGCTTCATTGTCGTTGTTTGACTGCAAACGACAGCTCGACAAAAGGCGGTGGCAGTGTCAATATCTGAGCGGAAAAGCCTGCATTGACATGGAGGTTTTGCTTCCTGTTAGGACACTGGCTCTGCGTCTGCTATCCGCATAGTTATGTATCGTGTAAATTCATTGGTGAAAATACCATACGCCTGGCTGCTTGCAGGCTATCTCAACATCACTAGCCACAGCTTGGCTATCACTGGCCTTTGCCTCGCCACAGTGCCACACCTGCTACTTATTTCACGTCGAACCTCCTGTTGGCCATCGCAGTCTGCAACAGCGAAACGCATTTGCACCGGCTGTCAGTCACCTATCTTAAATGCTACCCTCTCTTTATGGATGCATTTGACCATGCCGCAACATGTCCGATCAGAATTATCGGAAACCCTTGTTCCTAGCCCTCGCTGGGGCAGTCGCCCTCACTGTCGCCTACTATACCTACACGCAACATGCGAAACCCTCGCAAACAGAGCCCTCGTCGCTCCACCGCAGTAATGCCATCCGCCGGCCGAGGCATAGAAGGCGAGGGCCTCGTGACTTTCAGCAGGCAAATCTCGAATACGACACAGTTGAGCGAGCGATCCGCAGTCTCGAATTGAGGGATACAAACAGAGATGGATACGGAGAATACGAGAACAGATGGTTCTTTCCTACCCCAGCACACAGACAAGCGGTGGACTTGACGCTGATCCCGTCTAATCTGAGCTCGATCAACGACTACCTCCTGCAACATGCTCCGGCGCAGCTGTCCCCTCAGCAACAAGAACATCTCCTCCTTCATCTCCACGGCCTCTTTGTGCAGAACTTCCTGAATGAGGAATACCCAGACGGTTATGTCATTGGAGACCATGCTTGGACGCTGGCACAAGCCTTGGAGCGTCTTGGAGTTGGTCCAGATATTGTTTTGCAGGTGGCGAGAGCCTTTGATGAGGGAAGGTCTCTGTTTAGTGATGAATGGAGCCCACTCGTGGTCTCCCAGCACGATCCCAGAAATAACACCGCACAGACTGACGGCGCAACGGACCAAGATGGCCTGGCTCCGCATGAGGCACTTCAGGCTCTAGCAGATCCTGGTGACGCGCATAGCGACATTTCGTCAGGCAACAACGAGGACGACCCCGAAGGCAGCCAAAATATGCTCGACCTTCTTTACCATATTGCTGGCGAGCAAGCTCGACGGGAAGGCTATATCCACCGCGGGGTTGAGTGCAATGGCTGCGGCATCCATCCCATTCGAGGCATCCGATATCATTGTGCAAACTGTTTTGACATGGACCTCTGCGAAAGCTGCGAAGCTAGCTCTGCTCATGGGAAAAGTCATGTCTTCTACAAAATCCGCATTCCAGCTCCTTCGCGAGGGAATATCAAGCAGGTTGTCCCAGAATGGTACCCTGGCAATCCGAGCGCCTTGATCTCGTCTTTGCCGGCCAGTGTATCCAAACCACTACTCGAAGAAACGAGAATGGAGCGGACCGAGATGGATGCCCTCTATGAACAATTCAAGTGTCTGGCCGGGCATTTCTTTCCTGGCGATCCTACTGGTCTGGGGTATGCCATTGATCGGAAGGGATTTGATGCATATTTCATCCCTACAACTGGAGACAAGCCTTCGCCCGCAAACTTGATCTACGATCGGATTTTCGCCTTTTATGACACGGATCAAAACGGCCTTATCACCTTCGACGAATACGTACGCGGCCTCGCTCGTCTGCAAGACAAGAGTCGGTATGCTCGGCTCAAGCGCATCTTCGAGGGTTACGATCTAGACTCGGACGGCTACGTGGACCGCAAAGACTTCCTCCGCATGTTCCGGGCGTATTTCGCACTCAGCAAAGAGTTGAGTCGGGAAATGGTCGACTCTCAGGAAGATTTTGGGTATACCGAGGAGGAACTTCGAGATATCGTTCAAGGAAGCCAGCCCATCAGCGCTGCGTTTGGTGGCGGCAATCTCTATGGTCACGAATCCCGGAACGGCCAAGGCAAACAGCGTCAGGCGAACGGAGATTTGCAACTCTCGAACGGTACGAATGGCGTCCTGCAGCCGGATCGTGATATGAGCGGAGATCGTGCGCGGGCGATCGGGAACGCCGCACTTGGCGGTCGGACCAGGAACCATCCTTTCAGATCGTTCAGACAGGAGCCTCCGGAGGACGAACCTTTGATGATGCTCCCAATGGGAAGCAACTTCATGCAGTCAGGGATGGAGCATGATGAGGTACATGCGGCAGAGTTCACAGGTCCCAATGCTCCACTGCAGACACATCCTTGGCCGCCCGTCCGGACGCCAGAGCCTCAAGATGTGACCGAGGCATTGGGACAAGATGTGGCTCTAGACGAGATAACGGATCCCCTGGACCGGACCAGAGTTCTTTTTGCTCAGTCCCAACGTCTTGACGCTGAAGGTGACCGGGCCGAAGAATCGTCACGCACCAGAGCTATCGAAGAACGATGGCGCCGGCGACAGTTTTACCTCGACAGCGAGGAAGGCTTGACCAAACCTCCAGGCTACACCGAACCGGATAGTTCAGATGACGACGACCTATCCGAACCCAAGAAGAATGGTCGGAGTGATGTTAGTCCTCGGAGGGCGTCCATGGCGTCGCGGTCTTCGTCCAAGGTTCGCTTTGATGATAGTGCCATCGAGGGAGACTACGAAACGCGATCGAATGCGTCGTCTCGGAGTGTTCCTGTCAACGAAAGATGGGGTGGCTATGAGCTAGGCCAGGCCGAAACCGATATTGGTAAAGACATTCTCTACCAAGCTGTGCAGCAGGGGTTCAACGAGTTGCTCGATGTGCTGTTTAAAGAAAAGGAAGACGAGTACATGGAAGCAAAACAGACTCGTGTGGATCGGCATTGCTTTGGAGTTGAGAGAGATAGGTTTGACCGGCTGCTTACTGAAATGGGCGTTGTGGATGAATCTGAAGAGGAGATCATCGAGATGATAAAACAAAGAAGGGAGAGCAAGGAGGAGCAAAAGCAGCTGATCAATGGTGCTGCAGAAGTGCCAAAACAGCACAACGGCGCTCTATTCCCACAGGATTCCGAAGATCATATAGGACTGATGTTCGGATCTCAAGGTCTGCTCTTGAGGCCGGTACAGGCGACCGAAGCGAAAGGACCCTACCGCGACCCGACTCTTCCACAGTTTCGACCTAATGAACCGGAACCACCGAGTCTGGCCTCCAATGTGGTCCCTCCTGCGCCTGCGCTGGACCAGCGGCCAGATCCTTTTGCAGGCGACCCGGCAAAAGCTCTCGAGACGTTCTACCTCTGGAACCATCATGATGACGTCGATGCAGAAGAAGACCGCCGTGGTGGCCCTGGGAAGTTGAGTTTTGCAGAGTTCCAACGGAAAATGGTGTCTGAAAACGAGGCGTCCAAGGTTTTAGGAGGGAAGAGCAATTGCGACTGCCATGAGACATGGGAGAGCAGTGCAGACCTAGGAAAACTGGCCTTTGTGGGTACTTGGTTGGAAATGGCCAGTTTCTAGGGCATGTTATATCAGGTTGGTGCTGTGGTGACCTGCGTTTAGCATTAGACTGTACGACAAACTCCACGACGGGATGAGGAAGCAAAAGCATGATACCCGGCGAGCTTTCTTGGAGGAAGACTACTCTCGATACCTAGAAGTAACGCCCTGTATAAATTGAATCCAAAGTAATTAAGACAATGATTTCTCAAGCCACAGTATGTGATACTCCTGAAGCTGATAGCCTTGGGCAGGGTCGCAGGCCGACGCAAGGCTGGGCATCGGGATTATTGATTTTCCATTCCCGGCTTGGCATTGGACGGTGCTTGTGCTCATCCCTGAACCAGAGACTCGTTCTCTACTGTGACTAACTAACCGTTTGACAGTGAACAACTCCTCTGGACGGGGCAGCCTACCAGTGGCACTTGCTGAAAGCAGCACGACAGCTCCATTCCCTTATTCTGCAGACAGCGGATTGGGTTGTAGGAATGGCTAAGCGCAACGCCGATAGCCCTTCAGATGGCGCCAACTGCGCCCGTGACAACAGCTTGCGATGAGAACGATCGAGAAACAGCCGCCACAGCGCACTGCAGGTCTCTGATCTACTCTGCACAGGCCAGGAATACCTAAACACCATGCGCAATCAGACGTCTGGTGCTATGTTGACCGCTGTGAAACGCGAGCGAATGAGGCCACTCCACGAGACATGGTTCAGAGCTCTGAGTGGTCAGATTCACGCAGGCCCCTTGGGTTGAGTATCAAAATCCCGTGCCTCTGGCACGCCAAACAATGAGGACAATGGACTTCTACCGCTCATCTGTACTTGTATTTCCGCTGACACTTTGTGTCGATGGTTTCTTCTTCTTTCGAGTCCCTCTCTTTCGCATCTCGGTTTCTTTTTGTTAGGAAGACAAGTGAGCAGCAGCCCAGAACTTCGCTACGGCCAGGAATGGCCCATCTTACCCATCCTTGGGTGGCACTACGGCGGCCGCGGAATCTCAAGAGGCAAAGGTGGATCGCTGGTGTCGGCCTTACAGGAGGTGTGCGGCAGCACTGCAGTTGTGGGAAGCCACATTCTCGAAATCTTGATCTGTGTCTTCTATTCCCTCGACACAGATTCGGTTCCAGCCGTTTCAACACCGTGTTTCTGCTGTTGTTCCGACTATTTTACCACGCGTCTTCCTTTGAAGTCGCCCATAACGGTTACGCCCAGAGACTCTACCTGCCACTTCTACAAGAGGCCGTCTCGAAGCCTTATGAGGAAGAAGTCGGCAACGGAAAGTCCCTTGTCGTCCCCGCCAATCAAGGCCTGCCCAACTCGTTCAAGACCTTCGAACGCTTCTCGACCAAAGCGTGGTTAGAGACGTTGCTCCAAGACCCCGCCGAACACAAGAATCTCAAGGTCAATTCGATCACGTGGATCAAGGCTCTTGCCTCGCCGTTTTCTCACGAATTCATCCAGTTCATTGTCGAGGACTCGGTGAGTGGTCAACGTACACGGGTCGCTGCTGGCCGAGAAGAAACCGGAGACTGGGTCCTCGTTGGCTGGAATTGGGCTTCCGGAAACACACCCTCCGATCACTACAAACTGCCGCTGCCACTCCTAACAGTCACTTTTGATGATGTCGACAAGCGACCGGATTTACAATCGCTTGCTCACGTGCTATCCGCAACCACCGAGAAACACCCTGCTTATAAATTTCGCAGAGAAATGTGCTGGTGGTATGCCGAGACTGTGTTGGAGGTGATGCACGAGCAATTCGGAGGGAAGGTAAAGGAGTGGGAGTGGTCGAGGTATCGGTATTCGTTCATCGTCAAGACCAGCTTCATCAGGCGCAAGGTCTTGACCAAGCATGCGGAGCTGTTTAAGCGGCAGCTGGCTGAAGAGATGAGTTATTAGGGTTGATTGGGATTCGCATTACTGGATGGACATTTTCATGCCTTTGGAGCGGGACAATTGCATTCGTTTCGGAGATTCGCGCATTATGAAGCGGAAACTAGACGCATAGATGTATCCTACCGTCGCCTGACGCTAAGTTATAGAACATAGAGCCAGAATACATCTGCTGATGGACTCGTCTAGCGTGTCTTGCGTGTCTGTTCACGAAGCTGCGCCAGGCTGACGCGCCGAAGATCAGCCGCTTCCCCATCATCCGCCGTGGCTTTCTCCATCCATCCCACTTTCAATCCAACTTCAGACACACTCTCGCAACGCAGCTCTCCCCCTCGCACCCCTCGTCCTCACAGCGATAGTAGAGAGTCACTCCTATCGCTCCCCCTCCATCATGTCCGGCCCAGAAGTGCACCATCTCTTCCACCACCCCATCGCCGACCATTCTTTCTCGGCCGACCGCCAAACTCTCGCCGTTGCACGGGAAAACAATGTCGAGCTGTACCACCGCTCGGGGCCCAAGTTTGCGTTGAAGGATGAATTGAAGGGCCACGATAAGACCGTGACCGGCGTGGACATTGCCCCCAATAGTGGGATGATTGTGACTTGTTCTCAAGGTGAGAGCGCCGTCTCTTGTGGCCCTGTACAGTTCACCTGCGGATTTGACTGACCGCCCTCGGTGTTCACCCCCGGGATAGACCGCAACGCCTACGTCTGGGAACCTGCGCCGTCGGGCGAGTGGAAGCCGACGCTGGTGCTCCTGCGCATCAACCGCGCCGCGACATTTGTGCGCTGGTCCCCCTCGGAGAAGAAGTTCGCCGTCGGCTCGGGGGCGCGCGTCATCGCCGTCTGCTACTTTGAGGAAGAGAATGACTGGTGGGTGTCGAAGCACCTGAAAAAGCCCATCCGGAGCACCATCACCACGGTGGCGTGGCACCCGAACAGCGTGCTGTTGGCGGCCGGCTCCACGGACAGCCACGCCCGCGTCTTTTCCGGCTTCATCAAGGGCATCGACGAGCGCCCGGAGCCGAGCGTCTGGGGTGAGAGATTGCCCTTCAACACTGTGTGCGGGGAGTACCTGAACGACGCGGCGGGCTGGGTCCACGCCGTGTCCTTTTCGCCGAGCGGTGACGCCCTGGCCTTTGCCGCCCACGACAGCAGCATCACCGTCGTGTACCCCAGCGGACCGGACCAGCCGCCGAGGGCGATGCTGAACATCTCGACGCAGAATCTCCCCTTCACCTCGCTGATCTGGAACGGCGAAGCCGAGATCCTCGCCGCCGGCTACGACTGCGAGTGCTTCCGCTTCCGCGGCGGCGAGCAAGGCTGGGAATTCGCCGGCAGCGTCGAGATGCACAAGCGTCCCGGCGCGGGCGGCGCCGCGAGGGAGGAATCCGCCCTGAACATGTTTCGCCAGATGGACCTCAAGGGCAAAGTCAAGGACGACACGCAGTTGACCACCACGCACCAGAACACCATCAACACTATCAGGGCCTTCGAGGGCGGTTCCAGGGGCGTGACAAAGTTTAGCACCAGCGGTGTCGATGGGCGGGTTGTCATCTGGACTCTTTAGACATTGGACCTATCAGCCATTGAGAGGTCCTAGCTACTACTACTACTACTACTACCACTATGGTACCACTATGGTGGTCTATGGTTGTCTATGAGAAAAGACATGAATGATAAGAGGGTAGAATCTGCTAGGAAAACAGCTGCTCTGTGATAACCATTCCTTTTTCCGTCCACCTTCTTATGCTAGATTGGCCCAAGTTTTGTTCAAGTGCTGGTACTGTTGTCACAGACAGACCTGCTCAGTCAATAGCGCCCGTCGCCTCGTGAATATCTTTGGTCTGCCATCCTGTCACTTCCCTATCTGTTTGCCTTGTCTCCTCTTCGGTTTCGCTTTCTTCGCTGGAGTCACTCGAATCAGTCGACCCACTCGACCGTCCTCGACTAACCGCCCCAGTCTCGGTCTCGGTCACTGTCACAGTCGTTGTCGGTTCTGATTCGACGTCAATCGCTTTCATGCGCAGCGTAAACTCGACCTGCAAGCTGCGCAGCCAATTCCTCAGTGCGTCTGCACTGGCCTCGCCTTTGACCGCGACGTCCCTCGCCTGGCCTAGCCGCTCCTTGACGTGGAGGACGAGCTTCCTCTTCCTGGCCAGGGCGGTGGCGTGGGGATTTCTCTTCCTCGCCTCGTTCCGCTCGTGCAGAGCCTCGGAGACACGCGTGGCCATGTCGATCACGCCGCCAGGAAGGCCGATGGCTCTGGCGAGGGCCAGCCCGTAGAACTTCTCTTCCTCGTATCCCTCGGTGATCTTGTACCGCATGGTCATCTTGGAGTAGTCCTCGCTGATGTCCGCTGAGAGGTGCAGGTTGGCCACGCCGGCGCGGTCGGCCAGGATGCGCGGCAGGTCGCGAAAGTGCGTCACGAACCAGACATAGGCCTTGGAGTCGATCAGTGCTTCGGCAATGGCGATCGCGATGGCCAGTCCGTCTGTCGTGCTGGTGCCGCGCCCCAATTCGTCGACGATGACCATGCTGCGCGGAGAGATGTTGCGCAAGATGAATGCCATTTCACGCATCTCAGAGGCAAATGTGGAGACGTTGGCCTCGATGTTGTCGTCTGTCGAGATGCGGGCAAAGATCTCGTGTGACAAGGGGAAGGAGGCGTACTCGGCGGGCACGAAACAGCCAATCTGCGCCATCACGGCCATCAGCGCTACAGAGCGGATGTAGGTCGACTTGCCGCTCATGTTGCATCCGGTGATGATGTGGAAGCGGTTCTGCGGCGTGGCGTACACGTCGTTGGGCACAAATCGGTCGTATTGGTATTGCGCCTTTTCGCGAATCGGGTGGCGGCCGGCTTTGATCATGAACGAGTCCGTGTCGACTTCGGGTTGGACATACTCGTGCATGGATATCGTGACGAGTTGGGCGAAGCCCGCAAGCATGTCGAGCGTGGCGATGGACTCGCTGATTTTGAAGAGTGGATGGATTGTGCTACGGACTTCATCGATGAGCTCTTGCACGGTGGCGTCGGACAGGCAGATGACTTCATTGTGGGCGTCCTTGATCTTCTGGTTCATCTTTATGAGGTCCAGTGTCTGGCATTCAATGTATTTGTGCTTCTTGTAGGTGTTGATAAAGGTCTCAGGAACAGAATTGTCCTTGACCTCAATGGCCGGAAATCGGAGGTAGTATTGTCTGTCGGTGTCGTATCTGAGTTCGACGGAAATCTCAACCTCTCCTGCAAAAGATATCAACTTGGCTTTCCACAAACAGACTGCACATACCTTTGAGGCGGTCGAACATGTCGTTGACATCCTCGCTGAGCTCCTTGTATGCCTGACGAGCGACGTCGAGGAAACTGTTGACACCAGCCTGTTTTGATTAGTTGGCTGGCGAGACACATTTGCCCACCATTACCTGTATGCCGTAAACTCTCTGGTTCCGCAGATCAAGGGGTTTGGTTGAGTATCGCACATCAACATTGAGACAACGTGCGAGCAGATTCTCCACTTGCACGTAATTTCCTGGGTCACAGAGCTTGTACGAAAATCAGATCAACTGAGCGATCACATGGGTGTCAAAGTCACCTGGCGTATCATCTTCAGCTCCTCACTGTTTGCGCCAGCAAGAGCCTGCCAGACCGGTTTGACCCCATCCACGAGCGTCTTGAGCATGAGAACGTTGTTGATTGACTGTTCCATATAATGGAAATCTTGTCTTGTCGACATGATGGCAAGCTGCATGACTTAGTACTGGAAAAGTTGGATATTTCGACAACGAACCGTGGTAAGCACACGGTCGGCATCAACGAATGACTTCAGGGCTGGTCCCCGTTAGCAGGTTCTTCGCATAGAAAAGACCTAGTACCGGTTCGAACTGCAAAGAACATGTCCTCCTTGGTCGTGAGCTCGCCAAGAGCTTGCTGCCTCTTTCTGATCTTTTCCGCATCTGTTGATGGTTGCAGGACATTGCTTCGGAGGAACCGAGCACCCATTGGTGTCAATGTTTGGTTCAACAACCCCAGGAGGCAGTCTCGAGATTTGTCTTTCTGGAGGTTCTGGATCAGTTCAAGCGAAGCCATTGTGGAGAGGTCGATCATGGTCGACCCTTCAGAGGGTTCAAATTTGATGCGCAACGTTTGCGGAGCGAACGTCAATTCCATGGCAAGATCGATGTACTTCATCGCCTGTATCTGTTAGGGACACGCAGAAGAAATGGGGACCTCCTGCAACATACGGCCGAAAAACAGCATGTTGCAAAGTAGTTTCCGGCAACAGACAACTTCAACGACTCCAGATCGTCCGGAAACGCCAGTTGATGCACATAGTCATGACCACTAGTTTCAGACCAATATCTACGCTCGATACCGGTCATGGCGATGTCAAATTTTTGTACTTCGAGGTTCTCGGCTACAATCGAAACGAGTTTCGAATCTTCAGCAGTCTTCATGTAAATGATCTCGGAGGGCGCGAAGACTTTGATCTTGTGGCACGTACGAGCGTAGGTTTGCGTGTCAGTGAACTGGCAGAGGACTGATTCAGAAGTGGAAACATTGACAAAGGAGAGGCCGATGGTAGGAGATACGCCTCGGGACTCGCAGATTGCACAAATGATTTCATTGTCACTGTAGCTGGTGGATGTTGCCACGGTTCGGGGACGCGACCTGCTACCTGATTGGGGCCTAGAAGTAGTGTTCGTCAGCCTTGCGGTCAGGGTGTTTCTGCCGCCAGGAGAGGGTGCTCGTGGCATGGATGCCATTGTCATATATAGGTTTTGAGCTACTAGACGAGTGACTGAAAGATGTCTAGATGTGTACGAGCACACGAGAGAGGTAGGCTGAAGGCTGAGGCTGGTGTTGGAGGCGTGGCCGGGAGAGGAAGGTTTGCCGCATCTTTCCCCCGCACGAGGCTGTGGTCCGCTATCATTTCTGCGTCCACCACAATTTTCTGCGTAGGAGCCTTGAGCCAGAGATCAGGGCCATTTCCTCGCACACAGCCAGCATGGCCACATTGGCGCCGCCTCCGAGTAAGCGGCAAAAACTTGCTGCTGAAGAGAGGGCAGAAAGAGTGCTGGAGGAGTCAAGAATTCCAGACGACTTGGGTAGCGTGAGAGTGCAGTTTGTCGATCAGAGCACGGGAAAGTCAACGGGACCGGTGGTTGCGGTGCCTGTGAAAGATGCCACGGTCAAAAACCTGGAGACACTTCTGAACAGTATACAAGGCAACGTATGAATCCTGGATGAACCAGAGACTTGCGCTCAGATTGCTGAACTTGTTTAGGATCCTACTGAGCGCCTACCTTACCGCTTCTTCTTCCAGAATGACCGAATTTCGAGTTCCCTTGGACCTGTGGGAGCCATTGTTGATGTGCAAACTGACCTGTACAACTCCATCCTCAAACCCGGCTTGAAGACCACCGAAGACAATATCATCCTCCAGTTCACACCTCAGGCTGTATTCCGCGTCCGCGCCGTTTCAAGATGTTCTGCGTCAATAGCAGGGCACGGCGAAGCCATCCTCGCGACTGCGTTCTCACCAGAGACATCGTCTAGAATGGCCACGGGTAGTGGGGACAACACCGCACGGATATGGGACTGCGACACGGGAACACCTCTGCATACGTTGAAGGGGCATACGAGTTGGGTACTTGCCGTGTCATGGTCTCCTGATGGCAAAATCCTTGCTACTGGAAGCATGGACAACACTGTGCGGCTGTGGGACCCAAAGACAGGAGAGTCCCTAGGTGGGCCATTGAAGGCACACACGAAATGGATCACAAGTCTCTCGTGGGAACCGTACCACAACCAGGCACCAGGAAAGCCTCGATTGGCATCGGCCTCCAAGGACGGCACAGTCAGAATTTGGGATATCCCGCTGCGCCGTATTGAGCAGACTCTTTCCGGGCACAAGGGATCGGTCACCTGTGTGCGGTGGGGTGGGCTCCATCGTGTATTTACCGCCTCCCAAGACAAAACGATCAAAGTATGGAACTCGCGAACCTGGAATTGTCTACACACCTTATCGTCGCACACTCACTGGGTCAATCACCTCTCTCTCTCCACTGACTTTGCCCTTCGAACATCTTATCACGACCACACGGGAAAAGCCCCGTCAACCGCCGAAGAAAGAGTTGCTAAAGCAAAAGGGCGATTCGAAGAGGCTGCACGTCAGGACGGAAAGCTGGTCGAAAGACTCATCTCGGCATCGGACGACAACACCATCTTCCTGTGGGAACCGTCTTCTTTTGACCCAGACTCGAAGGCGACCCCTAAGCCCATTGCACGCTTGTTGGGCCACCAAAAACAAGTTCTGCATGTGTCCTTTTCTCCCGACGGCCACTACATTGCCTCGGCCAGCTTCGACAATAGCGTCAAATTATGGAACAGTCGTGATGGCAAATTCGTCTGCACCCTGAGGGGCCACGTAGGCTCTGTGTACATGTGCGCATGGTCAAGCGACAGCAGGTTGCTGGCTAGTTCGAGCAAAGACACCACCGTCAAGGTGTGGGATGTGAGGACGGGCAAGCTGAAGATGGATCTGCCAGGACACAAGGACGAAGTGTTTGCCTTGGATTGGTCTGTGGATGGCGCCTGTGTGGCTAGCGGTGGGAAGGATAAGATGGTCAAGCTATGGAAGCATTGAGTCTGCTCCCGGATCGGCACATCTCGATTTGATGATAGATATGGCACGAAAAATTCAATGGTTTGGGCGCACGGGTTCTATGTGATGGTCGTTGAATGATACCCACGAAGAAAAAAAGTCATGGTCAATATTGGATTTCAACAACATATGTGCAATGTTTTTTTTTTTTTAATTCTGTGAAATCTGTATGATTCTGGATTGTTACAAGCAACCATCGCCTATACCACCAATCCACCTGTGGTGGCCATCAGTTTTTTTCCCCCGACGACCAAAAAAACCGTACCGACATCTTCCGCGAGCTGTGTTGGTCTACCACCTCGGCCACCTCTTACATTCTAAAACCGGGCTTCTGTCCAGGAGGATTGTAGATGATCTTTCTCGTCTTGATGGGGGCCCACTTGTATCGCTTGATCCAGCCACTCAGGGCCAACAGGGCAGTGCCGATGATCAGGACCTTGAAACCCATCTTCTTGCGCTCATCCATTTCTGGTTCTGCGGTCCAGTTCAAGAACTCGACTACGTCTTTGGCCATTTGCGAGCTGGTCGCGGGCGTGCCATCCTCATATTCGACCAATCCGTCGTACAGAACACGAGCCATTGCGATGCCGGTGCCGGGGAAGTATGGGTTGAAGTTGAGACCAGATTGGACGGTGGCACCCGCAGGCGGTTCCTCCGGGTAGCCGGTCAGTAGACTGAAGATGTAGTTGCAACCGCCATGACGGGCCTTGACCATGAGGGATAGATCTGGAGGAAGGGCACCATTGTTGGCGGCACGAGCGGCTTCGTCATTCTTATACGGGTCGGGGATGTAGTCAGACAGCTTGCCGGGTCGTTTCTCGATCTCTCCTTCGTCGTTGGGTTCAGTGTCGTACTCGTTCTCTTCGGCCATCGCCTTGGCTTCGTCGACGGTCATTATCGTACCGACCAGTGACCGGTATGGGATTCGCTTGAGAGAGTGGCAGGCGGCGCAGACTTCACGGTAAACTTGGAACCCTCTTCGGAGACTGCCAAATTGTCAACTCAACACGCTCGACAATGTGGTAGTGGGAGCTCTCACGAAGCGTGATCGAATGTTTTTGTCCATTTTGTGTGCTCCCACGGATACTGGGTTGGGTGTAATCTGGAGCCCGTCGTCAGTCGCCTATAGCTCTCCATCGCTTTCTGGGAGCTTACCCCTCTTCTGCAGGAGTCATGGCAAAGACATCTTGACCGAACAGATGGTAGTACCAGGCAATCGAGCCAACTGTTGCTGCCGTCGCAGCTGAAGCGCCCAGTGTAAGGTAAAAGGGAGAGGAGGCGGCTTCGGAAGCACTCGACGATGCAGCACGCTAGAATTCAACGTCAGTCCTAGATCCGTTTGAAGTGTACACTCGCGCTGTTGGAATATTCGTAAAGAATGGTGGACTGACAGTGGTGGTCTTTCGAACAATGGTTCGGGCGGCGACCCTCAATGGGGCGCTGCGGACGGCCGACGTGGCCAACATCTTGTCCAGAAGCCTTATGCTCTCGACAGATGGTGGACTAGCCGTGCAAAGGCGTAGAGGAGAGGGCGAGTCGCGGGGGGTGCAAGGTGAAAAGAATGACTTGAGAAGATGAGAGGATGTCCAAAGTCGAAGCTTGAAGCTACATTTTCCGGGGGTTCATTAGGTTCGCTGTGATTGGCTGACACTCAATCTTCAAATCCTGGCTTAGCGGCCAGAGCCGTCCGGGACACGTGATCTGCCAGCGAAGCGAGGTTCGTCACTTCTCGCCGTCGATTACTCGTGTAGATACAAGACGGCTCGACGGATCTGGTTGAAAGTTCAGACCGACAACTCCCCTCGTCCTTGCGGCACCGACTGCTGCAGGGCGTGATGCCGATGAGTGAAGCAAAGAACCCCTCTTGGAATGACCAATTCAAGAGCACGAACCAGCGCGACTTCAACACCCAAGTCATCATTTCGGTCGTCTTCGGACTGAGTGCGTTTCTTTCCTTCTGCGTATGTCCTCTATATCTCCAGTGCTTCCCCTTGGATACTGACTACCTACAGGTCCTTCGCCCCAAGTGGACCAGCCTTTACCATGCGCGCAAGAAACACTCGGGCGCAGCCTCGCGTCTACCCGACTTGCCGAAGTCGATGTTCGGATGGATTCCTGTCCTGCTGAGGATTTCGGACGCAGAGGTTCTCGCCTCCGCCGGTCTCGACGCCTACGCTTTTCTGTCCTTCTTTCGATACGCCATCAAGTTTCTCTCCATCACCTTGTTCTTCTCACTCACCATTATCCTACCGGTGAACTACAGGTACACTGGCGAACTACCCTACCCACCCATTAACGGCACGGCGCCATTCTTCGAGCCTACATTTCCCTATGCCGACGATGAGAAGAGACCCAAGAAGCCCAAGATGGAGAAGGATGACAGCTATCTGTGGATGTATGTCGTGTTCGCCTACTTTTTCACTGGAGTGGCTGTGGCCCTCTTGATTGTTGAGACCTCGACTATCATTCGAATCAGACAAGCTTATCTCGGCACTCAGTCCACCATCACCGACCGGACTCTACGCTTGTCGGGCATCCCGAGCGAAATGAGGTCGGAGGAGGCAATCAAGAACTTCATTGAGGATCTGCAAATCGGGAAAGTGGACAGCGTCATGCTCTGTCGAAACTGGCGTAACCTGGACGAACTCATGTCGAGACGCATGACATGCCTGCGCAAGCTGGAACAATCATGGGCAACGTATCTGGGCCACAGCCACTCGTTTCGCCATTCTCGCCGAGCTCACGCGGAACGTGATCTTCTCGATGACGACGATGAGAGCGGGGCGCTGTTATCACGTTCGGAGATGGAACGAGCTCACTCTACCCCCCTGGGCAGGAAACGGCCAACGGTCAGCCTTCGGTACGGGCCACTCAAGCTCTACAGCAAGAAGATTGACGCGATCAATTACTACGAGGAGAAGCTGCGGGTTATGGATGAGAAAATCAATGCCCTAAGAAACTCCGAGTTCCGCCCCACACCTTTGGCCTTTGTTACTATGGAATCGACCGCCGCATGTCAAATGGCTGTGCAGGCAATTCTCGATCCAAAGCCCGGGCAGCTCCTTGCCAGCTTGGCGCCGCCACCAGCCGATGTGGTCTGGAAGAACACGTACCTTTCGAGGAATCACCGCATGATCCGGTCATGGAGCATAATGGTCTTCATCGGGTTCCTGACCATCCTGTGGGCTGCCCTTGTTGCTCCTCTGGCAGGTCTGCTCAGTATCGAGGTCATTGACAAGGTACTACCCGGGCTCGCTGCTGCCCTCGAGGATCATGAGATCATCCGATCGCTGGTGCAGACAGGTCTGCCAACCTTGTTATTCTCCGTGTTGGCGTTAGCAGTCCCCTACCTGTACGATTGGCTCGCCAACCAGCAAGGCATGACCTCCCAAGGAGATGTTGAGATGTCGGTGATCTCGAAAAACTTCTTCTTCATTTTCTTCAATCTCTTTATCGTCTTCACGATCTGGGGTTCTGCTACTACATTCTACGACTTCTGGCAGGATTTGCGAGACATCCTGCGAGACACTGCAGGTATCGCCTATGCGGTGGCCAAGGCTCTCGAACAGCTTTCGCCTTTCTACGTCAACCTGATTGTCCTCCAAGGCCTGGGGCTCCTTCCTTTCAGGCTGCTCGAATTTGGCTCGGTCGCGTTGTACCCGTTCTACCTCGTCAGCGCAAAGACACCCCGGGACTATGCGGAGTTGTCCCAGCCGCCGATCTTCAGCTATGGCTTCTACCTGCCACAAACCATGCTTATCTTTATCATTTGTATTGTGTACAGCGTCCTCCCTGCCTCATGGATGATCACGTTATTCGGGCTGGTGTACTTTCTGATTGGTGGCTTCATTTACAAATATCAACTGCTTTACGCCATGGAACACCGCCAACATTCCACGGGTCGAGCCTGGCCTATGATCTGCAACCGAGTCATCACCGGCTTGATCCTCTTTCAAGTGGCGATGACGGGTATTCTGGCGCTTCGAGGAGCGCTGACCGCCTCGTTATTCCTGGCGCCTTTGTTGGCCGGTACAATTTGGTTTACTGTATATTTCCAACGTACATATGTGCCCCTGATGCGCTTCATCGCGCTTCGAAGCATCGACCGACCAGGCACGCCTCAACTGCCCACCCCGCCGGAGTCGGCTTGGGACAGAGACACAGAATATGGCCGTGCCGTCGACACCGACCCAGAGTCTGGCCTTCGTTATATCAACCCCAACCTCGTCCAGCCCTTGGAAACGCTGTGGATAAGGAAGCCTGGACATGGAAGTCATCAGAACAATTGAGATTGGGAAAGTGTATCTTTTCGTCCTTCCATTGGAGCATAGCAAGCGAAGTGATTGAATTTTGTCGTGCTCCTCAGAGATACCCATGTACACAGTTGTCATCCAGTTCATCTTGAAAGCCTTGACTCTTAATTTAATATCTCAACCACAGGGCCCTGAGTCGAAATATTGGTTGTGAGTGCTCCTTCGTTCCTTCTCTTTGGCATGTCCCTGAAAAGGATGATGCACTTCTCCTTCGCTGCTCAAGTTCAGGCAGGTGCAATCATGTCACCCGGGCTGCGTCAGTTCTTTCTCCTGCAAGTGCGACTCGCTTACTGCGCTGCTCAACACCTCAACCTTGATACTCCTGGCCCTCTGCAGTCCGTCCCCTTTGCTTCCTACTGCCGTACCTATCTTTACCCCTGTCGCTCACATTTCCTTCATTCGCTTTGTTACATTCCCATTATCACTACTTGTAGCCATCTTACCTGTCGTCACCCTGGCATATGAGATCCTCGTATCTCGAGGAATTGCATCCATACACGACCACGACCTCAAAATGCCCTACCCTGTCAGCCGACACTTCAGCCCCGGTTACCAACCTCCACTCTCTACCAAAGACCTCACACCTGAATATCGAGCGAAGACAATGAGTCGATGCCAGCAAAGAGCGGGTCCGGCGCTGATACATCTTGGAGATAGTGCGAGGCAGTACTTGGACTCTGGATTGCGTGGAGCAGATTCACCCACTACACCTCATCTTGTCTCAAAACGTCCGCGGGTCTCGGTATATCACTGCAACTCAGCCAAACTTTACACCGTCAAGCATCCGCTCAGTCTCACCCATGTCAGTGGTGGACAAACCGGAGCTCAAAGAGACCCTTTCCGCGAATCATACTCAAACCCACCCTACACTGCAGAATCTCTTATCATTGCCCACGCAGAGCAGTTCCCTTGCCTCGATCCTCCCGCCATAAGCCTTGATATTCTGCAATACACTGCAGCTTCATGTCGGGCGTGTGAATCTGTCAGTCATGGACATGAACGAGGTGGACCTAGCTTTCCGAACACAATGGACGGCGCATGCGACGAGCCCGATGCTCCAACTCCCAACGCAGTCAGTCGAACCTCCAGTGTGGTTGACATCAAGTCACAAACCCCCCGGCCTTCGGTAGTGCATTTCTTGTCTGATGACCATCTGAACTGGAGAGAAAGAGAGCGTGCTACCTTTGTGAACCCGTTTTCACCCGAAGACCCGTCGTCCAGGAAGACTTCGACCTCTTCTGAAGCCACAGCCTACCTCCGACCCAATGCTTTTGCGGGTCATCGAGATACGCTGGTAAGACTGCACTACTTCACCTCGAGCGACCATGACAACGAGGACACCGCAGACAGTGACGCGGACTCATTCTCGACTGCCCTCACCCGTCAGCCGTCTAGACGAGCCAGCCTGGCCGGGGCAAATCTGGACCTCTTCTATCCGCTCCGGGTTGTCGATGCCGTGCTCCAGTATGTGGCCCTTGATGATTTTAAGGCTATGCGACTAGTCTGCCGCCAATGGCATGCAAATCTGCCTCGCCCCAAGTTTCCTGGTGCGTACCTTGTTCCCAGAGAAATATTGAAAGAAATCTTCTCCTACTTGACACCCTGTGACTTTGATGCAGCCCGCCACACGTGCAAGGCCTGGTTCTTGGCTAGCCTGGACCGATATGTCTTGGAACCAATGCTCCGAGCAAGTGGGTGTCAGGCTGCGTTGGCCACAGATCTTGAACGGATACATGGGTCTTTCCTTGCAGAGAGACGAAGCTGGGACAGTCGACTTGGCCCAGTGCCGGCCGACGCCGAGAATGCCATTGATACAGAATGGCTGTATTCCAGAAGACTGGCTACAGAAAGTCGACTATCGCCCGACTGGCGAGGCTCTTTCCTGCCGGATGATTCGGCTCAGTCGTCTAGACTCTCAAAGATCGAGGAAGTCGATTTCTCCAAGGTCACAAACCCACCCGTTTCACGGACAAAGTCCAGATTCACGGTATCAGCATGTGGCAGATTTGTCCTCGTGGTCTCTGGGGGCGACATATCTGTCTACAGCTTGTGCGATTCGGAGCAGTCGCTTGTCCCGGTGGTTAGACTAGCCACAGGGTTTGATGTGTTGAAGGTCAGCATGGATACCAGCTCGGAACGATACTCAGTCGCTGCCCTCCTCGCAGGGCGTATCGGCATGCTGTGGGATCTTCAAGGCAGCCACATCCAGATAAGGTATCGCAACAATTCCGGCGAGACAATGAGCTTGACAATGCAGAAAGACATCCCCGGCCCAGCCAACTACCAGATTTCCACGCTCGCCAGCGTCAACCTACCGATCAATTCCCATCATACGCACGCTACGGGAGTATCTGATTCGGACCTTGAGGCGACGACAATGAATGATTACAATCACCCTGTCAGGGCCACACCAAGTCCTCCATTCTTGTGGGACGAGGACATGCGTAGCTCCGAGAGCCCGGAAGAAGTTGAAGATTTACACACCGCGGATGATGCCAATCAAGTGCAAGATCGCTTGGGGATTCCCATTGAGACTCGAGCAACGTCCGTTTACAACAATCTCGGAAGTGTGGATGATCAGCCAAGGAGCGTAGCGATTTGCCCCAATCGAAGATGTGTTGCATTTGGTTGTCGGATGGGTATTGAACTTCACTGGGTCGATGCTCTTACTGGTGGTCAACTCAACCGCTGGTTTCCCCTCGCTGCGCCGAGCGACTATCTTTATTTTCTGCCTCGACGATGTGGAACGGATTCGAAGAGGAAGCTCAGGCTGATCTCGAGTGCTGCAGGACCAGTTGTCACTCAGCTTGTCAGGAGCGACAGCACACCAGCCACGTCAAAGTACTGGCCTACCCCAGCAACCTTTGGCCGGCGACAGAGCTTGACAAGGCTCTTTTTCGGGAATCTACCATTCCCAACGCCCGTCAGCGGCTCAGGTGACTTGTCTGGCTCGGTCAGCCCTGAAAGAGCCCATGGGGCCCAAGGGGTTTTGCGGACTGTTGATTGCGGTCATTTTCATGCAGTGCCAGTCAGCGACGGATTCCACCTGATTTTCACGGATCCAGGGAGTGGACTTCTCTGCTTGGGCAGTGACGCACCACTAGGAGGCCCGACAAAACTTGTTCGAAAGATCATGTTCATTCCTCCCGGAGAGGGTGGCCGAACGTCTGCACCACGCCGCTACTCTGTCGGTAAAGCCCTGGGTTGGGGTTTGAGGCTCGTCGCCGTGTACGATGATGATCAAGTCGTGCTGTACAATATTCCATCTGATATTATCGGGCGGCTACAAGGCCAGAGAAGCTTGACCGATATCTGGGACGAGAACTCTGGTGTTGTTGGGCAAAGTGATCTGATCATGGACTCTCTGATGAATCGCGATGAACCCGGCCCACCTGGTGGTCCAGCGGTCCAAGAAGCCCCGGAACACGACGACGGCTATGCTCAGGAGCCTCTGCAACTTGCAGGTTCTCTCATTGCTCGTGTCGCCGACCAACCCGTGGACGATATTGCGGTCCAATCCGAAAATGGTGGACTTTCTGTTTGGCTCTTCTACAGAAGTGGATTGGCAGAATTTTATAGCATCTACGCGCCTTGGCCCTATCAAGTGCGAAGAAGGCTTGTAGGGGAGAACGGCTTCATTTGCGACTGTGACAACCAGATGCCTGTCGAGACTAGGACTGTTACCGGGACGGCAAAGGGCAAGGAGAGAGCGGATCAAGAAACCAGGCATGTCAAATGGGCCGGTCAGGGAAATTAGCGACTGAGGTACTTGAGGGAGCGGTAAAGGGCGAGCCAAGCTTCACGCCGCTGAGATTGTGCTCATACAATGGCGTGATGTCTATAAACATCTATTCAGCCCACGAAGGAGTGAGAGTGGTAGCTGTGGAAGGGGTCGTGGATTCTACCTGGGGTTGCTGTCCTGCACCTACCTCGAAGAGGACGAAGTCTGTGAGAACAGTGTCGTACGAGTGAAGTTAGATTAGTCGCAAGAACCACCATATATTAGTATACCATCGTGCATTTCTACCTGACACACGGAAGCCTCTTTGACCCTCAGACCGTCCTTTGCGCGGCTCACGTCCATCCAGAGCTACTTGGGATTGAACATCGCCCTCAAGACTCCATATTCAACGCCTTTAGCAGCGTCCTCCCCAACCGTCCGACCTGGTATGGCGTCGTGGTCAAACTCGTCATGAAGTAGATGACATCGCCCAAGACGCGCGAGTGGATCCCGCAGCCGTCGTCGTCCAACAAGGTCAGAAGACGCGACTGGAGGTCTGCCGAGGCCGTCGACGTGTAGCCGCCTGTGGAACCGTGGGGGGCGGCCATTTTGAGGACGAGGACGGTGCCCAGCGCGAAACAGCCGGTTAGGCGGGGGTGGTGGGAGAGTTCTTGGAGGGGGGACGGTGGGAAGAAGGAGTAGATCTCGGCTGAGCTGGCTGAGCTGGCAGGGCGTGCAGAGGCAGAGGTGGAAGCGGAAGGCCCTGACCAAGCACTCTTAAAGCGGCTCCAACTCCCGTCCCGGCTCGTGTCCATCCGTCGATACTCGTCCAGGGCCTTGTTGCCAACCATGCACCCGATGGGGTGGGCCGTGTAGGAGTGGCCGTGCAAGAGTGCGTCGGATTTTGAGTCGGAGAGGAACGTCCGGAAGATGGATTCGCTTGCCGTCGTGAGAGCCAGGGGCAGGAGTCCGGCGGTCAGGAGCTTGGCGTGCACGGAGATGTCGGGCGCGAGGGAGGGCGGCAGGGCTAGCTGGGTGGAGTTCGAGACCGTGGATGGAGAGGCTGCATCGCCAAAGTCGGACGGACAAGACAGGAAAGACGACGAGCTGGCGCGGCCGAGACGGTAGAGGCCGGTGAAGACTTCGTCGGCGATCACAGGGAGTCCGGACCACTCTACAGCGTCTTCGCTGTCTTGGGGACTACGCTCGGAGAACTGCTTCGTTGGACCACCGGCTCCAATCAGAGAAGGATTTGCTCGAATGGTTTTGATGAGCGTCCTCTGGAAGAGAGGGTCGACGAAGATCATCCCCCCGGCTCCCATGATGATGGGCTCGAGAATCAAAGCACCGAATCGCCTGCCTTGGTCGCGGACAAGATGGTCGAGTGTCGTGGTAATGTGGGACTCGTATCGTTTTGCGTCCTCCACCCGGGCATCAAAGTCGAAGAGAGCGCCGAGAGAGTCAAACTTCTGAGTGCTGGTTGCGGCATGCATCTCTTCCGGTAGTGTGAGTTCCCAAACGCCATTCCGCATCAGCAAAGAAGGCGGATCAAACCAGTGGCCCCAGGGTTGATGCCAGTCCACCTTTTCATTGAACACGCTGGGCTCGGAGCAGTTCATCACGCCGATGGTGTCACCGTGATAACTACCCTTCAGACCCAGAATCGCCACGGGATGCCTGCCGTCCTCATCGTCCTTGGCCCATCCGTATCGCTGGCTGGAGGCCCGCAACGCCATTTTCACAGCGACCTCCATCCCCGTGCTACCGTTATCGGTGAAGAAGACTCGACTCAGACGTGGATTTTGCAGAGTTGTCAGGAGGTTGTAGGATATGTCGAGAGCGGGCTCATGAACAGCATGTGCGAACATAACATGGCCGTAGCGACCTGCCGCGTGGGCTGCAGTCAAAGCAACATTGGGATTGCCATGGCCGAGACCTTGTGTCCACCATGACGCAGATGCATCGAAGAGAGGTGTCAGCAGAGATTTAGGGGTTGGCTGTGCGGCAAGCGGAGTAAGTCCAAAGGTCGAAGTAGTTTTGGTCTCTTTGAGCGCTGGATCTGATTCTTGGTTGTAGGTTTGGAAATGATCATTGTATGCCGAGTCGATTGCGATGATGTTGTGTGGTATTCCGTGCTGGCGGAAGGGATGCCATATCACCGCCTCCGCCTGTGAAGGCATCGACGTCAGCTTGGAGATCCGTGAGAAATGCTTTTGATTGAGCAGGTCAAGCAGGTTTCGGGCACCACCCGTCTTCGACCAGCCGCCATAGTAGCTCGAGAGTGCGCGCTTGTCTTCTTCGCCATCTTGATGCTTCTCGGGTGGTTTTGGCAGGGCAAACGTCGTGATGCCGTGCTTCTGGAAATACTCGTTGAGGTACCCGAAGTTTCCCCATTCCGGATCATCGAATAGCACGACCGAGTCAACGTCGAAGCCCCGGACATGCAGAGACTCGAAGGCCGAGATGGTAGTTGCGATTCCACCTAGCTTACTGTCTCCGACGAGGATGGTAGGGAGTCTCAGCGGTCTGTACAGGTCGGCTTGAACGGTACCAGAAGGACCAGGGGAGAGAACACCGCCAGCTGTTTCCACGAGAGCATATCGGCCGCCTGCCTCGATGTGCTTTCCCAGAATATCCTTGACTCTGGACAAGATTGAGGCGTCTGACCTTGGGATCTGGGATACGTCAGTGCCTGTAAGGGCAAATTTTAGGTGATCGACAACACGCACCGATGGATCTTTGTCCAATTGAGCAGCCAGATGCGGGCTCAATGGGCGTGAGAATTGCGAGACATTCTTCGAAACAATCCCAGGCACAAACGTGTCAATGTGTCTGTGGAGGAGTGTCAGCTGGTCTTCAACATCCCGTCAATGCCCGTCAAGCTTACCCTACATCTTCCTCGTTCCTTGGCCCCGTAGAGACGGGCTTCAAATACAGCACTCGCTGGTCCGGAGTCTGTAGAGCTCGACACAGCAGCGTCGAGACAATGGTTTTGCCGACATTGGTATTGGCTCCAAAGACCTGCCACACCTTCAGATCGCGCCACAGCATCACGCCGTCATCCAGGGAGAAGCGAAGAACTCCTGACAAGATCGAGTCGCTGACCGAGGCTGCAGGCAGATTCTGTTCCTGCCAAGACATGCCCCAGGGTTGCTCCTTCCGTAAAATCCCGACTCTCCGATTGGACACCGAAAAGCTTCTTTTCCTTTTTGATGGATTTTGTTCCAAGGCCGAGGCTGAGTTGTTGACCCAACATTTCTCCATCCAGCGTTGACCTCGACCTGTCCGCATTTGTCACGCGTGCCTGCGAGCTACACATACACAGTAGACCCCGACGAGACATATTCTGGCGTTGTTTGAGTAATAACACAAAAAATTCAGTGTCATTCAGCCAGTCATCCATTCAGCCATGCCTTCGTCCCCATTGGAACAGCGCCTCGTTGCCCTCTTGGACAAACGTCGAGCTCAGTCAAAGCTGCGGAGCCTCAAGTCGAGCCCTCCCGGCTCCGTCGACTTTTCCTCCAACGATTTCTTGTCTTTGTCCACCAACAAGGAGTTCCATGATGACTACCTGGCGGCTCTGAATAGAAGTCACACGCCCATTGGATCAACTGGTTCAAGGCTGTTGGACGGCAACTCTGACCTTGCCGAAAGCCTCGAACGTGACCTTGCTGCTTTCCATGGCGCCGAAGCTGGTCTCCTGACGAACTCGGGCTTTGATGCCAACGTCAGCATTTTTACCTTTCTCCCCCAGCCAGGGGATGTTATCGTCTACGACGAACTCATCCACGCCAGCGTCCACGACGGCATGAGACAATGCAGGGCGAAGCAACAAATACCTTTCAAACACAATGATGTGGAAGATCTAAGTCGCATACTCCGGCAATTTTCCTCACCGATTGCCGGCCAGACCATTTTCATCGCCGTGGAAACGGTCTACAGCATGGAAGGCGACCTCGCTCCTCTGACGGAGATTGTCGATTTGGTAGAAGCCGTGTTGCCTCACAACAACGCACATCTGGTGGTTGATGAGGCGCATGCGACTGGCGTTTACGGACCCAATGGATCTGGCCGAGTCTGTGAACTTGGACTTGAAAAACGTGTTTCCATCCGCCTTCATACGTTTGGGAAAGCTCTGGCATGCAACGGCGGTGAGTATCTCGGGCATTCGTGGCAAATGTACACCTGTTTGGCTGACGAGACCATAGCAATCATTTTATGCTCTCCAGTGATCCGTCTTTTCCTCATCAACTATGCCCGGCCGTTAATCTACACGACCTTTATGTCCTATCCTGCCCTCCTTGCAATAAAGACGGCGTATGATTGGCTCCAAATGGGCAAAGCGAATCTGGTAAGCGGCATTTAGCGTTGTATTCTCTGTTTCAACTGACAATCCTTTTCAGCTTGCTGCCAAACTCTATCATCTGATTGATCACCTCTACACCCGACTGCAGGGATTGGCAATTGTTATCGCAGAAAGTGACGCGCTGTCCAAAACCTTGGTCTCTCTCCCAACCACGTGCCCAGAGTCGCCCATTTTCGCCATCTTGAGCCCGTACCCTCGGTCACTGGCCTCCTACTGTCAAGCAGCAGGGTTCCTTGTTCGTCCGGTGGTAGCACCGACCGTCCCCGAGGGCACAGAGCGCGTGAGGGTCTGCCTGCATGCGGGAAACACAGTGGAACAAATTGACCGATTTGTCGAGTGTGTCAAGGAGTGGATTGTCAAAGAGAGTGCAAGGGACGTGCACGCAGAACTGCCAATCACTCCAAGTCACAACGACATCCAGCTACATGCGCCGAAAACGGACCGAAGGCTTCTCGCAAAGATATGATCTTCTTAAATACGGCTCATGGCGTTCCTCTGCAGCAGCCTGCCGAGGAGCAGCTTTGGATCCAACGTGGCAACATGGGTGAATGCAGAGTGCACAGCACCGACATATGATCAACATCATGTCGGTCTGGCCTTCATCCTGTATCCACTCACCCTAGCCGCGATGATTCTTGTACATTTCTCACTGGCTTGGTTCCACGCCTTTGGTAAATATCCGTTGCCACGAGACCATGCTCCTGGTTCCACCCTGACAATGCTCGTGCCCTGTCACTTGGACACTGAAAGGTTGCAGCCAATGCCTACAGAAGACGAAAACGGGCCGACAGTTTCGAGTGATCAAAATGGCTACTCTTGCCCTTGGTCGTGCCCAGTGTCTGTGCAAGTGTGGAGAGGGTCAAGGCTGACTTGGTGCCGACGGGTTCGAGGACGGAGGCAGGACCATCATTGACAGTCGCAGTCGATCCAAGGCCGGAAACATAAAGGGAGCCTTTTCGTTGAAGACACGCTCTCCCTTTCCGTCTTGAAAACATCCAGGCGCTCCTTCCCGACAACTATCTTTTGTAATACACAATGAATCTAATGAATCTTGTGGACCTCGATCCAGTACTGTCGATTCCTTGTTCTAGTTATCCAAGTCATCCGTGGACATCACTCGGAGATATGTGGAGTTCCTGTCGCAAAGCCCCCTAGATTTTACACGTACCCGAATCTATCCATCATCCAGACCCTGTGCTGCCTGCATCTGAAGTTGTGGTTTTCTTGCGGTTGACTTGGTCCTGCAGGACGGCGGCTTCGACACACTCCCGCAACTGGAGATGTCTCTAGAGATCGTTTGGGGCGGTGGGTGGGACGCTTGACTGTCCAGCTCCGTGGACATCAAGGCCGGGGGCTTGTGGCATGTCAACGTCCCGATTGATGGCGCGTGCACTGTCATATGTAGGCATGGATTCTATGGTGATGTGAGCTGTCGTTGTGGCAGGCTGTCCGGCGCTGGCTCTGGGAGTCGCTTCTGCTGGAGTGGACCCTCCCAAAATGGCCGAAGGCCTGGGACGGTGGCGCCCCGATTGGAGAGAGAGATGGAAGTGGAGAAGGGACTGGTGATGTGTATCACTGCGGGACCAACATCAATCGTAATTGATGTCTCTGCACCTATTCCCTGTGTTGCCACCCTCATGCTGCGATGGGACAGTGGACGACCCGTCATCGGTGTGTGGCGTGGATGTATTTTCTTCTGCTGGCCGCAATCTGGGATTTGCTTCTACGGTACGTAGCCGCATTGGCCCCGTCTACCGTGAATCTTGGAGTTTGCCGTGTCTTGGATATGCTAGCGAATCCGGTCGGCTGTCTCAAGGGATCTCTGGAATTGTCTGCCTGTCCTCGACCAGGATGGTCCACCATATCTGACAGCGCCACTTCGATTGTAGTGGGTAACCTGACCGGGAAGTGTTTGCCGAGTGTAATTGTTTGGGACCCATCCAGGCACGGTAAATGGCTCTTTTGAATATGGGTATCTCCCTCCAGTATTATGGCCCTGCGTCATTCTCCCTCCTGCCTACTTTCACCTGCTCCTGCCACAAGGGCCCTTGCAGGTTTTCAAGCCCCTTGGCTTACAGAATTCTCAGCCATTGGAGGGGAAACACTTCAACGCGTCTTCGAGCGTGGTGATGAGTGTTGGACGTTGTCCAGTGTCGTACTATGAGCAGGGGACGATAGATGTCGTAGAGGAAAATATGTAGGTATGTAGTTTCAAAACTGATGCGGAGCGGGCCGATGCCCCCCTGCTCGAGCCAAGCCAATTGTTATCCTAGTCTGCAAACTGCCTTTGTCCGAGATGCAGTGTACCGAGGTAGTCCGTCGAGCCGTCTGCCAAAATCACATGACAAAATAATCAAGGTTATATTTCACTGTCGCAAAAACTCCGTGCTCTTATGAGCATTTGGTCAATTTGAAACGATACAGAGAAGATTAGCATGGCCCCTGCACTAAGGATGACACGCTTCTCAAAGAGTGCTAAAAGTTTTTTTTTTTCCTCCTTTCCAAGAGTGCTACAATCTCATTTTTATTCTGGGCTATGGCTCTAGGTAGTTCGATTCCGGCAGGCTACTTGTGTTTTTGTAGAGACGTGTCGTGTGGCAGTTTCCATTCTTGGCATTGATTAAATTGTTGCCCTGCGCCTGCATACCTTTCATTCACTAGAAATGCATTCTCCAAGTATCGAAAAAACTCATCAGTCAAGAACGCTCGTAACCAAAGACTCCATTCTGCACTTGTATCTCGGACAGTCAAGGGTCCACCAACGAGACGCCTGGATACAGGTTTACTAATAACACCGCACGCTTTTTTTCGACGCTTGCTCATGTCGCCTGCTTAGTCTCTGACACCGCCGAAGCCGTGGCGAAGAACACTTCTCCACGAAGAATGCTACTGTGCAGTGCAGTCAATACCCCTTCGCGGCCAACTCAGACTCTGTCCACTCCCACAGTTTCTTGGCCAGTTCGGTGTTCCGACTCTGGCTCGACCCACAGTTTTCCTTGCCCACCGGGATATAATACGCGCCGTTGGTGACCTCCTGTCTCTTCCAGGCGGTCGCCCAGAGTTGCGTCAGAGCGCCCTGCTGCACCGACAAGGTACCCGCTGCGCTGTCGAAGAATTTCAGAAATCGGCCACCGAAGTCGTTCTGGTCAAGTATGAAGTTGGTCAAATTCGTCTCGACGCGGCCTGGGTGGAGTGATACCGAGAGAATCTCGGGGCACCGTCTTGCGAGCTCCCGTGCATGCAGGACGTTGGCCAGCTTCGACTGCGCATACAGTCTTGTGGGCCCGAAGGACTGCATGGTCGTTTTCAACTGATCGAAATAGATTCCGGCGCCCCAGGCCATGTTGTGTCCATTGGACGAGAGATTGATGATGCGCACGTCCGACCCTGGTTTCGATGCGGTACTTTGCATGAGCGGAAGCAGGAGGCGCGTCAAAAGCGCGTGGCCCATGTGATTGGTCCCGAATTGTATCTCATAGCCATCTTCGGTGAGGCCATGTGGAAGCGCCATGATGCCGGCGTTGTTGACCAGAGTGTCAAGCCTGTCATTTTCCGAGATGACTTGGTCTGCTGCTCTCTTGACGGACGCTAGCGAAGACAGGTCCAGTTGCAAAAACTTGACATCCGCGTTCGGCGCTGCTTGTGAGATATCCTTCATAGCGTCGTCATACTTGGCCTGCGATCGAGCGGCCAAATAGATCCGCTGCGGGTGATGCTTTGCTAACTGCAAAACCGTCTCTTTACCGCATCCACTGTTCCCTCCTGTGACAACGATCACCTTTCCCTCCAACTCATGGATGTCTTTGTCCGGGTCAAAGTTGTGGACATTGTCTAGAGAATTGAGGAAGCCGAGGAGGTGCATGGCTGGACGGATGTGGGGATTTTCAGGATTTTAGTGAAGCGGCTGGTCTGATAGTAGTCTGAGGGACATACCAAGGAGAGAACGAAGCTTGTTCCATGGGAGATGGCTCTCTTTATCCCCCTCTCCTGACCATATGCACCGTGCAGGTGTTGAATAGAACAATATGGAGTTCGGCCGTGTTTGTGCGGATCGGGCAGTGATTTCCCCGATCCTCGTATTTCAATCTCGCCAATCAAAGGGCTTCGATCAGGGAATTATGGTTGCCTAGCCAGATGTCATGCAGCAGCAATGGAACTCACTGAAAATGGACCAGTGCGGACAAATAAATGCCGTGTACTGACATCCTTGGGGGTGAGTCTGTTGGCAGTGACAAAGAAGTAAACAACCACAAAATTATTGGAAGTCACGTTGACGCCATGGGTTTGGGCATTGCATACCTTCCTACCGAGCACTTCGCACACAAGAAATTTCCCCTGTTCTTTCCTTTTCAGGCATCCACTTTGAGAGCTGCAGGCAGGCGTTTCCTCGCTGGGAGGCTCCTCGCTAAATAAGTCGACCGTCGTCCATCCGCGAGATGCACCAAAGTGAACCACCGCTCGAATCTCAAGATGCCGTCTGTATCTCCCTCAATCGCGCTCGACTGGAAATGACTAACAGCCTCAGGAACAGCTGGTCGGAAGCAGCGAGACTGTCGCAACGTCTGACATCCCTTCATCGCCGCAGGACCGATCGAAGGTGAAATATTCGTCACTCTCAAACTAGCTGCACGGCCTGGAAATCCTCTTCCGCTATCCAATGTCCTCCCTCAGACTATTGAGATGTCTTTTTACAGTAGAAGAGCATCCACTCTCTCCAAGAAGACGAAGCACTTCGAACACTTTCCTGTGTTTGCATACAACATTCATAAAATTCGTGCATGAGGTCGACGTCGATGACCTCTTCCCCATTCTTTGACGCTTGTCCTCTGGCCATAGAAGAGAGAGTCCCCGTGACCGAGTTTCGATTGGGAACACATAGCAGATATCGCACACAGCATGAAGAATTCAGACAAGCGCGGTTTCATCCTCTAGAGGTCTCCTCCTTGGGCAGTCATATGGGGAGCGAGAGACCATTATTCTGGCATCATGCTGCTTTCAATCTCTTTCCCTGCTGGATAGTTGGCCTCAATGTCACGTCTGCAGCTGGGTGTGTTCGAGATCGCTGGCTGGCACAAGCTGGTCTGTGTACTGGTGTCGTTACCTTTTGAGTGAGCGAAGCAATGCATAATCAGGCACTATTGCAGAAAAAAAGGGAGGACATCGTGCTAAAGTCCTCGAGCAAAGACTCAACAGAACGGTGGAGTGAAGGCTACTCGTAGGAATGTGGACAGGTGAAAAGGCTGAGGGTGCGGTAGAGATCTGCAAACCATCAGATCTGTGGAGCTGACGGCTGGAGTTTCGAGATCGAGTGGTTCAGTACGAGTCAGTTGGCGGTCGGTCACGTGGCTGACAGACCGTGCCGAGTCGGTCCCACTTGATTCAAAAGCCGAACAAGATCGGCCAAAGGCGAATGGCGAGTGGCTCATTGTCAATTCCCCACTGGCCAACTACCAGTCGATCCACCACCAACTGGTCGACTGCCATCCATCCAACTTCGTCCATCATCCTTCCATCTACCCTGGCTGCGGTGGTGGTGGTGGTGGTGCTCCTCCTCCAGATTGTCCGCAAGGTGTTGAGCAAAACCACCGGAATGTCCCGCCAGACGAGACGAGACGAGAAAGCACGGCTCTACGGAAACAGTCGTAAATTTTTTTTCATCCTACAAACCTGCACAGCACCGACATAATTGACCACCGGTTGGCGTCGGTACCCGACTGGTCCCAACAACAACATCAATATGACGGTTAACCATTGTTGGCTAAAATATCTGTCCCTCTCTCTCCCTCGAATTCCCCTACTTGTACAAGCCCACCCGGCCCTTGTCCCCGAGCCCGGACGCCGGTTGGATGATTACAAAGTACCGAGTAGGTACGAGGTATGTACCTCGTACTACTACTATACTACTAGCCAGTCCTTGTAGTGTCTCGCCTTGAACCGGATTCTTCCCCGCGCACGGACCACAGACAGACACCAAAAAGTCCTACCAAAAAAATCATACGATCGGAAAATACCCTCGTACCGCAACCGACGACTTTTTCCCATGCGGCCAATCATCAGAGCATTGACCACGCAAAGATTCGATCCCCGCCCTGTCTCGCTTTCTCCAAGTGCCGGTATGAACCAGAAAAATTCGGCAAAAAAAATTTGCTGCCTCTGTTCCTGTCACAATGGACTTGCACTGGTTTCTTGGTGCGAGGAAATCCTCGCCAGTTCTTCGGCCGCAAAGTCCCATCTCAGGAAAAACAATTAATTGAACAATGGCAATGGCAATGGCGTGGTTTAAGGTTTCAATGGGGATGGGCCACTGGGCCACTGGCGGCCTCTCCACCTCGAAAGCCGTTCAGCGCCCATGAATCATGCTAGTGACAGGGAAACTAGCTGAGAGTTTTTGATCGCGAGCTGAGATTTCGACACCCCACTGCGCACAAGGGCACCACTTGCCCACTGCCACCCACTGGGCGGTTGTTTTCCAATTACCTACGCCCGTACTCAAAGAGCTTCGCCCGATCCGAACCTCTCCGCCGTCCTTCTCGTTGGATCTCAGATTGCTTTCTTGCTGAATCTTGTTCCAGGCAACACACAATTCACTCGTCCGTCTCGGGCAGATGATCCACTCTTGTTTGTGCTCCTCCCTCGTTTCTTCCCATATCCACATACTCTTGACTTCTAAGCACTCCACTTGACATAAGTCTGGGCATGGCCATGCCTGGCCAGCTTGACTCTGGACATTGTGGTCGGTACTGATTGCATTAACGTGTACTTTTTTACGTAGACGACTATGTGCATCTCGCAACACTGACAACCAAATCGCTCAAATGGCTTCATAAGCTTCTGCAAACATGACTCAATCATGCCCACACGTAATTTCTCCTCGACTCCACGCTTGTTCGTTGTTTCCAAAGCCATAACCACTGTAAAACACTGCTTCCTATGGGGAATCAAAGCCCAAAGTTGACAATCATCAGGTCTGCCCCGACCATAACCTGCATCCAATCCACGTCGAGACTCTGTCCAGTATTCATGAACCGCTCATTTTGCTTTTCGTACACGGCCGCCAGGACTTTGCGTGTCGTCATGGTGTTGCGACCAATGCTGGTTTTCTCCATCTCGCGAAGCAGGTCCACCGCGTGCATTCGATGTGCTCCGTCCGTGGCGACGAACCCGGCCATAAACACGGGAAACACAAGGTATCGGCAGTATGACCGATCCTCTGCAAGCGCTTTGCTGGTCATCTGCAAGATCTGACTCGAGGCCACCGCGATTTCCGTGTCGTAGTCTGGAGACGTGTCGAGTCGTTGGCCGGGCCACATGGAAGTGTGGGAGTAGATGATGCATGCTCTGTACAAGGACGCGGCGTGCTCGTACAGCTGTTTCGGGCGGATCGGAAAACTATCCACCTCTTGATTGACCATCATCACCGCCGGTGTCACCCACAACTGGCGCAACGCTTCCTGGAGCTCGAAGATTCGGCTTTGGCGAATCCGGACAATTTGGTTTCGCTGTAGGACATCCGCTCCGTCGAACGTAATGTCGCTGCGAAACTCGCGTGCGAGCAGCGCCAGCCGCATGGCAAGAATACTGACCTCGTAATCGAGCTGTAGGATCGTGGGAAGAACTTGCACCTCGTCAGCATACAGGACGCTCGAGCCGTCGAGGCCAAGAGGGTACAGGTGGAAGCTCGGAGAAGGGATGAAATCGTTGCTCAGTAAGGATTCGACGTATCCTCCACTGCCCGCACCACTGAGTAAGGCGTCGAGGTCGATGTTGCAAATCCACCAAACAACAAACGGAAATACCTCGCCGTCCAACGCTTCGCGTCGTAACAGCGAAATTTGCAAAAGGGTCAGCAGGTGTTGCGACCACAGATTCGAGTGCTCGGCTTCGGCGGCCGCGATCTGTCACTCAGTCAGCACAGCACGGTGCGGGTGCAAGGATTTCGACGAACCTCGTAGACTAGTAAGAGGAAGTGCGTTAGAAAAGCACCATCGGACGCCAAGTCGTTCGGTCCTCGAAGAGTGGACTGCAATGCTGGCAAAGCTTGCTGATAATGTTGAAGGGCGTCGAGCCATTCTTTCCCTTCTTGGACCGCCACACTCAAGGCCGCGACAGCCATCATCGCGTGGTGCAGCTGTAACAACGGATCAGCAGAGCTCACAGTCTTTCCAACAAGGCCACGTACCGGAGGGAAGCTGGTGGCGGCATGTTCCAGGATGGTGACGCTCGATCGTGCCATACCGTCTCTTTGGTCAGGCTCTGCTGGGACCAAGTGTTTCCAAACGACCTGTCGGAACTGTCGAAGGTATCTAGCTTCTTGACCTACTATCAATGACTCGGTCATGAAATCGGAGTCTTCGCTGAGCACGGCTTCATCCTGGTCCTCAATCTTGACAACAGCCTCATCCTTGATCATTGCGTGTCGGGCTGTTGGGGATATAGGTGAGCGAGCCCGGTTGGAGCTGAAGGTGCCGCGTCGTCTAACATCTTGGAATCTAGGCAAGACAACCGTGTTGGGGTCCCCTGAGATTGGAATGGCTTCGACAGCCTGTTCGCGACCGAGGCTACTACCGAGTGAAGTGGCGACGGAGCCTCGACGGGGAGGGAGTAGAACTTCTCGTTTGACGTCTGGATCATCGTTGTACTCTGGGAGATGTTGAAAGCTGTCGGGGTTGACGACGACGTTGTAGGTTCCGGGACTCGACCTTCCTGCCTTCTTCTCGCGCTCCTCGTCTGTGGTTAGGTTGGCAAAGGCCGGGAGATCGTCCACCTCGGCAGATCCAGGGCTGTTTTCGGTCGGCGCAGGCGAATTGGCAGCTACAGGACAGAGATTAATGTAATGCTTCGGGCGGTGGTGAGAGAAGAACTCACGATCCCACACTGGACTTGCAGTGATGCTGACGTCCTGCATGCGTTCCAAAACTCGAGAGGTGTCATTGCGGAAGGAGATGCGCGGGTTGAAGTCGCAATTGAGGTTCAGGCGAGCACAGGGCCCGCAGATGGGTTTGGTTTCGTCGCATTTGACCTTGCGTGAGCTTTTTTGCACGATTAATATGAGAACGCGACAACAGGGTTTGGGTGGACGACTCACCGACACGTCCAACAGCCACTCCTCGACCGTGGAGGTAGGCGGGAACGCGGAGGGACACTAGGGCCACTGCGGCTGGAACTTGCCGAGGAAGATTGGTCTTCTTTGGGCGCAATCACAGGCAAGCGCAGTGGCGGTCTTCTCAAGGCCTCCCCTCGCTTGTCGACTGGCATTACCAGTGTTGTGGTAGTGATCATGAAGGATGTTTGCGCAAATTAATCGAGGGGGGACGACGGCGCAGGACTGGTTTCAAGGGCAACGACGCATGTCAGGCAAACATGCATTAGTGTCCCAATCCTCAGCTTCCAACCCGCCCGTGTGGCAACAAAGGAAGAGGCAAGGCTTAGAACGGAGGAGGAGGATTCGACACTTGCGACGCGCCCTGGAGGAGATAAGGCAGAAAAGCAAACGTCACAACGAGGAAGACGATCCAATGCAGTACCTTGGCCGCGAAATAAGTCGTGGTTCCAGACCGGGACACTGTGACATGCTCGAAGAGAAGGAGGGAAAGGGCAAATGGGTATTGTGGAAAAAAAAGTTGTTCGAGGAACGGAGGATGTTGGATTGAAGAACAAAACGATACATCCCTGGTCCCTTCTCATAGTCAATCAGGAAATGGTATGGTCGGGTTTGTTAGTTTGAGGCAATCGCGATGTCATTGTGCGCAACCCAACTTCCCCTGGTCACCAGGACTGATTGGAGTCCCACCAGAAGGTGCAGGAAAGGGCTGCTTCCGGCATCGAGGGATAGATCCATCCTGCAGGGCTAGTTGATAATTTTCGAAGCTGAGAGGCAACGGGGGAGGGAAGCATCGCGGTGACGGGCAGCAGCGCAGGCGAGCAAGGTTCACATGGGGCCAGGGTAAGAGGATCGGGTGTCTTTTGGCTCGAGTGATGGGAGTGGACAGTGGAGAGTCAAGGCCATACGAGATGGTGTTCTGGTTCCGTGGCAGCATAGCAAAAGAGCGGGTCCAACGGAAAAACCTCCCCGGAACGGAAAATCAGTAAAACCGAAAGATCCACCGGGTGCAGTGTTGATTGGTGGCTTCATTGGCCGGCTGCACCAGAAAATCGAGAAAGGGTGGGGAGCTGCGACCACCAAAATTTTCCATGGTGCAAAAGGTGGCGTCTTCCCCTGCGCCGTTTTTCTCTCACTCTTGCTGCGCCTTTTGCAAGCCTTTTTCTGGTTTTGTTTACCTCTCTGGTACATAGTACAATCCATCGTCGCTCTTGGACCGCCTGACTCTACTTTTCTCTCGGCGTTGCTGTTGCGTAACTCTCCTCGAGATGGCATAGAACGGAATTTTGTTCATCCGGCAGAACACCTTTTCTCTAGCGCATGGCCCCAGCGAGAGGGGCCAAGCGGGAAGTCGATTCCCCATCGGAGTCCACGAACTCGTTCTCGAAATCCCAACTTTCCTTCACCCTTCTACTCCGTCTGCTCCGTCTTTCGTCCTGGATGACCAGCGAAAGGGGGTCCCCCAGCGGGAGCAACTTGATCACCTTTCTGTTTCAAAAGCGCCACCCACCCCGCTTGCTCATCCTTGTCCAAAATCCCTCGCCTCCCTTCCCTTGGGCATCAACACATGGGTAGTCAAGGCTAAACATCCAAAGTCCTCGAAAGTACTAAGCCGAGCTGAAAACCCATGTGTCGCCGAGTTCGAGATTTGACTTTTGTGGAGTAGCTGTCCACAATACGAGTGATTGTTAAGAGATGGTACGAGTAGAAGCACTAAACCACCCCACTGGCCTGCATCCGCATGTGGGAGGTCCACGGATGCTGTAAGAAAAACGTGGCAGATGGCTCTAGTCCCTGTACTCGTAGACACTCTGCTCCAATGATACAAAACTTCGAATGGGACCCTTGATTCGCGCACCTGCGGGAGCAAAGGAGAGGGGGAGCTGCACCCGACACACCGACAGATGCCGGGATCAGTGGTCCGTGCACAATGATCAGCCCTATGGTAACATCAACCGTCCATGGCGTGAGGTTGTCCCAACAGACTGGCACCGGGAGCAGCAAGGTGAATCGCCATGAACCGGGGTCGGAATTCACACCCGTTGCTCCAAAGAGGAAGGTCCCAATGCCGGGAGGGCTGCATGACGCCAAAACAAATTACTGGTCTCGTCTCAGGGCATCTCGAGCGCGTCCGATTTCTTCACGTAAAGGCCTCGACCGTTCTTCGACCAGCCAGGGGTCGAGGATCGCCGCTAAGGCGGCCGGATCATGCAGGCCTTGTTGGGCCACGGCCAGGGCTAGGTCTGCACGTGATTTCCTCGCACGTTCCGGTTCTCGCCAAGGCTCTGGAGGACAGGCGAGCACCGCCATGACCAGTGGCTGAAATGACTCAAAAGCCCTTCGACCGTCCAACTCCGAACCCTCCCGCGCCGACGACCGTGGTGCTGAGGCCGTTGCCAAACCTGAGGCTGAGTTAATTGTGTCGTCAGGACTGTCGACGTTACCATCATCACCATCGACCCCCTCTGATTTGGGCCTACTTGTATTGACCACAAAAAATTTTGCACCGTCGTACAATGCAATGTTGAGCTTGCTGGATCGAATGGTCTGCGCTTTCTGCACAATCTTCATCGCCGAGTCCAGACTCTCGGTCTGCATGTGAGTAGAAAGGATCTTGAACATGCAAGAAACCACCGCGGCCACGGTCGCTTCCAAAACGGTCTGTTCGCTGTGTTCTTACTGTTAGTGGCAAGTCTATGCACGGGTGGATAGCGGGGCTGTCTCACCGGTTCTTCAGGGGCTCCCCGTTAGCCTCGTCCACTTCCATGGCATCCTGGTCCGTCAGCTCCTCCATCAACTCCACCAAATAAGGCAGCATCTCGTGGTCAAGGTCCAGATCTTTTCGAGCGACCGCGAACTCTCCAAGAGCCTCAATGGCGTGAGGTCGGTAAGAAACGTTGGTCCTCTTCGCCTCGCGAATTGCAATCTTCTTCATCTGCTGGCTGGCCTGGCCGTTTGACCACAGTGATTGAGCCTCGCGTACAAACTTGGGATACACCTTGATAATTTCTTCTTTGCCATCCCAAGTTTTGCCTTCTAGGGCCGCCTGCATCACTCCCCAGACCAGAGATGCCTCACTGTCAGGATATTTCCCCTGCACTTCCATCGACCCCACCAATTCAGCAACAGCTAACGAGCAAGCTTGCTTGATGGGCCACATTGGGGATCCAATGTGTGTCGAGATGAGTCCCACAATCTCGGTGAGATAGAGATTGATGGACCGCGAGCCACCGATGTTCTCCTTCCAAGGGACATCGAACCGCTCCCTGACCTCCTCATCGGTGTCCCGTCGGCCGATGAAGGCAAACGGGAGAAAGGTGGGAGCAAATTTCATAAAGACGTCGTTTGCAGCCTTGGAAATCGCTTGGATGATTTCGCCGGCCACAGCACGATGGCTCAGTTCCTGTGACTCGAAATACAGCTTTTGCGCGTACTTATTGGTAGCCTGGACCTCTTTGTCCGAGGCCAGTCTCATCAGATAGCCCAATGAGGTGCTAAAGGCTACGCTGATGGTAGAGTTGCGATCGAGGATGTGTTTCCGGGTCAGTTGGCTGAACTTGTCTGCGTATGGTCGAAAAGCGGTGGGATGGCGGACGACTAGTGTGGTCATGACTTTGCTGAGACCAACTTTGGATGGCAGTCCGATCGCTGCTCGATACGCCTGTGCAAGCCGTTGCATGGCGTCGTCCATTACAGCAGAATGGCCCTGACTGGACGAAGTGGCTACAACTCCTTGCATGGTATCGGGGTCTTCATCGGATTCAGGTGTCATGGTGACGCTCTCCAGACACTCTTCGATTGCTTCTGTGACCGGAGACGCGTTGATACTCGATACTCTCATGTTGTCCAGTTTCTCAGCCGTCAACCCGTACTTGTCGGCATTCAAATGCAAATAATTGATGCTCTCGTGTTCAAGAGAGCTCAGGGAGAGAACAAGAGTCTCTAAAATTGTTGGTGCAAAAGGCCGCAGAGATTTTGGAGGACATTTCTTCACCACCTCCAGCAGCGTCACAATAGCATATTGTTGCACCTCCTTGGCCGCCCCGCTGTCCATTTGTTGCAGCAAAAACGGCATGGCGTGGTTGAGCATGGTTGCAGAGCGCTTCGAATTCCCCTCCCCAATCTCCAGGTTCCGTATCAGCATACTTGTAAGTGTTCTGCACAGCTTCATGGCTGCCAATCGAACCGTCTCTTTGACATCGTCGAGGACTCTGAAAGCGACCTTCCATATCTCGTCGAGGTACTTTTCGAATATATCGACATCTCGCCCCTGCACGAGATCAGAAATGGCTGCGCAGCTAGCCTCACGCGCCCGCCATTCTTTGCCTGACACAACGCTCTGCAGAAGATCCTCCATGATCAGATCAAAGTTCTCGGTGATGACGGCGTTGGGATCTTTGACGAGCGCTCGCCAGATTTCATTCATGGACCGCTGGACATTAGGGTTGGGGTCGAATCGATATCGGAACAGCTTGGGATAGAATTTCTTGTTCTCCGTCAGGTATGTGGAATCTGCCAGCACACGACCGAGCCCAAACCTTCCAAACGCCGCTCGACTCGACCAGATAGCATTGTTGGAGGCCAAATTCATGAAACGATACACTAAGCTGGGGTCTCCCATTTCCGTAGCAAGTCGGACGATGTCTTTGTAAGTCGTGACGGACTGTCCATTCTCGGTCGGCAACGCACCAGGCTCGAACAGCTGCGTTTCTTCGTTGACGGTTCCGGACATTTTTGCATTGCTGCCCGTAAAACTTTGCACTAGGTCTCTAACCAAGTCATCTCGAAGTTGTTTATCACCGCGTTCATAAACAAGGCTGAGCCCCCTGGAGCCAGTCTCTTGGACGATTTCGTCGCGATCGTTCAGCAGCTTCGCAAATGCAGCTTGACATTCTCGCAGTCGCCCCATGACAGTGGGCAGTTCGCCACAGTACTGTACAATGCACAACAGCCAGATGGCAGCCGCCTTCCTTAGCGATGGCTTTGTGGTGTTACAATTCTCGAGGACCTTGTCAAGGACTGTTGTTAGCAGTTGTCCATCGACGTCGAATCCCGAAACATCGGTGTCGACATCCAGTTCTGTGAGCGTGGACAGCGATCTGAATCCGGCACAGGCAACGGCTAGGGTTTCTCCCAGAGTGAAATGGAACTCGGCTCGTTTGACTTCATGCAGGCCCAGCAACCGATCGAGGAATGATTCAAAACGAGGGGAACTGGTACCACGGGCATGTAAGATTCCTAGCACAGGCCCTGCGGCTGAGACTGCTGTTTCGCTCTCTTTCTTGCTGTCTGCGATCAACTGAGTCAACATTTCTTCGTCGTCACATCCTTCTTCTGTTGGGGTGCACAGAAATAGTTGACGGAGTGACCTGTACGCAGTATCTTTGACCGACCGGTCAGAAGAAGTCTTGACAATCTCAAGGACGGCCTGCACCGTGGTCCGTAGTGTGTCGTCAGATGGCTGCTGCTTCAGCCTTAGCGATCGCCTGGTAAGGCAGAAACATGCGCGGAGGAGATGGCCTTGAATCTTCACCAATTCTTCTCCGACGGCCGTTCTCCAACGTTTGGCCTCGTTTAATTCGGCTTTGGCGACATCTTCGGCGTCCTCGCCCAGAGAAGCTAGAATACCAAAAACCCGGGCGGCTCGAAGTTGCAGGCCTGCGTTTCCTGCTAGACGTGCAGCCGTTTCCAGCCCTGCATCTTTGAAATGTGACAACAACTCAGTCGGGGCAAGAGACAAAAGTTCCAGTGACAAATCCAGGCATTCTCCAATTCCCTTGGATGCACCATCTAATGCGGCGTGCACCAATGGTAAGAGTACATCACCGCTTAGGGTTTTTAGATACGACCGAATCCGCCGTCGGGCATCTTGGTCGTTGTTGACCAAGGCATCGATAGACTGCTTCCAATCTGTCGATTCTTCAGGTACTAGTTCTGTCTCCTGGAGGGCTTCACAATGCAGGACGTTCCGACAAAATGTCACCGCAGCGGCTAGCACTGTTGCATCGGCATAGTAGCTCATCTGCGTCATGGCCGACTTGAAAAACCTCTCCACTAAAGCATCAAGCTTGGGGAGTTCCAGCCGTCGATTGTCAGAACTGGTGGTGAGGCGCAAATTCGAAGCATGCCAATAAGGATCTAACCCGCGAGCTCCTTCCTCGGCCACTTCTCTCCGACCGCTCGCCGAAGCCAGGGCCAGGACGTCGATAAAACGGGCATCCACGTCATTGAATGGTAGGCACTTGTTCGCAAATCGTACCGCCGGGTAGGTGGTGCTATTGACCGTGGGAAAGAAGTAGACGGGGTCTTCTTGGCCTGGTGCTGCCAGGACGTTCCAGAGGAAGAGGTCTTTGAGGCGCCTCGCGATTGAATCGTCGCCAACGCTAGGTAGAGCATTCATGATGCGGCCGATCGATTCTTCGATGCTGCTTCTTATCTCGCGTGTCGTGTCACAACGGAGACTTGTGAAGAGCCATGTGATCAGGTCCACTGTGCGATTGCTATCTGTGTGCTCGGCTTTGATTCCTGCCAGTAGGCCTATGCTCTCGTACGCCTTGGACCGAAGCTCCACCTCTGATGCAGTTGAGGCGTAGTCGCTGTTCATGGTCGGCCAGCCTTGCATCTCGATATATTCTTTCAGCAGGTCCTGAATGCGGTGGCTGATTTCTCCAGCGAGATGTTGACCGCCAACACGCACAGTCCAGGTGAGGTAGGAAAATAGAGCTGCTCGGAGCTTTGCCGCCTCGAGACCAGCGTTAGGTGCTTGGGTGAGTTGCCTTTCCACAATGTCCATGATTTCTGTGGTGCGTTTGGTGGAGTTCTGGCTGCGAGACAATAGTCCGAGGATCCGTGTCTGTAGCTTGGGCTTGGACCGTCTGTAGAGGCTGAAGAGCAAGTCGACTGTCGACTCAGACTCCAAGTCGAAATCACATTGCTTGAACATAACGTCGCTCATATTTGCAGCCGAGGCATTTGGGTCAACAGACATGATGGTGGCGGGGATGAACCGTTGCCGATCGTTGAAGATGGAGGAGAACAGAAATTTCGCAATTGGTAAGACAACTTCTGAGCGGCGTCTGAAGTTCTTCTCGATGACAGGCTGGAAATCTTCATCCCGAGCTTGAGCGGCGGAGTCCTTGGGATCGTAGAGCAAAAAATCGCCCAGACGGCTGACAAGCAGATCGGTCTGCGTAGCTGAGAGTGAGAATGTCCCTGAGAGACCCAAATCTTCCTTGCTACCTCGCTCCGGAATCTTCCACCTCCTCAAGACTTCCAGGAGAAAGTCGAAGGCGATAGCCCACATTTTCCGATCCGTGGCATCAAACGTTTCACTTCCGGGTATGGCAAACTGCAACACACCAGGCAGAGTTTCGATTCCCTGGTCAAGCTCCAACCGTGGAAGCCCTTGCTCGATGAACACTAGACAGAATCGCTTGACGAAGGCGTTGTCATTCTCGCGAAAGGTTTTGACCAACGCTGCCACGGGGAGTTTGATTGAGGGATTGATCTTCAGCCGCTGGTTGATATACTGGCATACCTTGATCGCAAGGTTGCGGTTCTGAGGAGTTGGAGAAGCCAGCTTTAGTAGGAGAGCTGGGAGGAACTTCTGAAGAATGGACTCCAGTTTCTCGTCTGTCGAGGCGGAGGCAATGCGCATCTCGAGTTGGGAGATCAGCTTGTATTCCCGCTCCGCCTCGGGAGCGGGCTGTTGGGTTGCCATGGTCGTACTTTCGGGACTTGAACTAGGATACCCTTCGCATTGTCTGACAAAATATCACAGCCTCTTGGAAGGAGCAATGATTCGATGAATTCATAGATGGTTGGGATGAAAACAAGAAGTGAGTTGATATAGCTGCACCTTCCTCGCTGACTCAAGACAAGAACGGCCGAATCTGAAAACCAGTCTAATTCCCACAGCGAGGCAACAGCATGCTCGTCATCGAGGCTTCCGGAAGACGACACTCCCTGGTTCTGTCAATCTCTAGGTTCTCGCCACGTCGACAGGTGCAGCCTTGACCTTCTTACTAAGGCGGCGAGGTTGCCAAGGCCGGATTTGGTTCGTCGACCATGAGTCGCACGAGCCTTACAAAACAGTGATATCTCCATCAGAGGATGTAACGGACTACAAAAGGTTCTGGAACTGGGCTCCCACATGAGGCTATGTCACAGGCTCGCAAGATTACAACGAGGTCACTAGATGGTGTTGCGGGAGAACCGAGTAGTCAACGCTGTTGCAATCACCATTTCTGCAACCAAATTTCACGCCTCGAAGCGATGGTTCCGAGAGAGATGTCCGAGAAAGGAGTCCCGATTGTTTTAAATGGTTCTTGAGCACTTTTTAATCAGCGATCATGCCAAATGCATTTTTACTGAACACCCTTTCCAGCCCCTCCGTCGCTCGACCGAGGGCCTTTGTTCCCAGCGCCAGTAATACTGGAATCTCCCATTGCCACGAGACAGTAGGTAGTCGCATCCTTCGAGGCATTGTCATTGTTCCCACACTCGTCGAATTCATCGTTTCCATCCCCATAACCTTGAGCACTTCACGTCTCCCCTCCGCCGCAAGCGATCATCTCAATCTTCTTGCTTCTCTTTCAGACTCGAGCAGGCACAGGATATCGTCGACTTTCACTGTATGTCAACGCAGAGTTGTTAGTGAGTTCTGCCCACAGATACATGTTGCGCATGCGATATTCTCCCGCTCAGTCTCACGTACCTGGTCCCTTGACGTTTCGGATGATACTTCGGCTCGTGTCGTCCATAAATTCGACTCTCACTTGCGTGACACCACCTCGGGAGCCTGGAACGAGAAAGAGTAAGTAAAGACGACCAGCGACAGCTACAGCAATATTCAGAGGTCGACAATTTGACGTACCTGTCCGGCCGAGGACTCGGGTGACTTTGACGAGTTTGACGGGGACTTTGCCGGCCGCATCCATCTTGAACTAGGCGATAGTATCGACTGGGACGGAGAGAAGAGGTTTGGAGGTGTAGATTCGCGGTGGCTCACAATTGATGTCCTGCAGGTTGGAAATTGAGCGGCGCCAAAAAGATGTCAAACGCAGTTGGTGCAATGTGGGCGCAAACTCGCCAAGAGTTTGACCGGCTAAACGCCGGCCTAAATTTTTTCCGATGAGATGGTTTGACTCAATCCAGTCTTACAGCTATGGAGAAGCCGAAATGTTAGAGGTAAGTTGATCGGATTTGACACTCAAGAGGCACTCTGCTGTCCTACCATTGCCCTTCACCCTAGATCTTTTAGAGCTTCAGTTGTTCCTCTTGTCTCGCAAGGTAGAAAAGTTGAAGAGTTCATTTGAAAAGGACTGTTGGACACCTAAAGCAAAACTGAAGAGCAACAACCGGTAAACGTCGCCCACACTGCCATGGACCTCGTCAACCACCTTTCAGACCGGCTCCTCTTCGCGGTGCCCAAAAAAGGACGTCTGCAGGCCGCGACTCTCGATCTCCTGGCTGGATCAGACATCCAATTTCGGAGAGAAACCAGACTCGACATCGCCCTGGTGAAGAATCATCCGCTGGCACTTATTTTCTTACCTGCCGCGGACATTCCCACGTTCGTGGGCGAAGGACGAGTCGACCTTGGAATCACGGGACGGGATCAAGTTGCAGAGCATGACGCCCATCTTGCGCTAGGTGAGCAATCCGGAGTGGAGGAAATCATGGACCTGGGATTTGGCAGATGTAGACTGCAGGTCCAGGTGCCCGAGAAAGGTCCCATCCAGGATGTCAAGGACCTGGTCGGCAAGAACATCGTGACGAGTTTTACAGGTCTTGCCGAAGACTACTTTGCACGCTTAGAAGGTATGGGCGGCCGAAAGGAGAGCATAAATGGCACAGCTAGCCCGATCCCAAAGCTGAAGACGAAGATCAAATTCGTGGGCGGCAGTGTGGAAGCAGCTTGCGCCCTGGGCGTGGCAGACGGAATCGTCGACCTGGTCGAGTCCGGGGAGACGATGCGAGCAGCAGGCCTCAAAGCCATCGAGACGGTGGTCGAGAGCACGGCCGTCTTGATCAAGTCGAAATCCGTCTCGAACGAAGAACTTGTCAACAAGATCGCCGCCCGGATACGAGGGGTTATCACTGCACAGAAATACATCTTGTGTCAGTATAATGTGCCACGAGCCAAATTGGCGGAAGCCACCAAGATTACCCCAGGCAAGCGGGCTCCTACGATAACGGCGTTGGAGGAACCGGACTGGGTGGCCGTGAGTGCCATGGTCGAAAAGCAGCGTATTGCGACAGTCATGGATGAGTTGACAGGGGTGGGTGCGACGGATATTTTGGTCTTGGACATTGCAAATTCTCGAACGGGTTGACAAGGGGATTACAGCAAGAGCAATTCAACGGCGCAAAGTACATAGAGGAATGGTTCAAGACAGGACACGGTTACAAGGAAAGCACCCATAAAAATAAAGGAGCGGAAGCCTCATTATGCAGGCATCATGCGCAGGCGACGAGGCTCACGAATACCGACTAAACAGGCAAGAGCAATGCCAACAGAATATCAGATGGCGATTCTAGAGGATGAACTCTTGGGCCAGGCGCAATCTCCACACAGTCGATTTCGTCCTTGCATGCTGACTGGATGACATAGATACATGTGTATCCAATAACTCACCACGTAGGCAATCGTCGTTTGTTTGCTGCTTCTGGTCATTCTCGCCTACAGGCTAGGCTGCAACTATTAAATGTCGCTCTCAACAACCACGGGAGGTTGCTTTCCGAAACCTCGCCCAAGTAAACGTAGTGATCGCCCAATTAATTCGAGCTTGCTGACTTTCTCTCTTCCCAGCGCTCAATAAAGTCAAGCATCGAATGACATCACGCACTCGAGGTTACTAAGCGTAACACTTCCGGCTTCATCCAGCCACTGCCGCCCTTGTTCCCCTCGCCCACACGACACATTTCTATCACAGGATCCCCAGTTTCGGAGCCTGGGAATTGCTCAATCCTCAAGCACGCCCTATGTGGAAGTCGGGCACAGCGCCTCAGCGCTTCTATCACAATCACCCACGTCAAGACTGAAGCTACGGTTTTCTGACCATGTCGGGAAAGAAAAGTGGTCCGCTGCTCTCCGATTCAGCACCCGTCGCCGAACCCCTTCTCAGCCGCTTGATTGTGGCACCGGTGCTGTTCATATCCTTTCTGATATCGCTGTTTCTCATCGATCGCCAAACGTACGGCAGCATCTTCGCCCGATCCGGCAGTCGCGATGGATATTATCATTCCCATCAGCGCAAATTGGCCAAACGAGAGATGGACGACGCCTTTCAGATGCGAAGCAAGGTGATCGCTGGCATGTTCATATTCAGCGCAGTCACCCTAGCACTGCTTGCTTGGACATTGGAGTCCGTGTGGAAAGGGTGGAGATATAGGGTATGAATATTTGCAGCGCTTGGAAAAGGCGATTGGAGATCTCGGCATTATCTCGTAGGGAATGTTGGATTGTTTCGAGAGATTGGAAAATGTTGTTTGTATTTCACTTCTCGGGGGCATCTTTTGGAAATCTGGTCAGCAGCCGACACGAGTTTCATAGAGGTATCATGGTGCGCAGATGGGTTCATTCTCATGGCTCAACTTACCTGGAAGTCTCTCAATGACATATTTTCCTCGGGCAACACTCATGATAGGGACTCCAGGCACTTTCCGAATGCGCCTCTTCAGATCTCTGTCGTTGGTAGCCACGATGTAGATCTTGTGCCTCATGACTCTGTCGACAATGCAGTCGTCGGCGTATGTGCCTTTATGGCCGCATTTTAGTCGCTCCCATCTTTCGTCCCTCGCTATCCGCAAGGCGATCCTATACTTCTGTCCAAGCTTTTCGAGTTCCGCCATCACGCAATCTGTGATGATTGGTATGCACTTTGCGTAGAGGCAATCCATCATCGTCGACAACAACTCGAGTTTCTTCTGGACGGTGTGCGAGAGGAAGTTGGTATCGACGAGGACATTGTAAGGCGGCACAAGGGCAGTATTGTACTGAAAGAACAGGGAAGACGATACTTGAGGCCTGCTTCCTTTAGTGGGTCTTCTGAACTGAGTATCTGAGATCACTCACGCTTCTCGTATCACGTCGTCGTCTGTTTTCTTCTTGGATTCAGCCGTCTTTCCAGTCTCTTGATTCTTCTTGAGACGAGCATCTCGTTGGCCAATGATCTTTTTGACTTGAAACTTGCGTGTCTTCTTGTGGACGCCCATGTTGAGCGAGCGACAAACCAGCTGTCCTGAGAATATCGCTGTGTTGTGCACAAGAGAAAATTGTAGACTTTAGCACGGGCATAACAGCAAGCGAGAAAAGTTAAGGCCGGGACTAGTGGGTGCGATCCGATAAAAATCTCCCGCTTCTCAGCCACAATCGCTCACGCTATTGGTCTCCGGAGCACCTAACCTGACAGCGACTAGCGCATGCCCAAGCCCCAAAATAACAAAAAGAGGGCTCCAACTGGGCACACTGTGACTTGTTAGGGGCGCCGAACCGTGACCCTGGGCGCCACGACTCTGCAATCTGAGACCTCTCACATCTTGTGCAGGACGCCAAATCGTCACCCTTGCACTCCTTCAACCTCGATCTCTGACCTTATCCCCTCGTTACCGTTCTGCCATCAGTCCAAATCATTCTACGGTCCTGCAATACCTTTCGGCAGTATTATACACACGTCCCGCGCTATAAGACACAACATGGTCACCAACTCCGCGCTTCCAACCCTTCCAGGCGGGTTCAATTACCCCCCTCCGACCGTTCCCCCAAAAGCCGGCGCACCCTACCTTGCCAGTTCCAAACTGCCTGAAAACTTTGTCTTTATCGTCGTCGGCGCTGCGTTGGGCTTTGTGGCCCTCCTCATCATTGGCTGGCGGATCCTCATGTCGTGGTCCATAAATCGCAGTTTCAGACGCGACGCAAGCAGTGGAAAGGCAAGCGGCGCCGCTTACACGCCTCTTGCAGACATTAAAAAGAACCCGGCGATACAATCCTCACACGATATGGCCGATTTGAGTAAACTGCCGCGGTCATTCTCGAGTGTGCCGTCACTGTTTTTCTCCCCTACAGCCGAAGTGGCGAAACAAACCCAGCGACCTACAAGCAGCCAACTCACACACCTGCCAGCTGGGCATTACCGCGATGCTTCGGATTCATATCGACGATGATTCTTTAAAACCAACATCTAAGCAGGAATATCCCGGTCATTTGGCTTAGGTTCGGGATTGTGGTTGGGTCGAATCTTGGAACAAACTGTCGAAGCTAAATCACCACACGCTATTCACGGCGCACCTCGATGGCAGTTGCCTGCGCCCAAGATCATTCTGGGCGGGCCAAACCGTCTTCAAGGACGGACAGACGCTCCCGAGACCAAGGGAATGCACCAACGTCACCTTCACTCTCGAATTGTTCGTGGTAGAGCAGTGACATCAAAGACTTCTATCGACCGTGGTTATCTCCTCGAATGTTTTATCCTGCGCAAAATACCATAAATCAGGCCCAGCTACGTGGTCCCGGCCATTTACAGGGATTGGATTACTCGGGATACTGGGATTTTAGCGAGGCGTCTTTAGAGGGCAGGGGTTTGGTTTGGGTGGACCATGTTGGCATCAAACCGGAGTCGTTTTGGTATCGAGTAAATTGACGTCCAAGACACTGTGTATATCCATGTCGGATGTAATATGACCGTCTTCCCAGCCTTGCCGCACTCTGCCAAAAGTTTTCCATTGCGATCGTTTTGACAATGACGCTCGTGGTCATGAAATGTGCACATCAGACGCTACGGCGCTCCGCCGTATCGATAATTCATATCCACGTCAGCCAATCGGAGTCTTTGGTCGCTGACCCTTTTTCGCATTTTGGGGTATCTCTAGCTTCGTTTATGTACATACATACGCACTCTTCCATCCCCTCTACAACTGTACAGAGAAATTCCTTTCGTCCCATTGAGCCTGAATCTGCCACTTTATCTGTCTGTCACAACAATGCCTCTCCCTCGAGGCGTCTCTCTGCGGCACATGCAGGCACTCCCCGCAGGTCGGTCGCTGCTCCGACCCCAACGGCGCTGGGCGCGGGTCCACGATGTCCGCTTCGTAACGACACATCGGGATCAAGAGAAGATTTTGGACCGGTATAGACATAAGCTGGAGCAGAAGGCGAAGAAGTAAGTTTGCCACGCAGGTGGTTCCAAAGCTCCGACGCTGTCGATAGACGGAACTTGATGGCAGTGGCTGTTATCTTGTGCAAATGAAACTGACGGCTGTGTTGGCGTTCAGAGAAGGACATAATTCCATATCCTCACTCACGGAGGCGTACAAGGATAAGATAGAGGACTACAAGCGGGCAGCCAATGCCACATATTCATCTGCACCCACAGGCCAGAGCCAGCCAGCACAACAATCTCCATTTCCACAGCCTCCGCCTCCTCCAACACCTACACAGCAACCGTTATCTCCTACGAGTCAGCCACAAGAGAAATCTTCCGCTCCAAATCAATCATCTGGCGCTCCGGGAATACAGCCTCTCTCCTCATACCTTGACCTTGAAAAAGTGTCTGCTCTCTCTAACAAAGAGGTGGAATACGTCTGGCGGGTTCGGCATGCAAACGATCCGTTGTCGCTCTGTGCCGCCATACCATTGGAAACATACAATCGCATCTACCGCACCGCAATGAAACACCCACAATTTGTCCTTCCCTTACCTCGCCCGGCAGCTGAAGATGGCAGCGGCGACGTAAAGCAATCAGCCGACGGATTTCAGAGTGACGAACAACGGTCTGCTGCGGATATTCATTTCATGCAATGGGGATTCCATCCTCCTGCCGGCGTTCCCCCGACTCCAGGTGTAAAAACTGCAAATACCCACACGAGCACCGTGCTCTTCACGCACTTGGCTGCCTTCAAACTTCACGGAACCTATGCTCAGCCGCATACGACGATCACCCACTACCTCGATCTCGCCGACTCGCACGGTCTGGTGTTGCTGAGCGGATCTGTTGTCAAAGGGCGTGGGTTGAGTGTGGAAGAAGGCCGTTGGCTTTTGATGTGCCTTCAGAAATTCTATGACTATGAAGGTCACGGCGGGGGCATTGGTCGTGAAAAGCGCCGAGGGCTTTTGGAGAAATTCAGCAAAGGCGACCAGGGATTCAATCTGGAAGAGTTGATCGACGAAGCCGAGAGGATATCATGAAGAAGCCGCCAGGTTCATGCACCGACAGGTTCACTCCTTAAGTCATCGCTGTCAACGTCGACGTCGAGCTCCGCTTTCCTCATCTCCTCTTCGCGTGGGCTTCTCAGCACGTCCTGGACCAGGAAATTCCAGATCGCCTCGAAGTAGCCTGGCTCGGCAACGGTCGAATTGTGGTCCCCATCAGGGAATTCTTTCCAGACCTTCGCGGTGGGGCATTGATCGAACAGGGCCTTCATCATGGATGGTGGGACAATTTCATCCCGCAGACCAGAAAGAAACAGAACGGGAATTCCAGTATCTTGCACCTTGGCCAAGCTTTGTTCCGAGTCCCATCGCTGGTGACAGAGATATGAAAGGTATTTCGCTGCTGGCATGATCGACGGGATCAATTTGCGAATGGACAAGAAGGTATTCTCCAAGATGACTGCGGAAATGTCGCCAACTTGATAATTTGCCTGCAGCAGCTTGACGGCAAGGGCGCCACCCAGACTTTGGCCGTATAGGACAATGTTGGTCTTTCTCAGCTCTGTATGCTCGCGCACAAAGTCGAGGGCAGCCTGCCCATCGATGGACAGTCCCTCCTCGCTGGGTGTGCCAGTCGAAAACCCATAACCTCGATATTCGACCATGAAGACATGACAGCCCAGATTCTGGGAGAGGACCTTGCCAATGGGAAGGCGGTGGCCGATATTGCCAGCGTTCCCGTGAAAGGTCAACAATGTGATGTTCTTTCTCAACGAAGGATCGGAAGGACGCAAGAGGTAGGCATGGAGGGTTTCACCGTCCGGCGTGGGGATCCTGATGGTTTCGGCATCTTCAATGCCGTACTTTTCAGGACGGTCGACAATCGACCTTGAACCGGTAGGTAGATTTGCGGGGTAGATAATGTCATTCTGCTTGAAATAGAGGAGGCTGCTTCCGAGAGCGGCGAGGCCAGAGGTGGCGAAGACGGGTATGCGTAGCCAGGAGAGGTAGGAGGAGGTCATGGCGACGGTTTCATCAAGGCGCAGCTTGGTCAGGCTGTGATTCAACTGCGGGGGAAGATATGACTTTAGGACGGAGTACATCCAGCAAGGAAGCTGGTAGGAGACTAAGAATGACAAGCAAAAGTTTCTTGAAAAGGAGAGGCGACTATATACGTGCAAAACGAGAGATGTAGAGTGGATTTGTGTTCAGGACGAATCTTGGAGTTCTTGACCTGAATCAAGGCAGGTGTGATGTCTGGAGAGGTCGATGCCTTGTGGCACCGTCCCTGTTGTGTTTGGTGCCTAAGGGGTAATTTTGGCGAGCTTAACCGCCTGCGCCGCCAAGTGGCGTCTAATTAAGCCTGGATCCCCCAACCCTTCGCTTACCAGGTGCCTGGCTGCCAGTGGTGCAAGGGCAGAATAATTGCCGCCCGCAGCTAGGTTGATTGACCAGACGCGTTTGCTGGTTCTGCCTTCTGTCCAGGGCAGCTTCGCTATATATCCATTCGCAATCATCCTGCTCCCACAACACAACCACATACACCGCTTCAGGTCCCAACGCATACAGACGCCAATCTCATATATCTCTCCTCTACATCTTCGCAGTCATGATTGGCCCAGGCACCGGCATGCTTGGAGAGGATGGCATCCATGTCGACATGAACCACCTCAAGTCGGGAGAAGTCAACCTTGGTACATCTATCATGGCCATCAATTTCAAAGACGGGGTGATTCTTGGAGCAGACAGTCGGACAACGACAGGAGCATACATCGCGAACCGAGTCACAGACAAGCTCACCCAAGTACACGACACCATCTGGTGCTGCCGGTCAGGGTCTGCAGCCGACACTCAAGCCGTTGCCGATATTGTTCAATACCACCTCGGGATCTATGGCATCATGAACAACGAGTCCCCCACCACGCAGACTGCTGCTGCTCTGTTTCAGGAGTTGTGCTACGGGAACAAGGATCAACTAAGGTGAGATGACCGTGACGAGGGAAACTTCTGGCTAACTTGGTTGCAGTGCTGGCATCATTATTGCAGGCTACGATAAGCGAAACGGTGGACAAGTCTACTCAATACCTCTAGGCGGATCGTTGCACAAAGGACCATATGCCATCGCAGGCTCAGGGTCGACATACATCTACGGATACTGCGATGCACACTGGAAAGAAGCTATGACAGAAGAAGAAGGAATACAATTTGTCAAGGGAGCATTAAGAGAAGCTATCAAATGGGACGGCAGCTCGGGCGGTGTCATTCGAATGGTGGTTTTGACGGCCAAGGGTGCTCAGCGACATTTGTATCTTCCAGACCAGGACTATCGAGGACCAGGGAGAGACTGAGTCGAATAATAAAACGGGGTTGGGACGGCGTCTAAGGATCCTTTTTGGAGGTGCATATGCACAACGAGGGCAAACAAGCTCGATGAGCATCAGGCTCAAGGAGACAACTCTTCTTCGCCATTGTCATTACTTGTAGGACTCGGACATAGGCATGGGCGTGACGGGCAGCCACAATTGGGCGATCAAGGAAAGTCCCTGAGTGGCGATGGTCGTTAATTACTGTTCAGGCGCCTTTCTTCTGTGTATGCAGGATGATGCAAGCGTGTTTAGGTTCTTGTAGCCCGTCATGGTGGTGGTGGTGGTGCACAGGAGGGCGACGATGGCAAACATGTCACAAATGCTCCGCCCGTCTTCGGGTCTTTGCGTGCAGGCCAGCAGCTTCAACCACTGGGAAACTGCGCCTCGCGGCCTCAACCCAACCAAACCTAAACCCAAACCAACCCGATTCCCTCTTCGTTCGCCCATTTGTGTGCTTTCTCATTGCACTCTGTCTATCTCCATATCTTGCCTCTTGTATCCATCGTGTCGGCCGTCAAAGTCTAGAGGGATAGACGCGCCTGACTACACTGACCGCTTTTACCTCCAGCAGTGACTTGCGGCAATGTCTTTGGTAAGTGACAGCATGTTTTCTTTTCCCCCCACCCACCGCTTTGCTCGTGGGCTGCGACGGCTGCGAACCACACTGCACATGCTAGCTCTTCTGCCGACCGCCAACCTGATCGAACGCATGCCGAATGTCCACCACCACCGTAAAGGCCTGCCTCTGACCTCTGTCGGACGCTCTGGAGCACTGTATTACATCTTGTCCACCCCGCAATACGCATTGCTACAAGTTTGCGAACCACAATCACCTTATTGCGGACCTGTGCACCTACAAAGAGATACGGCGGAATCAGGCTGGGCAGTGCTAGGCTGAGACGAATGCCATCTGCAATGGGAATTTTGTTGGGTTGTTTGTACCTAGTCATCGACTAACAATCTCTGTCACAGACATCCTACGCCAAAGGTTGAGATGGGCTCGCTGGTGATTAGCCAAGTGGCGCCGGGACTCGGTCAGCATCCCTATCACCACATGATGGTGGACACCAATCCTCATCACGACGACTCCTCCAGAGGATACGATGCCTCCTCTGACCAGACACCTACAATCCACCAGCCTTCTGAAGATTCGTCGACCCCAGGGTCACAGCACGACGACCATGAGCCAGGCAGTGCTCACTCATCCTCTCCCCAGCATCAACACTCCTCCTACTACCCTCAAAATGTGAACCAACACTCACGCGGATTTGACCAGTCTGGTTTCCCGCTGACTAGCGACCCTCGAGTCGTCGTCGCCAATTCTCCTCCCTCCCCACGCTTGCAACCCACATATCGCTCGACCAGGTCATTAGGCGCGTCTGAAGCCAGCTCTCCTAGTAGGATAAAAGTGAGAGACTTGTCACATATCCGCAGTCTTGCGAGTGAGGAATATTTGAACCGACCCCGTCTGTCGGGACGCCCTTCCAGCTCCTTTTCGGATACGGGAAGGCAATATGAAATCAGTGCCATGCCTGTAACAGACATTATCGAAATGGTCGCAGGCCTTCTTACCAAGATCACCACCACCAACGATCGACAGCACGAACATCACCGCCCGATGCCTCTCACAGAGGAACAGAGTCATCTGAACCCACACGCTTCCTGTGTGCTAGCATTTCACGGCAAGAACGTCCCCGGGATAACGATCCTCAGTTATCTGAGTCGGATACACAAGTATTGTCCGACTACCTACGAGGTCTTCCTGAGTCTGCTGGTTTACTTTGATCGCATGACTGAGATGGTCAACCGAGGCCTTTTGGGGGACGTCGACAAGCGACCTGCCGATTCCCCGGCCACAGCACCAGAGTCATCTACGCCCACTCCGCGTTCACCGGTGCCCATGAATGTGGACAGTCCTCAAGAGCACCACGATATCAGCACCCCGCCCTCTCCATCGGACTCACGCCACCAATCCCAAACTCAGCATCCCTCCTCACCTCAATCCAGCATTCCGACCGACCTGTCGCAATTCTTCGTGGTTGATAGTTACAACATCCATCGCCTTGTAATTGCTGGTGTCACTTGCGCCAGTAAATTCTTTTCTGATGTATTTTACACGAATTCTCGATATGCAAAGGTACGTTTCACCGGTGAAAGAGCCACCGTCCCAATGGTAGCTCTAGACGCCTTTGCTCTTGAATCGAATGCTGACATATATTCCCTTCACAGGTCGGAGGACTTCCTCTGGCGGAACTGAACAACTTGGAGCTTCAATTCCTCCTTCTCAACGACTTTAGACTTTCTGTCCCGGTGGAGGAGCTCGAAGCTTACGGTACCATGCTGGTTGAGTTTTATGCTCGAGAATTGCTAGCCCAGCAACAGCTCGCTCAACAGCAGCAACAGCACCATCAAGCAGGCTCGGCTGTTCATTCTCCTGCCGCTGGTGTAGGAGATGGGATGTACATGCGCTCCCACGGAGATGAGATTGGGTCAACGCAGGAGTAAGCGGTGGCCTTCTACGTGACAGATGGCATTTTACCCCAGGGGAACGAGACAAAGCTTTGTTGATGACAGGATTGTGGAAGATATTCCAGACAACGGCCCGGCCTTTGTTTACGTTTACGAGATTGCGAGTCATGAACGGAGTCAATACCTATTAGACCAGATCTTTTGTGAGAGTGTTTTACTTGTGTATCTGAGTGGGGGAAGGGTGACTTCCTGAGCTCACGGTCGAGCTGAGGGATTCAAGGGCGTTGGCGAGTGGAGAGGCATTCTCATTCTCACTGACTTACATTGAGACGACCGAGACGAGATATTGCTGAATAGATGTGCGAACCGAGGTCGTAGAAACGTTTTTCCATTGTTGAGACAATGCTCCATGATTTGCCTTACTTTGTCGGGTCTGGCTGCTCAAGCCGGTTGCCGTTGATTTTGCGCTGCTCATCTCGTCCTCCCTGGACCACGAGGGCATCGTTGCTCTCTTTGTGGATTGGAAACCCGGGACTTTTGAAGCGTGTGTCCATTTCCCAGGAATACAAGATGGACGAGTGCTTTGCACTTAACTTAAGGAGATCGAAAGTCGAAGCTCGTTCTATCTCGCGTACTACAAAGCTCAACCATTTGCAATCTACAAGGTGACTCCTGGTGTCTGTAGAACTTGGCAGATGTTGTAACAACTTTTGGGATTCTACTTCTGTGTTTGTGGTATCTCGTATCTCGTCAAGCAACAGCGATGGCGAAGAGCGCTCTCGACTCTCCAGCCCCTGTCTGCAATGCTTTTCTTCGTATAGCACAGCAAACTTATAGCAAGTCCCTGACAAGAATGTGCCGCCTGGGTGTGTGTGTGTGAAAGCTTCGTAAGAATGCAAATGTCGAAAGAAAAATAGGCGTTTCGTCAGCAAACTCGGCTCGGCGTATCGTGTTGCGTCTTCAGCTGAGACGAGTGCTCGCCGACTGATTGCGGACGGGACGTGCCTCGCCAGGGTCTTTGCTCCCAGGCAAGTATGTTGCGTGATGTAGAGAGCCACCAACACCGCCAGTCATCAAACATCACATGTGTCCTTGTTCCCTGCCAGACATTTAACCCTACTCGTCCTCATGAACCACGGAACAAGAACTGCATGTCCTCTGGCGTCAGTTTGTCCAGTGCGACCTGGTCGTTGTTCACCGTTCCATTGATCATGTTGGCCTTCTTCTCCTGAAGCAACACCATTCGTGATTCGACCGAATCTTCGATACACAGCCGCGTGATGACGCAAGGTCGACGTTGGCCGATTCGATGGCACCGATCCGCAGATTGCCATTCGGCAGCAGGGTTCCACCATCTGTACGAGATCTAGTCAGCGGGAGGAGTCAAGGGAAAGGAAGTCAGCTGCGACTCACGGATCTACAATGTAAACTCTGCTGGCCTCGGTCAAGTTCAGGGCGACACCGCCTGCCTTGAGTGAGACGAGGAAGACCTCCACATCGACGTTGCTCATGAAGTGGTCGATCGTCTTCTGTCTCTGCGCGGGAGTCATGCTTCCATCCAACAAGACCGTGCTGAACCCCGACTTCTGCAACCGCCACTGAACGAGTTGCAACATGCTGGTGAATTGCGAAAACACAATCGACTTGTGCGTCTGTTTCTTGCTGCGGAGCTTGTACAGGTCATACACGAGCATCTCAATCTTTGTAGAGCTGGTCCAATCTTCCATCTTGATGCGGTTGATGATGGATGACTTCTTGACGTTGTCTTCATCCTGCTCGATTTCCGGCTGGTCCCAGTCTATCACCAAGGGGATGTGGCATCTCGGACAATCTGCGTCTTCCTCAGAACCTCCGTAGGCACTACCAGCGAAGGACTGGACGTATGACTTGGCACATTGACGACAGAATTCGTGATGGCACCGAGAACGGATGGCATCCTCCGCAGGCTCGTCGCAGACGCAGCAGACGAGAACATTCTGCCCGCCTTCTGCGTTCTTGCGCAAGATCAAATCAGGGTGGTTTGCGACTTGTCTCATTTGCATGATGAGACCAAAAATGTTGGCGTAGTTGTTCAACATGACACCCTGCGAGACGTATGTGTCGAATTTGCGTGTCGAGTTAGACATGATACTTTGGGAGAAGTCGCGTTCGATTTCTCCAAAGAACTCGTTGTGGATAACGATCTCTTTGGGTGGGAGCTCCATCGAGGAAGTGTGGTCTCGCTTCATCCGACGAAGCATGATGCGGTCGGTGATCAAACGCAACTTGTCCAGAGCATCCTTTCTGAGATTGTGATTGTCCGCCTGGGTGATCGGATTGAGAATCTCCTGGTTGAACACAGAGACGTGGTTAAAGCCACTGTGCTTGCATTTGACGCATCTCTTCGATTCATCCTGGGACCAGTGCAGTTCACGACAATCACATGTCTTGCAGAAATAACATGCGAATGGGTGAATCTCGAGGAACCGGAGGAGCGAGAAAAACTCGCCAATACGATTCTGAACAGGTGTGCCAGACAAGCACCATTTGTAGGTAGCTTTCAGAGCAAAGCAGGCTCTTGCCACGCCGGTGGTGCGCTGCTTGATGCTGTGGGCCTCGTCGAGGATCAATCGATGATATTTGATGGAGTGCAACACGCTGTCCTCTTTGACAATTCCATCACCTCGAGACCATCCCTTCTGCTCCTTTCGGTACATCGATTCCAGGCCAGAATAGGAGACCATGATGACATCGTACTTTTTCAGGTCCTTGACCGTGAGAAGCTTGCATTTCGGGTTGGCGGAAGAGTGATAAACCAGCACCTTCAGCTTTCCACTGGTGTATTCTTTGATCTCCGACTGCCATTGCATGAGGGCCACAGGAGGGACAACCACCAGGCTCGGAGCTTTCGCGGGATAGTCGGACATGATAAGACTGACAGCCTGGATGGTCTTTCCCATCCCCATCTCATCACCAAGCAAGCCCCCTTTCCACTGGGACTTTTCCTGTTTGATCATCCAGTCCAAGCCTTCAAGCTGGAAGGGCTTCAATTTACGACTGATCCCGGCCGGTTGTGGCGCTCGCACGGGCTTGATGACTGGGATCTTGGCCAGGTCCGTCCACATGGTCTTGATTTCTGGATGCGCCTTTTCCAAGCGTTTGCGTTCTCTCAATTGACGTCGCTTCGCAGGATCTGCCCAGAACATAATCTCGTCTTGGGTCATCTTTGTCCAATCGAGGGACGAACGACTGCCTCTAGCCCACGGTGGTTGAACTTCATCATCATCGTCATCGACCTCACTAACGTCTGCCGAGCCCCCTGACCCGGGTGGGAGGGTGAAATCGGACAATTCTGAATCGGCAGTCGAGGCCGCTGAGGAGAGCCCGGAACTGTCATTCAACGCCCCAACGGCAACGGTGGAAGAATTTTGATTACGGAGAGGCAGTTTGGCTCGACGCTGACGAGTGTTGGCGAGAGGGATTTCATCGTCATCATCGTCCGTCAGGTCGATGATGGATGACCTGGTACGACGGCGTTTGGACAGTGGTTCATCATCACTCTCCTCTGAATCTGCCACTACGTTGTACTCCTCTCTCTGCAGTTCTGCCGCGAGTTGTGCATCGGTGTCCTCGAAGTCCAAATCCGTTATTTCATTGATGTTTCGCTTTCGAGAAGAAGCAGTCCTCCCACGGAGAGAAAACTCGGAAGACTCAAGTTGCAAAGCCCTGGCAGTAGCTCCAACTTTCGCTTTTGACGTGCCTGGATCAGGGGTTGGGACAGTGCTGGTTCCTGGGGTCTCGTAATCAGGCGAGTCCATCGGATCGGCGATAGAAGAAGGGGCTGTTGACTCAGACAACCGGCCACGGCGTTTTGCAGGAGCAGAGTCATTATTGGAGACATAAACTCCTTGGAATGCGCCTTTTGAGGTAGAGGCAGTGACAGAGATATCGTCGTCGTCGGTGTCTGGGATCTCCTTGACTGCAGATGCAGAAGGTTTGCCTCGGCTTCGATTGATGGTTCGCTTAGAGGGTGCTCTGATGCGTGAAGGGGTCGACTTTTCAGTGGCGATTCTTGAGGCTGCGGGCATCGGTCAGTCGGTGGTCAATACGGCATTGTTTGAGAATATACTTACAAGGAGCCCTTGAAGAGGCCGCAGATCTTGTAGGACGACCACGAGGCCCCATGGTGGACGTTGAGGAGGAGAGCAATGGCAGAAGTCAACGGAAAGGGTGAGGCTTGATTGAATATTGCTCCAGAAAGAGATCGAGGCACAATCGATAAAGATCTAGATTTAGCGTGTTTTCTGCCTGGATTCCGGCGCGTGGGGACGCGTTAAGTGGTTTTCTCCAGACAAAAGCAGCATCTCAACGAAGTTTGGGGAGGTGGCTTTGTCTGATAAAGCGGCGGCGGCAGGGGCCCTAACTTGCCAAGCTGCACTTGTACAGAGTACCGGTTTGCCTGCAGTGATCCCTTTCATGTGACCACGGATCGCGTTTTCAATTCAACGCGCCTCCAACCGCGCTAAGTGGGAAAGCCCCTCACCACTTGCTGCTCGCTGATGCTTCTGCCTTGAGCAGTAAATGGATTTTTGTTCAAGGCTTGAAAGCTCCAAGCAGAATCTGCTGGTTTGACTTAGTTTGGGTTTCTCTTCCACTACTAACATCCTCCCACTTACCTTGTTCCCTAGAGTTGCTTAAACCGAGATTTGCCACCAATAGAACTTTTCACAATGTTCGTCGATGCCCCTGGATTAGCAGCCTCGTTTGTACTCGGTACTGACACTGAATATAGGGCGACTCGGCGTGCTGCTGCACTCAATCGTATCCGCGGACCCCAGTCTGCCCTCACAGACTTTCTTGCCTCCCACAATATCTCGGCTCACCAGATCCAACAGGATTACCAACAACGTCTTGCCAATGCGGAGCGAGAGGCGCGAGAAGGTACAGAAAATGCCGACGTGGAGCAAGAAGACGCCTCCGATGATGGCAGCGAGGATCCTGTCGAGCGCAAGAAGCGCAAGAGAAAACAAGAGATGGCTCTGATGAAGATCAAACAGAGCAAGGAGTTCAAGAAACGGAAAATGGAACGTGAAGTGGAGGAAGGCAGCGACTTCGAAATGGACGACGATGAAATCGCCAGAGCCATGATGGCCAAAGCAAAACCCTTACCCGGCCAACTTGACAACTGTGAGATATGTGAAAAGAGATTTACCGTCACACCTTACAGTAGGACTGGGCCCGACGGTGGTCTGTTGTGCACCAAATGCTCCAAGGAACTGAAAGAGGAGGAAAAGAAAGATGCTCAGGCAAAGAAAAAGAGAACTACTGTTCCCAGAGGTCGACGCCGACAGACAGAGAGCGATCGGATGATGGGAGACGTCAAACCAGGTGCCAAAAGCCTGGCCGACATGTGCGTTCGTAAGGTCGCCGATGTCGTCAACGATATTGAGGAATTTGGTGATATGCCCCAAAACCTGTTGGATCGGCTGAGCCAGATTTTCTCAAAACGGAGAGTCCTGACTCCTCGCATCCTCGAGCTCTTCCTTCGCCCTGATGTCGACCGTATTATCGTATATGATTGCGGTAAACTGGAGCAAGAAGATTTCCAGAAGATCTTTGCACTAATGCCACAAGTCGAGATTGTTAACTTGCGCTTTGCAGGCCAGCTGAAAGATGAACCACTTCTATATATGGCCGACAAATGTAAGAAGATTCGTCATCTCCAGCTCGGTGCGACAAACCTGGTCTCGGACAGCGCCTGGGTTGTACTCTTCAACTCACTTGGACCTCAGCTGGAAAGTCTCAAGCTATCGGAACTCAATGACTCATTGAGGGACGAAACAGTCGCGGTACTGACGGACAAATGCCAGAGACTCAAGAGACTCAAGTTGCGGTCTTGTTCTCACATGAGTGAGGTGTCGATCGACGCGCTCTGCTCTTTGCGAAGTCTCGAACACCTCACGCTTGGCAGCATCGCGCAGGAGACATCCTCAGAGATCCTGGTCAAACTCATCACCTCTCTCGGTGCCAATCTCCGAACTCTTTGTCTAGAAGACTTCCAAGAACTCGACGACAATGTCATTGAAGCCATCAGGGAGCACTGTCCGAACCTGTGCAAGTTGCGTATTCGAGGGAGCAGCATCTGCACGGACCGTGTCTTTGCCGACCTCTTTGGTAGCAACTGCCCCTTCCGTCCTCTGCTCTACGCCGACCTGTCCGACAACCGCGACATCGACAACACGAACCCTGAAGGTCCGCAAGACGAACCCATTGGCTTTGGCTCCCTCGCGTTCCCGGCGCTCATGGCCCATTCTGGTTCGCGTCTCGCAATTCTCAATCTCAAGGCTTGTCGTCACATCTCTCACTCTGCGCTCCTCGAAGTCTTCGACGGTGTCAAGCAGTATCCTTTTCTGAAAGACATTGACCTGTCCTTTGTCACACAGGTGGATGATGTGGTCATGACCGGCATATTCAGGAGTTGTCCTTCTCTGGCAAAGCTTGCCGTGTTTGCCTGCTTCAACGCCCGATCCACCATGATCCCGGCTGGAATCGCCGTGATCGGATTGCCGAACGCGAGTGCGAACATTGTTCAGGGAGACTTCATTGCGTAGGTGTAGTGTCCAGTGGTCATGCTTACATGCATCACAGAGCAGCGCGGGTCTCTACGCTGATGCTCTACGAGGTTATGATGAATGGACGATTGAGTTTCTGGACAGCAAGGTGAACTCGTGAGCTGTTTGTCTTCCATTAATGTGGTTAGACGGTCATGTAAAAAAAAAAGTCTTTGCATTGAGGAGCACATGTATATGATGCTCTGATCAGAATGTACAGTATTTACTGGCTGGCCAGACACTTGATTCACACCCAGACTCATCCCTCACATTGACTCTTTGTAGCACGACTTTCAAGCACACCGGTGTCCTCGTGCATTCCTGCCGATCATTCGCTTCAAAGCGTCTCAATGCCCTCCACCAACGCATCCAGGCTCCCACCTTCCACTTGCCTTTTGTGCCCGCTGTCCCTTGATCCTTGCACCAACGCCCTGGCAAGTCCCCCTAATTGTCGGTGTCTCGTTGCCTCTTCTAGCTCCCGACTTTTCTGTCGCGCGACATCAATCACACTCTCGCCCAAATTCGCCAGCCTTGCCACGTTCAGACCGTAGCTGCGGTGCGCCACACCTTCACCTACTTCGTAGAGAAAGGTGATGTTTTCGTCATTCGTCTCGGTGAAACGCATGTGGACGTTTTTGAGTTCTCCGTTCGAAAACCCATCCGCCATGCGGGCCAGCATCTGGTAATGGGTGATAAACAGTGTCAAACACTTCCGCTCTCTTACGAGGTAATCAAGCACGGACGCGGCAATTGCGACACCGTCATGCGTGCTCGTTCCTCTGCCCAGTTCATCCAGCACTACCAGACTGCGGTCGGTGGCGAGTTTCAGAATGTCACTTGTTTCGCTGAGTTCGACCATGAAGGTTGATTCACCGGACATCATGTTGTCAAAAGCCCCCATGCGGGTGAAGACCGCGTCTAGAATACCCAGTGTGGCGGACGTGGCCGGAACGAAAGAGCCGATTTGTGCCATGATGGCAATGAGGGCTACAGAACGGACATAGGAAGACTTGCCGCCCATATTGGGCCCTGTCACTAAGAGAGCCCGTGTCGAGTCTTGGGAGATGGAGATGTCATTGGGCACATAAGAATCCATGAGGAGTTGCTCAACCATAGGATGGCGGGCGCCTTGTACTTCGATTCGGGTGTCAGGTGTGAAGCTGGGACGTACGTAGCCTGGCTGGGATGCGATATTTGCCAAAGACAGTAGGCAGTCCAAGGTTGCCAGACTTTGGATTGTGTCGCGGAAAAGCTGATACTTTGTGCTGATGTCGGCTAGCAGATTCCTGAAAGCTTCATCACAAGCAGCCGCAAGAGACTCCTTGTGCTGGTCCCTCTCTCGCAGAAGCTTGACGATTTCTGGCGGATGAAACCGAGACACCTTCTTGGTGCCCGAAATCTTTGCCCAGGATGCTGGCACTTTCTTGATCGTGGGAGAGTTGTTTTCAACCTCGATCAGATAATCGATGCCTGCCACAGCCACGTAGTCGACTGGCTTTTTCTTGCCCAACTTCTCGGCGGCAGTTGATCGGAATTGGTCAAGGTCATGCTCAACGCCCGCGATGCCGAATTTGTGTTCCGAGATGGCCTCTGTCTCTGAAGCGTCCTGGAAGAAGGCGTACTTGTCGTCTGACTTGGCAGCTTGAAGATTGATCTTGTCCAGATATCCCACAACCTCTGTCAAGATGACGGGGAGAGAGACCATTGCAGAAGAGATCAAATCCGAGGCGAAGCCAGTAGATGCTGCGTCTGTCACATACGCGAATTCAGTTGCCAACATCTGTAGTGACTGAAGAACGTTCAATAACTCTGGTCGTGTACACTTGCCGTAGTAAATCCGAATAAGGCTCTTCTCCAAGTCGGTTCTAATCTTCGACAAGACACGTCTCAATTTTTCCGCCTGCGCGACTTTGTCAGGATTCAGTAGCTCTTCCACAGCGTTGAGTCGATCTTCAATGCTTTGTACATCTAGCAACGGCCGTCCGACCCACTTCCGTAGCAGCCTGCCGCCGAATTTGGTCTGCGTCCGATCCATCATCCAGTACAGACTACCTTTCGTGGAATGGTCTGTCTGATTCAAGTAGATCTCGAGACTCGTCAGGGTGTTGCCATTGAGCAGCATGTGTGATCGAGCGGAAAACGGCTGGAAATACTTGGCCAGCTGGAAGACATGCTCGAGACCATATTCAGATAAGTGTGTGATCATTGCAGAGAGGCAGACGGACACGTTTTCCGGCAGACCCATGATTTTATCAAAGATTTTCACCGCCTTGTCTGTATCTGATCGGGAGTCTTTGAGCCTTTCCGCATAAAAGGTTGATATGTGGCTGTGTGCTTGAGCTGCCATTGTCTTCTGCTTCGCGACTCGCTCAACCCGAATCTTGTCGCCGAAAACATTGGTCTTGCTGCCGGAAAGATGGACAACAAGCTTCTCAGTCGCTTTTGAGAGCTCACCCACGATGAGGAACTCACAGGGGGCAATGTGAAGCAGCCTCGTCTCGATTTCGCTCCGCATGAAACCGTCCTCAAAATCATCGTAAACAACATCGCCTGTGGCAGGTTGGACTGCTACCAGGCCGACGTGGACTTTTTCGTCGTTACCAAAGCCTTTGACGTTGACTTCTGTCATGCAAAGTAGAAATCCGGTCGACGCAGACTGTGGGGCAGGACTTCCTCGACTATCCTCTTCGATACCTTCGATGTCGTCGATATAAGTGCCCTTTGTGTACAGATTCGTGAGCTTCCTCACGAAAGGTGCATTTCTGTTGTCGCCAGCGGCTTTCAATGCTGCAGTCTCAAGTTGTCGGACAACACCAACTTTGTGACCGGCAGCAACTAACCTCTTGACATGCACATGCAGTCGATGAACTGGGATACTTGCAGAGGCAAAACGATCCAGGTGTGCCTCTGATGGATGTTCATCGTATCGATATTTCCCCGGTATACAAACGATGCTGAGTTCTTTGGCCGCAATTCTGGCGTCTTCGCCAAAGAAACGGAACTTGTAACCTACTTCGACCACAAGCAAGGTGTCCATGTGCGCTCTCTTGATCTCTATGACTTGTTTTTCCATCGGCGTCAACTTGTTGCCACCTTTCTTGGTTCGAGAAGTCGATTTCGGTGCCTCATCCACAGGCTCATCCTCTCCATCTTCATTTTCCTGGTCTGCTGTTTCATCTTCGAGCAGCCTGTTTCGCCGCTTGATTTCGGCGATGCTGTCTGGCCTTCCCAACTTCTTCACAAATCTCCGGTGTAGCTCATCTCTTCGTCTTTTTTCCGCACCGCTAACTTCCTCTGAATCCTGGTTTTCCTGCTGAAGGGACGAAGAATAGACGTATTTCGCTGTCCTGTTGGATGCTGGGGAATCAGTGGTGCCGAGAGTTTGTCCATTGGCAACAACAGGTCTCAGCGGTATAGCAGGTTCGTCTTCCACCTCTTCGATATGTCCCGTCTTGTCGTTATCCTCTCCGGCAGGTGTGATGCGGCGTCTCTTCGGTATTGGCAGTACCAGCCCATCATCTTCATCATCCTCTTCTGTGGCGATTTGCGGACGATCTTTAGGTGTGGGAGTTGAGGGAGGTCTTTTGAAGAAGGAAGATATCGTCTGCTGCTTCTTCTGTGCAGAAGCCATGGAGGGAAGGCCCACAATCCTGTCTGCAACGAAAAATCTATGGGTTGTTGAAAGTCTCTGTGGGCTGAGAACATCAAAGGCAAACCAGGCGTCATTCGAAGGAAGCCACGAATCCGCCAATGATGGTGCGAGATGAGACGCGTAACGCGACGCGTCTCCAAAAGGAACCTTTAAAGTGCCATCAGTATGGAGAGCCACTCCCTGCGAACAAAGATCATTAAACCGTCACACCGAAATGCATCTTTGCTCCATCCATCTACCTTGGTCTCTGGACACTTTCCACACACCTCGTTGTCGTCACGCAGGGAAGTTTCCACATGCAAGGTGATCCTCGCTTTGACGAAGGGCCAACTGCAATTGCAGAATCAACTCTACTCCGTCCAAGCCCGGCCTCTCTGCTGCCCACGAGCCTCCCTTCGACCTTCTCATTGCCGTCGTCGGGTATGATCTTTAGGTGTCTCGTGATGGGCTCAACGGTCCTTCACAATACATAAAGGTCAACCTTGTCACATACGATAAACATGAAACTGATCCACGGATTTATTACAGGGACGTTTCTCTTCACATTTTGAACGTCAAGGAACAAACGATACCCAGCCCTGTCGTTGACCCAGAGCTTGTCCACCCCGGCTATCATCCCTGCTGGACTACCCATGTGTCAATAATATTGTCAGTGTCGGGCTGATACAGCCACCGCATGTCGTCAAAGTTGTCAACACTACTCGCATCTACCACCCTCCCCTCGCGCACGAGCGTCTCTCTGTCCGCCAGAGGTAATCGCTGAACATTGGTCTTATTTGTTGCCCAGTCAAAGACCGCATCCACACGTGCCTGACGCAGGGATTGCCAGAACGCCAGTACAGTTTTGAGCTCCAGTCTCGGCCTCGACTTGAGCAGAAGCAGCAACCTCGTCAGAGCGTACACATCCTCCAAGGCCTGGTTCACACCCTGGCCGCTGCTCGGGGGCAATGCGTGAGCGGCATCGCCCATGATCAGGACTCTGCCAGCTTTTTCCGAATACCATTTCTTCAACGGTGCCATTCGCATGAAGGGCCACAGAAAGGTTGTATCGACATGTCGACAGACAGCGTCAATGATTCCTTTTGCCGTTGAGCTCTCCCATTTGTCTCGAGTGTTTGCGTAGAAATCACGCAAAAACTCTTTGTCCTGCGCAAGCGCTTCCCACTCCTCACGGCTACGGTCTTCCATCTTGACCTGCATTGCAACCATGACTATGCTTCCTTCTCGATCTTCGGGCATCAGGACCAATGCTCCCGGCTTCCCCTGAATCGTGCATGCGCGCTCGTAGTTCTCGTACGGCCACTCGACGGAGTTCCAGGGGATATGACTCAAGACGCCTGCAATCCCCGTGTACTCGGGGCCGGGATCGTCTGGATTGACATATTTCCTCACCGAGGAGTGAATCCCGTCGGCTCCGATCAACATCCCAACTGATTCAACCCGCCCGTCGACCTTGAAACTGACACCGCCTTCGTCTTCGTTCATTACACCTTCGAACCTGGCGCCCCAACACACCCTGACGCCTCGCTCCCTCACCATGCCCAGCATCGTTTCCACCAAGATCCGCCGCCATAACCGGTGGTTCTTGTACCCGTAGAGTGCCTCGTTGGTGATGAGTGTCTTTCGGGTCGTCTCGTCACGTTCGTTCTTGTACGTGCGATACTCCGAGAGCCAGCATCTCGACGAGATCCGTGCGAGGACGCCCAGGGAGTCGAGCACGCGCAGACCGTTGGGCGTGAGGACCACGCCGGATGAGTTGGCGGGGTCGGGGGTGTCGGCGTGGCGGAAGTCGTAGACGGTGATGTTGGAAGGGTCGGAGAGGTGGTGATGCAACAGGGACAGGGTGATGGAAAGGCCTGTCAGGCCGGCGCCAATTACGGCAATCGAAGAGCTGGGCGAGGGTGACGAGGGTGAGGTGGTCATTGTTTCTTGCTCTTCGTTGGATACAGCTTGCATGGTTGAGGAAATGGCATTTCCGTCGTTGACGACAACGAAATGCGGGGCAGTGGCTGGTGCCGACTTTGTATAGTTTTCTTACAAGCTCATTCACCCTGACCTTTCTTAATGGTTCATACATGTACCGCAAATGTGACCATGACTTCTCCCTCCCGCTCCAACTCGACTGCACCCACCTCTGCTACAGGAAAAGTGACGCTCCTCGTCCTCGGAGCCGGCTGGACGTGGCAATTTCTCGAGCCGCTCCTCAAACAAAAGGCCGACATTACATATGCGGCCACCACGACCGACGGGCGTGTAGGCACGATCCCGTTCAAATTCGACCAAGATTCGGACGACCTGGAGGACGCCGTCAAGCGGCTTCCACTCGCGGACTATGTCTTGATCACCTTCCCATTGAAGGGGAAAGGGCCGTCGAGGAAGCTGGTGAGCATGTACGCAGAGACACACGGGCAACACTGTGACCGCGCGACAAGTGACACGCCCGTGATGGTTGGTCGGCAAGGCGACGATGAACGGGACGCGCAGGCAGGCAGTACCACTACGACGACGACAACGATTACAGACACGAAATGGATCCAGCTCGGCAGCACGGGGATATGGACGTCTCCAAATTTCGTCGATGGCCACTCACCCATTGACCCGTCCAATGAGCGGGGAGCCGCGGAGTACGAGCTCACCTCGCTGGGCGGATGCGTGCTGAACCTCGCGGGTTTGTATGGCGCGCAGAGGCAGCCGGGCAACTGGATCGCGCGGGTGGCAAAGACCAAGGACCAGCTCGGCGAGAAAGGTGCGTTGCACCTGATCCACGGGTCGGACGTTGCAGGTGCGGTGGTCGGGGTCATCGAGGCAGATCGCGCCGAGACCGACAAGAACGCCAGCGGCGGGCAGTCGCCGACAACAGAGAAGCTGTTCGGCAGGCGATGGATCGTCGCCGACTGCGTGTGCTACGACTGGTGGAGCGTCGTGTGGGATTTCAGCGGGGACTCGAGCGAAGACAGTGACAGAGACGAGGAAGGCGCGGAACAACAGACGAAACTCGCAGAGAGAAGAAAGTATCGACGTTGGGTCATGGAGTTGATGCAGGACAAGGGCGTCAAGGCGCTGCCAAGGCCGCTCGACGCACTGGGTAGGAAGCTGGATGCTCGCGAGTTTTGGCAGGCCGTTGGCTTTCTCCCAGAGAGGACACTGAGGAGATGATTCAGGATCACGAAGCCAGAAAGGGAATTCACGTCCACGACAGGGAGGCTCCTACCTCACAGTGGCTGTTGACGGTTGCCACGACCAGCGTCGCTCTCTGTGCGTCACTCACGGCACTCCCTGTCACAGTTGATGAAATCGAATGGGAGACACAGATAAGTACGGAGCAGCTGCATTCACTCACAGACAAGAAGACGGGGCTGACCAAGAGGTTACAAGGTCACCTGTACACCTCAGATGATCATCGACAACAGAAAGAACAACCCCAGAAAGGCACAACGAACGAGGAAGGAATGATCCACAAAAAGACCTTTGATAATCACGAGCGAATCATGCCTCGTGATGCAGGGAAAAGCCCAATTTCTATCTGCGAGCCAATTGCTGCTTGATTTCTGCTGAAGACTGTTTGCTGCCTCTCATCAAACAGGTTTCTCTCGTAGAGCTCGACAATATGGTATCCCTAGCGCTCCTTCCAGTAAGAGCAACCTTACAGAGTTCTTGGTCTGATATTCTCAGCGTACTGACACCTGGAATGGTATGTCCCAGCTCATTTCCCGACTCAGGCTGCTGTTGACCAGCTTTTCCGTGCTGCCATGCCCAGTCCACCCAAGGAAGTTAGTTGTAGCCTTCCAATGACCTTTCAATTCCATACTGCAGGAACAGAGACTCGGACATGTAGCTCAGGCAGTCCCCACAGCGATATCCCAACGTGACATTCATCACTATCTTTCCAACTCTGTGGCTCATGCGCTACCAGGTCTCCTCCAACTTCCTCTTCCTCGCGGTCGCGCTCTCTTGCTGGCGGTATACCTTGATACTATCCCCGCTTCGGAATCCGTTCTCTTCCACCGTGCCTGCGGTGCAGTCTGCCGAAAAAATGTTGGACCGATCCGGCAACCACTCCTTTGCTTCGTTTACAACGGTGCCGGTGCATCGGATGATCGCAAAGCGCAGGAGTTTTAGGCTTTCATCTATTCTTTTGGCAATCTTTTCCAACAATGTTATCATGGTATCGTCGGACCAGACACAGATCACATGTTCCTCCTCCTTAAACTGGTATTTGATCGGAACGCTGAGTTTGACGCTGACAGCGGAGCCTTTCACGATCTTCTGCTCGTACAAGCTCATAGTATCAAAGATACTACTGCCGCAGAACGAAAGCATGGAGTCGTGCAATGGAATACCATATTTCGCATGAATACTCTCTTGTAGTCGTCTTCCAGTATCGTTCCACTGCGCTCCAACACAACCCCACACTGGCCATGGAGATGCAAATTCCTGGTGAGGAAGACGGATGAGAAGGTCGTACTGCATTTCTGTTGGTCGTGCCGAGATGCGGAGAACTGAATCGACTGGACGTGGTAAAGGACGTTGAGGGTCGTAGTACGGTCCATTCAGTGGCATCTGACTACCGTCAGGTCCGTGAAGACTGTATGAGAAGGTCTCCATGTCGTTGAAACTCTCTGGTCTGAGGTCTTTGATGGCGGAAACTAAGTCACCAACATTACCGCAACTTCTCAAGTCAGGGGCGAGGATGGCAGGTTTTTCCAAGATGACAATGGTCTCCATGTGTGCTCTGTTTGTCATGATCTGAGGGTGGTGACGAGATAGGCTTTGGCGAGGTAAGGTGAAGTTGAAGGCAAGGTACTGTGAGAGGCTAGCTGTAAGAAGAGATGTCTTGGTCCGAGTCTTGATGTAGTCAGCGGTGTCTTCGTCATGATGAAGTGCCGACAGTGGACAAATGAGCCGCAAGTGAGAGCTCTTTGAGTGTGAGGATGACGGAAGATGGAAGGCGAGTGTTTGACCGTTGCCTCAGTCTTCGAACCCCCCGAGGCTCCAGCGTTGTGCATCACCAGCCAGTCCCCGTACTGACAGACGTACAGGCGCAACACTAGATCATTTGCCTGGTCTGGCTTTCCCTGTATCATTGTTTCTATGCGGCTCCGAAATCAAGCTTCTTCGCCACGCCCTTGAACTTATTCTCGTCGACAAACCCCGGGGCCGCTACTTCCGCAGCAGCCATTTTCGAAGCGCCACCGCCTTGCTTGGGAAGGTTCTCCTTGCTGGTCGGTCTAGGGTCGATCCTCCACCATTCATGTTCCAAGGATCCTCTTGCCGTCACTCTCTTTCGTGGGTCAAGTTTTAGCATTGCCATGAGGAGATCGACGCCAACCGCCCCCGCCGTTGGGAACATTTGCATGTAGAACGGCTTCTCGCGTACCGGAATTTTCTTTTCAAGGTCGAAATAGTCGCGCAACTTGGAAACTCCTGGCCAGTTCTCTTCGTTTGGTGTCCCCACAGCTTCGCAGATTTTGTCGAGCTGGGCGACTGTTCCTCCACCTGTCGCCAGCACTTCTTGATTAGCCACATCGGCTGCTGCATAGGGTCTCCGAATGAGGAGTTCCGCAAAGACCATCCCAATGCTCCACATGTCGACCGCACCACTGTATTGTCTCGCTCCAAACAGCAACTCCGGGGGACGATACCAAAGCGTGATCACCGCAGAAGTCATTTGATAGCGTGGATCACCAAAGGAACGCGCCAGACCAAAATCTGCCAGCTTCACTTCCCCATCCGCGGCAATCAGCAAGTTGTTTGGTTTGATATCTCGATGCAAGATGAAGTTGGAATGGCAATAGTAGATCGCACGACACAGCATTCCCATCCACGCCTTGACATCGGCAGCGCCGTAGCTCACCGTCTTGTCGCGGATCAGCTCTTCCAAGTTGCCGTTGGGAAAGTATTCAATGACCATATTGATATTTTGGTCTTTGGAGGAAAATACGTCTAGCAAGGCAACGATGCTTGGATGTGAGATTTCTTGGAGATATTTGATCTCGCGGATCGTGTCGACATTGAGACCCTCGCGTTGCTGCGAAGGGTCGACTTTGAACTTTTTGATGGCTACAAGCGTGTTTGGATCTGATCTCAAATGTCCTTTGTAGACAATGGCGTATGTTCCCTCGCCCAGTTTCTTTCCTATGGACCTCATCAGTAAGTTCGGGTACGGCCGGGAACGCAAATTTGATACCAACCTTTGACATACTTGTCGCTGATATCCTCGTTCATCTGCTCGGCCATATCGAAGTCTGCAGGTGGTCGGTGAGCAGGCGGACCAGGAGCTGAAGATTGAGGTTTGGATATCGATTTCCTCATTGCAAGTGACTTTGCTTTTGAAGGTGACATGTTTGCATTTATATTCGACGGCGACCGCGGCATCAAAGGCGACGGTGCGTTTGACGAGGGTGCCATCTTTGAATTGAGCGACTACGAAGTGGAGGTGAGGAACAAGCTTGGGGGGTGGCGATAGAAGGCCGGGAGCTTTGATATTTGCGATCGTTGTAGATGCTGTGAGCGCAGGCTAGGGGTCAAAGGTACAAGTGCAATTCTAGAGGAGAACATCTATTCATGTGTTCAATCCAGCTGAGCTACCCATATAAATTTGCTTGCACTGGATTTCAAGACAATCGGACGTTGTCCAAACCGAAGCCCCAAGTTGGATGAGGCTCAAATGCAAGCTTGGCATGTTGACTGTGTTTCCATCGCCTGCCGCTTTAATCGTAACCATGGATGCATACACTTATCCAGGACTCCTGAGGGTGGCCTAGACATGTTCATGACATCTGCTCTTGCTTCTTCTCCAAAGGACCTCACGCTGAAAGGGCGTTCCACAGTTTTCGAAAGAACAGGAAAGACCCAATACTCTGCGCGTGGCAGCAGGTGTTGTACACCTTGTGAACCCAACCAGTCAGACGCAGGACAATAGACTCCGAACAAGTGTCTTTGCAACAGCAAACTTCCACGTTTGAACATTTACGTCCGGTTGCACTTGTAAAGTATTCCCTAAGATCGACCTACAGGAGAGAGAGAGCGTTTTCAACTTCTGTCGCTGGGAGAAGGTATGCTCCGTGGTTCCTTCGGTCTGGCCAAGCAAGTTGAGTGAACAAGGCAGCGCATCCCCTGTTCCTGATCTGGAAAAGTCTCCCTGCGGCAACTTTTCGTCTGCGGTCTGCGGCCAACACATCTCAATCCGTAAACTTCCAATAATAATTCTTGTCTATCTTCGACCGCAACCACGGAACGCTGCAAGCTGGAATCGTCTCGGTCTTGATCTTACAAGTACAGCTGCCTGCAGATGAGGTTTCCTGAGAAATAACGCCTTCGACCATGATCACGCGACAACCCCATGGAGCAATTTCGCTCTTTGCTTCTTCCCTCCTCCGACCGTCTACATCTCTATCAAAATCTATAATACCTCAATCCCACATCTGCGCACCATGTCGACGACAATTACACCGCGGCTTGCCCGCTGGCGGCTACATTCCTGCTCCCACACCGTTCGTCCCCGACGTGCCCACCTTCCTCAAACTCATTGGGCGGGAACTCTCCAAACACGCCAGCAAAATTGAGTCCTGGGAGGAACTCTTCACCTTGACCTCAAATCAGATGAAAACACGCGGCATCGATCCCCCGCGAACACGGAGGTATCTACTCCGTTGGCGAGAGAAGTTTCGGAAAGGGGAGTTTGGGATTGGAGGTGACTTTCAGCATGTAAAGGATGGCGTCGCAGAGCTAAGGGTCGTTGAAGTACCCAGTCTGAAAAAAGATCCCGTAACAGGAGGACCTGTATCGGGCCCAGCCACGACCGGAAGGAGCCCTGGAATGCAGAAGCTGATCGTCAATGTGCCCAATGGTTCCGCCACGTATCAATTGGCTCCAGGACAGACGACCGCGGACCTGAAAAAACCGCATGGCTTTACGTTGAAAAACGGGTACATCATCAAGGGCAAGCAGGCACATCCCATTGCAGGCACGCACGGCAGTGGTGTCACAGTCAAGGCGGTCGAAGGGCTATGGGAGCATAAGCGAGGGAGAAAGGTCTATGGCGGTGAGAGGAGACGGGCGGAAACCCTGCATAAGATGAGAGTGGAGGAGAACAAGAAGAACGCGAGATAGACGAGGGAGATGTTGCGGGTCATGGAAAAGTCCAAATGGAGCCTCATCGAAAGGTCCCGTATTTGGACGTCGTATGTACGATAATTGTCGCTTGTATCATACGCAGCTGGTCCGGCTGCCTCGTCCTTGGCAGAATTACGGAGTGCAAGTGTTCTAGTCACCAGGTGTCGACTTTGACTGAGCTACAGGAAGGAAGCTTGAGATCGTCGGGCAAGTTCAAATGCTCTGTAACAGATCTGATATAGACAGTAGCCACGTTATGGAAGTCAAGGAGGAGAAGGGGCGAGGTACGAGTAAGGACTTGCTTGAAGCTTCGATCTAGACTGAAATGGAAGGCAGAACCGCCGCCCTCGAGGAACTACTGAGTACTCCGTAGGTACATAATACTCCGTACATATGCTGCTTCTCGTCCGGGGCTCTAAAAATGCGGGTGCAGTCGGCATGAACGAGCATGGTGTCCTGCAAATCCAACTTCTCGTCCATTGGACGTTTGAGCCCTTGAAGCCATGCATCACCCCCTCCGCGCATAGCAGGCGAGGACTTCCGGTTGTCCATGCTTGAACCATGCTCACAGCCTCAGCTCCCAGCAGTGTGAAATCTCGGGAGTTTCAGTTGTGTCTTAGCCGAGTCCGCGATGTCCATTTCCATCTGATCCGAAGAGGAAGTCCTTGTTGACTCTGCATATACGGAGTATAGGCATGCATTGTCAAACATTTGGGCATGCATGGTGGCTTTATTTGCGCCCCAAAGGTCAAAACTCTGGCACAGGACAGGATTTCAGCTACCATCACACTAGCTGAATCCCAAGGGCCAAGGAAGGAAAAATCTCCGACGGCTTCCACGCCTTGTACACGTTGAATTCTACCTGTCAAAGGACTAGTCATCCCTCTGGATGTACCAGTGAACTTTTTTGCGGATGACAAGAAAGAACTGGACATGCAGTGCACAGTGCTGATTTTATTCATCCCGGTTGGGAATGGCTAAGAAGTGATCAGCATGTTTGATACACAGCTAGAAAATCCGGTTCCAGGAGAGCGGGTTCACAGGACAGGATTAGGAAGATCATTTGCTGATCATTGCCACTTTTCTACGAGGTTCTCCCTCGCTAGTGGATCTAGAATGGGCGTGAACGGGCCACCTCAAAGTCCGGCATGTCTCCAGATCATCATCACATACTCCGTATGCAAAGCTGGGTTGTCAACTGCAGACACCTTGTGGTATGGTTGGATCGCTGTTAGGAGTGGCTTTTGAGTTGGAGATAGTGCGAACGCAGTTGTGGTTGCAACGGAAAAGGCGTCTTAGACTATCTTTCTCACACCAGGTGGTCAGTTGCCTGAAAGAGCAGGACACCATCCTCTCACTGACCCTTTGAGGGAAGCAGGTTGGTTGCACGTTGCTGATGGATCAACTCGCCCAAAGCTGTCTCATGGACCGAAATGAAGATGTTCTCGCTTGGTGGGAGCTCAACAACGATCCGACTCTGTTACTGCAGGTGAGCACGACCAGCTTTGCCAAGCAAATTGATCCAGGGGTAAACGGCCGGGGAAGCATTTGAGAAAGCCACAGTCGAGATTGGCGTCAACAAGGGTGGGGGGCTTTGGTGCCTTAGTGCGGTGATGTTTGTGCAAATTTCTCTGCTCCTCAGAGCTTGGGACACACAGAATGTCATCACCCCAGCTCTTATCAGCTCGTGAGGCTTTGTGTGTCGAACTCTTTTGTCTATCTAGCAAGTTTCAGAGTCAGGCAAAAAACCCGTTGGTCGGGGGGTGGCCAAAACATGATTCGGCGTGCCGGAACCCGTTGTTTGCCCCTCCCAAGAGTCCAAGGCGTGTTATGCGTGGCGTCTATTCGGCTAACCTTGAGGTTACTTGTGCAGGAAGTTCAGGAGAGCAGCCGAGTCCGTGAAAAGGCAAGGAGAAATTTGAGGGCAGAGAGGCGCGCAGGGCGCTCTATTGGCGGCTGTGTCAGGTGTGGTTGTGGCAGGTATTACAACTTGACAGTTTGAAGTAACTCTGCATGAACACAACAGCTTGTGGCCTGAGAACGGCTTGTGATGATCACAACAGTGGCAGATGAATTCAGGTGATAAAACGTGCCAGAGACCAATAAAATAGCAGAAGTCATAATAATGCTGACCCTTGAAGGAAAGTGGTTGCAAAGGTCAAGTTCCCGCAGCCAAACCAGCACTGTTCTCACAGGGTGGGACGGAGAGAGAAGGGAATGGCTCGTGACAACGGCCCAAGTCGTTGGCCCAATGATGGGGCGGGCAGGGGATAGTGCAATTTGACAGGCTGTTTGGCTGGGCTAGGCTTCGGTGCCTTAGTCGCATGCCGGGTGAGTGAATTGAGGGCGTGGTCCCCCACCAGGAAGGCTTTCGCAGGCTTATTGGAGACGGCCATCCGATAGATGGGTCCTTTTTAGCTGCAGCTTGGGCTTGCTGTAGGCGCAAGGTGCCCTGTTCCTGTCTGTTAGCGGTGCCCTGCAGGCATCAACGCGCAGCTAAGACATGCACCTTACCAACACGCTTGGACCTTTACATGCTAGTCGGATAATCCCCTTTGAGAAGGCCGACGAAGGCTTAAGCAGCTTTTTCCAGGGCAGAAACCTTAGCATCAACGCCGGCACGGCCCTCGTCAAAGGGAAAACCGTCCTTGCTCTCTTAGTGGTTTGAAGGAGCAACCACACCCCCCCCAGAAAACATCCCTCTTGCGCCTTGTCCCTCGTCGCCCGTCTTTTCTGTCAATTTGGTCAACATCACACTCCTTGTTGACCACCTCTCTGCGGCCGCTGTGTCCAATTGCGTCCAGAAGACACTCCAAGACCTGCCCTCTCGATGCCACATGCACATCACTGAGGTCGCATGCTCCGGAGCAACCACTGAACGCCGTGGACATTGTCCCATGCGGACAGGTTTTTCCACCTCCATTTCCCTCGCTCAAAAGCTGCGACACCCTCGGTTTCACCGCCTCAGAAACCAGAGAACAGTGCAGTATACGGGCTTCTGTTTCTTGGATATCCAGCAACACGCGCAAGATTGTGGGAATACCAGTCTTGATTGGATTTGTGGTCGACGGGTTGCGGACAAGCAAAATCACACAAAGTACAACACCCACCGAGAAGAGACGCTCCAGCAGATCGATAAACCCCGCATGAGCTGGCTCTAGCTGTCTGAATATCTACCAATCGTCCCACTCTGCTGGTAGACATGTCTCTACCCGTGCTCTCACGGCCTCTAGCCGACCCGCCGACGGGTGCGCTCCCTCCCATTCCCACCGGCAAACCTCCAAGGAAGAGTTTACCCCAGACTCCATCTAGACTGAAAGCTCCCTCGAGGACTTCAGCAATACCAACACCGCAGGCTGTGCAATCGGCCACGGAATCCTCACCCGAAAAACCCTCGGGAATACCTGCAAAGGCTGTACGAAAAACTGTCAGCATTGGTTCTTTTCCACAACCGCCAAATGCTGGCTCGCGTCCGCCTACTTCGGCCTCAATGGCCTCGATCACGTCAACGAAAAAGAGGGTCTCTGACGGCGGACACAGTACGCCAAATGCCTCGGTCAGATCCAAGAAATCTCCCAGAACTAGCGTCGCAGCGAGCTTTCGTTCATCTCAAACTCCCAGTCTCTTGAACTCGGCCGGTGATGGAATGACCATTTCGGCCAAGTTTGGAAAGAGAACATCAGACGCACAATCGAGCGTCCATTCTCCACCTCAAAGTCGAAGCTCATCGGCCAATGGATCTTACTCAACTAGCGCCACGACGATCGAAGAAGGCGAGGAGGACAGTCGAGGTCGGACGAAAGAACTGGATGAAGGCCTGGCTGAATCGAAACGAAATTCAAAGGGGAAAGAGGTCAAAGGCAACGTCATTGTCAGCGTCCGTGTCCGCCCCGACGCAGGGGCACAAAACAATGCTCAAACCGAAGGAGAGTGGATGGTGGACGGCCGAAGAGGTCTGGTTGCGTACCGCGGAAAAGAAGGCGGGGATTATCATCTCGATAACGTTTTCACCACACACGACGATAACGCCAAAGTCTACGATGCCGCAGCCAAACGGCTGGTACGTCGAGTCATGGAAGGTTATCATGGGACCGTGTTTGCGTACGGCATGACAGGGACCGGCAAGACATTTTCAATGCAGGGAACTATGAGCAGCCCTGGTGTGATTCCACTGGCAATCACCGATATCTTTTCCTACATCAGAGAGACGCCACACCGCGAATTCCTCCTGCGAGTCAGCTACCTCGAGATCTACAACGAGAAAATTCACGACTTGTTGGCCGTGCCCGTTGGCGGAGGTGTCGCCCAGCAACAAGAAGAAATCAAGCTGCGTGAAGACAGCAAACGCGGTGTATACGCCACGCCTTTGAAGGAAGAGATTGTACAGAGCCCAACCCAGCTGCTGCGGGTGATCCATCGAGGTGACACTGCTCGTCGTACTGGAAGCACCCAATTCAATGCGCGAAGTTCTCGAAGTCACGCAGTGGTCCAGATTGTGGTTGAGAGCCGAGAGCGAATACCAGGATCAGGTTCCTTGCAGGAAAATGGGAAACGTGTAGCCATGTTGCCCGGTGGTGTTCGAGTCTCGACGCTGAGCTTGATCGATCTTGCAGGGTCAGAGCGAGCGGCTGAGGACAAGGAACGCCGTGCCGAGGGAGCCCACATCAACAAGTCTCTGTTAACCTTGGGGACGGTCATCGCCAAACTGTCAGGCAATCGCGACAAGAACGGCAATCCCACAGACAAGGACGGAAAGCACCTGCCATACCGAGACAGCAAGCTCACCCGGTTGCTCCAGCCCGCACTCTCCGGGAATTCGCTGGTCTCGATTCTGTGCACCATCCAAATTGGAGCTGGGTTGACAACCGCGGGCAGCAACCACACGGGCGAAACGCTAAACACCCTGAAATTCGCCGCTCGTGCAAAGAACAATATTGTCAGCCATGCTAAGCGAGCCGCGGAGGAGCTGGGCAGCGTCAATGCAGGTCTCTTGGAACGATATCGAGCTGAAATAGCAAACCTCCGATCTCAGCTGGAGGGACAGCAAAAGTCTGCCGCGGAGAAGGAAGAGCGGCAGCTAGAGAAAGAAGCCGAGCAACGCCACGAGGAACAGATGCTGGAGATGCAGTTGGCCCGCACGGCCCTCAAGGAGCGAATCGAGCATCTGAACCGTCTGATTCTGTGTTCCAAGTCGACTGGCGTTAATAGCGGCACAGTCTCGGCCTTGGGTATGCACTCGCGGCTCTCTGGAGGGACGGAATATGCGGGTTCACGGTCGGTGCGGTCGTCAGCCAGCCAATCGACTCTGGGCGTAGCACCAAGTCTCGGTCGACATCCGTCGGTGGCTTCCCTGGGAGGGGTGGCCTCGGCTTCCGGGCATCTTTCGTTTTCGGCGGTCCCAGACGAGGACGAAGAGGGCAGCACCGACTTTGGCGAGGGGAGAGCGTCCTTGCAGGCTCAGGTACGCGCTCTGCAGGCCGATCTGCAGGACAAGACACGGTACATTTCGACTCTGGAGAAGAGACTGCTGCAGGCCCGCCGCTCCAGCCACTCCCGAGTATCGATGGCGTTTAACAAACCCGCGGGCGACGATGGCGAAATACAAAGACGATTGGACGAAAAGGACGCAATGATCGCGGACCTGCAGAAGACTGTTGCCGCCCTTCGATCTGCGGTGCGGAAGCGCGAGGTAGCCGAGCTGACGCCCGAGACATCCTCTTCCGAGTTCAAGCAGAACCGTGCACAAGCAGGACACCAGAGCACCAGTAGCAACAGTAGCTCTCAGCTCAGCGTCTCCACCCAGCCGGTGTTGTCCAGTGGACCACGATCGCCACTGACGACCAGTCCCATGACCATTCTTTCCCCTCAAAAAGCCATGGACAAGAAGCGCAAGACGGTGGACGAAATGTCGCGGATGCTGGACGAAATGATCCAGGACAAGGTCGAGAGTGGCCAGCTGAACCGGCGGTCATCATCGGTGCGGGTTCCCGACCGAGGCTCGTCTTCGGCGCGCCGCCATTCACGACGACTCTCGATGACGGGTAGCAACGGTGCTACAGTGGGAAGTATGGTAGCATCGCTGAGAGAGGAAAACTCGGTTGAAGAAGTCAAGGACCCGAGTTGAAGCGAAGTTTGTTTTTATTATCACGATTGATGACACGACTGCTGTACTTTTTCCTTCTTTGTTTTCGGGCGCAATTCCCCTGACAGGACAATGGCGGCGAGCATGAAAAGGAGTTGAGACCGCCCAACAGGACGAGATCCACGGAGCATGATTGATTTTAATATGGGCGACGCGGCTGTTTGACCACCTATTTTCTGGGCTTTTTGTTTCTCCAGCACGCTACATTTCTTTGGAGCTTTGACAGCAATTCTGTTCCTTGAGCGGGACATTGTGGGATTTACTATGTTTAACAGAGAGCCGGTGGGGAAAAAAGGATATCCTCAAGGAAGCAATTCCAGGCCAAAAGATGCATCCATGCTACAGGACAGACAGATACAGATACCCCCCTTTTCATAGAAGTTGTTATAGGTACAAACTGGTGTATTTTTGAGGGCGGATGACGACGAGGCTGGCAACTGGCGAGTCGTGTCCATTCCACGTGTGTGTGTACGTACTTAGCCGAAACTCTGGAGATTCGCTCCTTCCGACTGGTGAGGCTCAGTCTGGGGCAAATCCAAGCACTTTTGTGTCACTGGGCCACCCGGTGTTTCAGATTCTGCACCAACAGCCAGCGTCAAGACTTGGGTCCCTTGTATTCAGCTTCGCTCTTTCCTTTTCAACTCTTCTCTCTCCTTGTCGTTGCTTTCAACTTTGATATTATCCGCATCACCCGCCGGGAGGGACTGCGGCTCGTCGGCGCCCATCAGTGCCACCACGGGTTCATTCATTCAATTGGGGCCACAACAGCGCACGATACTCTAGCTGCTGTGCAGGTGGGAAGGGATCAGCGTTGTCCCGTCGTCTTATTCTTTGTTTCTTATTTTTGTCTTTCTCTTTGTGTTTTTTCTCCCAGCCAACTAACGGCAGCCACCCTTGCTTTTTTGTCTTTGTTTGCAGGACATACCGCTGGGCGTTGTTCGTCACACATTTTTTTGTCGTTCCATGTCCATCTAGACACATAGACTTGTACCGAGCATAGCGTTGGAATTTTTGGCGTCCCATTACATGTTATCTGAGGTATATCGCTCAGCACACTCACTCTCGGCCTGCACCAATGCTTGAATGAGGACTCCATCACCCGCACCAAGTCATGCCGAACAGCAGCAACGCAAGAAGAAGATGCTCCTGTCCAGCCGTGCCAGTCCCCCGAAACCCCTGCGGGTTGGTCCTCCAGGCCAATATCTCTCCATCAGACATTTCCTCCCTTCCACCCCGATCCCTTCGCCGTCTCTGCCGTCCATCCTCCCCCGGCACGGCAAGAAACCGCCCAAGCTCAACTCACGCAAGATCGTCCGCAGCCTCTTCTGTCTTGCCTTGATTATTGGGGTCTACTATCTCTTCTCTTTCGGCCGAAGGAAGTCCCACCAGCTCGCCAGGCTGACCTTTCTGACCTCGCTGGGCAAGGTCTATGAAATCGTTGAAGCCTCGGAGCTGCCCGACTATCCAACCCCGCTGGCACTGACTGATGCAAAGGGGAAGCACCACTGGACAATATCCATCCCGCAAAACCTACCCTTCCCTCTGCCCTACACGGATTATGCCGACATCTGCTCGCAAGTTGATGAGGTAGCCCAGCACGTCGCCGGCCCACGCCAGAAATCGCAGGCAAACGACTACTACCGGGATGATCCCAACTTCATCGACGTTCAAGAGGCGCAGGAACAGCATTTCCTCCCCGCTGAAGGCCACCCGCCACCTCACAAGAACGAAAACAGTCTTCCCGTCTGCGAGAAGTCTCTGACATACGTCCTCGATGCCGCCGATGCAGGCCTCGGGTCGACCCTTCTAGGCTTGTGGCTATCGTACGGGCTCGCTCGCCGCGAAGGTCGCGCCTTCTTCATCGACGACACCCATTTCCCCTACGGCAAGTACAGCACGTTCTTCGCCTCGAAGCCCTCCCCATCTTGCCGCTTACCGAGCCCTTCGCAGCGGGTGCCATGTCCACACCAGGCAAAGCATCTAGTTGTGTCCGCTGCCACGACAAGCTGGATTTTTGGGCAGTCTTTCCACGATCACTTTTCTCAAAGGGAGATCTTTGACATGGCAAGGGATGGGTATGAGGCCCTCTTTGAACTTCGGCCGCAAGATGAACAATACATTCTCAACCGCATCGAAAAAATCCGAAAGGATGTCGATCCGACCACCGTCGCCGCGTCGGACCTAGAAGAGTATGACGAGATATATGATATACCACCGGAGAACGGTCTGGTGGGGATTCACATTCGGCGCGGCGATCGGCACCCTTTCAGCCTCGCGTACTCGCAAAATTATCTTCCCCCAGAAATGTACATGGCTACCGCTATGAAGCTCGTGGGTCAATCTTCCCAGTGGAAATTCCTGGTGGCCTCGGACGACGCAGATATGTACGACCACATCGACCTGCCCAACACCTTGAGGGCACAGGAACGGATTTCCCTCGCCTCGAAGAAGAAGTTGGCCAGCATGGGCCAAGGCGGTGGCTTAGGTTGGGAAGGCGGGTTTTTCAAAGATGTCTTCTGGGGCTTGGGCTTGCCAGAGGACGTGAAGGAGCGGAAAAAATGGGGTAGCCCCATGCCCATGAAGGCCAAGCACAGGTTTGGCGAGAAAGACGACGACGGCAGGGAGAAGCGAGTCCATCATCACGACGCCAAGCATTCGAGCGGGCCACGGAGAGATGGAGCTGATGATGTGGTCAATGCCGGTACGCTGGTAGAGCGTGATTATCGGACACATCCGACCACAGAAGCCCTTCAGCTGAGGGAACTCCTCGGCCGAGCATACTTGTTGGACTTGGCCGTATTGGCCCAAAGTGACAAGGTGGTTTGTGGTGTGTCGGCCAACGCGTGTCGGATCTTGGCTGTCATGCTGGGATGGGAAAGAAGTTTTGAAAGGAAAGACTGGCACAATGTGGACGGTAGTTATCAGTGGCGGGTCCTGGACTATTGACTTGGATGTCCTGGTAGAATGTGATTGTGAATCTCCAGAGATCCAGTGACGTCGTTCCGACATTTATGAAGTGACATGAATTTATGTCAGACTGTAGGAGTCAATGCGGGGTTAGAGAAGCCACGACCAACGTGTTTCTTGGCGTGTTCCGTATTCGAGCATACGAACTACGAGGTCATTACTTCATACTGGGTAAAGTCTAGTAATTACAATTGCCTCGGTCATGCCCTCGCTTCGCTGCATCGTCGCTTCCTCGTGTTCCACTGATGCAAGACACAAGCCACGCGACTTGACACCAAACTGCAAACTGCAGTTACGTCCGCGATCGCCAATGCACGCTCCGTCTCGACTCGAATTCAAGAGTTATGCTGATTAGGTCCTTTTCATATAATGGACGACACCCCCTGAACAAGTCTACAGCACCCATGGCGCAGAGACCTTGCCACCCTTCACCCACACCGCAATAAGTCGTCCGCTCGTCCGCTGCCACGCTGCCACGCTGCCACGCTGTCTTGTCGTCATGGCCCTCGCTCGTAAGTGTGTCGCTGATCAACCTGGAACATCCCAAGACCATGGAAATCTGACCGTCACAATTCAATCTCAGTGCCAGCATCTACCGCCGCCCTTGTCGCACCGACTGCTTTGGCCGGACTAGCTTACCTCAATGCTCGCTGGCGAGTCTCGGTCGACTTGGAGCTCATCCTGAGTCTAGTTGCTTCTCAGCGAGCCTTTGCGAAAAGAGAGGCCGCGGATCGTGTCAGTTCCTTCTACCTCCTCGAGGAGCATGCGCATAAACCAAAGGTTGCGGACAAGGTCTTTATCATCTACCAGGGAAAGAGATGGACCTTCAAACAGACATACGACATGGTGCTACGCTATGCGGGATACCTGCACACCACTCATTCCATCCTGCCAGGGGAGATCGTTGCCCTGGACTTTATGAACTCCCCTCAATTCCTCTTCCTGACCATGGCTTTGTGGTCTTTGGGCGCCATACCGGCCTTTATCAACTACAACCTGACCTCCGCCTCGTTTGTACACAGCGTCAAAACATCCTCTGCAAGACTTTTGATTGTTGATCCTGAGGTCGCCCCCAAGGTCCTGACCGAGGAGGCAAAAACCAGCTTCTCCGCCCCCAATTTTCGCAACAACTCTTTCCCTCTGGAGGTGGTGGTTTTGACATCCGGCCTTCAATCGTCGCTGGAGTACTTTCCTCCCCATCGTGCACCCGACACTGCTCGGTCTGGCGTGGTCGGTCGTGGCCCATGTGCCCTGATTTCGACGTCGGGAACGACTGGCCTCCCAAAGGCTGCAATCGTGTCGTGGGAGCGCACCGCCGTGGGCTCCGGTCTCGTTGCACGTTGGCTAAATCTTCATCCCGTCACATCATCTAACCCGGACAGGTACTACACTTCCATGCCGCTGTATCACGCGTCCGCCTTTCAATTAGGCTTCCACTGCTGTCTCATCCGAGCGTGTACATTGGTGATAGGTCGGAAATTCTCTGCTTCAAACTTTTGGGACGAGGTGGCTGCGGCTGACGCCACGGCAATACAATATGTCGGAGAAACCCTGCGGTACCTCCTTGCCGTGCCACCCAAGCCAGATGACCGCACAAAACACAGAGTGCGTCTCGCGTTCGGTAACGGCCTTCGGCCAGATGTATGGGACAAGTTCCGTGCACGGTTCGGCATTGAGACAGTGGCCGAGTTCTACGGCGCCACTGAATCTGCAGGAGCGAGCTTCAATCTTTCACGCAACACTTTCTCGTCGGGCGCCATCGGCCAAGCTGGTCTCCTGGGCAATCTGCTCATGAAGTTGAGGCAGACCATTGTAAAAGTGGACTGGGAAACAGAAGCACCTTACCGAGACCCAAAGACAGGGCTTTGCATTCCCGTACCTCGGGATGAACCAGGCGAACTCCTCTACAAGGTCGACGCGGCAGACATTGGTGCCAAGTACCAGGGGTATTTTGGCAACAAGAAGGCCAGTGACACGAAGATCTTGAGAGACGTGCTGAAGAAGGGAGATGCTTGGTTCCGTTCGGGAGACGTGATCAAACTCGACAAAGAGGGACGCACCTGGTTTATGGACCGAATAGGCGATACATTCCGCTGGCGTAGTGAGAATGTATCAACCGCCGAAGTCGCCCAAGTCCTAGGTGAACACCCACATGTTCTTGAAGCCAATGTTTACGGGGTGGAAATTCCGCATCATGAGGGCCGTGCCGGGTGTGCAGCCGTCTTGCTCAGAGACGTTGACTCCAACACGACACCCATCCCGGACGCACTCCTCGAAAGCCTGGCCACCTACGCGAGGAACAGCTTGCCCAAATATGCGGTACCCGTGTTCCTTCGAGTAGTGACACAGGTCATGGCGACGGGGAACAATAAACAGCAAAAACATGTGCTCAGACAGGAAGGCGTAGATCCTGACAAAGTCGGCCACAACAGGGTGTTCTTTTTGAGGCCCGACAGTCAGAGATATGAACCTTTTGGAAGAAAAGAATGGGAAAATGTCAAGGGTGGCAAGGTGAAATTGTGACGCGATCAAAGGGGTAGTAAGAACCAGCATTGCAGAGAACTCACCTCGTCCAGAGACGCTTCCCGGTTCGCCTTGTTGATTTACATGGGTGGCAAGCTTGAGAGCGCTTTATAAGACCATGATACCCTCCCTAGATATACTCGGGCGTACAGAGGAATGACCTACCAACCCGCACAGGCTCACGCTGTTTCATGACCTAGTCCTAAAGCTCTTTCTAAAGCAGATCTGACGTTGACTTTGGCGTAGCACGGTGGAATCGAACGAGGTACGAAAACTGCGAAAGCATTTCCAACCAAAAAATTGCATTGACAAGAGACCAAAAACTCTCGGGTGGTGCGCGGCGCAAAGCACAGTTGGATCTGCGCCTTTTGCGTCGCGTCGCATCGCGTGTGTGTATATATCGATCATATCATATCCTGAAACATTTGACGTTGATAGACTTTGCAAACATCGTGCCCCTTGTCGTGCCATTGTCCGCCCATCCTTTTCGCTTTCCCACGTACGTAGCACGGAATGAGAAACAAAAAAGAACAAAGGAAATGTAAAAGGACGCTTCCTTCCCTGTCTCCCTCGCATGATCCGTCGCCAACAGCAATCGTGAGTCTGGGACTGTGGACTGTGGACTGACTCATCGATTCTATGATGGCCATGTATATCTTCTCGTGACATCGTTTCCCTTTTCTTTGTTCGTCATTGGCACTGCTCACAACTCCTCGGTGAACCTGCTGCCCTCCCGGGTCTTCTCCTCGCTCTTTTTCGGACCTGCAACATCCACGAGTCTCGCGGCCCCGCTGTCGACCTTTGACGCACTCATTAGGCGACCTTCGTCGAAAGTGTCCCTGGCCTCTTCAAAGTCCTCGTCGTCATCCCCGTTGGTCTGTGCGTGCGTCAGTGCAGGTGTCGTGGTGCCTGTCACAGTGGTGTTTCCTGTTGCTTCAGTGGATGTGGTCGAGGGCTCCTGCACCTTTTCTCGCAGGGGTTCCGTTTCAGAGAGGATATGCTCGTCTGGGTTGGCGTGGGTTTCGCCTGCTTCGTGCGTCTCGGCGGGTTCAGTCCGGCCGTATGGTTGTTGTGGCTCGGCTATGGAGAAGTCTGTGGTAGCTGTGGTTGGATTTGGCGCCGAAGCTTGGCCTATTGTTGCGCTCTCAAAGGCTCCGGGCTTTTGCTTCTCCTTCTCCTTGTCTCTTCCAGGGATGACCTTTTTCAAAAATCTCTCCCGGAAGCCTTTCCTGCCGCGAGGTTCTTCATCTTCGTCCGTCAATGTGGCCAGTTGATCGAACCCCGAGTCTCGTTTCGAGCCAGCGTGTTCCGTCGAGTACTTGGAGGAAGCCACATCAGCAGCAATCACGTATGGCTCTTCGCTTAGTGACGACGTGTCTGATGGAGGACTGATGTCTCTTTCGTTCCCACCCACGGGGTTCACAGCCGCACCGAGCCCGATGCTCTCGTCAGGAATGGGAGAGATTCTTCCATATGGCTTGACAGATCCGCCATACATGTCGTCCGTCTCGTTGTCGCTCCGGCCTGCGAGTGCAACATCTCGAATCGAATCTGTGGCGGCCGGGTCTTCTTCCTTGATCGGCCCACCTGTTTGACCAACTGTGTCAATGTGCTCTTTTGGCTCTTCGTCTGCGTGCAGCGTCTGCTCTGGAAGATCATTCTCTGCTTTACTTCCTGCTCTGAATCTCCTGAACCAGGTCTTCACCCGGGAATCTCTCTTGGAGGGCGACGTCGGTGAAGTCGAGAAGCCGGGGGACGTCGGGGACGTGGGCTCCTGCGGCGGGGTGATACTAGAATATGGAGTTGTACCAATATTGTCCTTTGGTCCGATCTCTTCGTCTGCTGGCTGACTGATTCTCGACTCTTCCACCGGTGGTTCAGCGGTCTCCAGGTCTGCAGCAGCCACCGCATGAGCTGCTTCATTGGGGTCCAAGGTGACTTGGTCATGTACAGTTTCGCCGACGAGCTCGCCGCCTTCACCCGTCATGGTCGCTGGAAGAGCACTCGTTCCCGTGACCGCTCTTGCTCCTCCTTCGACAACATCGGCGGCGCCTTCTACAGCCGTAGCTGTGGCCGCACCTGCTGCACCTCCAGCGGCGACTGCTCCCCTTCCGAGGAAGCTTGGGAGGAATCGAGTTTTGGCAGGTTCGGTGAGCTTCTTTTCTTTCTTCTCAGTGGCCTTTTGTTCCGTGCGCAGCCGCCTCTCCTCATGTTTCTGCTCTTGCTGAATTCGTCTCTCCTCGGCCTTTTGTGCCTTTTGTTCGGCCTTTTCACGATCTGAAAAGAGTTAGTAAGTGGTTTAAGAAAGTACAACGGCAAACTCACCAACGACAGCTTTCTGTTCTGCCTTGATTTCTGCCTGCCGTCTCTTTTCGGCTTCCTGCTCGGCCTTGAGCCTCTCTTGCTCCAGTCTGAGTTCCTCGTCTCTGGCCCTTTGTTGCTCGGCTTTCTCGGTAATCTCGTCGAGGGTTGGCTGCAGTCGAGCCTTCGCAATTGCGTCGATCTCTGATTGCTCCAGGTACTTGCCACCTCCTATATGAACTTTTCCCACATGAAGCAGCCTCTCGTCACTTTCGCGTTGTGCTCTTTCCCGTGCTTGACGCTCCCACAGCTCACGCTGTTGTGGACTGGTTTTGCCGGTTTCGGAAAAGACCTTTTCGTCTATTGCATTCATGCGCGCCGTCACGTTCTTGTGTGCCACTGCGAGTAATGCGTCTCGATCGGCTTGTCGCTTCTTGCTGTCAACCTCGGCGAGCTTGCCCTGAAACAAGGACATTTGAGCCCGGATCTTGCGTGACTCTTCCAAGTCAGAGTCAGAGTCATCCTCTCGTATGTCAGACGTCCGCCGGCCACGCCGTAACGTGAGCCGCGACCTAGGTGGCGCAGTTTGTTGTCCGTAGTACTGTCGGTATTCGGCGTGCTCATCGTGTAGCTTGGCGAGTCGCTCTTGGGCCAATTTGCGGGCTGCCTCTTCTAGATTCTCATAGCGTGGCAGGTCATCAGTGGTTGTTGGTTGTTTTGCGGCGTCTGACTGTGCTCGTCGCCGTGCGGTGTAGGCGGCGTAGTGACTTTGTGAACGGTGGATTCCCCTTGCCTCGTCAATCTGCGCCTGCTGAATGGCGAACATTTTCCTCGCCATGGCAACCGCGGACGCGCGCAGCATCTCCTGCCTTCTCCTTTCTTCCACTTCTATTGCGACCGGTGGGTTGGACGTGTACATCTGTCTAGAGACGTTGTTCCTGGCCATATATTGGACCCGAGCAGCATCTGCGCTCGACAGTTCACTCGTCGATGGTGGGCTCGGTGATGAGGGGGGTTTCACATTTTGAGATGATGTCGCAGCCTTGATGGCCCAGGCAGAGTGTGCTGGTGTCGGCGCTGGTCGTGTCGGGGCGGATTCTGCGCGCCGTCTGCCACCGGACAAGGATGCTGTGGCGGCCAAGAGTGCCTTTTGTCGCCCATCACTCGAAACATTCCTCTCTGTGATCGGTGGGGGAGACTTTGGGTTCTGCAAGGCCGAGGACGCTGCCGAATGACCCTGCTCTGTTTCCGGAGCTCTCCAGATATCCACTGGTGCAGCGTCCCGATGAGCAGCCAGTGCCGCCTGGGAGCCCGCCCGACTCAGCTCCGGCTTCCACAGAGGCTCCATCTCATAGTCTTTTGCTCTATAGGCAGCGGTGTTTGCGTGAGGGATGGCGCCGGGGGTCCAAACTTGGATGGGTTTCTTGTTGGATTCCGCGAGGCTTGCGGCAGCGCCAGCGGATGCGAGTTTGACGCCGCCAGTTGAAGGAAATGAGGGAAGGTCTTCAGCTCGCGCGTACTTTAGAGAAAGTGCAGCACCTGGGGCGGCAGTTAGTTTTGTGAACTGGATGCGAGGGGGTGGTTTGGGGATGGATATCAAGGGCGGGGTTGACGCACTGGCAGCAGATAGCCGACCTTCCTGGTCGAGGATCGAAGAGGTGCTGTTCTTGGTGGTCGGAGTGTCTCGAGCGACAGACAACGCCGCAGAGGCAGCTGTAGCATGTCAGTTTGCCATGAAGCAAGAGGGAAAATGGTTGACTGACCTTGATCTTCGAGCTTGTCCGAGGGGGTGAAGCTGCTCTGATGGGGATGGGAATGGGCATGGGCATGGGCAACGCTGGCCGACATGCTTGGCCCTGGTTGCTTCTCGGGTAATTGATAGGTGGTGGTGGAAGCAGGCGGGCGGGTTGCGCAAGCAACAACACAGTCAAAAATCTACCACGGCATGGAGACTGGCGGTTCTCTGAGTGCCAAAAACGAGAGACAGAGGGAGGTGATGGTACAGTAGAAGGAGCTCTACTTGCATTTCAGATCAGCAGAAGGGGAATAAAACCAAAAGAGCTGCAGAAGGCCAGTGGCGTGCCGCTCGCTCATCAAAAGGTCCCCAAGATTGCTTGGGAGGAGGAACCCTGGACCATCCCTACGGCAGTGCACCATGGGCCGTCCACCGTCCGCAGTCCCCCATCCACCACCATCCACCACCACCCACCACCGTCATGACCAAGACCTGCACTTGTCTATGTCATCCCAAGTGTCCCTATTACCACCTACGTCATGCCAATAGGAATCGAAGGAGAGCTACTCCCACTACCAGAAAGCCAAACTAGCTACCAGCTATTGATGATCGCGCCTACCTACAGTTTAGGTGGTGTGAAAATTGTCGACATTCGCTTTTTCTATCACAAGCCATCCTTCTTGTTTCTGGTTGGAGAACTCTGTAGGGAGGAGAATGAGATGGAGGGGAAAGGCACACGATGCGATGCCGATAGCCATGGCCGCACCCCATTCTGGATCGGACCCTTCGCTTATCCAAGAAGAGGAGGAAGAGGAGAACTCCCCGAGAAACTCATGAGCTGCCCAGTTCGAGCTTCTGCGGCGCCCATGTGGTACCTACAGAGTAGAAGCATCCAGCCACCGACCCAGTTACACAGCTAGACCAGGGGACAGGGAAGCAGGGACCAAGGAAACTTACCGTACTAATTACCCTCCAGAGCTCCTTCCCGTGCCCCACAATGACATGCAGTCGGGCAGGTGGCTGGCAGCTTTCATCACCTTGTTTTTTGCCAACCCAACACAAGTACCATTCCATACCATATTGCCAGGCACGCAAGAACGCCAGGGCTCCACTCCGACAACCACAAGTCAAATCGTCACCAATATGGATCGTCCCATTGGACATAACTTTGACAACCTGCTCAATTTTCGTGATGTGGGAGCTCACATCAACACCATCCTGGGAGCTCAAGTTCTCCGCCCGGGTCTCCTTTTCAGGAGTGCGCGACCGGACGACACCAGCGCGTCCGACCGCGATGCATTGGTCAACAAGTACAAGATCAAGACGATCATCGACCTTCGCTCCAAAACAGAACACATCAATGCGGCCACGAAACGGTCCGGAGCTGCTGTGGCGGCACAACCAGCGCCTTCGTCCAATGAGACCATCGCTGCACCGCTCCAAATACCTGGCATCCGTTACGAGCACATCAATCTCAACGGCAAAGGCTTTGAACGACATCTGATCTGGCAGCTGAAGTATACCAGTCTTGCCAAGCTGTTGTTCTTGATGGCTTTGGGCTATCGGACAGAAGGTATATCGGTGCTTGGAAAAGAATTGATGCTGCCACGGGGCCTCATCGGCCTCGGGATTGACACCCTCGACCACAGCCAACCTGAGATCAAACAAGTCTTTGACGTCCTCGCCGACGAGGCACGGTGGCCTGTCATGATCAATTGCACCCAAGGTAAGGATCGAACCGGAATGATAATATTGTTGGTGCTGCTGTTGTGCGACATCGATTTGAATGCTGCCAGCAAGGACTATGCCAAGTCTGAACCGGAACTCGAGCCAGAGAAGGAGGAAAGGATGAAAGAGATCGAAGGCATTGGTCTAGACGAGTCGTTTGCGCAGTGTCCGCCAGACTTTTGTGAGAAGATTGCCCGGCACCTCGAGACAACTTATGGCGGCCTTTCCACCTACCTGGTTCAGATTGGCGTTGATCCCCAGCAAACCGAGCGCATTCAAGACGTACTCAAAGTCAGCCTGCCGTAGGGAATCCAATACCTTCTGAGATGCCCAGAGCCTTTGGGAACACCTGCCTATTTCTCGTCGACAAGCGGAGGATAGGACTTTCGCACATTCTCAAAACGGTAGACACGGAGGCAGTTCCCCATATAACAAAATATTACTGCCCCAACAAACAACAATCCCGGTTTCGGGACGAGATCTCCTAGAAGTCGAATAAACTTCTTCGCGGGTTCTTACATATATCCTGAAGTCAACTTGTACCACAGCACGCCGCAATCCAGGTCTATCTCGGATGTACCCCAGAGTCTAGACTTGCCCCATCGAGGAAATGGCGCTCGCTGCATGGTAATGGCTTGGTCAGCACGTTATCGGCAAGTGAATTGGGGTTGCTGACATATTATCGCCCACACAGTCAGTGAAGCCGTTGGGGGCATTCTTCCTCAAAAGGATCCTGCTAGCATCTGCACAGTCATTCAAGCTAAGGGGAAGGAGCGGTCAATGAGCGGGACAAGCAAGATATGCTAACCGATAGAGGTTTTCTATGTCGCAGTTCTTATCAATAACTACGGTCGCCGAAGAGCTTTGGGAATGGAGGCATCAGAGTGACCGATGCTTTGGTAAGATGTTGAGGTTCGTGGTTGGCTCAGCTATTGTACGAGGTTGCTAGACCGCATGTCGAAGCCGAGTGCGTCTTTTTGGGAAAACATCGTATTCGGCTCCGAAGATCAGGGGAAATGGCGAGATTGTCCGAGACTTTACCATGTCGTCATGTTACCGGAAGACTCGGAACATGTCCAGACACATCTGTGATTGGTTGTAATCCGCCATCAAGTTCCCACCTTCCCAAAGATCTCTCTACTGTCAATGACGTCGTGCCCAACAAGAGCATTCATCCCTTCTCCTCTGCAGTACTTGCACATATTGCTACCATTGCCTTGGTACTTGGCAGTGGCTCATACCTCTCACCTCACCGTTATATCCGACTATGTTGCATGTGCATCTTCCGGCCATTAATGCTCAACGAGGCATGGCACACGAGACGTTTCCGGATCTCGTTCTCTCCGATTCTGTGCGGCACATGTCGCTAAGTAAATGGCTCCGCCATGAGTAGTCACCATCGACACGAGCCAATGGGCTGGCCGTCATCTTGCAGTTACATCTGGAATATCTCCGTCATTGCCTCACGGTTTCCCAGAATGATGTAGTAAGGCCCTAGCAGGTTACTTAATCAGTAGCATTAGTCTCCCGCAAACGTGCCGCATTGAGTGAATTCGGACATTAACATTTTTCTTCATATTGACCTGTTGCCTCCAGCCAAGCTGTACTTTGACATCCAGCTTCTCCATCTCTCCATCTACCACCTCCACCTGCGCCTCTAGCCCTCAACTCTCTCAACTCTTACTTCCAACAACTCTCTCGAACCCTATCAAAATGTGGTGGCTCAGTGCTTGGTGGTTCCCCGTGATCTCGGCGGGCATGTACGTAGTGCCGACACTCTGTCTAGTCTGAACAGTGTTACTGACTTTCCTCACACAGGTGGCTCGGCATGCTGCTGGCCATGTTCTGCTCCTGGGAAGCCAACGGACATCCTCACCTACCGTCCATGAGCGCAAACCAGCACATAGCCTACATATCTGACATTGGGGCATTTGGACTGAAACCGCTCTTCATCACCGGTGCCGTCATCACCACCGTCTTCCTCGACCTGGGTTTCATGTCGGAGCGATGGCTTCGACACTATGGTCGTCTGGCACCCAACACGTCCCGCGTCCAATCCGCGCTCTCGAGTTGTGCCATCTTCTTCGCCATCGCAGGCACCTGCGGTCTGATCTTTCTGTCCATCTTCGACACCTACCATCATCACAAAGTTCATGACGGATGTCTGCTTCTCTTTATTGGTGGATACATCATCTCGGCCATCTTCCTCTGCGCCGAATATCAACGACTTGGCGTCCACTACCGCCAGCACCGCGTCCTGCGTATTTCCTTCTGGGTCAAACTTGCCTTTATCATTCTCGAGATTATCCTCGCCATCGTCTTTGCCTCTACATCGTGGAACAACCACGAAAATGTTGCTGCTGTTTTCGAGTGGATTGTCGCCCTCATCTTCACCTTTTACGTCCTCTCGTTCCTGCTCGACCTTTGGCCTTCGGTGCGGTCGAAGCGCCACGTCCCTCAGGGCTGGAGAGAAAGAGAAGCGGAACTCGAAAAAGAAGCCGGAAGGAACGGCGGCCTGCCTCCTCTTGACCAAGGACCGGCACCGATCACCTCGGATCAAAATGCAACCACATATCAAAACAACGATTCCTACGACAACACTGCCACCGAAGGGTATCGTGGGACCAACATGACGGCTGGCCAGGGCTCCCACATCCAGTCTGCCCTGTCCAAATACCCTGTCGAACACAATGACCTTGGACGCCAGAAACGATGGGGCATTGGTCGGTTCCGATTTTGAGCTGCCTGTCAGTTTTTCGAGCGTTATTCTTGTACATTATTTCAGGGGTTTTGGAAAACGGCACATGAACACCACGATGAGCCATGGCCTATAACGGACAAAAGCAATGTTTGGCGATTCTAGCTTTGGGGTATCAGGCATTGCAGATAACGGATGAAACAAAATATAGAAAGCAAACCCTGCAAGACGCGGAAATGGTCAATGATAATTTATAGTAATTGTGCAAATACTACAACCTACAACTTTATGACTACAGATCATCACTTACAAAGCCAAAAAGACGCTGGCACCTGTTCTTGCATCGCCGTCTCTCTTGAGGCCTGATCCAAGCCCTTATACTGCTTTTGAACGTGACTGCCCCAGCATCAAGGCACCGTCATACGCACGCAAGGGGCGGTCGGCGATGGGCAATTGATTCCTCAGATCTGATAAAGGGTGAGAACACCCATACGCCCCTCCATGTGCTGTGCACCTTCACATCACATCGGGCCAGGGAAGTAAGTTACTGACTTACAAATCTCTCGAGCAACCATTTCCAACCCATGCGGCGGACTGGAAGGAACGTACCGCGTAGACAACAGCTACCGGATGAGGACATGCTTGCCGGGCGACCGGGCCTGCCTGCACCGAGCCACCGCGCGTGCATTGGGACCTCCTGTGCATGTGTGCACATTCGTTTGTCGCTCTTCTATTTTCAAACAGCACATTGCGCGTTCCTTCCTGGTGCGAAGAAGAAGATCCTGTCCCGTCGCAGCAAATCCTCCATGCCTGCACTGCACCGACCCTGTCCGCTTCGGGCAATCCCCGCGGCCTTTCTTGCTTGATGCAGGCACGGATTTCCAGATCCAATCGGACGAGGTGCAAAGAGGTTCTAAAGAAAGATGCTTGCATACAGATAGATACACCACGTATGTCGCCCTCAATGGAATATTTAAGAAGCCCGTATTGCGTGGGCTTGGGGAGTGGTTTCGGTTGCTGCAAAGCACTCAAAGAGTCTCGAAAAGCCCAACAATGCCTCTCCAGTACCAGATCGGGCCGTTTCAAGCCCCTTTGCTCCTCGACGACGAGAGTGTCCGGTCGACCAACCTATCAAAGCAGTCCTCTCATTCCGAAAACCTCCCTGACAGGGCCCCTTTTCTGCTCCGTGCCCACAGTAGCACCTCGAGGAGCTTCTACACGCCCGAGCCGCAGCCGGCCCGAGCCTCTTTCCTCTCACGAGCCAACAGTCGCCGTTCACAACCGCCCGAGAAGACATCCTACCACTCCCTACAAGCAGAGTTGGGCGACAGATCTGGACAGGAGTTTTGGCTGCACACGCGAAAGTCTTTTCTTCTCAAGATCGCAGTCGTCTTCGTCCTGCTGCAGCTGCTTTTCCTGGCAAACTTGTCGTACCTCTACGGATCTCTGTGGGGATCCAACAGCCGTGTCTCCTCGTTGAATGTTTTGTGGCTGGACCTCGACGGTGGGACAATCGGTGACTCTGTCAACAGTGCTTACGAGGGCCTTCGAGGCCCCAGCTTCCCTTCATTCGAGAAGCCTTCTGCCAATGGACCGAGCTCTCTTGCTGAAGCAGAGGACGCAGTCAAATCTGGCTCGTACTGGGCGGCTTTCGTGGTAAACCCCAATGCGTCGGCGAGGCTTGATGGTGCCCTCGCCGGTGGCCAAGCGGCTCAGACGTACCAGGCCTCGGATGCTCTCACATACATATGGAACGAGATCAGATACCCTCCATTCTCGGACGAGGCGTTGGAGTCCAATTTCGAGGTCCTGGCAGAGGCTGCCGAACAAGACTATCACCACAGACATGGCCAAGCCGTGCTGCAGACTCTGAACCGAAACCACAGTGCCGCCGTGCAGGTCCTGTTCCACCCTATCGGGATCTCTGCTGTCAACATTATGAAAGCCACTCACCCGACAAGGTTGCTATACAACACAGCGACGATGGTGATGCCAGTGCTCGAACAGTTCTTTTTCGTGTTAATTCTAAACGGTCTCTCCAATGAACTGGGGATATACAAACAGGTGCCCCCGACTACCACTGGGATTATCCGCGTGATTTTTGCCTCTGGCTACACCCTGTTCTCCGGACTCGGCATGGCCGGATACATCTGGGCATTCCGAGAATCATGGTCGGTTGATGCGGCGCAGTTCGCCTTGACATGGATGACCTTTTGGTTGCTTCACATGGTACACTTTGTCGTTGTCGACACAGCGGCCGCCTTCTGGCCTGTCCCCGTCATGCCATTTTTCATTCTGACCTGGATTGTTATCAACTTGTCGAGCTCCATCAGCCCGCCCGAGCTCAATCCGGCGTTTTATCGCTGGGGCTTTGCCCTCCCGGACAACGAGGCATACGCTCTCCTGACAGACATTTGGTCCCGCGGTGCAGTCCCCGTGGTCCACCGCGCTCTCCCGATCTTGTTTTCCTGGCTGCTCGTCGGATTGGGTACTGCTACCTTTGGTCACTTTCGCCGTTGTCGACTTGCTCGTGAAAAATGATCAACCGCCCGACAGATAGTGCTGTGGGTGAGGTTCTAAACAATCTAAGACAAGAAATGATAAAACGAGTTTGCTTTGTACACTTTGAATAGAGAGGTATGTAGGGCGTTGGCATGGAACTGGCTTTGAGTTTTGACACATAAATGTAAAGAATGCAGTGGAAGAATCCCTAATCTCGAGCTCGACGACTTGTTGTCTTGGAAAGTAGAGTATGTGGTTCTAGCGAGTGCGTCTTATTTAAGGCGCCTTCTTTTCCAAAATGTTATTGTGAAGTTTAGGTTACACCATCGCCTGCCTCCAAGCTATCTGTGGCAAGACGGCAATAGCATTCGGGCAGCGGCCGAAAGAGGGAAAAATCTTCCTCATAATTCTGGTTCTCTGAAATCTCCTCAGTCCAAAGCCCGCTTTGCGATGGGCTTTAACGGCGACGGTCTCCACCAAAGGACAAGGCTGGCTTGGCAGGGGCAGCGAACGAAGCGCTCGCAAATCAGATCTCTGACGTGAGCTTGGTGCGAGAAGGTCCTCGGGCGTACCGATGGGCCACGGCACCACATGTTGTCAATTCACGCAGCCACGGCAAACGCTGGACCGCTTCACTGCCAGATCTATGCATCATAGAGAGCACCGTCATACCTGGATCCACTGAGAATTTGGGCCGCAATTGGTTCACGATGATCGCAAACAACCTCGAGAAATTGTGTTTCAAAGCCGGTGATCGGGTAGCCGTTCTTGGTGTCTGCCATCGTGGAGACCTTCGAGCGCATATCGAATCGCATCATATCAAGTTCTCCCGGGAGCTCATCTGTCTGGGAGTCGCAGTGGGTGTTCACGACCCCGTACTACTCTGATGTTGAGCTGGCGGAGACAATAACCGGAGCCACACCCCTAAGATTTCCTGAAGATCTGAAGGAATTTCGGTTCGTCCACGTCGGTGCAAACCACGAAGCGTCGGCTTTTGTTGGGTCCTGAGTGTTAGCAAGTGCAACAGGCGCAAATCGAGCGAATGCAAGTCTCTGTCCATGCGCGACTAGACAGGGCCTCCCATGTGCCCTCGCTGTCCAGGGTATTCTGGCCGCGGCGCATGTGAGCCAGCACGGAGTAGATCTTGGCCATTTTCGGACCACATATGAAGATTTCACATGGTGGTGCTGCACCAACAGCGCGCACGTACCCTTACTACAAATGTCTGGGGTTCCCCCTCAAGGATATCAATTCATCACTGTCGATAGCTCCTCAAGCTTACCGAGGATCTCTTGCACATACCTGACCGACCCTACCTCTTCGTTTTCGCCGATATGTAGACAAATCAGAACGATATCCTGATATTTTCTGCCCATGACAACACTGAGATGTTGCGCCATGTTCAGTAACTTGTCTTTGACCTCCGCCGGGGTCTTGCCTTGAAAATCGCCCAGTTTCTCGTCAATAGCCTTCCAGAGTCCTATTTCCAGCAGGACCACCCCTAAGCTGTACACATCGTGGCACATCGAGAAGCGCTCAGCAGGGGTGGCTCCCTGGCGGCCGGGGTGACGGTATATGTCTACGCCCGTCGTTGACGCTTCTTGAAAGGCCAATGGAGCGGATAACGCAGCGTTTTGTCGCGCGTATGGGAAACCGACCAGATATGGGCTGCCAATTACGTGTGGGAATCGATGTTTGGCGTCAGCTTGGTTGCCCTCCAAGATCAAAATATTGTCGGACTTCAAGGATTTGTGAACCTGTGGCGAGGTGAGTGAGAATTTAGGGCATAAGGTCCATACATACCCAACCCATGGCATGTACATAGAGCAATGCTGTGGCAATCATGCTGGCCACGTGAAAGCGTCGATTTAGAGGATGCAAAAGCCTTTTCGTCTGGCTCGTCTCTCGAAACAGATCATGCAGGGTCCGTAGCTGCTGCCCAGGTTGAGGTGACAAGTGAGAAGGGATACCGTAGACAAGACCATACCTGTCGTGGGCGGCATCGACGAAGAAGGCCGAGCACTGAAGACAGCCCATGGTAACCGGATTAGCCATACTCAAAATCGTGGCCAGTTCCTCGCAAGAGTCTTTTGATTCTAACAGACGAGATTGAGCATAGTACTCCACGAACGAAACCCGGCCTTTGTACTCAGCCACATAGCTTTCTAGCGAGCGATTTGTCCTCTCCCGCAGATCAACAGCGTCTGGCTCACACCGCAGATTGGCGGCATTCGCCTTTGATTTATGGGCTTTCATAGTCTCGACCTGACGGAGAACAAACAGGCCTGGCGAGTCTTGTTCCGTCGCTGCCTCACGGCTCAGGTCCAAAAGAGTCCTCAAATTAGCAGGCAACGCGACAAGTCGAACGTCAAAGCGTTGTGTCCATTCGTAGAGCTCTTTCTCCAGCTTTTGAATGTCCCTGGCTCGCAAAGCCCACGTCGCTTGTGTCCAAAGCCGCAACAGACCCCTTGTTTGCACCTTTAATCTTGCGCTCTCAATACCTTCAAGAAATACACGGAGGTATTCGGCCAATTCGTTCAACAGAATCTCGTCGTCTTGGTTAAGGACCTGACTCTGCGAACGAGTTTTGCGGTACTCGAAGTATTGCAGGATCCGGACGATGATTCTTTCGTCATACTTCAGGCGAACCGCAAGCGACGCGGCATCTTTGGAAAATGATTTGCAACCGTCGACGAATGTCCATATAATTCGCAGAGATGTCACCGTCGTCTGGAAGATATCCATGATAAAGCCGGCCTATTACTACCTACGCTCAACGTGTCCCGCTGGTAATGTAAGAGGCAGCTGCTGACAGGCGAAAGACGTGGGACCGCACGCCGTTGTCGAATCCACGATACTCGCCATCGAGTTGTTGGATCGAGGCTAAAGAGACCGAGAGTGAATTGAAGAAAAGGAAGGTGAGTCGAGATGCACGTGACTCACGCCAACACTGTAGGCAGTGACGCAACACGACTGACACCTTTGGTTTCTTGACCTTCGCTGTGAGATATCAACTTGCGTAGGCCTCCTTTCGCATGAATTGAGAGAGAGTTTTGAAAGTTCTCGCCCGACTGCTACTTGCGTGATGTCTGCTGCGGAAGATTTGCCCGATGATGCTGACGTGGAAGCTGCAGAATACAGTTTTCCTTCAGTTGCTTCCAACTTCTCTGGTGTTCCCATTTTGCCGTCCTTGTCATCCTCTGCGTGTGTCTCCCTACCAACGGCCGACAAGGAGCAGGCAAGCGAGAAACAAAGTGGACCTCGAACATGGCTTGATTTCTTTTTAAACATCGAAGACTGTGGCGTCATCTTCGCTCCTTACGACATGCTACAGCGCGGTCAAGCCATTGGCAAGGGTCACACTGGGGCCGTCTTCAAAGGCTCATTCAATGGGAGACCGGTGGCTCTCAAGTATACCAACATCGATTCAACGCAACCGCGCTCAGTCGCAAAAGAGCGTCAGAATGATGCTTTGTTGAAGGAGACCGGCATGGAGTTAAGGGTAATGACACATCCAGACCTGCGCCGGCACGCTAACATCATCGATATCCTTGCTATTTCATTGAAGCCCGAATTGCTCACCGAAGAGCCAGAAGGAGATCTTGAGGACGGCCAGCCTCAGGATGAACTGGGGCTGCCGCTGTTGCAACCTGTGATAGTGATGGAGCTCGCCGTCACAGATCTCAGGACCTTTATGCTGTCCAACGCGTTAACAGCGCCAGAGACGCGGGCACGACTTGCCAGTGAGGTGACTCACGGGATCTCCGGCCTACACAAAGCGGATGTCACGGTTGGCGATATCAAACCTGACAACATACTCCTCTTTCGCAATTCTGACGGTTCCCTAACTGCCAAAATAGCAGATTTTGGGTTCGCAAGAGGCGCGGCTAACTTAGTTTCATCACCAGACGTTGAACGAGAAGTTCGAGGCAGTACTCTTCCATGGCGTGCCCCCGAGGTCAGAAGCCCGCTCGCTCCATCTTCCGCACAATTATTAACTGAAGGGGATTTAGCATTGGGATTTGGATAACAAAACCTGTCCTCCAACGATGAGGGATTGGCTGTTTCGATGCCAGGACTCGTATTCCCTGGGGCTCGTTCTTGCATTCATTCTTTTTGATTTCGATCCGGAAAAGGAGCCACGGCTCGAGTCCAAGGTGCCAGGTGGCACGCCATCGCTCCAAGACATTGCTCCCTCTAGTAACCTCAACGACCTAGTCCCTGCACTTGGCCGCTACGCTAGTCACGGGCTTTTGAATACCTTGTGGGCAGAATTCCGTACTGCTGCGTATGCCTCGGACGACTGTGTGAAGTGCTGGGCTGACTTTGATAAGGATGGTGAATCAAGCTTTCAAGCCTTCATTGTACAAGAGCTGGTTTGAAGAACATCCTGACCTGGTGACTGCTTTGAACTACGTCCTTGTAACCACTCTGGAATGACTGACACATACTGTGGTAGACCGACAGGACGATAAGCCAGACACCACCAACACCAGACAGCGAACAATCTCTACCCAAGACTTACCTTGTGCCATACTTGCTTACAGCTGATCCATTGAGACGGATGCCTGTAATCATATTCCAGAGATTCCTTTTGTGGGTGCATTGTCACCGCAAGTAGACATGTTCTGACTTGGACTCTAGCCCTGACCAGCTACACGATCAGACGCCCTATAGCACCGATAGACACCAGTCATCTAGACGCACTCGGAACAATATGGTCTCCTTCTATACGAAGGCTTCTGCTGTTGGGGAACAGGAGAGAGCGCATCCAACTAAAGTGAGTACGATTTGCATTTAAGTACGTGTTTGCCGCATCTCAGTGTTGCTGCGTGTAGGACATGCCACGAGCGGTCACACGGGTACTGTTTCAACGAATGAAGGCAGAAGCTGAACATGCCAATCCTTGGTCCGAGCATCGCAAGATCATGTCGATCTGCTATGGACAAGGCTTTGGCTGCAAGAAAAACGCAATCCTGGCCAAACGGTGGAACGACAGCCTTGCCATGGCGCAGCTAAATCCGGACTGCACCGGTGACGATTTTACTCGTGTCCTCTCTGCACGACACCAGGCCCTCTGGGCCAGCACCGTCCGAAGTTTCAGCTTACCCGAGGGGCTTGGTGAGCTGGATCTGTACCGGTGGTATATCTCTGACATTCTACTCGAAGCGACCCATAAGATGTATCCGATGCATCCCCGCTTGTTGGCGAGATTCGTCAACATGTACTGCTTGTCGGACGGGATGCGCGATCTTGAATACGCAAAATTGTTTTGGCTAAAGCAAGAAATTACGTGGTCTAACTTCGTGGGTCGAAACGTGAACGCTGCCATGTATCCAGAGATGGCGCCGAAGAATGTGGACCTCGCCAATGAAACAACAAAGATGTGGGATCTTCTGGCCCCACGCCGACATGTCATTCTTGCCGATGATGCGGAAACTTTGCTACGGGAACTGCCTCCGGAAAGCCTCCAAGGCGACACTGACGAGGCTGAAAGATCCCGGACAGAAGCCAGGATCTTATTCGAATTGTCCATTCGGATCAAACGGCCCAAGTGCTTCGAGTTGTTGTTTCGCCAATACGGCCAACGGTTGAAAGCGGAAACAGAGACGGCGCCCTCGGATCTTCAGACTACCGTTCGAGCTGGTGATACGGATGCCTTGGATTTTGTGCTGAACTATACCCAAAACTTCACTGAACTTACCTCCGTGAACCTTTGGATCGACCTTGCGGAGTACTCTCAAGGTTATATTATTCGTCATGTGCTATACAGACTCGCTTATGCCACAGGGAAGACCGACTTCCTACCAAGCTACGACCCCCGAGCTCCTTTACCTCGCCACGAACATGCGGGGAATTTCAGAGCTCAGTCTCCATTGGTGTGCAAAGCAATTGAGCAGGAGAACTGGTCCTCGTTCCTTGCATTACTGGATGCTGGGATCAACGTCAATATCTTACGGGTAAAAGACGGGCTACTGCCCATACACCTCGCAGCGGGTTGGCGTCTACCAATGTTTGTGGCTGCGCTGCGCTCTGCCGGAAGTACCATCAACGTGCATGATGTGCGGCGGAATACGGCCTTACATTACGTCTTGCAAGACTCCCCGATTCCTCGGCCGCCGGTACGAGAGGATTGGGACATGAGCCAATTCCTTGAAGCCTCTGGAATCGCTCGGCGTTTCCGCGAACGTCCTGATTGGACACAGCAACTGACCTTGAAGCTGCTGGTTTCAATGCCTGGCATCGACTTGGATGTCAGGAACCAGGCAGGGTTTACGCCGCTGAACTTGGCTGCCTCAATTGGCAACACATTTGCGGCCCAGCTCCTAATAGAGCGGGGTGCGGATCCAAACATTCTTACATTTGGTCGGCAGTCGGTATTGCAATCAGCCGTCGCCTCCAAAAGCCTTGAAATGGTCAAGCTTGTCTACCCTAGGACGACGCATCAGCTAAATGAACGCAGTCTTTCTGGCTTGACACCTCTTCTCATGAGCGCCTGCGTCGGCCAAGTTGATATCTGCCAGTTTCTGCTCGAGGAAGGAGCTGATTTCAATTCAAGGGACCAAGGAAACCGAAACATTATCCACGCTTGCTGCGAAGGAGCGAGTGTCGACACTCTAGAGCTTGTCATGGCTTGGATGACGAGCCTGCAGGACTCTGAGACGGAGGCCGGGGCGCCTCTCGAATCTGCTAGTGGGAGCATGTCTCGCTTGATCAATGAGTACAATTTGGCAGGTTGTTTGCCTTTGCACGAAATATTCAAGAGCCACGAGTACGAAATTTGTGACCACGTCATGCCTTTTGTGGAACTGCTTCTGCCCTACGTTGATGATATCAATGCACGGGAAGGGCCTGTCTCGGCCGGCGCAACTGCCCTCCACCACGCTGCAGGGAAAGGACTGTCTGATGTAGTGAGACTTCTACTGGAAAATGGAGCTGATCCGAATCTCCCATTCGGACAAGGATGGACACCATTGCACATGGCTCATGCAGCAAACAGCGACAAAGTCATCGAGCTCTTGATGACATTCGGAGCGAAGGCAGAACGAGACAACAGCGGCAGATTCCCTGGGGAAATCACCCACAAAGCGCGAGACTGGTATGAGAAGTCGGCGAGAGCACGGATCCTGATGGACCGTGCGAGAGTGGAAGCCCAGCAAAACGAAAACATGATGTTCATCGTGAGACAAGCAAGCCAAGCCTTCCCAGAGCTTGACTCGGATTTGATGTACGGCGCACACTCGGCAATGGTCATGGCTCAAGTCCAGAATCTACGCATATCCTCGGAGATTGAGCATGAGTTGAAGACGATGGAGGAGTCGGGTTCGGGTCCGTTGAACGAATCGGTCTTTGATCTGCTGGTCCAGCTCTCACAGGGAGAGTCCGGAGCGTCTGCATCGGCCATAGCAAAGGACGCAGATGCACTCTATGAGCTGGTGAGGTTGCACAGTAGCAGTCCTTGGCCTCAGCACTGAAGTCTACCAGCAGCCTGGGATTTGTTGAGACTTATGCCTCAAGCGTAATGAGAGAAATGAATAGTATGCTCAGTGATTACATCGAATGGCTCCTAGCAGCGTTGCCCACAATCGACTTGTCATGAACGTGTTACGAGCCGACCTGATGGCCGCCTGCGAGGGGCGGTACGCCAGGCACAAAGGTACTTTGCTTCTGTTTGAGGTCGGGCAAGGCAGGTGTTGATTTGCGCAGGATCTGAGCAAGGTTATGCATTAGTCTGTCTTATACCTCTTCTTAGGCCAGGTCTGATCGTATATATACAAAACACTAGGTGGTAGGAAGACCTCCCCTAAGTCCTACCATGCTGCAACGCCTCCTGCTTTGGCTATATACTTGTAGTGCCCATCTCCATCGGGTAACTCTTGGCGTGTTGTTGCACTGTCATCTCTCCTGTAGAAGCTGCCTTCTGAGCTGACAGCTGTATAATTATACCGATCAGCATTACCAATCAGCGACGACATCGAATTCTTCTCAGTCGTCATGGGCTACAGTAGTTCCCGAAACTGCCCTCCCCTTTGCTGACCCATTTGCAACTTTCTCCCACGGAAAGATAAAAGGGTACAAGCGGGTCACATTTTCCCGAATCCGCCATGGTTCAGCTGATCCAGCCATGGAGTCGTCAAATGAGCAGATTTTATGTACTGCGGTATCTCTGATACCCGTCTACCCCCTTGTTAACCGATCAGATAGAGCGGAGGTGTATGTAAACCGTATGCGCAGCCCACAAATACGTAGCCAAAACTCCATTCTTCACGAGATACTTTGTGGGCGTTTGTAGTGAGTGGGACAGAATAGAAAGCTAGGCGACGCGAGGTGCAGGTGAGTGTGGTAATTCTCTCTCTCAAAAGGAGAATGGGGACCAGGGGGAGAATGCCCGGTGCCCTGGAGTGCCTTGAGAAACGAAGATGAGACGAAAAGGCTCTTGGAGCTCCTCCAGAAAGGAACTTCAGGGAGGGAGCTTCAACCTTGAAGAGAAATGAGGAGTAGAGCAGGGTCTTTGGGCGGGACAAAATGACACCCAAAATGCAACATGACTTCTTCGTTCGGTTATGTATATACTGCTTACGGTCTTGACAACCACCCAGGCTGGAGTATCAGATACCCCGATGTACAAGACTTGCTTCGCCATGACGTAGGCGTGAAGATGTGTCATGACTTCTTCCACGGATGTTGCAAAGTCCCACCTGAAACAGTCAGTCGGGGTTGGTCACCTCCTGTTGATATCAGAACCTCACCAGTGTACGTAGAGGATGTCAACGTAATCTGTCTTTAGTTTTGCCAAACTATCTCTCACAGAGATGTGCATGCTTTTCGCCGAATTGCCCGTGTAGTTGCTCTGTAAGGGAAGTTCATTTCTCTGGTACGCCTTGTAGCCAGCAGAATACTTGGTCGCAACAACCATCTGGTCTCTGATTCCCCTTTTCTCCATCCACTCACCAATAAATCTTTCAGAGTCCTCGCCATTGTAGGTGTTGGACGTGTCGATGAAATTGCCACCCAGGGCGTAGGAGGCATCAAGCAGAGAGTCTGGACTTTCGTTTTTGCCAAATACCTCGCTCCATGAGCTCCCAATGCTGATGCCACCGAGACAGAGGGGAGACTTTGACGGACGCCGTTTGGGGAGAGGATGCGGTGGTATGCCAACGGATTCTCGGGCTTTGGAGGGAGGTTTGAAGAACGACATACTCGAAAGAAATCGAATGCGATGCAAAGCTGTTAGAAGTTCTTTGTCGAGTCGTCAAAATAGGCATCAAATATGTATCAATTGAAGCCTCCCCGCATGCTACAACAGAACTGATTTTGATTGGAGCATCTGGGGTGCCTGTAACAAATACCGACGCCACCATAAGCAGTCTGCGTTAGCGCAAACCCAACGAGCAGAAGGTGGCGATAGGAGACCACCAAATTTGGCCAATCGGACACAATACAGAGCTCGAAACTTTGGGTCTAAAATGATCTCGATATTTCTTTCGGATGAAGGTTGGGTTCACAGTTCTGTATTCTCACCCCGATTTCTTTGCATATTCCTGATCACCGACCTCTTCTTCCCAGGTAACACCGCCAAAGGAGGTCGCCTGGTGACACATGTAGCGATCATTGTCAGCTCCATGCCGATGCGTTGTGCCAGGCGGGCACCAGATGACGTCCCCAACTTTGATCCTGACGGGCTGTCCGCCACTATCACATACCCAACCCGACCCGGTGACGACTCTCAGGATTTGACCCATTTCATGCGTGTGCCAGTGCGTTCGGGCACCTGGCGTGAAAGTGACATGGGCAATCGACATGCATGCAAAGCATAAACACTCTGCAGAGCTTGGGTCAATCGTCGGCTCGCATGGCACGCCGATCTGTTTCGGGTGGCTAGTCGATTGCGACGACTGCAGGGGAGACGACGTCAAAACACATCCATCGGATGCAGATTGCTTATGCAAAGGCTTCATAGTGGAACCGACGATGTCATGTCCGTAAACTTTCAGACGAGAAAACTATGAAGACCAGCACCTGTAATTTGCCGATATGGAGACGATTTAATGCCGTATCATAGAGGCGTTGAGAGTGCGTTGGGTATTTAAGCACCAACCATCCGCGCAATCCAACGAAGAGGTCATTGCTGTTTTCCTGTTCTACTGCCAACCCCCGAATAAGTCCAGCTACAGACAGACCCCAAGCCTCGAGACACCGCTTTTGTCGACCAAATAAGAAACCATGGCTGGCTCCACCGACTACAAGTTCATGGGATGGCTAGGCCTCGACAAGACTGCTGACAAGGGGAAGATGGTCTGGCAAGAGTTCGAGCCCAAGACCTGGGAAGAAACAGACGTCGACATTCAGATATCACACAGCGGCATCTGCGGTTCGGATCTCCATGTCCTCCGAAGCGGCTGGGTAAGTCCCGTGATCAACACATAAACCACTCGGGCGAGCGCTGAATCAATCTGCAGGGGCCGACGCCATATCCATGTTGTGTCGGCCACGAGATTGTTGGTCGAGCTGTACGCGTAGGCACGAAAGTTGAAGGTGGTATCAAGGTGGGAGACCGAGTTGGAGTCGGCGCTCAAGGTGACTCTTGCTTGGGTCGTGTGCAAGGCCATTGCGACGAATGCGCGTCAGGGAATGAGCATTTCTGCGCCCACCACGTTGGCACATACGGAAGCTTCCATCTGAATGGCGACAAATCATACGGGGGTCACGCATTGTATAACCGCTCTCCGTCCCACTTTGTCTTCAAGATCCCAGACGCCATTCCTTCTGCTTCGGCAGCAGTAATGCTATGCGCTGGCATCACAACATATTCACCGTTGAAGTACTTCGGATGTGGACCGGATAAGCACGTCGGTGTCATTGGCCTGGGTGGTCTGGGCCATTTTGCCGTTCTCTGGGCAAAAGCACTGGGTGCGAAGTCTGTTGTCGCCATCTCCCGCAAGGAGAGTAAGAAGCAAGATGCCCTCAAAATGGGAGCAGACAGCTACATTGCAACAGACGATCATCCCAAGTGGGACACCGAATTTGCTGGCTCGTTTGACCTGCTCATCTCAACCATCTCTTCGTCAAAGGTACGTTCTTCAAGTTCACTGACGAAAGACCACGACGTTGACCAATCATGTAGATGCCCATTGCCGGCTATCTTGCTCTCTTGAGACGCGATGGCACTCTAGTTCAGGTTGGCAATCCTGACGATGGAGTGTTTGAGGTACCAGCGCTTGGCTTAATCATCGGAAGGAAGAAGCTTGCTGGTTCAATGATCGGCGCACCAGGAGAAATTCGAGAAATGCTTCAGTTGGCGGCTGAGAAGAATGTGAAGCCATGGGTGGAAGAGCGTCCAATGAAGGATGCAAATCAGGCGATAGTGGACCTGGATAATGGCAAGGCAAGATACCGATATGTGTTGGTAAATGAGGACCATCAGTGAGCATTGTCTTCCTCGCTGCATGTCCTAAGCTGTATCATACGACTAGCCAGAGCTTCCACCAGAATAACAGCAGTAGTTGCATGACGTTGTCATCTGGGAGTACAAAGAGTATCCGGAAAGAGCTTCGGCTCGCCCCGTCGAACCCTCCAGTTGTTCGTTGCTTTGAATAGACGATGACAGCCTTGCACAACCGAAGGCCACTTTTTGCAAAAATCTTCGCCGATCTCCCAGCTGTCCGGGTCACATGGATCACCCCAGACGATAAGGCTCTCCGATTGTTTGCCGTGACGATTGTCCACGACGTCGTGGCAGAGTGGTTCATCGTCATAATCATCGCCCAGTAGCAGAATGTTATTACGCATCCTTGGATCGGGCAGTAGATCGATCCATGGATGGTGCTCAACAATCAGCTGTAGATTGGTTGGCCTAAGATTTGCGGGACATGTCTGTACGGCTTCTTGTGCTCCGTCCTGGGAGCGGAAAAAGGGTGAAATAGCCTCACACTGAAGCCACTGATTAACAAACCCAAGGGTTTTATCATTTGCCATGAGTGCTCTGAAAACGTTGAATTTGATGAGCGTCAGCAGGAGGTCTGTTCGCGGAGACCCTTCCAGATATCGCGAATAAGCATAATCCTCGAAGCGAGCGAGAGACCTCTGGGTCTTATCAACGTCATCCGAGCATCGCCATAGATTGATCGGTGGCTCTGACGTCTCTGAGTACAAAGTATCAGGGCTTCGACTACCCTGCCGCACAACCTCCGAGTCCGCACTTGGGTCTTTGGCCGCGACGCCGAGCTTTCGTTGCATCACCTGTCGCCTTCCTGCATGGTTCAGTTAAAAGACCATGACTTGAATGAGTATAGTAACCCATAGATATGCTTACTCCATGCCCTTTGATGTAGGCGATTCTGAATTTTTCTCCGCTTAGCAGGATCAGTCGTTCCACTCCAATCATCGTCCGGACCATGCATCTCATTTTGTAGGCGCAAACTGAGAACTGATGGCAGGGTGATGTCGTCATACACCTTTATATCTGGGTGGTGGATTATTTGTGCCATAATAGCGGGATGAACGTGAAAGATAAGCTGTAGAAATGCTCTCGGATCTAGAATGGATGGCAGGGCCGTCGCCGCGTGATAAATATTCGAGAGACGGAGGCGGGACAATACTGTCGGTCAAGTTTGCCGGGGAAGTGGCAAAACAATATGATGGCTCTGAAACTACAGAATTGCAGATTACCCTTTTCTTCGTTCTATAATCCGCATCTCGTGTCGCACAACACCCGTGGGCGAGCACAATATGTTACACCAACCAACTATGCTTGCCAGTCGAAATACCTTTGCCAATCCTACCGAGACTAACCGTTGCGCAAGTCACAGGTATCTCCGAGATGAATATCACTTAGAATTCAAGGGAGCTTGAATTTATGTGGGATCCTACGCAGGCCCCCTTTGTCGCTGATAAACAATGACTTATTGGATGGCTGAACCAGCTTAATTGTCCGATATGCACATCTCTGAAGATAACTTCCCTTGCTTGTCACGTATGGCGCCCATCTTGCTGCCGGCTGCAGCACCTGTCTTAACAGTCTGGAAGAGGGACGACTTTTAGGCCACTACCCCGATGTAGCTAGTAAGGTGAGCTGGCCTAGCTAAGCCTAAGCCAACGTCAAGCTAGACGCGAGCTAGTCCGAGTCAGTCGTGAAACATGGCTCGATGGGAATCTAGACTCGAAAAATTACTAGCGCCTTGGCGTACCGGAGCAAGCGCAGGTTAGAAAGCCCCCCAAGCCACTGTGGCTTGAAACGCAGGATGTCGACGTCATGCGCCCGCGGCTCGTCATACGAGTAGGCTGCGATCAAATGCAATCCTTCTTGCCCTCTTTCTGCCACTTTTCGTCTTTGCCTCGCGCCCACTATTTTTATTGTCTCTACAGCGCTCACATCGTTTTCTACGAGGTCACGGAGTCGTTTCCCCGTTCCGACCAAGGTTCCTGTCGCTGTCCTTCCAGGTCCGCCCCACTGGAACCCTGAGTCTGGCAGGCAGACTCGCAAGGGGTCAAAATGTCTGAGCTACCCGATTACTGTAAGTGCCATTATCTCAGCAAGATATAGAGAGTCATGCTGATTGGAAGGAGATGCTGTCCTCGAAGTTGCCCCCGACAGCGACCAGGAAGCAATCAAGAGAGCTTACAAGAAAGCCGCGCTGAAGTAAGTCTCTCTACCACAGTCTGGAATATTAGAAGGAAATCTCTGTCGCTGGGTGCCGACATTCTCGTCTCAATACTAACGGATATTTTGGCAGATGGCATCCAGATCGCGTTGCGGCCGACTCGGACGAGCGTCCCAAGCGGACGAAAATGTTCCAAAAGATCAATGACGCCTACTACACTCTGTCCGAGCCCACGAGACGGCGAGAATACGACGAAGCAAGGCGTTTCCACGGCACCACGAGCTTTGACGAGTCTGCCGACGAAGAAGTTCCCAGGCCCCCTCCGCAGACGGGTCCCCAGTCTTGGTTCAACATGTTCGGCTTTGGTCGACCGGCGGGAGACGCACAAGAAGACCAGTTTGCAAACGAACAGTTCAAGAGTGCGTTTGAAGAGATGATGCAGGAGGACGAGTTGGCCGATGACACTCACACGCCCACGAAGCGGTTCTGGACTATCGCCGGAGGTATTTCGGGTGGCGTTCTCGGTTTCATTGTCGGCAACTCTGTCGGCATGGTGACAGGTGCTGCAGCCGGCAGCAAGATGGGCGCCATACGTGACAAGCAAGGGAAGTCGGTCTATGAGGTGTTCCAAGCGCTCGACCAGGGTCAAAAAGCTCGCATACTGAGCGAGCTTGCTGCGAAGCTGTTTAGCGGCGCGATCAGTTGAAGAACGGACGGACATGGGCTTTGGGCGGTACCCGGCGTGTCAGAGTGATACCTTTTTGGATTGGGGATAACGCATGGTGTTCGTGGCATATATCATTCGTCGTTATGATACACATTTTGGGGGAGTTGTGCTTTGTCTTGTTCGTCGATTTTGACAAAGATGCACTCCAGAACAACTCTCCGTAAGATACCCGTAGAATGTTTACAATGGCCAACTGCGGACTTGATACGATGGGTGTCCTCCACCCTGTCTAGGCCTGGGATGGAGACACCCAGAAATGAGATCGAGTATTCCGCCCTTGGGGATGATTTACATCTGGAGACCCCCTCATGTGCATTAAGTTAGATCGTACCTCGTAGTTGCCTCCCTGACAGGGAAAAGGCTGCGAATTAATATCAATGGAGATCTATACCCTTTTGAAGCACTGCCTACGGCGCTGGCGTTTGATTGGCCCGGTGCACCCCTAGTGCCCCATCGTGCCCACCAAGCCCCCCCGGTTTTTGTCCAGCCACTCGAATTGTCCGCTGAGCGGTCTACAAACCAGAGTTGCTCGGCCTCTGCAATGCATGCACTTTGTTCGTGAACCATCAGCTCAGGGGTCCTTTGACGAACCCTCGCCATTTCGCATCTTTTCATCGTTCTCCTCGCAGCTCTCTCCCGTGAGCAAATCCCAGTAACGAGCAAAGCCATCTTCTCGAGACGCGGGCGACAACGATCCGCAAAATCGAGCGACCCCGTCAAGCGCCGCGCACATCCCAAATCGGACTGTCTACGACGATTGGCCCTCATAGGCTGCGCTGACGTCCACGCGAACATCTGGGGATGGGGTTCTGGAACCAGGGAATTCGCTCGCAGCGAAGCAACTCTCCCTCGCCCTCACGCCGCTCCTACTACGCCTCCCGCCCGTCGTACTCGCGCAGCGCGTCCTCCTTCTTCTCCGGCCTCGGTGGCGGCTCCTCGTCGCGAGGCCACGGCCACTCGTCCCGCGCGCGCCCCCGGTCCGGCTTCGTGAACCGCATACGCCGCTTCCTGAAAGAGATATACTACTGGATGCGCCGGCATCCCGTCCGCACGTTTGTCCTGGTCATTCTGCCGCTGATCACGGGCGGGGCGCTAAGCAAGTTGCTGGGGACCGTGGGCATTCGACTCCCCGCGGGACTGCAGAGGATGATGGGCGGGCGGGAGATGACCCAGACGACCGAACGGTTCTATGCCCGCGGAGGCGCGAGGGACTTTGGCGCTGGCAGTGCCTTGCCCGGCATGGGTGGTGGGCTTGGGAACAGCATTGGCGCTCTTGCAGGTAAGCTTTGCTTTGACAGCCCCCAAAACAGAATGACATTGACGGGGATCAGGAATAGCAAAGATGTTCATCTAATCGCGACGGCAAGTTTGGGAGGTCTACATCTGACGGAGGGAATGAACAATGTTATAGCGGGAGGCAGGGCTTTGAAAATCACGAAAATGTCTCGAACCTGGAATGAATAAACGCACTGAAGAAAGTTTCTTCCATTTCTTCATTGAAAGCAAGCCATAACATGAACCTGATCAACGATCCTTCCTCGTAGCTGGAGTCATTCGACGTCAGCACCAGTGTGCTCGTTAGTGAAAACCTATTAACACATGCAAACCCTGCGAATACCATGCCCATGCCCCTGTGTTATCTTCCCTTTTTACTTTTCCCGGCCGTGCCTTTCCCGTTACTCCGAACCCTCTGCGATGATGTCCCTGCGGCAGCACTTCTCGTTTGAATCGCGTATTGACCACTTGGTCTTTCCGTGACTTCAACCACCTCGTCTTCTGGGGTGTAGTCGCTGTCGTCCTCGTCTTGGTTGTCTGTGTCAGATGGTGCTAGGTATCTGTAGACCTCTGGTTGTTCATCCGGAAGAAAAAGCTCGTCTTGTTGACGACGAATCCCAACGTGGCTTGGTAGAACACCCGCCGGACCAGACACGACGCGACGCTGTGGCGAGGCGAAGCGTGGGTCGGCAGGGTCAAACCTTGGCGCTCTCCCCACACTCGTCTGGTAGGGCAACTGATCCAGAGGCACGTTAACCAGGCTGGAAGTCGAGCGGGCACGAGGTTCCCAGTTAGGTTCGGAAGGGTCAGGCCGTGAGGAACGAGGGGAGTTGGAGCCGTGATTGTTGTAGAGAACGTCCGGATTAGAGGAATAGCGATGCGAATAATAAGGATGTTGCTGATAAGGGGGGGCCTGCTGCATTTGTTGTTGCCGCAGAGACTGGTTGGAGTTTGTGCGAGAGCTGTGGCGGAGCGGTTCGAGCTGACGCGGACCAGTCACATAATATCCTTGCGTGTACGGCAACCTTCGATCGTAGTCGACGTCCGCCGGGGGCAATGCGTAGGCGACCGAGTTGTCAACATTCTCGCGTGGAGAACTGTTTGAGGCAGAACTTCTTCCTCGGTTGCGGCTATCTGCGGTCTTGCCTTTGGCAGGAGAACCACCAGAAGACTTTTTGCCTGACACCTTGCGGACCTCGACTGGCTTGCGCTTGGCAACTTCCTTTTTGCTCTTTGGAGCCTGTGGCGCTGCTGCTGCAGGGGTCTGTGGAGGAGTCTGGCTCCGGTCGAGCTCTAGGCGTTTCAACGCATCAATTTCAGCTCGACTCAACTTGACATTGGGCTTACCCAGAGCCCGGGCGCGCGCTATCCTATCCAGAGCTCTCTGGACGAGCATGTCTTCTTTCTCCCTGTAAGCCATCTGCATGTCTGGTCTCCGGACGAGGCCTGCATAAGGGTCATAATCGTCCTCGTCATCCGAAGGGGTCAAATCATCGCCGAATGAATCACCTGAACGCCGTCGGCGGACAACTCCCCCACCTAAATCTATGCCAGTAAAGTGAAGCTCATCTGAGCGAAATCTTGATGGACCATAACCCTGATCGGGCTCAACACCGTGCGGCGATATCTCGTCGTCGGTGTCCAATTCCTCCACACGAACATTGTAGTCCCACGAGCGTTGTTGCTGTTGAAATTCCCACAATCTGTCCTTGTTCCGCCCGCCTCGTCCCCTTGGTGGTCTTCCCCCAGGGGGCATATCGTATGGAGTTCGCGGCCGACCACCTAGACCGCCTCCTCGGAAAAAGCATTCTCGATTGGTCTATCCATGAGTGAGGCGTGGCCAAGGATGGTCACACCGGTAGCTCCAATCAGCCATAGGAAAGTTGCAATAGGAGAAGAAATGAAGGCAACGGGAACAGCCACACAAGCGAGGCCGGTGTACAGCTGAGAGGTTGTCGCTCGGAAGGTGCCGATCTCGAGATCAGCTCCCCCCAACTTGCCGATTGCCCACATGCCGCCCACGACCAGGATGATGTCGAAAAGAAGCCATAGGTTGGTCAGCAGGCTGTAAATGCTGAGCATGACAAAGACCACGGCATAGTTGCTGGAGAAATAGCTCAGGTTGTAGTTGACTCTGGCCTGCACCTCTCCAAAGTTGTTTGGTTTTGACAATCTCTTCAAGTCGAGAAACTCGGAGATGGGTCGAATGTTTGCAAAGCGCGACGCAATCGACTGCGACCGGACGCTGTTAAAGCGATCACTCAGGTTGAGACGGGAAGTGAGGGCATCGATGGGAATGCTGATTCTGGCCATTTTGAGTTGAAAGGATGGGCGTTTCGATAGAGATTAAGGTCGCTGTTGAATTGATTACCTTGACAAGTCCATGTCAGTAATGAAACGCGAATTGGCGGTCACACAGCGTCCAGCATTGCTGACTGTTGTAGAACTTACAAGATTATTCAAAGTGCAGTGTTGGGGTGGAAGTGCAAATGAGCGTGATGAAAGAGAGTCGGGAGAAGAATAAGTCAAGGAGAAGGGGATGCAGTGTGCAGGCAGAGACTTTTTCTTGTTGTTGCCTGTGGCCCCTTTGCGGAGATTTGGGATGGAATTCGACGGGTGGGTGAATGGTTGACGAAGTTTGTAACTAGAGATTTTCGAGGGGGGGAAAGGGGGGGACTCAAAG